GGCCCTTGAAAGCCGCTTGAAAGGTTTCAGCGGAAACGGAACCCTCTTCGACGAGGTTTTTTTTGCTTTCAGGCCGTTTGGAAAGCTGTGCGAAGTCGGGAGGCCGGAGTCCTATTGTACGGTGAAAGGCTCCAGAATATTTTTCATGCTTTGTTTCCTCGTGGTCGTACTGCTCTTGTACATATACTTGTAGTTTCCTTTTTTGTTTGTCATTTCTGTGGTGTTTTTTTTCCGAGTATTTTCCGTCTTCTTTCTTCAGTAGCTTCCCGTTGTTTTGATTGCCGTTTCTGTCGCATTTCTTTTGTACCGACAAAATGCCTCGCGTAGTGTTTTCTGACGACTTGGAGAAGAAGCCCATCGAGCTGTGGAGCAGGTATCAAAATGAAAAAAAGCAGGACCATGAAAAAGAGAGTTGTTGATCGAGCGCCAAAAAATTGAAGGAACGTACGTGCCTCGGGATTTGCAAAACTACCATATGACAATCATGTTTCTCCATGGTAATTTGCTGACAAAAATGTTTCAAGTCGTCACTGGAGTGCAGTGTGCTTGGAAAGGCTTTTTTCAAGTACTTTTGTCCAGTTTAGAACGCGACATTTGCGTCAACTTTCAACTTTTCAAGTAGTGTGAGTACAGCCTTGGGAAAGTAAATGCTCAACTTCAACTTCGAGTGCTCTTTAACAAGTCTTAAAAGAGATGGAATCAATTGCCTACCTGCACCAGCTTGCTCCAAGACCTTTGGGATGGTATCACCGATAATGATGGTGTAGCCGATCATAGCTGTACACACAAAACATACATAACACACACAAGAACAAGCAGTCACATAATATAGACATAATTCACAAGATAACACCTTTTCACAAATGGCACGCGTACATGCAACATCTGAGAATGGTAGCATCCAGGGAGGTGACACCTCCACTGAACACTGCAGTGCGTAGGATTCGGAAGTTCCACGTGATCCCTGGTCTACGCGACATGCGATTGCCCACCCCAAACAGGTTCCAGACCAGTGATTGATATAAATCGACCCTGCCCGAAGGCCAGAGTGACCGGGAAGGGCACCCGTGGAAACGAGACTCACATCGGTTCACGTTCCACGTGTCCATCTGTGTTATCCCCCTGCATGCTAGGGTTCTCTGGAGTGCGCACAACGGAAGCAACACACCTCACCAGGAGTGGATGTCATAACAAATGACTACTAACATTCACTAGTTTGAGGAAGTCAAATGAAGAACAATCGACGTTCTTCAATCTACAATTGCATATGGAGGCAGTTATCACATCTTTTAAAGGATTTCTTTTATCATCACATTTCAAACACCTACATCAAAACAAACGGAAACAGGCGTGGAAAGTGAAGTTGTAAGCGCGGCATAGGCAACATGACCTACCGAAAAAAGGGTAGAAAAACTGGCATGCAGATAAATAGAAAAATCCAGCCTTGCCGAACATTTTGTCCATGGTCCCCTGAAGCACAGCACACAAGCAATGGAGAGCAGTAGTATTATTACATGCGAGTACTTCTTGCACCACAGAAATGGCATGCGGAGTTCGGCCTCATGAATATAGAGTGGGTTCAAATAAAATTATGTCACATGACCACACGCGACAGTCCTGTGAGTTCCAACTCCAGTCAACCTCTGCGCCTGCGGGTCACGTGATGCCGGCCATGTTGATTCCACTGTACACGACGTGCTATGGTCGATTTCTACACAAACTACGGTCACGTGACCAAGATGTGAAACTACTCTGTGACAGCACCAGGGCTACGCGGCCCTACAGTCCATTTCAAAACTATAGACGCGTACCTAGGCAAAAACCGTTATGCCAGCATCTATACCACATAAAATCTGTGATCACTTTGTGCATAAATTTTTCCAAATTAGCCGTCTGTTATCCAATCGTTTAGAAACTATATGAGAGTAATTGTGGAGCGATCCTGAGCAATATTCCGAAAACTATTCTCAAAAAGGTCCAGCCAAATTTGAAATATTTCAAAAACCCTACGCGTCTATAGTTTTGAAATGGACTGTAGTAGTAGTACTACAAGCACGGGGCTAGCGTGCAGTCAGCGCGGCTCTGCAGTATTCAAGAGGTCAGATCCACCACCAGGAAGTGTACTAGTACAACATTGTAGTTACCCTTGGCAACCACTGTACTGTGCGCATTCGGCAAAACAAAATGATTTGCTTTTCAACCAATCAACAAGTACAGCAAAACCTGTGACTAACGACCACCCCTTGGGGCCAGAGAGAGCGGTCTTTAGTGGCAGGTGGTCCTTGGTTAGAGGTTTGCACCGCACAACCATTATATGAATGTGAGACCGTCCGTGCCTGGCGAAGTGGTCTGTAGTACCAGGCTGGTCGCTAGTCACGGTGGTCTTCAGTTACAGGTTTTACTGTATTTCTAGTTAGATAGTTCTTACAGTCCATTTCAAAACTATAGACGCGTACCTAGGCAAAAACCGTTATGCCAGCATCTATACCACATAAAATCTGTGATCACTTTGTGCATAAATTTTTCCAAATTGGGCGTCTGTTATCCAATCCTTTAGAAACTATATGAGAGTAATTGTGGAGCGATCCTGAGCAATATTCCGAAAACTATTCTCAAAAAGTTCCAGCCAAATTTGAAATATTTCAAAAACCCTACGCGTCTATAGTTTTGAAATGCACTGTAGGAGGGGCCGGTTTTGCCAGCTATTGAGCGCACTTCACTCTGCACCCTGTCACTTATTTGGCGTCAGTGCACCCTGCCACTTTTTAAAGTGATCACAAATCAAGGACACCACCTCGGCCATCAGTCGGACACACCCATACTTATATACAGCAAAAACGTGCGCCCATGTATGCCACACATACCGTAAAGTACCGTTGATCCGCCCCCCACGCCGTGTCCCTTCCCACCTGGTTTTTCGGCAGGGGGCGGGAATTAGATCAAGTCGTTCAAGTGCAGTACGATGTGCAACAAAGCAGAAGATCAGACCTGGGATGCTGGATTGTGCACATGTTCATCCTGCAATCGCACCTATCGTGTACAGCAGTACATGCATCGGTTCAACACGCCGATGTCGCTTGACAGGCAGAATTTCGACAGGGGGCGGGAATTAGAGCGGGGGCGGATCAATGGTACTTTACGGTACTAGTACAGAAGTCATGTACCTGGTAGCTGGTGACGCCGATCAGTAAGCCAGTTTCCACCAGCAGCCGTAGTGAGTAGTCGGTAACCAGTGCCATGAAGAAGAGCAAGAAGGTGCCCAGGATAAACCCAGCTTGGGATATGGCGAACGGCAGACCTGTTGGGAAAGGGAACGCCGCGGAAAAAAGAGCGTCAGTTCCTAGTCCTATGTGGAATCTAGAAGCACCAGTGCATCTGTTATGGTATAGACCGTCAACGGGATAACGAAAAGAGGATAGACCTTGTATCTACAGCATCACACATGCGCGCAAATCTTAGGAGCACAGCAAAATCCACTCGCAATATTCTATCGCTGCAAAAGATTCACCATGACTGTTTCTAGTCCACAACGTAACTCTAAAACATTTACAGTGTGTGAGTTAAAGTACTGGTAGAATGAAAAAAAAAGCTGGTTGCCACGAAGAATGCACAGCAACGTCTTCTTCCGTGCTCACCAATAATTCCTGCACCGATGATCGAGTTGATCATGTTATATGATGCCATGCCAAATCCACTCTTCGCCGTTCCATCTTCAATCTAAAGATGACGGCAACGGCAACGGCAGCCACAACAACAACAACAATCTCTTATTGGCGATGGTGCCATCGTGAGAATAAAAAATTCAACAACAACAACAACAACAACAACAACAACAACAACAACAACAACAACAACAACAACAACAACAACAGCAGCAGCAACATTGTTGGCGGCGGAGGCGGTGGTGGCAACAACAATAACAACGGGAGAAAGAATTGCAGATTGGCACTCAGGCAGATCCAGCAAATAGAAGTGACACAAAAACACACACACACACACACACGCGGGCGCGCGCGCGCGCGCACACACACACACACACGCGTGCACACACACACACACACATACCTTCTCCTCGTACGCAATCAGCTGTGTCTCATCGCCGTTCGGATCGCTAGCTACACGGCTTATCGATGTCAACTGCAAACAGACACAAATGCAGAGACAGCCAAACAGACACATACATGTACTCACACAATTGAGAGCAAAAAAGTTAACAAAGGACGAAAAATACAAACGAGCAAGCATTGAAACACCCCTGTCTCACACACATGACACAGGAGTGACAGGACACGTGATAATTATGATCCGTATCGTAACAGCTACAAAACTGGGTCTCCCGGGTTCCTCAGAGTCAGTGGCCCAGTTCGGTAAAACATTATTTTTTCGCAGTGTTTGGCTGTTTGTCGCAGAAAGTCGCACTCGAGACTGTCCCTGATCTGCAAAGATCTTCGCGTACAACTTCTGCACTGTATGTGGAGAAGAATCCATGAATCCGACTGTTGATGTGATGGTTCAAACTGACTGATCGAACAAGACGTGCGTTGATGTCACTGTGTCTAAGTGTGAACAAAACAGCGGCAGTAAGTCAGTTTGTCCGCTATGTGTGTGTGGTGTGTGTGTGTGTGTGTGTGTGTGTGTGTGTGTGTGTGTGTGTGTGTGTGTGTGTGTGTGTGTGTGTGTGTGTGTGTGTGTGTGTGTAGGGCATTCGGAGCATTGCGTCGATCTGTCTTTGATGATGGCGATCTTTCACTGGCAACGAAGCGAATGGTGTATGATGCATGTGTGGCTTCTCTTCTCCTTTACGGAGCGGAGTGTTGGGTACCACTGAAAAGCGAGCTTGCGGCGCTGTCCGCCTTCCATCTTCGCTGCATTTCCGCAATCTTAGCCCTCGGTAGAAGAGACACCTGGGACTTCCACATCAACAGGAAGACCATTCTGGAGGCCTGGAATCGTCGAGATCCAGTGGATATTACCACACGTGTTCTTCGCCGCCGTCTGGAGTGGCTAGGCCATCTAGCTAGGATGGACGGCGATAGAACTCCGCGCCAGCTCCTGTTTGGTGCGCTCCTTCCGCCGAGGCCAGCTTGCGGTCCTCGGAAACGGTGGCGAGACTCTGTCAGAGCTGACCTCTCCGCAGTGAACATCGACCACACGGAATGGTACGACCTCGCCCAGGAGCGTGGGAAATGGCGCAGTGCGTATTCCGCTCAACCAGTACCGCGATCGGCTCAGCGTGACACTTCTGTGCTCTGCGATGTTTGCCAGCGTACTTTCGCCCACCAGAAATACAAGAATCGCCACAAGTGCCTGGCCGAGAGGAGGAAGCCCATATCTGAGCAGTCTGGCAGCCGACTATGTAATGCGTGCGGGAGATGGTTCTTGAGTGCTGGCGGGCTAGCTTCGCATAAGTGTCTCTCCAACTCGGCTGCTGAAGTGGCGTCGGTCTCGGCTGTGGCATCGGCAGACTCGGTCCGGAAACAGCGGGTTGCCCTGCCCTGCTGCAGAGCGCATTGTCTCGGCTGCGGTCGCTGCTGCAAGTCATCCCGTGGTTTCGACCTGCATAGCTGTGCTAATTTCCTGTCCAGGAAGTAGAGCGGCGTTTCTGGGTCCAATGCTGAACTCAGTGCTGTCGACCCCTGCACAGGGGACACGTGACCATTTGATGGCAGTGTTACCAAGGACCAAGGTGTGTGTGTGTGCGTGTGTGTGTGTGTGTGTGAGGAGAGAGAGAGAGGGGAGAGAGAGAGAGAGAGAGAGAGAGAGAGAGAGAGAGAGAGAGAGAGAGAGAGAGAGAGAGAGAGAGAGAGAGAGAGAGAGAGAGAGAGGGAGGGAGGGAGGGAGGGAGGGAGAGAGAGAGAGAGAGAGCACACACATTTGTGTGATGTGTGTGTTTGTATAGAAAGAGAGAGAGAGAGCACAGTGTGTGTGTGTGTGTGTGTGTGTGTGTGTGTGTGTGTATGCTCGTTTTCTGTACAGTGTGAACTGTGAATTTCAGTCCACACTGGCATGGCAGGTATGTGTGTCTCCCCATACTGCGTGCACTCGATCTGTCCACTGCCAGTAGCCACGACAGTCAACAGCTTGTCCTAACCTCCACAGTGCTGCTATCATTGCCACTAGGGATCTCCCCCGATCCATTCTGAAGCTCTGCAAAAAACAAAACAAATAAACAATAGAAATAGGGACAAGCGCATACCCATCCCCCTCCTCCCTACACACACACACACACACACACACACACACACACACACACACACACACACACACACACACACACACACACACACACACACACACACACACACACACACACACACACCACACCACACACACATTCAAGTGGGGCCAACGAGATCCGACCCGTGAGCTAAAAGCAGCGTCAAGGCTCAGACGAACCCTACGGCCCTCGGATGGGTGTTTGACAGCGTATGATGTAATTGAAACACATGTAGAAAGGTGGCGCTACTTTTGACTCGCAGGGCAGATTTCTTTGGCCACAACTGTACAAACACCCACCCACCCACACCATGTACGCACACAAACACACCCACACCCACATATACACACCCACATATACACACCCACACACACGTTAGTGCTGTCGATATGCGTTATTTCTCTGACTGTATACAACCGCCAAGACGACCCCGTGGGTGTACCGTAAAGTACTGTTGATCCGCCCCCCCCCCCCCCTCCAATTTCCACCCCCCGTCGAATTTCTGCCTGTGAAGCAACGTCGGCGTATACAATGCAGTACGGTCGGTGTTGAACCGGTGCATGCACATGCTGCACACAATACGTGCCATTGCAGAATGAAGATGTGCACAATTCAGCACACCGCGTTGCTGTACATCGTACTGTACTTGACAGCCTTGATCTACCAACCCCCCCCCCCCCCGCCGCCGAAAACCCACCTGGGAAGTGACACTGGTGGTACGATACTGGCCAGAGAAATCCAACCCCACGAATAAAATAGCGCTGGGCTATTCGCCGCCCTTGCGTTCTGTGCACACGAACGCGGCGCTACTGCCGTCCAGCTCAATGAAATCCAGGCGTGGCACTCCCAGTTTACACCTTGCACCATTTCGCAGCCCAGCGTTCGCCTGTACTAGGTCAAGGGCGCCCGGCGCGTACTTGTGTGACGCGACTGGATTTCATCGAGCAGCACTGTATTATTCGTGAGGAAGAATTTCTCTGGCCAGAACGGTAGGTCAGGTGACCGGTCGACCCTTACTGGTTTTAGCCTTGGCTTACACCAGGTGTACACTGACAACTATGAATAAAAGACTAGAGAGTGAAGACTGTGAGTGTGAAGGCAGTAGAATCAGTAGGTTGCTATTGCCAGTACAATGTACAACGAAACACAAAACTAATAACGCCATGGCACTGACTCTCCCAGTACGCTGACATTTATACACACTGACTCTGTACTGAAACACACCGATCTGCTGTCTGCCTGCCATGCTCAACGCATTATAGGCCATCATTGCTTTCTGAGACTTCACGCACACGACCTCTCGTTTGACAAACATAAATTCATCTCCTGTCACTTTGGGAAATTGAGGCGTTGATAAGAAATGCTAAAGTACAGTTTCTGAATCTGAAATAGAGTGCCACGTTTTCCAGGTTACTTTCTGCTAAGCCATGAAGTGGGGCATAACGATTCTCATCCTCAGTCAATACGAATGGGTAAAATAATTGGTAAAAGCTCACCAGTTGGATTCATTGCGTACGATGATTGCTCGAACGTACCACCGTTAAAAGCATCTCCCACTTTGCTCTTGATGGAGGTAGAAGAAGACATGGCTCTAGGACTTCATCTGATACTGTAACTCTACACGGCCGACACGACTTGTGCGAGCAGCCAAAAGAGGAAGGAGCACTCTTACGCGCCCTGCAATGCAACCCTACCAAACTTTCGGTGGCTTTGCATTTGGTCAGTTTGGAGTTAGCCTGTTTGGTCCAAAGAAACTACTCTGCACTACCACAGCACTGCAGCATTCAACAAAGTAACTAACTTAGTTACGTGCACGCATAGCTAGCATGCACGATACTCGATAGAGCTAGAGATCTGTCAGATCATGCTGAAGCATGAAGGCTTGAAGCAGTCGTGTCTACCGACCGTGTTCTGAGTTGGGACTGAGTCTGTGACTCGTGTGAGCTCCAAGCTGCAGCAGCACAACCAGCTCCTGTCATACCTGGCCACCGACCCGTGCAGCGCAAGCATCATCGACATCAGGCTGCCAAAGTCGGAAGTGGATGGAGTGGTCCTGGACGGCTTCCGTTTTATTTAGTTCCGACTCCTGCCATCCTCGGCCTCGCGAGCTCCATACCAGCTTCCTTCCGACCGCTCAGGTCCTGCCATGGCATCATGATACCGGCCGGTATGGGGCATGGCCGAGGCTCACACTACTGCCTTGTACTGGCACTAGCACAGAGTCAGTCGACACTCGACAGTACAGTACAAAAGTCAATAGCAGCTGCTGCTGTTTGCTTTTTGAGAAGTGGAACTGGAACTTGGTGGAAGTGGACGAAAATCACTCGAGTCGAGCTTCGCGTCATAGAACAAGTGGAAAGCTAGCTGCTAAAGTAAAGGTGTTTTATTGAACGCACAAAGCAATGATGATAATGAATGCAAGGAGAGCAAAGAATTCAAGCTACAAGGTGTGGTGTAATTAAGCTAGCTGCTACTGCTGCTGATGTGCTGGTAGTTTCTTTATTGATGGATTTGGCAAAGGCTCAGCTGTGTGCAAGCATGGCGACCAACATAATTCTTGGTAGGTTGCTAACTGTTGAGTACGAGTGCATTATGATGTACTAGTGTTGTTGGCTCCTACAAAAACAGTTTATTTCGCATGAACATGGTTAATAATAATAATCTTTATTTCAGGATTACCCAAAGGCTGACGCCTATCGGGGGATCTCCTATTTGTGTATGTACACTGAACATTGGAGTTGGGAAAAAGAGAAAATGTGCAAAGTGAGTTCGGAAAAAGATAGATGCTGCACAAAGGATACAGTGAAAGAACAAGCAGTGTAAATCAATGATTGGCATTGATTGCACATCAAAGGGATACCAGTGCAGTCGGTGTGTATTATTATTATTATTATTATTATTATAGGAAGATGAACGCAAGCTACGGCGCATGAAGGATGACATTATGTCGCTCTATGATGAAGAAGCTAAGAGGAACCGCAAACAATCAACGTTCGTACCGCTGTCCCAAGAAGAGAAAGATGAGATTCAACAGCTCAGGGGAAAACATAGTGTTGTCATAAAGCCGTCAGACAAGGGAAAGGGATTCGTCTTGTTGCCCAGTACACAATATGATGAGAAAGCCGAAGCCATGCTGGACCAAGAAGCTGACTATGAGAAGGTGGCCATGACGGTGGACAAACTGGATGAGGAGACAAGACGTTTTGTCGACACTCATCTGAAGAACAAGCTCCCGGAGAAACTGGAGAAGGCAATTAAACCGAGGCACTCGCGGATGCCAAGGTTTTACGGTCTCCCCAAAGACCATAAGGCAGGATTGCCATTGCGTCCCGTGGTCAGTTCTTGCGACAGTCCTACAAGTAACCTTTCGTTGATTGTTGAAAGGATACTGAATCAGCTCCTTATGTTCGTACCTGCTCATCTAGATAGCACCGAAGCCTGCATTGAAGACATCAAGAGGCATCGCCAGGTCCCGGATGGCTGCATCATCGCCTCATTCGATGTAGTGGGCCTCTATTCGAACATTCCTATAGATGAGAGCATTTCGGCCGCTATTACCAAGCTAGAGCAGCATAAAGATGATGTCGACATGCTTGGATTGACGGTTGCGGATGTACAGCTGATGTTGCAGTATGTTCTGTCAAACAACTACTTCGAGTTCAATAGTAAACAGTACCGTCAGAAGCGTGGAATTGCGATGGGGAACCATCTGGCACCTCCGCTGGCCATCCTCTTCATGGATGCGCTTGAACAGAAGGCCCTCTCGACAGCTACAGTGAAGCCAGATCTCTACAAGCGATATATCGACGACTGCATACTACTGTGGAGACATGGCTGGAAAGGTTTAACAGCACTTCTAGATCACTTCAACGGACAGCACACTACTATCAAATTCACAATGGAACACTCGGTCAACGAAACTCAGTCAGTGAACTTCCTGGATCTAGCGCTGTCTGTGCGTGGAAACAGCATAGAGTGGGAGCTCTATGTTAAGCCTTCCCACAGTGGTGTCCACCTGTCCTATGAATCATGTCTCCCCTGGTCGTGTAAAAGAGCTGTTGCAACGAACCAATTCTCTCGAGCTATCCGTAACTCGTCAACACCGGAAGCGGAAGACAGGAGCATGTCCATAATTGAAGAGTTGCTCGAGAGAAATGACTATCCACGCACCGAGATAAACGCAGCACGACGAGCAGCCAAGGGGAAGAGACAAGATACACACCCGTCTCAACAACAGCAGCGTGACAGCAAGCGCAGACACAACCAATTCAAGTCAGTCATCAAACTGCCCTTCATCAACGACTCACTTGCCGCTCGTGTCTCACGACGTGTTCGAAAGTTCAGTCCGCATGTTCGTGTTGTCTTTGTGTCTGGTCCTTCTTTGAAGGATATGTTGGTCCGATCGTCGAGTGCTGTACGTGTGTGTCCCCGTGAGAAGCAGCGATCGGAGGTGAAGAGAGGGAGAGGTCGACCAATGGAGTGTCGTGCATGTGATGCGAGTATGGTGGATAGTCAGTGTTTAGTCAAAGGTGTTGTCTATTGTATGTCTTGCACGTTGTGTGCGGAATTGTACGTTGGTGAGACCGAGCGGCCGGTGAGGGACCGATTCGCTGAGCACTACCGAGAGGCAAGGGCGATGGTGGCGAAGGCTCCCTGGGGCTTCCACTATCGTACCCAGCATCGAGAATCTTTAAAGTCTTCCAACTTTCTGCCCTTCCACCAGGCAAAGATTCTCGGCAGGGAGGCTTCGCTACCATCAAGGAAACTGCTTGAAGCTATCGAGATAAGGAAGCGCAAACCAGCAGTCAATTGCGATGACGGCTGGCGCCTAATTGACTGATTGGATGTCACCGGATCGTCACTGGAATCGACACCCATCTCCTCGAACTACCACTGGACTTTACCACCTGACACAGCACATACACATACTTTGCACATACACCGCTGTCATATACATAGATCGCCTTTAGCATTCCCACACTTGAAAGTGTTCTTGTACGTGCTGTGATAGTCTTACTAGTCTTCTTTCTTCTGTTTAGGTCACCTTACAGGTGATGATTGTAAACTTTAGTGTTAGTGTTAGTGTTAGTTTTCTTGCCAAATTGTGTCTGTGTGTATGTGTGAGTTTTCTCATCTTTCGTTTTTGTTTAGGTCACCTTACAAGTGATGATTGTTTAGTTTGCTGGCCTTGCCAATTGTGTCACCATGATGTGTTAGTTCATTCATCTGCCTGCATTATTCGTCTTTATATTTCGTAATTTGGCCTCCCCTTCCTCAATGCCCTGATGATGCCCAATGGGCGAAATATTGGCAAAGTTATTTATTTAGTGCAGCTGAGAGCCTGTTGCCGGAATGGCGGTGTTTTCAAGTGATTATTATTATTATTATTATTATTATTAAATGTTTGATAGGGCAATCCCCTCAGGCCTAAGGCCTTTTGACAGGGTACCCTGAAAAATGAAGAACAGAATTACGGAAGGTATGCAGGGAAGAACTTGAGCGGACCTCCGCTGGGAGGGCATTCCAGCGGTCAGAGCCAAGGAAAGTGACAGAAAATAAACCGTCCATAGCGACGTTTGGCTGTCGGAAGAGCAAGGGAAGAGGACACTTGAGAGCGGGTGCGAGAACTAGTGCAGGTAGAATTAGAGCGGAGACAGAAACAGTTAGCAACAAAGACACTAGCCAGATCATGAAGCGCGCGGTACGTTAGAACGTACAGCTTGAATTGGTACCCGACAGACAAGGGAATGATATGGTAGCGGGCAAGAACAAGGGAGACATCAGATAGGCGGGGCATGCAAAATACAATACGCAGCGCTCTATTGCTAAGTCGGACAACACGGTCATGGAGGGAGGCAGAAAGGCAGTGAGCAAAGGAATTAGACCCATACTCAAGTATGGACTGAATGGAACAGATGTAGAAAGCCCTCTTAGCATCGATCGTTAAAATTAATGGTCTCGGACCTTTCTAAACATTCCTAACTTACAGCCTATTTTACGTTCTAATTCTGCAATGTGAACTCCAAAGGAGAGATGTTCGTCAAGAACTATACCGAGGTATTTCACGTGTGCACTAGGGGTGATGGTGTAACTATGTTGTAGTCTCTGATCTGAGTGTACATGATGTGACTCGACTATGCATGGAGCCATGATCATGATGATGCAATGGTGTTTGTCTGCGATGTCACTTGGGCTGATCCAAAGAGCGTGGCCACCGCTCGCTGTGGGTTTTCTTGAAAATCCGAGGAACTTCCCATCCAAACTCTGGCACACAGGACACACGCTACATCGGTTCTCACGCCAAAACGCCGTCCGTGATTTCTCTGTCCAGTGTGTGTCAGTGACTCACTCAATGGGGATCAGCATTTAGTCACCTTGATGGCCTGGCAACCGTGAACGGTGTTGCCGCAATGGACTACTTTCTGAGCCGTAGGGAAGACGGGTCAGAAGGCCGGGCTGCGTCACGAGTCTGTTGTCACAGTTTCCAGGAGCAGTTTGTCTCTGAAGAGGGTGCTTTGATTGGTTGACATAAATTATTATTATTTAATAGGCTCAGGCTTGTAACCATGTGAGTTCATCCGCTTCAGTAGAGGGCTCGATTTCCAAAGGCGGAATACACAAACAGAAGGACGAACAGTTGCGACGTTTGTGTAGGCTCTTTTTACATGTATTTACCTTGAAAGGCTGGGTTAAAGGTCAAGAGCCTCATGATTGAGGGGCTTTCTTGTCACCGGGACTGAAAACGAATTTCTCTGTTTAGTACTCTCTGCTTGGTACTACCAGGGAGGGGGGGGGGGGGGGGGAGGGAGTAGTGACTTGGACGCATAACAATCACTGGGGTCGTCAGCTTGAAGCTCTGATGCGCAATTATGTATCTGCAGTGCAGTCCAAGCGAACAAAGACCAGTATTCAATAACCAAGTGGGGTCGTCCATAAATATCGAACTTTTTTCACAAAACGAAATAATTTCGTTATGGGGTGGGAGGGGGTTGACCAATTTCGTTTCAGAAAACATTGATTCATGTACATGGCTGTTGTATATGCATGTATGTCAACATGTTTTACGTTCTGAGGGGGAGGGAGGGGTTGGGTCTAAACTAAAATAATTCGTTTGGTGAAAAAAGTTCGATATTTACGGACGGACGTACATGTACATGACTTTTTTCGATTTTGACAGCATGTTACAAGGCGAGGACGCGTAGTGCTCCTGACTACAACCATAAACCCACCATGTACATGACTGTACTCTATTCTCTATCTACGTAAAAGGCGCGGAAAGCAGCAAGCCCTCATGATAGGCACTTCAGTCACGTGACAGGACCTGTCAAAATTTGCTAAGGTGAGAGTGCGTACTTGCGTGGCACCAGTCAAGTGCATGCGCAAAACTGTACAGGTACGCGCTATGCTTCGTTGTACGGGCTGATAGTTGGGCGCATCGTGTTGCTCTGACGTTCAGCTTTCAGTAGATCCCGCATACGTCATAGTGCGTACATTTTTGCGAGTTGTAGATCACGTACACTACCAGCAAAGAGTTTTTCACAAAGAACTGTTGTTTGCTCGCGTTTGAAACGCTGCCTATCGTCTTCAGCGTCGTCTTTCCATTCGGAAACAGTAGAGTTCTTGTTTACCAGGGCTTGCGCATCGCTGCGCAAGGAGACATTATGTACGTAGGCACTGAGAAGTATGCGCTTTAGGCGGAGGAGAACGACGATGCGTCGTCCTACCTGGGCGAATTCTCAAAGCGTACTGAAAGCCAAGTTTTGACACGGTTGCGCTGAAAGGCCTACTGATGTTTACGAACAATCAAAAAGCACAGTGGCTGCTGGAGAAACCCTCTGATGAGGGGATGCTTTGATATACGCAGCCAGGTACGCTTCACCAAAATTTCAAAGCTCACCAGCAGGCAATTCATGACTGCTGCATGGAGCAGTTGAAGGAGAGGGAGGCAGATATCACACCATGGAAAGAAGCTACCAACAGAGGTCCTGAGGAACTTCTTGCCAACTTGGAATCACTTGAGATGGCATGACTGTGGGCACGAATGTCCTGTGCAGCAATTCGCGCGCGCGCGTGCTTACCCTCCACGTTGCGGTGTACGGCGTACAACGAGGAAGTTGTGTGTTGTTTTTGTGCCAGAAGAATGTCTTTATAGCTCTTACGCTTTAGTACCCGCAGGAGCCTGCCAGTATGTCGTTATCAGTTCATTTCACAGCAAACTGAAGCTGTTACTATGGGTTACTATGGCGTTGCTATGGGTTGCTATGGAGTTGCTATAGTGATTGCGGTCACAATTGCCGTATTCTTGCCTATTCTGAACTTTGATCTGTTTTGTTTCGATCCATACAGGGTTGTTGGTGTAAGTGAGTGATGTGTGCTTGAAAAAAACACTCTGATGTTTTGTGACTATATCCACTGATGATACTTCGGAGATGCTGTTGGTGCCACAAATTGTATTGATTTCGCCTTATGCAACTGCCTATCTTCAACCCTTCATATCTGAGTGGTATCACTGTGGATTTCAATAAAATTTTCTGTGTGACCTTGTGATACCCACCACCATCGATTACCGATGATAAACCTGGAAAAAACGCGATTTCAAAAAATGGGGTGAAATGCCTACTCATGAGCTCAGCAGGCAAGCAGCAGGCCCTCCGCCTTGTGATGTGCTCTACAGACGTACACGGTACAGTCATACAGAGCACAGTCACTACAGTACTTAGTAGTACAATAGACCGATCCCCTTATTATACTGGGTTCGAGCACGGGGGCAACCTCACTCGCGATCGAGCTAGTTTTTGAACGTGACAGCATCTTTGACAGTGTGTTTCAGGTTTGTTTTGGAATGTCTTCTGCTTAGTTCAAGTAGTTTGCGATGGCTTCGAGCGGTGCTAAACCTCCTGCTGGTAGGAGCAGAGTCTCCGAGAGAGACATGGACTGTGATGCCGCTGCAGGATTTTTTCAAGGCGCGGGAGGGAACGATCTCGGGCCACAAACAGGAGTTACTCCAGAGGTGAGTTTTTTTGTTGTTGAAATATTCGAATCGCGAATCGTGTTGTGAGATTTATTTTGTACCTAGGCTACAGCAGACCATATTTCTTTCTCCTTGCGATCGGTGCTGAAGATAATAGTAAACTTTTTCTGGTCTGTCTTTTCCTCTCCAGAGCCATCTTCTATGAAGGTAACCGTGGTGCTGCCAAGTCACCAAGTCGCGATCAGCAGCCCTGAAGTGGAAAAATCGATTTTCCAACGATCTGGTTGGACATCAGCCACTAAAGTACTTCTGATTTGCCTGTAGTGACAACAGCAGCCATCCTTGGACACCTTGCAAAGACAGGAAAAGCCACTGGTGGAAGCGACTGCTATGAGGTGACGATAGCAGTGCAGTGGTGATCGCTGTTTTGTCAAGTCGAAGGGCTAGCCAACCCAGAGGAAGCATAAAAAAAACGATGAGCAGTGCGTGTTATTTGTTGAGCGTGAAGAGCTAGAGGAGGACAGTGCAAACACATGGACGGAGTGGATGGTGTTTGAAGAACAGAGTGCTGTGTGCCGGCTGGTGGTGATAGTGGTCTTTGTCAGCATGTATTCGTGCTGCTTCTTGTGCTGGAACACTTCTCGCCCAGGAAGGCAGATTGCGTGCTCCCTTGCCCTCGGTTGGCTATGGGGCATTTGTTCCAGGAACATTACCCCAGAGCCAATGATGAGTCGTACCTTTGAAAAGTCGAAGCTTGCTGTTAATCGCAAGCGTAGCGCAGTGGATTGCTCCCTCTTCGAAGCACGAGGGCCAAAGCTTGCCGCTGTCTGCAGCAAAGTGTGTGTGTGGTTCTTTCGAACCTATGTATTCGTGCTGCTTCTTGTGCTGGAACACTTCTCGCCCAGGAAGGCAGATTGCGTGCTCCCTTGCCCTCGGTTGGCTATGGGGCATTTGTTCCAGGAACATTACCCCAGAGCCAATGATGAGTCGTACCTTTGAAAAGTCGAAGCTTGCTGTTAATCGCAAGCGTAGCGCAGTGGATTGCTCCCTCTTCGAAGCACGAGGGCCAAAGCTTGCCGCTGTCTGCAGCAAAGTGTGTGTGTGGTTCTTTCGAACCTAACTATTTTCTAGTATATTTAACATCCTCAACCCGCCACCACCGTGCGCTCTTGGCCGAACTAATGCACGAAGCATAAACACACCAGCACAGCAAGGACACTTCCGTTGACAGATATTGTTTACGCCTCTAGACCGCTGTTTCTTTTCTTCGAGCTCATCGTTAGAGGAGGATAGCAGGATACTAATGATGATATAATAGAAGATGATAGACGGTTTATGGTCCGATATTGATGATTGAAGATCTAAGAAAGCAATGACAGTGATTGCGAAATGGATAATATTATCATGATTATATGCCAGTCTGGTAATGCGTTGTACTAGTGGACAGTATTGAAATCATCACTGCATTCGATGCAAATATTGGTATACCTTTGGTTTCAGTATTGGAAAAAAAGAGTAAGAGAACCTGGTTGATTTGGTTGCATCTGCGACTGGCTACCGGGTGTTGTGATCAGCAATGTTACCATGGGAGAAAATAAGAGCGCAAGGATCTGTTGGGTCTTTTTGTGCCCGTGCGAGAACCCTAAGTGCATGGCAAAATAGAACTGTTTCATCCACAATGCAGAATGTCTTGCGGTACATGGCATTGATGACTGAACATCTCGCCAGCTCGCCCGAATGGGGATCATGCCCAAACGGAGGAACAAGACGTCTTTCCAGCTCAGCTAGCTATATAGTATATACCGTGAAACGGATGATTAACTTGTGCCACGCATGACAGCTTCTGTCCCATTCGGCCCAGGCTTAGACACATCAATGCCAATAGCAGCTGATCCTCCATTACATGCTCATTGGCGATTTACGGCCACCTCCAACTGTATCCGCCGTCCCTCAGCTTCCGTCTTCGCAGGTCTGGCTCGGCGCAGTACATTTTCTCGGCTAGGCTCAAAGAAGTCCCACAGAGCGGTCCAAACACCTGAAGGCAAACCAGTCAGAAACTGGCGCGGCTCAGAGTCTTTCTTTATGTTATTGTACGTAAGCTGTTTTTCGGCTTTCTTCACCCCATCGTCCAACTGCTCCACGAGACTCTGTACACGAGCTCTACTTGCTGCCAACTCCTGATGCAGATGCTGCACTTCCATTACAGGACCAAACTGCACTAAGCCAGGTTCCTTTCCAACTCAAAATGCCGTTGCCTCTCAGCAAAATACTGGTTTGCGAGCATGGGGAGCTCGTGATGCAGACGCTGCACTTCCATGACCGAACTGCACTAGGCTCAGCAAATACTGTTTTGCGAGCATAGGGAGCAGAGCGTCCAGACTCCACTCTCTTGCGAAAAGCAAACCTGGTACCGTAGGACAGCTGTTTGGCTTCCTGGACTCATCCTGCCCTTGTAGAGCTGGGCAAAACGATTTCGACTTCGGGATCGAAATGATCGCTGCATCTCAAATATTCAGAGTGGCCCTAAAACTACGTCCTTCCTCACGGGGAATAGCCTGGATCCGCTTGCTCCAGGCCGCTGTGGCTCCACACGACGAAAGGAGTGAAATGACTTGCTTGCTTCGTCCTCCTGTTCTGACAGTGAGGAACGCAGCAATGATCCTGAGAAGGCATCCTGAAGTCGTAAAAAGGAAGACGTCTAAACAAAAACAAAACAGCTCAAATCAAAAGTCCTTGTGGCATTTTTTGTAGACGTAGCAGGCTTGCACTGCGTGTAGATTTCGCGTGCTCTGCACTTCGCATGCGAGAAGTCACGCAAAGCCGAGGTGAGGTTGGTCGCGTGTGTGCAGCAGGATCCCACGCGACTGCGGAGTTGCCCCCTTGCTCGAACCCAGACAATAATAAGGGGATCGGTCTATTATGTAGTGGCAAGATAACTTATGGAACTCTTGATCAGGGAGTCGTAAAATACGACTCCCTGCTCTTGATCATGGCCCATGGGTAGTGGCAAGAGTAGATAAACAAGAGTGTGCAACTCGCGGATGGGTTGGCCCACGGCGGAATTATTTGTTGACGTAATCTTTTTGACGACGCACGCGCTGCGAGCCTTTTGGAGAGTTTTCCCTCGTGCACTTGGCTGGGCTTTACACTAAGTTGTATACAACTTAGTACACACGGCTGTCACGATGGTCATGTACTCGGCCAAAAAATATGGCGTCCAAAAATTTGAAAATTCAAAAATCTCATCATCGATCTGTCATTGATTTGCTTGAAAATACTCTTTTTCTCTTGAGGAAACCTCCACTTTCCCCTTCCAATCGACCGGGTTTCATAGTACAAACACGCTTCATGACTTCCTCTCGCGATCCTCTTTCATCTGATACCCGTCCTGGCCGTGTTCTTCCAGGAACGATTCCTTCAGAGGTGCGTTTCCTTTGCCTTGACGACTTGCCCTTCGTCACTTTTATCAGCCCTTTTCACAGCTACCTTCTTCTCTTGTAAAAGTTTTCTCGTCTTCTTTGCCAGTTTTCCTGGTGCCTGGGTGACTTCATTTACCGATTTTTTGAATTTGTTTGTCTTTCCGTGCTACTAGATCGATTTCCGTGGCCATCGATTCTACCGTATCGCGTGCTAGTAGTAGTGTGTAAAATGGATGAACACGGTGCATTGCTGTCTACCTGCTGCAGTATTGTTGGCAAAAAGTTTGCAAACATGGCTGTGTCCACGAAATGCAACGTGAAGGACTATGCCAGATCATTCAAGATGTGTACGAGGTCGACATTTCTCAGGATGACCCTGCGATCCACCCTACACACATTTGTCATGTATGCAAACGTGTGCTAGATCGTTGTCTGAGAGAAGGTTGCCTTGACTCATTTGTAGGGGATGGATGTGGAGCGATCAAAGTGTGGAAGCCACATCACCGCACATACTGCGACATATGCCACACTGCACCAAACAAGGGTAGACGTCCACCAAAAAAGCAGAAGCAACTTGCTTCAAAGCTTTCTGCTGTACAAAAAAAAAGAAAAGAAATGGATCACACAACAGTCCCACAACATTCATCCACAACAGCAATACCCCTATCACACTGTACTGTCCTGGACCCCAGACAGCACACAGTACTAGTTAAATGGATGTAGATGAAGCAAATGTTTTCACGCACGCAACACCGACATACAGCGCACAGAAGAAACTGGACAAGACTAGGTTCGTTCATTGCGCAGCAGGTTCCACAATACACAGCAAGGGAAGTGCCAATGAATAAGAAAGACGGCAGCATAGTGATGGCATGCATGGCGTACATGCCAAATCTCATTGACATCGTGATGATCTGATGATCTGGACTTGTACGACACATATGGGTGGCTGACCTGGCACGGAAATGTCATTCCGGAGTCCGAGATTCGGCTAAAACTTGGCGGTGACCGCCTCTGGAGCAAATCTTTCGCAAGCCAAGCACCACAACAATGCCATCCGCCCAGTTATCTTGCCAATTCCCGTCAGCAACGTTGTTATTCCGTCTTTTCATCTGGATCTCGGCATTTTCGCATGGCTGTATGACATCTACCTAGCTGAAGTCAAACAACTGGATGTGAAACTGGCAGCAGCAACTCTCTAGCCGTGTGCAGATGATCAGCTCCAGTTTCAAGAGCTAACAGTTCTCAGCGACAAAGTTCGGTCCGCCAGGCAAGCTATGGAAGATGCCCAGGCGAAGAGCGATGAACTACAGCAGCAGCTCCAATATGGAGTGCTCTTGCAGCAACACGCACCGGCCAGCTTTCCCAACGTCAACATGGACACTGTAGCTGCAGCAATACAGCAACTGTGGAAAGACGCCAGCGACGCCTTCACTGCTGCAAGTGCTGAGCACAGCAAACTCGTACATGACTTAGACGAGATGAGAAAGAACAAGAAAGTCACAGGACCATGCGCGTCAAGTCTCGAGTCTGTGCTCCAAACACACAATGTTGATCGGCAAGCCTTCCATGGCGGTGCCTTCGTGGGCAACCATGTACATCGCACACTGCAGCCTGCCGTACTAAGAGCACTGATGTCTCCTCCAGTTGAGGTGGTTTCCACTCGTTGCCAGCAGCTCGTTGCTGATGCAGAAATCTTGCAGCAGCGGTACCATGGATTGTTTTCGGAATATGCCGACTGCAGCCACCGTTTCAGCCATTGCAACAGCATGTCAGAGGCCGACATCTCAAAGCTGGCTGACTGCATCCAGCTGTTTCTTCAGAAATGCAGAGAATCCATTATCACCCGGCAGCTCGGCAACATAACTCCGAAACTACATCTCTTGGAGGAGCGCACAGTCCCGTTCACCAGGAAATTTGGAGTCGGTCAGGGTCGACTCGCCGAGCAGGGCAGCGAGTCAATTCATGCCAGATTCAACAGGCTGAGCTTCGATTATAACGCTATCCCTGGGACTCTGCAGCGCCTCACAGCAATGTGCCAGCAACATCTCGTCGGGACATTGCCACAACATGACGCTGTTCGTCCCGCCACGGCATCAAGAAAACGCAAGGCGTCCGAGCTCGAGCAGTGATCCTCAGGCCCTGGACGCAGCAGCTTGGCCATTTCAGCCCTGATCCAGGTAAGAAAAATAACAACGGTACTGCTGACTCCTAGTTGAGCTCTGTAGTGACAACAGGAAGAGACGTCGTCCAGCAAAAACCTGCTGTCTACCTTCTCCTTCCTTTTCTTTCCTTGTTTGTTGTTGTCGAAGCTGAACAATTTTTGTTGTGCGACTTCGAAAGTTTGAATCCTTGTCCCGATCGCGGTGTTTGTTACCTTGACAAAGCACAGTTTTCGCGTGAATCCCACAGGATCTTGAAATCTTTTTCAGTTTTCAGAATATTTTTGAATTTCACCGTAAACCTGGGCGAAGGCCGCCATATTGTTAAGTGGTGGCCGCGAAACAGCCGTGTACAAGGTCGGTGCCCAGCACGTGCTCTCACACTGCTCTGCGGCAAAGCCGCGTTTCTCTGAAAAAAGGTGACGTAAACAAAAAATTCCGCCGTGGGCGCCGGGCGCGGGGTATCTGCAGATTGTGCAGGGGAGATCCGGAGTTGCACACTCTTGTTTATCTACTCTTGGTAGTGGGAAGTGCAGTGACTACAGACTTGTAATGCCGTAATGGCAGTACCAAGAGTAGATGTTTATCTACTCTTGGCAGTACATGTACTCAGTTGATCTCGATTCAAGACTTGCAAGCTAGCCCGGCGCGGCCCCGCGCGCGCCCGGCGCCACCATGTTTTGTCGGCCACGATCACGAGGTCGAGGCGCTAGGCTAGGCCGCGGCGCATGTGTATCATGCATGCATATCGCATGTGGCGCGCGGGCCAAAAAATGACAGTTTGCACACGCTGTTTCCTCGTGCATCTTCTTGGTACATGCGCGATGTGCATGCACGCCTGGATCGTGCACAAAGATAGCCATGGCCTAGCGCGCGCGCGATCGCGAGCACTTAGCTACCTACATCATGACAGTACACATGCATGGTAGATAGCGAGCGTTTCATCGAGCTGTCTTTGCATGCCCGATCCCCGACACTGCGACTACGAGCTCATACGAGTACTCGTACTCAGAGTCATAGCGCGCGAAAGATGCAGGTTCGGACGTCGACGCGACGGCAGTTGCGTAGCGTGCGCACCCACCCGACCGTGTCGCTGCGTGTGCAAATCACGCACTTTCTTGGCAGAGAGATTTTCTACCGACCACTTTGGCACTTGTTGGACTTCACTTGGATGTCGATGTGTCATCTTCCAAAGCGTGGTTTGTTGACCGTGGTTGACGTAGATCTAGTAGTGGAAGCCGATGTTCAAACTCCTTCCACACATCCACTGTCCATGTAGTGTTGTTTGAGAGCAAGGAGGTAATGGTTGTGTCTTTCCACTTCTTCATCTCGAGTAAACAGTAGATGCCATCCGACGTCTTAGGTCTTGATCTTACACCTTCACTTCAGCTAGCATTGCAAATTTCCGCTGGTTTGTGAGTTTTCAAAGATTTCTCACGACCGTTCAGTGCTTGTTGGCGTCGAGAAGCACGTTTCGGTGAAGAGCTCACTTTGGTCTTCCACTAGGCCAATTGATTTGGATTGAGGAATGCAGAAAAAGGCGAATGACGGATCAAAGGCAGCCATCCACTATTGTGCATCTTGTTGGAGGATGGTAGGGAGGTTTTGAAATTCCCTTTTTATTTTGAAAAGAAATTGAAATGAAAATGCCATGTTGCTTTTTTGTTTTATTGTATGATTGTATTTCTGGTGAATAGCGTTAGTGGATCAGCGGCGGCGATTGCTACCTGCCCTCTAGAGGTAGTCAAGACTCGTCTTCAGGTAAGCAGGCAGCTGTGGATTGCTGGGCCAGCGACGACGCAATTCAACTTTCCTTGGCTCGCCTCCTCTGCCTGTGTCGTACGGCAGGCATCAACGGATGTTCGACATTCTAAGCTCTCTAGACATGCCTCGCTGGCTACTGGAATTCCATCAGTGTCCTCGGTCCATGGCGAGACATGGAAACCGCCGTGTGGAATCGTCGGGTTCACAAGGTAAGGCCTGAGTAATAACTTGCTCATGATTGTGCGTACTCGTTCTTGTATTTTCTTGCTAATAGCTTTCGAAAAGGCTTTCACGAAAATGAATACTGATCGCAGATTGAGTATTGATTGTTTTATGCAATTATTATTTTACCAACAGCTGCGTGGTTTGTGCGTTGTGGGCAGGTGCTAGGCGAGGGAGTGTGAATGGTGAAGTGTAGTTGTAGTCCGCATCATACATACATAAACACTGGTTTTGTTGACGAAAATTGACGATGACCTGTTTATCTTGCCCATACTGCGTGCAAGGGCACTGCATTGGCCCTGGCATTCATGGCATTGGTCCAGTCAGCCACATGCACAGTCAGTGCAGATTGTACTCCAACTGGAGTTCTGCTCCACTGGCTGTTGTCAACCAGTTGTCAGCTATGTGACAGATAGCTGACAGGTGAAGCACTTTGGAATTCATGATCGTTGGCTTGAACTGATTATTCTAAAATTAATAAAATAAATGATCCATAATTTGAACTCTCCACACTGCGCTCTTGGCCCACATTCACAACACCATGCATTAACCATGCATTATCGAGGAAGTTAGTTCGTTCTTGGATAGATGCTCCATGTCCTCCAGACAGCTGTTTCGCTCTTTGGAATTCATGATGGGGCTTGGCTTGAACTGATTATTCTAAATCCATTCTTCATTCAACAAAGCGTGTATTTCTGCTCTGCTTGATTTGCTGTGTTTTATGTCCCAGGTTTATAGTTAGCACAGAGGGTCCTCGAGCCCTGTTCAAGGGCCTGGGCCCCACCATGGCAGGAATTGCACCAACCAAGTAAGTCTTGTGTTGCCTGTATTGGGCTCATGTCAATGCGTGTATACAGTATTTTGGAAATCTTCGTTGACGTAATTTAGCAAAATGGTGTTTGTACACGTGAGTGGCTGTAATTTTGTTTAATCCTTAACCCTTTCAGCCCTGACCGGAAAATCACCTCCCACTGGGCCAAAAATGGCAATTTTTGAAAATGCATATTCTGGTCCAAATATGATTGGAGATGTTGGGTATGGACATATGCGCTGTGAATCCAAAGAAATTTTGTAGGATTTCATTGTACGAGACTCATAACACCAGATTTAGATATGCGACTTTTGGCGATTTTTCCTCAAAATTCATTCAATTTAGGCAATTGACGACAAAGATCAGACAAGCAATGGCAAGCAGTGCTATAACTGGTCAGTGTTGACTTCAGAATGGAGAAATGTCATATAACATGCTTGATATGATCCTGGTGTTCTACAGCAACCTAGACTAGAGCACAGCAACTCGTTTTATACGGCGCTTGCATCATATGCGACTTCGCGATCCAGAATGGGTCTTTCTTTTTCTTGGGCGCCTCGTAAAGCTTGAATCCTCCAGCAGCCCTACCTACTTCAAGACAAAACCATTTGATGGACAGTGAGGATGCCGAGTAACTGGAGTAGCAACCACAGCAACTGCATCAGCCATAATAGCAGCCGGTGCAGTGGCAGCGGTTGGCTCACTGTGCTCGGCGCATCCGGCCAGGGTGAATCATCACTGGCCGCACGCGTACGTACGTACGCGGCACAGGTAAAGTCGTATTGATGGAGAATGCAATACTGCTCATTCTCTGATTTAGACACTCACAGGCAAGACAATCCAGCTATCAAAATAGTCTGAAGCATTCCCTAAACAGCCGAGTGCATACAGCGTACCGGTGTACGTACGCATGAAAATTCAAGAAACAATCGGCTGCGCAATTTCTGATAGTGGTTCAAAATTGCACAATTGTGGACTATTCTGGATTATTCTGGATTCATATTAGATAGCAATCTCCATCCTGTAGCTGCCTGACTCTGTACTCAACATACAATACTTATGCACATCAGAGATGTGCACTGTGATCTTCATGCATATCTGACCAGTACACTTGACTTCAAATTCAAATATTTTCAAAAATCTGACCTTCAAATTTGATCGCAGTTTACTTGAGGAACTTCAGCAAACGGGCTCACGACAGATAGCTCCTGCTCAGAGCACCATGCCTAGGTGTCAGAGACTTCAGCATCGCTTTCCAAATCTCTTTGGTCTCCAGCATCCCCTGCGTCCGAGTCAGCTGCGATCTTTTGAATAGCAGCAAATTCGTAATCCTCAGAAAACGACTCCGACACAATTTCGCTGTCTCCAGAATCATCCTCAGAGTCATTACCCGCCTCACACTGCTTCACAGGACTCCTACCATCGACACAGAGTAGTTCAGCTACTTACCTTGCCGAGAAACAGCAGGGCAAGATGACGAAAACGAACTTTGAGCAAAACAATTTATTTGAACGATATGCCAAAATACGCACTTCAAACTCGATGCTCGCGGCTGTTCTGCTGTGCAGACTGGCCACATACGCTGCGTACAAGTCGATCAGGTCCTTCAGCCCACTGAGGAACAGTTCCAGGCCCCACTGATGTTGAGGCATCAGTACAAACGCGACGTACACTGAGGACGTATATATACGTCGTCAGTGGGGCAGGTGCACTCGCCATGACGTATATATACGTCGACAGTGGTGAAAGGGTTAAAGCGGGATTCACAGAAGCATTTTTGCGATGCGATGCGACGGCCGCGAAACCGGGAAATCACCGAGTCGCCTCCATCTCGTAGCCCACACAACTGAGCAATTGCAGAAGTTGAGCTTGGCTCAACTTTCACGATGCGGCGTACGACTGACCTTTTCTGCAGCAAAGTTGTACGAAAGTTCAAGAGTTGCATGTAGATTTGTAAAGGTTGTACCAAGCCACGCGAATACCATGTTGACATACTCACCTGCATTGAACTTCGCACCAAATCAGCAAGGCGTCGTCGCATCGCTGACGTCTTCTGTGAATGGTGTTTCGCAAGTTCGCATCGCACGCCATCCTTACTCGTAATGGCGGAAAGTCTAGCTGTTTGACTGAGCACCTTGTAATGTTTACTTTGTGTGTGTGTAATTGTGTGTATGTGCTGTTGCTGTTGTTGGCGTACTCAGAGCAATCTACTTCGCTGCGTATAGTCGTGGTAAGAAGTTCTACGGCGACATATTTGGCCCGAACAACTCCACAGGACATTTCTGTGCAGCGGCATCAGCAGGTAAGCTCCCTTTGGGGTTTATATATCGGGGCAAGTCCACTACAACCGTGCACACTGTCATACCAGCTCTGCATAAACGGTCATGAACTCTGTACGGTCATACTCATGTACTAGACTGGGTTGTACCTGCCAAAATGGGCGCAAAAAGGTGACAGCCATCTTCGATGCATACCTCTTTTAACTTCATGCTGTTGGCTTCTATGGGCGGTTTCAGCAAATTTGTATTGGAAGTAATGTTACTGCCGCCATTATACAGTGAAACCTGTCTAAGACGACCGCTCAAGGGACCTTCTAAAATGTGGTCTCTGTTGCCAGGTGGTCTCCTTATCCAGGGTCGTTTGACTGGAAATAGCATCCCTCGGTCCTGGTTACAGTGGTCTTCTGGGGCAGGTGGTCGCCTTGACAGGTTTTACTGTAGCTCCATTTGTGTTTGTGGCACAGAATGAGTAGTCATCTGTGGTTTGTGTGACTGGTGTTGTCCAGGTTCTATTGTTGCCACTGCAACTAGTCCCATCTGGGTACTGAAGACTCGTATTCAGCTGGACCAGAGACGGTAAGGGGCCGCAGTGTTCCTGTAGCAACTCCGCCGTAGTTTAAACTAAATTTCTCATGCCCACCACTATATCCGATATCCTAGTGCTATGCACCGTCAGTTTGTCTTGTATCACCAGTGTACATGTACTGGGAATTGCTTACATCTTGAAATACTCTGTGCTCATGATGGCAGTCGTGAGTCAGTCAAGTCAAGTCGGCGGAATAGCGCGAGCTCCAATGTGGGGAGCAAAGCCTTTTCAAACAAATCATCGCCGAAGTCGCAACCACTGTTTCGTATCTTGAAATACCATCCTTTATTGTTAATTTCATGCGTGTTTACAATACCCTCCTTTGCTTTGGTCATTATGCAGTGGCGTGGAGATGCCCAACCTGTTTGAACGCATTGTCCACATGTATCGACGTGAAGGCCTTCGCGCCTTCTACCGCGGCCTATCTGCATCGTACTTTGGCGTGTCTGAGACCGCTATATACTTTGTCCTGTACGAGAAGTTCAAGATGATGGCACGTGATGCTGACGTCCATATGGGTATGTTGAGCATGACGTGATATTGTGTTCCTGCACTGGCTTACTCACACCGGCATGCACATGCACACACACACACTCACACATACACACGCACACCATGGATAGCATATGTGCGTTTTGTCCCATTCTCCGGTGTTGCATCATGCCTAGCTTGCTGACCTTTCTCCTGCACCTCTCTCTCTCTATCTATCTCTCTCTATCTCTATCTCCCCTGATGAATTCATTCAAGCAACTCTGTTCATCTTCATGTAGTGCAGGGAATGATGTGTTACTGTTTCCCCTCTATTCTTGTTCTCGCCTACTGGCAGGTCCTGCTCAGATCGTTTGTGTATCAGCAGTGGCCAAACTACTGGCCTGTATACCCTGCTATCCGCATGGTAAGTGAGAGTGTTTATGTTCAGCGCATGTACTGTAAGCCAATGCAATTTTGGCGGATGGCGTTTCTGGCCAGTTCAGCAGCGATTTAGCCTTGTCTTGAAATATTGGTGCAGCAGGCACATGATCTTACATAGTACACAGCAGGCACACCGATCAACGAGGTACTCGGTTTAATAGGGATATTCACTGTCTCCGTTATCTCACACTCTCTCTCTCTCTCTCTCTCTCTCTCTCTCTCTCTCTCTCTCTCTCTCTCTCTCTCTCTCTCTGCAGAGGTCGCGAGAACTCGAATGAGGCAAGCTGCATCGCATACAGGCCAAAGAAGGTAAGCCATTCACTTCCAATTGGAAGCAGATTCTTTCTCGTAGCCATGTGTATTCCATGCAAGATGCTCTGCTCCTTTACACTGTACTCTGGGTCTCTGACTTTCTGACTTGACTCGTAGACGACTAGAAAGCTACACGTGCGGATGATGATGCGGTGTTTGGTCTGTGCTGTTTGTCTTGTGCTGTGCCTCATCACTGTGCAGGTATACGCGTTTCCTGCCCACGCTTGCCACCGTCCTTCGGGAAGAGGGCGCGCGTGGACTCTACGGAGGTCTTGGTCCGCATCTGATGCGGGTCATTCCCAACACGGCCATCCTGTTTGCGTCCTATGAGTTTGTCGTGCGGGTGATGTCGGAGTGGTCCGATTGATACCGGTAACCTGGCACGTGTCCGGGTGCCATTGCTCGTCTACTACTGGCAGTGATTGTCTTTGGACAGCGAGTGCTTGTGACTGTCAGAGCTTGCTGCTGCAGCGTGCACCGTTACGATGCAGTAGCAGCAGCAAGCCAGAGTGTTCTGCTGCTTACAAGGCAAGTAGACACTCGTCATGACACGTCGCAGCATGCTGTCCTATTCGCCGAGATGGACACTGCCTGGGCGTGTAAGTGCCTGCCGTGCCGTCCGCACTTCACTGCGCCCGCTGGCCACCTGGCTGTGCGTTACGTTTGTAAATATGCAGTGCTGACTGCCCGTAGCTTGCTTTAGGAATGCCTCTACCTTGTATATATATATAATTATATGTGCTGAACCATCTGCTCCTCAGTTCTTTGTACTCAAGGCTCATGTTGTATATTATAGTACTGAAGTGCTGCGAACCTAGTAAACATTTGCATCGCCTGGATATACTGCTTTCTGCTGCTAGACGTCATCATTGTGCTTTGCATGTCCGCCGTTGATGTTGAGCGTGTTATGTATGTCTGTCGAAGATTTCCGAAACCGACTTTATTCACTATTCAGAGATCACTGCTATGGAGCAGTCTTCTACAATGCGATCAGTGCAGGTTTTATCTTATTTTACTGGGAAGTAACCTCTCTAGAAGTCCCGTGCTTTTTACCGCTAGGTGGGATGTTAGTCCCACCTTATCCTGTTCTGTCTTTGTCTGTTTTGACGAGAGTACCTTGCAGAAAGACGTTGATTCTCTCTCTCTCCCTCCCTCTGTCTCTCTCTTTCTCTCTCTCTCTCTCTCTCTCTCTCTCTCTCTCTCTCTCTCTCTCTCTCTCTCTCTCTCTCTCTCTCTCTCTCTCTCTCTCTCTCTCTGCATATATATGTGTGTTTATGTGTCTTCACTGTACCGCTCCCCCTCCCCCCGTAGACTAGTTAGTGCTTTATGTTGTGTGCTTCGTGTTCGTTTTTATCTCTTCCTCTTTTCTCAAGTTGGAGCCCGTGTCCCAAGTAGTAGCAGTTTTATTAAGCTCATCTTCATCATCCTGGTCAAAGTCAAAGTTTTACGAACGTTGCTGTGTGGAGCGTATTGTCTCAATTTATCAGCATAACATCTTGTGCATTCCTATCTTGCAACATTCAGAGGATTTAAAAAATATGCTCTGCTCTCATTCGATCTGACAGCCAACAACTTGTTGTGTGTGTGTGGGGGGGGGGGGGGGGGGTAGGCGCTGCATCTTGTTCATACCGCAGTAAAGTAGCCGGATTGCGCCATATGACTGAATACTCCACGCCCTGCGTGTGTATCAAGAGTACTCTCGCCATAAGAGTGGTTTCACATGCATCTGTGTAATCTGGCCTTACAGGTCTGCTCTCGATAATTATTATAACAACTCTCACGTGTACACCCTTCATTTTTGAGGTACATCTTGCATTTTACACACGGTTTTCTACATAACATGAATCTCGATAATTATAACAATGTTTGCGTGGACGTGGTCCCGGAGATTACGTTATATGGAGAGTAGACGTGTACTTTAATAGGAATTGTGTGATGGAAATTTTGTCTTCGCACGTGAATAAGTGGAACCAAGAGTAGATATTTATCTACTCTTGGTGGAACCAACAATCATTGCGGCCATCATGTGACCCATAGAAACAAGGGTTGGGTGTATTACCCGTACTGCCAGCCAGTCATCTGGCCGGTGCTGACATGTACTGGCCCCACCCCCTCTCCTGAATACATGCCGCGCCTGGTATACGAAAATCCATGCGGTCACTGTCCGCCAATGCGTGTGTGCATGGCGCTACTTGAAGTCCAGTGAAACCTGTCTAAGACGACCGCTCAAGGGTCCTTCAAAACACGGTCTCTGTTACCAGGTGGTCTCCTTATCCAGGGTCATTTGACTGGAAATAGCATCCTTGGGTCCTGGTTGCAGTGGTCTTCTGGGACAGGTGGTCGCCTTATCCGAGTGGTTGCCTTGACAGGATTTACTGTACTTTGTTCATGACCGGTTCAATCGGTGGTCAGCACTGTAAATATTGCGGCACAATGTGAAGGAACCTCAGTACTGCATGCATGGTACATGTTCAAAAGACTTTAAGCCCATGGCCCTCGAGCCTTGCAAATAAACGTTGCTTGGGAGGTTGTTGTGTCTGAGCACGTACGATCACACAAATCCTGTATCGCGGCTTCGAACGTGTAGCCTTGGACCTGTTCACTCTGAAGGGGGCTGCACCCGGGATACGGAGCACGGCAGCTTTTTCTTTTTTTCGGTATTCCCTGCATGCCGCGCACATGCCAGATCTCTGCCCACACGACATGTATACAGTCACATTCTCCGGTTTGTATTCATCGTGTATACGCCCACTGCTCATGGGCAATCAATTAAAGTCGTATGGAAGCGAAAAAATAAGGTAGAAACTGACCTGTAAATTTGGCATGAGTGTCATCATAAAAGAAGCCCGAACCAATGGCAATAATACTTCAGCAATGGCTCAAGCATTCATTCTTGTTACGTAAACGTTTTACCACCCACGAGAGGAGAAGCGAGATGAAAACATATTAAAACTGATGGAGTTGTTTAGTTGTCCATGCAGCAACATCACACGGCACAGGCAAGACCAGCTTGCGTGCTCTAAAAAAAAAGCAGGTGCAGAGTGGTCGGAAGTCACACGCCGTAGGGTTACGTCACGCTACGTGAAACCTCAGCCCCGGGCAGCCGACCCGCGTGTGCTAACAGGGCCTGAACGTACAAAGAAGCTTGTTCTGTACGTTGGAAATGTCAGTCCGGGTTGCAGGGCAGAGTCAATAACAGCGTGGTGCAAGGCCCGCCAAGTTGACGTACTGAACTGTTCGATTTCAGAAAACACGTACCTGGGTACTTGCCATGCTCGCGTAACCGTGGCAGCATCGGACGAGGACAAAGTTCTCGACTCCAAATTCTGGCCGGCCAACATCCAGCACACAGTGCGAAAGTGGCGCTTTGCTGATGCCCAAGGTAACAAGTCGTCTTCTACTTCGCGGCGAGGCAGTGATGATCAATCCTGAACTGTCATGCTAACAAACCAACATACACAACGATGCAGCAACAACGACTAAATCCCAACGCCCCTGTATTCACCCCACGATCGAAACTAGCCCACCGGCTCTACCCCGCTCAGCCCTCCTCTGGCCGACCCGCACACATTGCATGTCCAGCGCTAAATTCATCAGCGTTCCCTTTTTTCCCTAAATCCCAGCGTGATTTAACCCTAGTATCTCTGAATTGTCGCTCTGTTGTCAACAAGTTGTCTGAGCTCTGCGTTATTGCCGAATGTGCTAAGCCTGACATAATCTGCCTAACAGAGACGTGGCTCTGTCCCTCGAACCCGCTCTCACTGTCAGGCTATATCTGCATCCGCAGAGATCGACCTCCGGAAGACAATCGGTCAGCGCATTGTAGCCGTGGGTATGGGGGTGTTGCCGTACTTGTCCGTTCGGACTCCTTTCCGTACGTCTCCCCTCGTGCCGACCTTCAACGCCCTGGCTGCGAGTCTGTGTGGCTTGAACTTGGCTCCCCCTCTACTCAATCTCAGAATCCCATCTTACTATGCTGCATGTATCGACCACCCTCACAGAGCACAATGCAATTGTCGTACTTTTGTGACATGTTTGTTGAGGCATTACAGTCAGTCTGTTTAGATTCTTATGATCTGTTAGTGACTGGCGATTTCAACGCCCACAACTCAAGCTGGTGTCACACCGATTCTACCTCGAAGGCTGGTGATCTCCTTAGCACCGTATTTTCTGCTCTTGGGCTCCACCAGATGGTTGACTTCCCCACTCATTCCTCGCCTAATGGCTCTGTTTCGTGTCTGGACTTGGTGATCACCAACCGACCACGCCTCGTGCGCTCAATTGATCAAGCACCTCCCTTGGGTATGTCTGACCATATACAGATTGTTTGCACTTTATGTTACGCCCCTATTTCGAACTACTTCCCCAACTCTTCCACTGGTCCTCCCTCTTCACTGTATCGCTTCAAACAAGTACCTTCGCACCTTTGGCAATTAATCAACTCTGATTTAGCTGGCTACAACTGGTCCTCTCTGAACTCGTACACTGATGTTAATGACGCACTTCATCACTTTGATTGTGAGCTCCAGTCCGCCTTCCGTCGTCACCTCACCTCATTCGGAGCCACCCACACTGTGACATCTCCACGACCCCGCATGCAATCTCCACCATGGGTTACTGCTGAGCTCAGGTCTGCTGTAAAACGCAAGCGTGATCTATACAGTGTGTACAAAAAATATCCGACAGCAGTAAATCATGCAGCTTATAACCGACAAAGGAATGCTGTAAAGCACCTGTCTCGGCAAGCACATCGTCAATATATACGCTCCATCCAAGCATCACTAACGTCACCGAATCGACCTACACTCTTTCAGTTTGTGCGAGCACAGCGGCACACTTCCGGCCGTGTCATACCCCAAACGATGATAGCATCCGACGGTACGGTCGCCACGTCCCCCAAGAGCATAGGTGATGTTCTGAACACTCAGTTCACCTCATTTGGGCTACCTGATGATCCTTCGTGGCGCATTCCCCCTTTGTCCCAGTCGCCTTTCATATCTGTTCCGTTCCGTACAATCACTGTCACTACGTTTCAAGTTCGGAAATATCTGAAGCGCCTGAAATGTGGAAAGTCTCCCGGCTCAGATGGGATCCCGAATGAAGTGCTGCAGTCTCTTGCACCATCAATAGCCTATCCTCTCGCCATTATTTTTAATATGTCATTTCGAACTGGTACATTCCCACAGGATTGGAAATCCGCCATCGTGACACCGCTTTACAAGAATAAAGGCTCCCGTGCTTGCCCGGCAAACTACCGCCCCATCTCTCTGCTGCGCACAGTTTCCAAACTTTGTGAGCGTATTGTGTTCGATTCCCTCTACCTGCACATCGCTCCGGCTCTCTCACCAGCTCAGTCGGGATTCTGCCGTGGTGACTCAACTCAATACCAGGTGACTCGACTTGTCCAAGACATAGCGACAAAGAGGAACTGTGGGGAGCATGTGGGAATGGTGTTTTTCGACTTGGCTAAGGCATTCGACACCGTTTGGCATCGTGGCTTACTTGCCAAGTTGGAGGTCACCTTCCGGGTGGAGGATGCTGCCTTGCGTTGGATATCCTCGTATCTGTCTGCTCGTTCTCAGGCTGTTCGCTTGTCTTATTTCTTGTCTGATCCCCTCCCTGTAACGTCTGGAGTGCCCCAAGGTTCCATTCTGGGTCCTTTGTTATTCTTGCTTTACGTTAATGACCTACCTTCAGTTGTCCCCGATGTTAGTTTGTATGCGGATGACACTGGCCTTATCTGTTCTGATTCCTCCCCTGCACAATTACTCCTTACCATGCAGCATCGCATCAACAGCACTGTCATGTGGATGCAAACGTGGAAACTCCAGCCCAATTTAGACAAAACAGAAGCCATGTATATTTCTTCATCCCCTCCTGATCAACCATTATACTTCCCTGACTCGACTATGCCTATCCGTGTTGTTACTCAGCACAAACATCTCGGTGTGATGTTTGACTGCAAACTCTCTTGGGCTGCACATGTCAACTGTGTATGCAAGCGAACCAGTTCAGCATTAGGGGTACTACAACCACATTGCACTCATTTGCCCATCCAGTGTAAACTATTATTTTATCAGTGCTATATTCTCCCTATATTCGACTATTGCGATACCGCTTGGTGTGGCCTTTCTGACACAACTCTGAACCAATTAGAAGTCCACCATAGATTTATACTTAAAATTCTTTACAACAAGGATCGATGTTTTCCTTCGGATGCCCTTTATCGACTTGCACACACTTCTCCTCTCTCCGTTCGTCATAAGCACCATCTCTGTACACTGGTTCATAAAATATTTCTTCATAAAACCCCTTCACACATGATGAAGTACAATTGGTTTTCGACAAGCTCAACCCGTAACGCGCTCATCCTGCCTCTTGTTAAGTCAGCCCAGTATCTAAAGTCCCCTTTGTTTTCCGGCTACTCTCATTGGTTATCATTACCATACGGTCTGAAAACTTGTTCTTCTATTGGTCAGTTTAAAGATCTACTATCACAACTGAACTAGACGCAATAATTATCATCGAAGAACATTCTCGAATACCTGGGTGATGCACGAATTTTGATAGTGCTCACTTCCGTTAATCGTTTTTCTTTGTAATTTTCCATTCATTTTCTGCTCTAATTCATATTTGCTTTGTTTTCCTAGCTTACTATTGCCGTGGCTGGCTCAACGCCCTTGTCTCCGGGGATTCTGTCCCTGCATTAGCTATGCTTGTCACATGCTATGAGATTGTGTCTAATAATAATAATAATAAAGACACTACAGACCAGGGAGTAGTATTTTTACTACTAGGTAGTAGTATTCTACCACTCCCAGCTACAGACGGCGTGTAAACTGTCAAAACGTACACGTCGATCTCTATACAGCACACACAACCTTCTGCGGGAGATCAAACCGTTGTTCAGTACGTGGTGGCACCTCGGTGAGCGCTGGACACGTTACGCCGGTACTTGGCCAGCAGGCCGCGGAGGTTGTCCGCCGGTGCTTGCCATTGCGCGCGCCGCTCGGCCAGCACGGACTCGGGTACGACCTGGATTCAACACACACAGAGTAAACACAGCACCGGTATTGCGCCATGTACAGACCGACACGCAGCGTTGCCAGAGACAGGTACATAAGTAACAATACCGTCATAACCCTGCAGCACATGATTTAACCGGTTGACCTTTGAATTCAACAATATCAGTGGAGGATGTTGTTGTTGTTGTTGTTTCTTTATTTTACTTCACCATATGAACAGGCAAGACTGCCTTCTCACCGGGGCTATTGGCCCACGGCTCTCACAATATGATGAAAATGTTTAAAATTTGTATGAAGAAGAAAGGAACGGAAAAGAAGATGAAATGAAAGGAAAGAAAACAGTAGGTATTAATTTTATGAAGGGGGGGGGGGTATGAAATGGGTATTATCATAGTTGATGAGAGAAGTATGATATCCAATATTCTTGTTCTATAGACTATTTAGTACGGGCATTTCATGAGAGTCATGCATGGGCAAGGCAGAATTTGGACTAGGATAGAGGACAAGAAAATAATTGATGAGATGTACGTAGCCAACAACGTGTATACCACACCCGATACAAGTGTAAGGTGTTGAAAACGCCTCGAACCCGGCCTACTTGCTTACCAAGTCAACCGTCTTCTTGAGCACGTCGATGTGGATCTCATCGCCGTCCTGCACCAGTGCGATGGGGCCGCCGTCACGTGCCTCCGGCGTAATGTGACCAAGCATGATACCTGCAAAACGAACAGTGGCGGAACACACAATGTTTGTTTTCATCAGTTCGAGGCCGGAAAGATGCAAATGGGAAAAATCTGAAGAAAAATTGACTGTGTGGCGACAGTCATTTTTTCTTCTTCAGACTTTTCCATTACTCGAACCAGGGACCCCCGCTTGAGGTCAGCGATGCTCCAACCACCCAGCTATATGTTGTTTGTTTGTTTGTTTGTTTTTGATTGATTTTAGTTCATTGCGTCAACAGTACAATGTGCAACTTCAAAGAGGGTCGAAAACAAAATAACCGAGGGTCGTCACATGTTTGTTCGCAGCAAAGTTATGACTGTCGTGGATACATATCTTTTAATTTTTTGTTATCCACAACATAATAGCGGATTGCAAAGAAGCACACAGGAGCATGACAATGATGCATGTACAGCCGGTGATGACCACTGAGACCTGCCTTTAGAGACCAAGGCTGACTATGCACTTTTCGACTTTTTTTTACATTGAACACACCCCTACCAAGGGAGAATTTGACATCAGGCAGGAAAGAGAAGAGACACAAAATGGCAGGGGCCACCATGAGCCATGGCGGCTGTGCCAGCGGGGTGCACCCAGCTCAGCTGACAGACCGCCGGTCTCGGCTTCATTGCATCTCAAGCCTCAAAGAAACCTAGCTGTTTGGACGAATAGAGCGGGTCAACTTTCTCCGGCCATGGCAGTACGGGGGGGGGGGGGGGGGGGGGGGATCCGATCAGGAAAGGGCTCTCCCCGTGTGTTAGTCTGACGACCTGGGACACGTGCGTGTGCACGACAGGGGGGGGGGGGGGGGGCTGGATGCTATAGCCCTGACTGGGCTGCAGTGAGTTATTCATGCTGCACGTACCGTGTGAAGCACCGCTGAAGCGGCCATCGGTGACTAGCGCCACCGAGTTACCAAGACCAGCACCGACCAGCGCTGCACCCGGACTCAGCATTTCGGGCATGCCGGGACTGTACGCCAGCACACAAACATGTTCACGGACATACACATGAACACACATACATGTAATATACATACGGACACACACACACACACATGCAGGCATGAAGACACGTATACACGCACATGCATCAAAAGGGTTAACAGGAGATGATATGCCCACTTGAAACGGCCAGATAGTGCCTCAGACTTTTGCCATTTTTCCAGCAGGGCCACAAGTTGTCTGCAAGGAATGGGTACAGTCACCAAAACTTGATTAAATTAAATGTTGACCGTGGAGGGTATACTTACATGTAGCTAGCAAACTAAGTAGCTGGAGGCAAAACGCATACTGTAATACTGATTCATTTCTTAAACCTCACTTCTTTGATGAGATGCTGACTCGAGCAGATAATGAGGAAGATGAACTGAAATGAACTGAACATACAAGCTAACGTTCACCATTTCAAGTCATGGCCAAAGCTGACAAGCCGGACTGACTAAGTCTATTATAATGTTGATTTGCACCGAATAGCTGTGTGCTTACCTTCCTTTCGGACCCTCGTAGCGTATCACCAACACATGGCCGGGCTTCAGCTGTAGGCAGATCATACCAATCCATAACAGATCTTTGCTTGCATGCATATCAGTCAGTTCTTCAGTCTGACCAGATCACCACTCTATCCAACACATGATACACCCCTGATCAACGTTGCGATTAACAACCTTCGATAAGGCGTGAGAAAAGTGCATGCCGTTACTCGCAAGGTGTCTCCACTCGTGAGGTTGAATGTGTGCAGTGAAAAGGTTACTACTAGTAGGTGTGAAGATAACAGGATTATTTACAAGTTGTTACTGACTTGAAGTACGCCTTCCAAATATACTGCATACTGCAGGGCCGTAGCACCTGGCCCGGCCGGTCCGACCATGGCCTGACCGGCCAGTGCGGGTCTTTCGAAAAACGTTTACCCACCCAATTCGTGCAAAACGGATGTTTTTTTGTCAAAAATGTTAATTTCCGGTCAAGTATCCCATTTGGCCGGATCGCCTGAAATCCCGATGCTACGAGTATAATGGCCCTGTACTGAAACCGCTCATTCCTGCCACTTCAGTCCTGGTTAGAGGCCTTCCTCAAGTAAAGTGAGCTGAACTTGCTAAGCCTAGCAATGTCTAGAACAACCATAATCCAGATTCAAAGGACAAGAACATTTCACCCTTGGGTTATGGTTCAAGCTCCGGTCCTCTGGGACAGGTTGCCGCAGTGTCAAAGCAGTCCTTGTGGCAGCTTTCACCACGCATTGAGTTCCAGGCAATCCTGGCAATGCTAGCATCTTACAAGTGTGGTAATTGAACTGTTCAGTATGAGCTGTAACAGCAGCCACGACAATTACTTTGAACCGAACTGAATAAGGGATGTGGTAGGGATGATATAGAAGTCATTGGTAAGGTAGGAAAACTGTGACTATTCTGCATGTTACAAGTTGAACCTCAACACTGCGGACAAGAGTGTTGATATGCGATCATCTGGATGATGCACAAGACTGACTAACTGGTTGCTAACATGTTCAACTCTGCGCAGTGTATAGTGTGGATAGTGACTACCTTGTTTCTTGAACTGTCCTACTCTAAAGGATCAGAACTCAAATCATTTTAGTTTTCCTACCTTACCAATGACTTCTGTATCATCCCTACCACATCCCTTATTCAGTTCGGTTCAAAGTAATTATCATGGCCGTTGTTGTTATAGGTCCTACCGAGCAGTTCAATTACCACACTTGTAAGATAGTAGCATTGCCACTGAGAATGCACACTCCACCCTACCTGCCCCTGCATGATGGCATCGAACGCCTTCTGCTCTCCGTCAAACACCACCGCCTGCAGCCAAGCAGAACAAAATCATACCCAGACAAAACTGAACGTTTGTCATCAACTGTACTGGAGCACCTATCAGTACAAAATACGGGTGAATCCCGAATAACAGAGGTCGATTGTCTACAATAGAGAGGTTAAGATGCACGTTATTTCTGACGTGACGCGAAAGTTCAGTTCGCGTTATTCGGCTCGCGCGTCGAAAACAACGCGAGTGACCTGCAGCTCGCGTCGAAATTTGGAGTTTTACGCCAAATTTGACGTCACGTCGGAAATAACCTGCATCTTAACCTCTCTATTACTAGTATTAGAGAGAGGCTACCTACTTGGAGTGACTACAAGTTTCAGCAGTAAAGATCAGTGTGGCGTAGTAATGCCTAGCTTAGGAGAGTAGATGGTAGAGGGTGCATAGCTTCAGGCTATGTTGTTGTAAGTGACACCGGTCTGATCGGTCCCATACGCATACCAGCAGTAAACAGACAGGAGGCAGCAGCTTGAGAATGCAAGAGGAGGCAGGGGTATAGCGGCAAAGTACACACCTTCCCGGTGAAGTGCTCGATCTGCTTTCCACTGATCTTCAGCACAGCACTGTCTGGTGCAAGGCTTCCCTGCATGCACACAGACACACACAGACACATACAGACACATACAGACACATACAGACAGACATACACACACATACACACACAGACAGACATACACACACACACACACACACACACACACACACACACACACACACACACACACACACACACACACACACACACACACACACACAAAGAAAACATGAACATGATTTGCAACTGCAACACAAATGATCCCTTTTAATACAATAATCTGCCGGTCTGCTTGTAGTAGCAGCACCGACGGCATGTTATACCAATGGCACTGAAGGAAACACATGCGGGCAGAACTTGATTGCCTCTCCGCTGGCCAGTATGGCACTGTGAATGTGCGTTCAAAAAGGTAACAACAACACACAGAGCACTGGCATCACTCACATCACAACGGTTGGCAGAGCATTTTGGACAATCGTTCGGGATGCTTGACAACGAGCAGAGCACAGTGGCACATACACTATCTCCACCCCCCACCCACCCCTCCCCTCCACCGGCCCAGAACATACCACTACATTGAATACAAATGCTTACTACAGGGACGTGGCACCAAGTGAAATCCAACACCTGGATATCAGTTTGGCAAGCTTGTAGGGGTTGGATTTCACTCGGCATCACTGTGCCTCCATGTGCCTTTCTAAAATATAAATCCAACATCTGGATCTCAGCTTAGGAGGCTGAGCAGGGTTGGATTTCAGCTATCACCACTGTAGTTCCCACTATGTTTCACAATCAAGTATGCCACACAGCGCTGCACCACCAGCAGCACCAGCATGTTAAGAACAAATCACCTTCAAGATGATGATGTGACGGCCAGCCGGGGCAAACGGTTTGCTTATCGGATTGATCACATCCTAGCAATCGATCGCCACCAACACAAGAAAAGAAGAAAAAATTGGCAAGCACCACTTTGTCACAGCACACCACACTGGTATCGTACAGCAAGACAGCTAAATGCTCTGTGGAGCTGTATCTAAACCACAACATCAGTCAGTCGAAGAAATGAATGACTTGTGCCAGGGTTCCCCTAGTTAACAGTTACTACGATGAACCAGAACAGATTTACTAAGTGGGGTGAGAGGTTGTCCCCATGTTTTTGAGTGTGACCGGCTACCGGCACTAGCAAAGTGGCGGCGACATGGAATTGCAAAGAGTGTCATCGAAAGATCTTGTCAGTTTCTAGAATGCTCCCCGTCCCGAAAGCAAATAGGCTACAGCAGGGAAATGGTAGTTACAACATAATGTTAGCAGAGCACCCCGCAGCATGGTCGTATAGCTCACCTGCTTGAGGTCTGCCAGTCTGGGAGCATTGCGCACGTTCTCTGCCATAGTCTTCCCGTTCACTGTCATACAGTCACCATGGATCAAGCCAGCCTCCAGCAGCTCACGCATCACAACCTACAGTATCACAATTATAGGTAAATAGCTTGCACAGTTCACTTGAATCAGTCAAAGTAACTTTTCCGCATCCGTATGAATACCCCTACAAGTAATAGTTACCGAAAAGATCAAAGCACAGATTAATAGAGACATTTCAAAAACACAACAGCTTCATGGAGCATCACAGCGCAACATAACGCAATGTGTTATTTTGTCACAACGTTACAGCAAATACAAGTACACTGGTATGCCCGTGTCCAACCCCCCCCCCCCCCACACACACATATACCTACAGCCGCCCACATACCAACACATACCCACCCACACCCATCTACACTGAACCACGCCGCCGTGATAGCATGCTTTAGACACCTACCGGCAAGCCACCGATGTCATCAAGGTCCTTCATGTGGTACTGCAGAGACGACAGCAAAGACGACAGTGGTGATATCGACACAAACACAAACATCGCCAATGATGCCGATAGGAGTGGTGCAGCAGCAAAGATGACAATGAGGATATACGCACAAACACACACACACACACATTTGCTAACGATGCTATAAATAGCGGTGGCACAGCAGCAAACGACAATGGTGACATCGGCGCCAGCAGACACATAGACCGTGATGCTGATAGCAGTGGTACAACAGTATGTTCATAGCGGCGGTACAACAGTATGTTCATAGCGGCGGTACAACAGTATGTTCATAGCGGCGGTACAACAGTATGTTCATAGCGGCGGTACAACAGTATGTTCACGCATTCAACCAAACGAAAGGAACACGAAGGAAAGATTTAAACATTCATCCGTGTTCCTAATATATGGTCGAATGCGTGCACATACTGCAAAAATCGTCTTAGCAGACAAGCGCAGCTACAGTGCTGCTCAATGAAATCCAGTCACGCTACTCAAGTACGTGCCGGGCGTTGCACAGCCACACGCCTGCGAACACACTGGGCTGCGACATGATGCAAGGCGCCGCAAACTTGAGTGACACGACTGGATTTCAATGTGCAGCACTGTATAATAGTGTCTTCTTGATTCTACTGACCTTGCCATGAGGCTGCAGGTTGGACAGCAGAGGAGTACGGCTGCCGATGGTGTTGAACTCTTCAATCTTAAAATCAACATCAGCTCTGCATATGTCAACGACAACACAAGAAGTGAGACATTACATAAAAGGGCCGTAGCACCGGGATTCAGGTAGTGCGCCAAATGGGATACTTGGCCGGAAATGAACATTAGGGAAGCTAAGTGACTCGCTGTGAACTCGGACACGAAACAAAATTGATTTCGTTTTTCCGAATTGTGTAATGCGTAAAAGAGGTTTAGTGACTCGTCAACAAAGTGTGCTTTGATTTTGCCATGGTGACACGATGGCGACTGAAACAGCAACTGAGAGACAGCAACACGTCGTATGACCTTCAGATATACAGCACATCACCTATAGCATACTGATTGTTTTGGGCATTTGTGGCCCTTGGAGGTACGCTTCACGTATACTGACAAGTAAACCGAAGATTCACTGTATCAATCAGGGAGTAGTAAAATACCAGTACAGTGCCGGTAATTTACTACTCCCTGGTATCAATCATGCCTGTGACTTGTCATAATATTATGACTTGTCATGTGACCAGCAAGGAGAGACCCCATCGGTTACCTACTCATGAGCTAGTGCAAGCAAGTGCAGCACTCCATTCGTTGATCCGCCGAGAGCATACAGGACGGTGACCGCATTCTCAAATGCCTGCACAGAAAGAACAAATATGAGACACAGCGCCAGGGAGACCTTCATGAGACAGACTCATATTTTTCTAATTGTCCGCACACTCCAATGTAGCATTTAGGAAACTTCACTTCTCAACTCTCTAAACTCCAAAAACGGTCTCTTCACTGTTTAGGCACCCAGGATGGCAGAGGTCGTATCTGTTCACGGGGGAGACAGATGAATCCCGGGACATACCACCCTGGGGCCTAATAAATTACAACTCCGAGGAGAGGGCAACTTTGTCTAATAGTTGTTGTTTTATTTAGAACAAAGAGGAAGAAATGTGTCATGCGCATGCGTATATCTGGTGAGGGAGCTGACGTCATGCAGCGAGGTCGCTACAGTACTCCCCCACCAGAGAACAAGCGGAGCGCAGAGAACGACAGAGAAAAAACAAGGAAATAGCAAGAGCGCTGCATGTGGCGTACCCAATGTTTGTTAACGAGGCTAACAAAGGCCGAAACAGAGGGAAAAATGCAGGAAGCGAAAAGAGATGCGTGACAGAGGCGGGTTAACATGTCAGAGGTGGATTAACGTGACAGAGGTGGAGAGCATGTCAGAGGCAGAAAGAGAGAGAAAAAAACTGTATGCAAACTGTGAAGGCAGAGGCAAAGACGCGCAGTAATCAGTTGCGGGGAAACTTGCCGATGAACAGCCCATGTAGCCGTGTATAGCATTGTGGCGAGGCGGCGACTGGGTAGTCGGCAGCCAATCCAGGTACGGAAAATGACAGCAAAACAATTTTGTAGTAGTAGCAGCAGTGCTGGCTCCACGACTGGGGAGGCTTTGCGGGTGGGAGGGGGCCAAGCTCCAGCTTGTGGCCGGCGCACACTGGACGGTGGTTGCTCCACAGCTGCTCCAAGTCCAGGCGGTGAGGTGCGGATGTTGAGGCTCAAGTTTAATGTCAACAGCCGGTGATTGACAGGCAGCCAGAATGCGGTGCACGCAGGAACGGACTGCGGCGAAAACCAGTGATGGCTGGCAGGCTAACGGGCGGAAGCAGCATGACGACGGATGGCGGCGGCAGGAGGGCGTAGTTCGCAGCAGCTCCAGGTGTGCCGAGGGCGGGTGGGCGGCGAGAGGCACCACAAATTCCCAAATCCGGAAAGTCAAAAACTACTGTATACAAATACTCCGCGAGCGCAGCGTCAGGGGTCACCAATTTAGGCACCCAAGATGGCAGAGGTCGTATCTGTTCACGGGGAGACAGATGAATCCCGGGACATACCACCCTGGGGCCTAATAAATTACAACTCCGAGGAGAGGGCAACTTTGTCTAATAGTTGTTGTTTTATTTAGAACAAAGAGGAAGAAATGTGTCATGCGCATGCGTATATCTGGTGAGGGAGCTGACGTCATGCAGCGAGGTCGCTACAACTGCGATTCAAATTTAAATTTACATCACAGACTAATATGGTACAAATAATTCCAGAAGGATACTACAGTACAGTGGTGGCAAATGAAATCCAGCACCATGAACACCGGAGATGTGCATTCACTGCACTGACCGCAGTGCTAGGGATGTGCAGCCAACACACCTGTTAGATCCACAAGGTTGGATTTCACTCGCCACAGCTGTACAATCATCATGTACCGTACAGCATATGTATCTGCATTGCAGGAATAGGACATAATGAGCATAACTAAATGAACTATAGTAGCATCCTGCACTGGGCAGATGAACGCTGAGCCATCAGATAAAAAGAAGAAAAAAGGCCGTTGGTCTGAAAAGTGGTCTGACCACGTCGGGATCTGTCGCTACACCTCTGAAACACAACTCTATGCCGAAGGCACATGACTAATCATTACTAACCTTCTTTGTCATGATATCGCGGGTCTTGACACCGGCCTTGAGGTTCTCCATTGCCATGGCAGCCACCTGACGACATTGCTCCTTCTTCTTTTCCGTCACCTGTCGGGCAAACGAGAGCAGAAATAACAATGCAACTTTATTCCGCCAAATCCACATCCGCACAACGTGCTGGTGCGGCCCAACAAGGCATGTATCCTTCATGACAGCGGTTATTACTGAAGTATCTCCTGGCACTTGCACACAACATGACACTCATTCTATTCTCCTTCGATCTAAGCATGACACCTAGCAATCAAGTCTATCATCACTCACACGGCATCCCTGTGGTAAGTTGTTAATTAGTTCCACAGCCTATTATCAAGAGTAGATAAACAAGAGTGTGCAACTCCGGGATGGGTTGGCCCGCGGCGGAATTCTTTGTTGACGTAATCTTTTCTACGACGCACGCGCTGCGAGTCTTTTGGAAAGTTTTGCCTTGTGCACTTGGCCGGGCTTTACATTACAAGGTCGGTGCCTAGCACGTGCTCTCACACTGTTCTGCAGCAAAATGCGCGTTCTCCGAAAAAAAGGTGATGTCAACAAAAAATACCGCCGCGGGCAGGGGTATCTGCAGATTGTGCAGAAGAGATCCGGAGTTGCACACTCTTGTTTATCTACTCTTGCATGCTATTATTTATCTACTCTTGCATGCTATTATTTATCTACTCTTGCATGCTATTATTTATCTACTCTTGCATGCTATTATTCTAGCAGATACATGTAGTATGATTGTTCAAACAAATTGTAAAAGGGACATACAGTTGTGTCCTTCAAAAGTGTGAATTGTTGAAGTTTCCACGCGAACCTCAGACTCCTTGCAGGCACACAGAACAAGTGCACCGCCGGTAACGATAGTGTTGTACTCCATTATCAACTTGATGACAATAGTCAGCACTCAGCAGAGTGCTCTGGTGATATGCTCAACCTACCACATTGCCTGGTGTGACTGCAGGAGATGAAGCTGTGCCTGAAAGCCGGGAACACAACACATGGACAATGGATATAGCTTACCCTCACCAGTAACCGATGGGCATTTGACCCACTCCCCTGACTCACTTGTGAGGTCTGCATTCGCCACTAAGGTGTACAAGGCATAGGCACAGTGGTGGCCTGCGGAAGCGAAGGCTAGTCTGTGTGTTTCTGAACATTCAAGCGATGCCAACGCGAATCCCGCGAATTATTATTATTATTATTATTAGTACATGTACAGTGGTATCAGAATCAGCACAAGCAGGTTTTGATTGGCCCGGCCCTGCCATAGCCTTTCATATATGTACAGTGCTGGTAACTGAAATCCAGCCCATTAGCGGTGCGCTCACATCGCAAAGACCCAACACGGGATGGTAAAACTACGAAATAGAGACCGCTAGAATGTGAACGCATCGCTAAGGGGTTGGATTTCAGTTGCCAGCACTGCACTTTGAGTAGGATATGGCGGGTGCACATGACCTCCTCAGCAGTAAACACACGTTGCTGCTGGTGGTCAAAGAGCTGGTCCGGCCTTGCATGGCCCGACCAGCGGGATCGGTTCCACCGGGCGTGCATGGGTATCCATCGCAACCACTCCCTTTGATAGACCGGTGCAGCATACAGTCGGATTGCAGTTGTAGCAAGAAGGCCGGAGCCACAGGTTTGTGTGTGACCCGGTAGCCTATGAGTAGGGTAACGTCCCGGAAAGACGTAGGTGCTAGGTTCCAATCCCGCTCGTAGATCTTTCTTTTGCAACACAATGCATGGCAATTACACTGACGTACCAGGCAGCGCCATTCCGAGAGCTTCCACAGCCGACGACATGGTGTTGGCCGTGTACATACCACCTAAAAAGTCAACAACACATTGAAACACAGCACAGCATGTGAGTAGCATTGAACAAGCCACTACACCTCTCCAGTAGTACAGTTGCGCTCACCGAAATCCGACCCAAAGTGCAAAACTGACGGGGGTGAGGGTGATGGGGTGAGAGAGGGGGTGAGGGGAGGGGGTGATGGGGTGTGTGGGTGATAGGGTGAGGGGAGGGGGGGGGGGGGGGGTGATGGGGTGTGGGGGTGATGGGGTGTATGTATGTATGTATGTGTGTGTGTGGGGGGGGGGGGGGGGGGGCTCTTATCCCACTCTGGTGACTCACCACAGGCGCCAGAGCCTGGCAAGGATCCACACTCGATCTTGTGCAGCTCCTCAATGTCCATGATGCCGGCACCGTACGATCCTATGGCCTGCCAGCAGCAAGCAAACGATGGCACAGCCAGTGGACCTATAAGGGTGATAGAGTGATGGGTTTTGATTCTGAACTTTTAAATGGATGATCTGAATTCTAATGATCCTATACCAGGATGGTCCCATTTAAGGGAGAGTGGAAATAATAAGCACATACAGTGTAAGCTAAAGTCCCGTAGAAGAAACCTATGACCTGCATGCAAGTGACGTGGATGCAGCTAAAAGTGGTTTAGTCCTTGAAAGCAACATATTGGCGGGCACAATTAACCCATCTCGTGCAGACTTAGGTGCGGCATACACCTGGTGCTACCAATCTTAGCTTATACCGGCATCGTGCAATTACTCAGCGTTATTTGCATAAATAACAATGCACCCTAGAACATGCCACAGTTCAGTACTCGTAGCTCGAAAGAAGATGGCGGGTAACCATGGTAACACTGGCTACACATGATGGGTCATACCTCCATGACAGAGCATGCATCTAGATGCTCATGTCCATCACACTTGCCAGGCAAGATGGTGCCACCATACAGACTGATACCAGGCTGAAAGCACGTGAGCACAACAAAATAGAAGAAAATGTATACAAGCTCTGTGCACGTGTGTGTGTGTGTGTGTGTGTGTGTGTGTGTGTGTGTGTGTGTGTGTGTGTGTGTGTGTGTGTTGGGGGGTGCTTACAAGCATAATTATTTCAATGTGCGATTGCATGTGTGGGATTGGAAGGCATGCTGGATGTTTCGTGTGTACGTATATGATTAAACAGTGCAGCATACCGCAACAAGTGCCACTAAAGGAATACTGAGATCACGAATTATAACGACAGTACCCTTCAACTCACCGTGTTCAACCTTGCCAGCGGCATGAGAACACCAGGCACTACGATGCAAGTCACACAGACAAAAGCAACCAAACACATCCAGACTGCACAGGGATGATGCTTGACCACGTGGACCATGCGCAGGTAGATGATGTGCAAGAGTGTGTGGCCGTATAAGAATGCATTGGCCGACTGAATTGCATAGCGTCACACGGTACAATACCAGTAACCTAACAGAACAGTCCTGACTATAAAGATTAAGTTAAGTCAGTGATGGTGATGGTGATGGTGATGGTGGTGGTGGTGGAGGTGGTAGTGGTGGTGGTGGTGGTGGTGGTGGTGGTGGTGGTGGTGGTGGTGGTGGTGGCGAGAGAGAGAGACGGAGAGGGCAGCTTCTAAGGAGGCAGACGAGCCTCCAAAGACCGCAACATCGCTACTTGTACTTCGAGTACAGCTACGAAGCATGAGTCCGACAAGCTACGATCTTGTATGATCGTTCGGATAGCTTACTGCAATGTTGTGCCCGGCAAGCCATTCAGTCCAAACTACATGAAACTAGCTGCCACAGTCTGTGTGTGTGTGTGTGTGTGTGTGTGTGTGTGTGTGTGTGTGTGTGTGTGTGTGTGTGTGTGTGTGTGTGTGTGTGGTTTAAGTGAGTGCCATTGTGGAAGAGTGAGTTATCACTAGGTTCCTGGCTATGGCACTCCATGGCTTCCATTTTTAATCAACCACACAGACCTCTGTATGCATACAAACTGCGATAATCCATAAATGCAAGACATCATGGCTTGTAGACCCTCTCACCTGTTTTATCACATCCTCCCAGAGCAATGATGCTGTCCTGTGCAGCACCCAAATAAGGCAAAGAAAATCCAACACTCGCCAACTGTCATTTACACTGGCAATACTGTATTGAGGCACAGACATGAGCAATATTGCCAATTGGGATTTCCCCTCATTAGCCAGCGGCCTCACTATGTCGAACTCATGCGGAAACAAGAGGTTTCATCATAATTAGAGCCTGAATTGACTAAGGGTAATCATTACCTTTCCATTAGCCACATCGTATGCAGATCTGCTCTTTCCCAATCACTCTGCAATCATCAGCCTCCTAATTAGGGTTAATTGTTACAATGTGTCACTCTGCAACCATTGAACTCCTTTTTCACAAAACCCGTACAACAGTGTAAGGGGCCGTCCAATGTTACCAATAATATTTTCAAAAAACGAAAAGTTTTCGTTTGGGGGTGGGTGGGTTCGATGGAGTTTCGTTTTGAAAATAATGATTGAATGCGGATGGAGAATGTCCAGTTACTTCTGGGTGTCGAAAAATGACATCAATATTTTATTGGAATTCGTTTTACCTGCAGAGAAGGTGGGTGGGTGGGGGCTGAAAAATACTAAAACTTTTCGTTTAGTAAAAACAATCGGTAACCCCGGACGGCCCCTAAGGAAGAGAATGTCTTATCAGAGTACGCACTAAGTGACTTCCACTGTATTGTGAATGATGTCATCGACACAAGCAGTACTGCGACCAGTGATGACATCATCATGCCAGTACACACACAGTACTGCGACCAGTGATGACATCATCACTATGCCAGTTCACGAGCAGTACTACGAGCAGTGATGATAACATCATCATGCCAGTACACATGCACTCATGCAGCACTGCATTGTGTGACTGCAACCAGCGATGACATCATCGCCATGCTGATACAGATATTATACACAACGACATACTACTTACTGCAGCATATGCTTGGTGCATGAGTTCACCGCAGTCGGCAATCAGGTCACGTGATATCAGCGAGTACTTCATACCATTGGAGCCCTATGAGCAAAACCAACACACAGACACAATGTACTCCGGGCATTTTCCGCACAGCTAGCTGTTTCAATCCTGTCAGGCTTCATCAGAGGAGTTTAGAGTGACTGGCCGAACCGATCGCAATTACCAGGTACAGTCAGACCTCGCTTATCCGGTCCTCTTTTATCCGGATCCCTCGCCATCCGGAAGAAAATTGTTGGTCACCGATTTACAGCATATGCCATGCACACATACAGTATGTGTGTTCGATTATCCGGTTCCCTCGCCTATCAGGATATTTTTGTGGAAAACGGATGTGTGCGGTTAAGCGAGGTCTGACTGTACTAGTAAGTCTAGTCAACTTAGAACACAGATGACTCGAAACTTACTGGTCCTTTCTCTTTGCATGAACATAGAATCTGTAAACCGGCTCAAAGCATCAAAGCCAGAGTGCTCTAACTGTGAACAACACAGCGAGCTTCAGCTTAATTAAGCTACATTTAAAAGAGCAGCAAGCATTACATCATTCATTCCGGAAACAACATTGCTATCACCCAAAGCAGTAACAACAAAACACATGCAATCTGTCCCTACATGTAAAACAGGCATTTTCATAAAAACATAATGAGAAGATGCTGCCATCTATCAGAACTTCTTCAAAATAATGACATCTTCCTTACCATTGTCTCACCATCACTGACAACCGGGGTGTTGCAAAGAAATCCTTTCCCTGGAAGCGACCAAATATCACAAATCACACAGAGAACTACTGTCCAGCTCACTCACTCACTTTAATTATTTCTCCGTGTTAGCCATCTCGTAATCATTTATAATGACAACATGACATTGGGACATGCCAGTCCTGTTCAATCCAATCAGCCAATAAACACAATACCGATGCGCCCAGGGCCCCAAGAAATCGGCACTATGCAGCATTCAGAATAGGTCAGTACAGTAAAACCTGTTAATGCGACCACTCGGATAAGGCGACCACCTGTCCTGGAAGACCACTGAAACCAGGACCAAGAGACCCTGTTTCCAGTCGAACGACCCTGGATAAGGAGACCACCTGGTAACAGAGACCACGTTTTCAAGGTCCCTTGAGCGGTCGTCTTACACAGGTTTCACTGTATCTAGTATCTACTTGAAGTAGGAACACAACAGTACAGCGAAACCTGTCTAAGGCGGCCATGCAAGGGACCTTCCGAATGTGATCCCCGCTAGCAGGTGGTCTCCTTATCCACGGTAGACTGGAAATAACACCCTTGGGTCCTAGTTGTAGCGGTCCTCTGGGACAGGTGGTCGCCTTGTTAGAGTGGTCACCCTGACAGGTTTTACTGTATACCAGCTACGACACATTGCAGACACCCTGACATTCTGAGACCACCTCCCTACAGCTAAATGCCGAGTTTGAATCACATACCGCCGAGCTTCTCAAGTTCTTTCACAACGATGTCTGCCAGTTCACTGCAACGTGGGGGCACACAGCAGCGAATTGTATAGAAATTGCAGTTCAGCAAGACTAGGCAGCACACAACCAAGAAAGAAACCGTCCTCAGCAAGACAGTCTTGGTGCTAAACAACTTCATAGACGTACGTGTACAGGCCTTCATGGCACTTCCCTGCCTGGTCAGTTCACTGCTTGGCACAAGCACCAAAGCCTTTGCCAGGATTGACCGAAGGATTTCCAGGCCCGTCGGAACCGGTCCGGTTGATCAGGTCATCACCAGACCAACTGTGTTTGACCACCAATGGGTCTTCACTACTGAGGTGTAACCGCTATCTCATACACAAAGTATTTTTTTAAGGCTATGGTGTGGCCTGAGTACTATCAAAAACTGCTTCCGGCGGTCATGGTTTCACCTGCCACTGAGGAGTCTCCATGACAGATTCAATGATCTCTAGATAGCACATGGGCCTCACAGAGAGCGAGGCTGCATTCTACCACTAGGATAAAAATAGAAAGGGCACAATAGCTGCCGACTGAAGTGAAGGCTAGCTCTAGCACAAATACGAAGTGGAGACTAGAGTATTACACAAATGCTTCAGTTCAACTCGGGCTCAATAGAATTGCTACTGATATGGATCCGGCAAACTACTCATATGCATTGTCCCTTACTGGAAGTGATTGTTGCATGGTAGTGCATTGCTGTAAGGGTTGACTATGGTGAACACAGGCTTCTTGAAGTCTTCCTCCTGATACAATGTGACAGAGGAAATTGGATCCATCAAGGCACATGCACCCACACACAAGCATTCACACACATACACACAGACATGTACCATGTACACCCCCCCCCCCCCTCCCACACACACACATACACACGTGCACACATCGTGTGTATAGGTGAACACTGTAACGACACCAGCAACACTCCGCAGCATTGCAAGGGTATTTTGAGAATGAGCTGTTTTCTGAGGAGCTACACTGATGTACTTGTACTGACGTATGATCAAGCATGATCAGTCCAGTCGGATGCAACAGGTAAATTGGTTGAGTGCAATTTTTGGATTACCATGATAGACTTACCTTGAAGCCAGCCGCTCGTAGATGAGCCCGGGCTGCGGTCTGTACACGCACGATAATACACAGACCGAGTGACGATAACACACATACAGTCAACTTCGCGAATAACGACTGCGGATATAACGACAATTCGCGAATAACAACAGAATTTCCATGCCCAGAGCAAAGTCCCATCCCACTGGAATACATATAATGAGACTTCGGGTATAACGACACTTCGCGAATAAGGACACCTTTTTGATGCCCCGCCGAGTGTCGTTATAAGCGAAGTTGACTGTATACACACACACACACGACGACAACACACATAATAATTGTGCTCGCGTAGACTCGTTTGCCAGCACTCTGTCAGCACGCGGCAAGGGCACGTGCAGTGCACGCTAATTGTCTCCGGGAAACGTGCCGCAGGGCTGTCCGGGATCCGCGGCTCGACCCCGGCACTGCATGCAAAACTAGACTGGAGACTTCACCATGACCGGCCACTGCTGTAGCCATCAAACACAATTTCACATTTTGGGAGTTCTTAAATTCCAACATTGATATTGCAATCATTTGTACATCATCGTTACCTTTCAATGTACGAATAACAATTTAACTTACCCCCCAAAGCCCCCCCCGCCCCCCCCCCCCCCCCCCCCTTCTCCCAGAAATTCCCCCAGAATTGACATGGACATACAATCTGTGTGCACATTACGTCATGGACGTAAGGACATCCCCAAGTTTGCATCTACAAGTGAATGCACTGTACCCGTTTTATCCAGTGAGGATCCTCTCTGGGCGTCTCTGGGTTTCCAGTCAGCTTCCAGCTCGTTGGCTAAAGTCAAGAGCACACGTGCACGAAAACAAATGGGAACAAAATATTAGTCATTTCCACACTACCAAGGCTTTCCGCACTCGCTGGCTACATTCAAATGGCAATATTTAGTTTGTTGTGGGCTTTTTCCGGCAGACAGGTGTTTCAGATGGTACATTTGTATTTGATATCCTTACCTTCAGTTCTGCAGCCATTGTTCAAGGTTAGCGAGTGTAACTGACGAGCCCGGTTTGATAACTTTGAAAGCTAACGCCGGTCACACCAGCAATGATTATGTAGTTATTATAGAAAATCAGATGTTTTGTTGGAGTTGGATGACTTGGACAGCTTGATCTGTACTGTACAAACTACAAAACTAACACTACAAAAAATAAGCAAGTGTCGCCTTGGCTGTAGATCTAGTAGATCTACTGGGTTAGCTAGCTGAATGGGAGCTGTCACAGTGACTAGTCAGTGACAGCACCAACACCGCGCAGATCGCAGAGTGCATGAAGATTGAAGTGCTTGCTTTACAGGTTAGGACAAACATTCCTGATCACTCCGGATTTACCTCTACCACTACCAGTCCGTAGACTAGGAGGTCTACTACATAGCCATAGCCCAGGGTTAGAGCGACACTTCATCTTTCCAGGAAGTCGAAGCGCGAAAGGACATTATGGCCATCGGTCTTCCGCGGAAGCCACAGACAGCTTCTCTCCTCCTCCCACCGATCATGTACTGTACGTAGATCTACGCGTGAAGTGTAGTGTAGTGTCTGGATCTCGCGACTTTCCAACTACATGCACCATGTCACCATCAAGGCATCATGTGCACACCGGAAAGGACTAGGTGGATACACGTACACCTAGCTCCCCAGATGATCATGATGATTGTTATCAGCAAGCAAGCTGGTGGATAGGTCGACTGAAAAAGTGAAAGACTAGACCGACACGCTCATAGCTACATGTACTGCGCTTGTGGGTGGATCGCAAAGGTGGACCAATCGGTTCTTAATCCCTGATGGCTGAATATGTTTCAGATATAAGAGACCAGCAGACATGACCTTTAGAAAAAGTTAGTATGAAGCAGCGGCTTCCTCGGATCTAACGTTACATGTACTTCAGGTGAGTCCTGAATACCATATCTACGTACCGAGGGGGGGGGGGGGGGGGGAGGGGCAGGCGCGTGCCCCATATGGGTTCCTGGGTTCCCAGAACGTCCCTTTTTTCGCTCAAAATGCAGGATTTTGCTTCATTTTTTGACCAAAGTGAATACCCCCCCCTCCCCTCCCCACTCCTTCAGCTCTACGTTATTCCTCTCCACATCCGCATTGTGCAAGCACAGTTGAGTCGTTGTGATATGAGATGAATGTTATTCCCTGTGCATTAGCTTAGTGACAGGTCCGTGCACTCAACTGTGCTTGCACACGGTGCTCATGGACGTTACCAGTGCTCTGGAGCCTTGCAGAACTTCAATTGCCGGGGTTCGCCGAGGTTCCAGTCCAATTATAATTCAATATGCAAACCCTGAGAATGAACAGGCGTGTGTTTACCGCCATATTGCCAGGTGTGTCTTTACCACCATATTTATCAACAATATGCAAACCCTGCCCGAAATAATGCACAGATTGCTATCACACAGAGGTAATAATTATCATTAGAGGCAATCAATCATAGGCATGTCTCATGTCAACCTTTCAGCAGCCTCTTGGGGTTCATGAAACCGTGATCCATGTGCACGCACCTCATGCAGCCACAGAGCACGCCTGTTTTAAGCAAAGATGCCAATAATCAAAATAATCATTTTTCTCTGACCGAATGGGAAGCGGAAAATGATCGCCATTGGCGCTCATGGATACCAAACACATTAGAATAAATATTTTACAAAATAATAGCTGCCGGTGTTAGGTGTAGGTTATATAACCCATACAAGAGAAGTCAGAAAGGGACTGTTTTCACAAGTAAATATTGGAACAGCCAGAGAAAATAGCACACTACCGATTTAGAATCATATCTGAGTTGAAACTCCTCTCAAGATTCCTTGTGAACAACTCTCGCCTTACTTCCAGCCGGCAGCCTCATCTAATAATGGGCTTTTTAAAAGGCTGAACGTTTCACAGTGTTTCCAATCTACTAGTAGGCGGCTATTTTCTGCGTAGATGCTGGAATGTCGCCAGTGTGCTGCGAATGCCATCCGCCACATTGACCACAGGTGAGTAACCCAGGCATGCCTGTGCCTTGGCACTGCTATAGTAGTGGTGCGTGCCGGCAAGCGCTACCTGCATGGGTGTGAACGTTGCTTCGGCCTTCGCGCCGAGGCACGAGCGCAGCACGAAGCAGACAAACGTCATGATGAGAGAGACAACGTAGATGAGCCGATACGGCAGCTTGATCGTGGGCCGCGAGTAGCCGAGCCCGTCCAGCAGCTCGCCGATGAACCACCAGAACTTGACAGGCTCGCAGTTGGTGATGTTGAACGCCTGGCCGCAGGCATCGTGGCCTTCTTGTAGATGCTGCGCCGCCAGGATGTGACCGTGCACCACGTTCCGTACGTGTGTGAAGTCAACAAGGTTTTCACCGTTTCTGCACGTGAACACAGCAACGTGGAAACGATTGAAGTCAGTAAATGTGGAATTTGACACCAGGAGCATGGTCAATCGGTGTAAATTTCATCCAAGCATTGGTGGTTCAGTGGTAGAATCCTCGCCTGCCACGCGGGGGGCCCGGGTTCGATTCCCGGCCAATGCATTTTTCTTTTCTTTTTCCAAGAGAAGATAAACCACACAAAAGGGCACCCTTGGATCAGAAAAAGCAGGGCAATCAATGCACGTACTTTGTACAAATCATGCTCTTTAGGGCCTAGGGGTCGTCGCAAAAGGTTTTTTGTCGTCCCTGAAACGAACATCGTTCTTTTCGTGCCCGAACCCCCTCCCCTCCCCTCCCTCTGAAACGAACGCAGCTTGCTGTGCTGGACGACGGAAATCGCATGCATGTTCATAAACTAGCACAGTGTTGATCAACTTGCGATTTTGGCTCGCAACCCCCCCCCCCCCACGAATGATGTTCGTTTCAAGGACGACAAAAAAACGTTTGCGACGACCCCTGATGATAATGAGAAGTCACGTGATCACATCCTGCGAATGGCAGCTCTGTATACATACAAGTATGCCTGGTGCATTTAGTTTGAACTTGTTGTGTGTTGAGTCCCTTGCCGCAATACTCAGAGTTTAGTGTCTGAAAAATTTTCAAACACTCTAAATACTACATTGCCATTATCGTCTGATGAGTGTTTTTCGGACACGGAACTCTGAGTAACGGAAAGGAAGTACTTGGGGCGCGTTTGGTTGGTACGAACTAGAACAGGATTCACTAGAACAGCGCGTTTGGTTGGGACTGCACCTGTTCTGGGTCGGCTCCGGCCTCGAGGCCGAAGCAGACCGAGCAGTTTCACTTTTTCACAGTAAAACCTGGCGGGAACATCGATATTGGTCCCAAATGATCACGTGCATACGCTTTTTGGGTTGGACTCGTTGTACCGTACAAAGTGACCATGGTGACCCATACACATTATGTAGAATGCACCAAGTTTGGCACATTTTTTCACAAAAATGTGCTCGGTTTCTGGAGTACCGTTTGGTTGGCATGAGGTTGCTCCATGCGCACCAGCTGTTCGATCCTGTTCTAGATCGTACCAACCAAACGCACCCTTGGTTACATTAGGGAGGTTCCGGAGTACGATTTTTCGTGCCAAAATCCGTGGAGGCTCTACAGATTTTTTATATGTCGTTTTCGAGCAGTGAAAAGTTCCGGGGTACGGAACGTATGTGTTTGCCGTCATTGCCTAGGTTACGATCGCAAACACGTCACATTCCCGCGCTATGCCTTTTTATTTTGAAAATTTGTACCGAAATCAAAACTTCCCGCGAAAAATCGATGTTTCTCGTACCAAATTTGTACGCGAAAAATCTTTCTGCACCCGATGACGCAAAATCTCCATACGAAACATGGTTCGTATGAAAGCCAGTCCACACGGATTCTCCGTGCCAAAAATCGTATGGAGCACGCCTGGAAAAAATCCGTAGCGCCCATACGGATTTTGGCACGGAAAATCGTACCCCGGAACCTCTCTATTGTTGCTGTTTATGCTCCGTCCACTAGACAAAGAGCACTCACTATACACTAAATTTAAAAAAATGCATTGGCCGGGAATCGAACCCGGGCCCCCCGCGTGGCAGGCGAGGATTCTACCACTGAACCACCAATGCTCACATGGAATCCCAATCTCTTCTATGTGGTCTGAAACATCAGTGGCTGCGTTGAAAATTTACTGGTATTCAACATCGCAATTAGCATACCGGCAGTTGCCCTGGGCACCGATTAAATTTGTTTGGTGATGATGAAGTAAGTGCATGGGGTAATGAGAGGGGGGGGGGGGGCAGAGGCGGCAGAAGAGCAGGGCAGGCCGGGGGCAGGTGAGAGTAAGCCGGGAGGGGAGGGGCAGGGGAAGGGCAGGAGTGGGTTAGGGAGGGGTGCTATAACCAGCGGCTCTTATAACCTATAACAATGAATGTAGCTTGGAGTCACTGCAAATAGGCCCCGGCGGATAATGCTCGGGAATTAGGCCCATTCTGCTTTTCATTATGCTCGCATTCTGCTCGCAAAACACCCACCTTCTGCTCAATTCTGCTCCATGTCAGTGATGACATGTACATTAGAGTATTACTTGAACTTCATTATAGATCAATGTAATACAATAGACAAGTTCCTCTTTTCTTGTACAAGTGGTGCGGCAAGAATTTTAAAGCAGAGGAATGCCTTTGGTGTTTTACAGATCTAGACGTCAGCAAAGTAGGAAATAGACCTGCGAGGTGTGTGACTCCATACACTTGCTGTAGCACAGGTGGTCATTATGCAAAATCATGAGACAGAAAAGGTTACAGTCACCTTAGAATGAAATTGCTTCGCAGTATAATTTACCGGATGAGACGACGAGCATCTCGTCTGGGAATTCCTCCACTCGCTGGTGTGGGCTAACATTCACTCTTGTGCTGCCGCCTAGCGACACCCGGGTTCTCTTTGCCCCTGAGGCAACCACATCCTTTTTTGCGGACGTCCGTTTCATAGACCTTACACGGGAGATTTCAGCTTCCTCCGCTATGTCCAGGCTTTGCCACTCTTTGCCAGACTGGCCTTCCGTGTCCACTGGTGTATCATCTTCGTCGTCAAGAATATCAACAATTATAAGATCTTCTTCGGCGGAATCGAAGTCGGCTGATCTGTCACGTACATCACCGAATTCCGCCATTGCCGCACACAGAGCATATCAGGGTCGCAGGTCAAGACACTAAATTACCAGCCCACAATTCAACATCCAGGCAATGGTAATGAACTAAAGTACAACAAAAAGTAAAACATTAATATCCCTTTACAGTAGAACATCGATTATCCCGCGATCCGGCCTTTCCATTTCTGAAGGCACCAGCCCAAATTTGGGCTAAAATGGCATGTAACGATTCACAAGGTGTTGCAAAACTCCTCTATAGAGCTTATGCATACCCGTCACGTGGTCATGAACAACGACCAAAAATGTCCAAGTACAGTGAGTCTGAGCTGAGGCGAATCTTCGAACGTCCAGGGAGCCATACACGAGACCGTCCTGATTACCAAGGACTCCCAAATAGGCACCAAAACTGCAAAAGGTCCGTTACGGATACCGAAGCTGAGTGGCATGACGTCACGTCGACGTGCATAAGCTCTGCGTACTGAGAACTACAGTGCTCCGTTCTGCTCGTCTAGTGCTCGGTTCTGCTCGTCTACCGCTCTGCTCGTTTAGTGCTCGGTTCTCAGCTCGTCTACATTTGTAGTGCTCGGTCCTGCTCGTCTCATGCTCCGTTCTGCTCGTCTGGTGCTCCGTCTGCTCGTCTGGTGCTCCGTTCTGCCCGCCCATTGCCTCATTCTGCCGCATTCTGCTCCGATTTTGAAACCCCTGATTCTGCTCGAAATTCTGCCGGCATTATCCGCCGGGGCCTAACTGCAAAGTGCCGGGGTGTGATGAGAGCGGTGTTGTGATAGGTCCGACTTGCAGTTGGGTCAACATGAAAAGATTCACCTCTCCTCTGATGAGTTCTCAACATCATAATGGAACAAAACAAGGCTTGCCAGGAGCAACGTCTAGCTGTTGTGGAGTGTGACTAGTGCAGTGCTCATGCTGGTGTCTGCAAGCGTCGTCTGGTCTCGTCTGGTCAAAAGAAAAATCCAACACTACTCATGATTTGACGGACCTACTTAAGATGGCATCAACAAAATATGAAAAGATTACCCGATTATGAACTTCATCTTGCCCGCCCGCGCCTTGTCCACCAATGTTGGTAAGAGCTGACGGTCGTTGGGGCCGAATATACCATGGGGCCTTATAGCCGCTGTTAGCAGATAGCCAGACCCGTCGGCGAGCATCTCTTTGTTATTTGCAGCAAGAACAATCTGCATGTGAGAGCACATAAAAATCAGAATGATTTGTGAGTTGCAGCTCGGAGTTTCATGCACCACCATCATCAGGCAACATTTCACTTGGAAAGTGTGGGTTCTTCAATTTTTGCGGCAATGTCAAAGTGTGTAGAATCTCTTTCCTTGCCTTCTCTGGTATCCATCATACTTCGAAGCAGGATGTTTGCCGCGGGGAGGTGGGGATATGTATGTCCAATGCCCTGTTACGGCATACCTCATCTCATTTTGGCATGAAGCTGTCTCTCCAGTGTGCGGTGGAGATTATGCGGCGTGGAGTGCAAAAATAGTCTATATCAAGGAGTATAATATCAGGGAGTAGATATTTTCTCCATCACCATCGGAAAACCAGAGGCGGTCATGGATACATTGCAGTGTGCCAGGTGACAATTATTTGCCACTTCTTCCTTGCTCCCAGTGACCTCTTTATCGATCCAAACATTCATTTGAGCCATACAAGATTCGTGAACCAGGATATCCTCTGAAAGCGATCCAAAAAAAGATTCCCTCGTGCAAGGAGCATCTGGAAGAGATACTTTTGCGTACATTCTTTCAAAAGAAAAAAAAGATGCATTGGCCGGGAATCGAACCCGGGCCCCCCGCGTGGCAGGCGAGGATTCTACCACTGAACCACCAATGCTTGCTTGTTGTTGCAAAGCTGATAGCAGCACCTTTATGCGTCATGTACAGTGCTGCCCACTGAAATCCGATCGTGTGAACTTGAGTTGAGCTCTGCACCAGCAGACCGCATCCCGAAGTTCGCAGGTCTAGGGTTGCACAGCACCCGGTGTGGCATTGACTCGATCGATCAGATTCCATTGAGCAGCACTGTTCATGTAGCACATGGAGATCATAACAGGTCTTCACCATAGACATAGATCCCCAGATTGCACAACTGCCGATGAGCAGCTAGCGTGAGTGGATTTGTTTCAGGATTACAACGTGTTTCATTATACTGTAGCGGACATGGAAATTCAGCCGATTTACCGGGGCCGGCGCCCTCAGCGCGCGTACAGAACGCTGCGTGCAGTGCACATGTTGATCCGATGCGACCAGCGCGCTGCAGCGCATAAATGCATGTGTGTACCGCTTGTCCACGGCTGCATGGCCAACGCCCTGGGGCCGCTAGACGTGCGACCGGATTTCCATGTCCACGACAGTATAACCAACTAGCTCTACACATGCACTCAAGAGTTGTGTTCTCTTGATAAAGTAGACTTCAACACTGGACATGAATACCAGCTGCCAGTTAAAACAGAGAGGTTCCAGGCTGTCCAATAGAGTGCTCAATACGGAAAGGCAGAGCTAGTTCAAACAATAATTAGAGGATGAAAAATTGCTGCTCTCATTACTGTTTTCTGATGATCGCTTAGTGCGTGAAACTCGGAGTGAAAACACTTTTTTCATCCTCTTATTATTGTATTATCTGCCAGTAAAACAGGTGGTAGAGATTCTCACCTTTTCCTGTTCAATTTTCGTCTCCGTGTAAGCATCAATAGGTTTGTGTGCGTAGGGCAGAGACTCGGTGCCGTTGGCTATGTCCGTGCCCTCGTACACCACACTAGCGCTGCTGGTCAGTACAAGACGCTGCAAGTTACACACAACAAGGTCAGAGCATACCAGACACATCGACCACGTACTACAGTCCATTCATCGGAAACAGTCCTGCTGGCTTTTGAAAGTCCAATTTGGGCCGAATTGAGGATCAAAAACCCACTTTAAAAATCTCGGTTTGGGATCTGCTTTTCCATACATTTTGCCATGGCATACCTGTCCTGATCTTGTAAAACTTGGCTGAAATTTCTATTTCCTTGTTCTTGGATCTATAGCAGAGAGATACCTATCTCCTTTAAAATAGACATTAATTTTTTTTAAATGCTACTTTGAAGAACATGCAGTGAAACATGTCTATAAGCCGACCGCGCAAGGGAGCTTACAAATGAGGTCACCGTGCACAGATGGTGTTTGTCAAGTCCAGGGTTATTTGACTCGGAATACCATCCCTTGGTCCTGGTTGTAGTGGTCTTCTGGGACAGATGGCCACCTTATCAGAATGGTCGCCTTGACATGCAGTGTCTACTGTGCCGTAATGGATTGCCCACCTAAAAAAGATACATACTGGATCATTTAGATGCACTGCTACAGTAGGTGGTCATGCCTGCTACATTCTACCAAACAGTTTGCGTCATAGACTGCGGCGACTACTTTCGAATGGTATTGAATATAGCACAGGGCGTTACTTGTACAGTAAAACCTGTAGCTAAATGTACATCATGCACAATTTATGACATCATGCACAATTTATGACATCATGCACAATTTATGACATCATGCACAATTTATGACATCATGCACAATTTATGACATCATGCACAATTTATGACATCATGCACAGTTTATGACATCATGCACAATTTATGACATCATGCACAGTTTATGACATCATGCACAATTTATGACATCATGCACAATTTATGACATCATGCACAATTTATGACTACAGTAAAACCTGTAACTAAAGACCACCGTGACTAGCGACCAGCCTGGTACTACAGACCACTTCGCCAGGCACGGACGGTCTCACATTCATGTATGGCTGTGCAGTGCAAACCTCTAACTAAGGACCACCTGCCACTAAAGACTGCTTTCTCTGGCCCCAAGGGGTGGTCGTTAGTCACAGGTTTTACTGTACAAGGGTAGCATGGGTGAGCACGCACTGCCATCTCACCTACACTACAGTCTGCACGCCATACTCACTTTCACTGAATTTGCAACACACGCCCTGATCACACATATCGTTCCCTCGATGTTCACCTTCTGAAAGAGAGCTCTGAAAGGCAGAATGCACAAGAGAGCAAACAGGGACAAAACACACCCGGCAAAACAAATGTTCACAAATAACATGTACAGGTAACGCCACTCATCAGAGTGTGTGCAATATTCACTGCATTGCTCAAACAAATGGATACATGTACCATCTGAAAGAAGCTACCTACACCATTGAATCATGAGTCAATGCACTCAGGACCGTCAGGAGATTTTTGTAAACCATGCTCTGCAGAATATCAGTCCATCCGTTAGCAAAGGCATTTGGTGTAGCAGGGAAAATGTGATCATGCTGCCGCGCCGTTAATCTCCAACAGTTCCAACAGGCCACAGATCTCGGTGAGATTTTTCCAGCTCTTAAACACTGGCTACCCGGGGCTTGGCGGTGTGCGCACGGGACTTTCACATCGGTGGCCTGCGGGCAAGGCAGAATATTTCTCACTTCTCACAAGCAATCTTAATTTCTGGGCTCTTTCTTACCAATATCCATACATCTTCACTCTCCAAACGGTCTCTGGGCTACACCAATCACTAAAAGAAAAAGAGATATTATTCGAATTTTCGGGCAAGGCCTGAAAATTAATATCTCTTTTTCTTTTAGTGATTGGTGTAGCCCAGAGACCGTTTGGAGAGTGAAGATGTATGGACATAGTGGATGGCTACAGTGGAGTCTTCGCGTTTTGAGAAATGTCTTTCTTGCCAATGCAATTTTAAAAAGTGTGTATGTACTTCACTAAAACCTGTGTTTGCCGGACCCTGTACCAAGCGAAATCCTGTATTGATCGGACAAATGTCCATGCACTAAGGTGCTGTGGATTGGCATGCATCCCAGGATCAAGCGAAATCCTATCATATCAGGATAGTTTCCGCTGCACCAAGGGCGTCTGGTTCGGGCAGGTTTTCCTGTACTAGCTGTTAACCTATTAGCAATACACGATGCTGCTCGAGCCTGTTTCATTCAGCTGACAAAATGCGCTCTTGACACAAAGATAAAATAATTTAAAAATATAACTTCCGCTCCAGGATACAGGATCACAGAGGCATCAGCTTCCTCACTACAACTTGCGTATGCTCGGGCCACACGTGCACCCGGGACAAGAGACAGTTCGGGGAACATCAGCGCACGGGAAAACACTAGGCGGCTTCAATAGCAGTCGTCGCCACCAGCGTACACAACCTACTTATTGCGCTCAGGTCTCATGTGCATCCGGGACAAGAGACAGTTCGGGGAACATCAGTGCACGGGAAAACACTAGGCGGCTTCAACAGCAGTCGTCAACACCAGCGTACACACAGCCTACCTATTGTTGGTGGCAGCCGGGGGCGACGCGCAGTGGAACACAATATCCACGCCGGAGAGGGCCGGCGCCAAATCCTGAGTGCACAGCAACATTAAAAACATTAAAAACATTAAAAACATTAAAAACATTAAAACATTAAAAACATTAAAACATTAAAAACATTAAAAACACATTAAAAACATTAAAAACACATTAAAAACATTAAAAACACATTAAAAACACGCCCAATTGGGTCAAGTGCCAGTTTAAAAAGCTAATCATCAGTTTGATGCCACTGTAGTGTCGGTCACCGAAGAACTGGGGGGGGGGGGGGAGAGAGAGAGAGAGAGAGAGTTCAGCCTCGTAGCCTAGACCGTTCTTATGTTCATGTATTATTAGTGCTACATGTTTATGTGCATTGGAGTCACCATGTATACATCAGTGGTATGCAGTGCTTGAGGAACCTTTTAGGCTGTTCGTTCTTCAGCACTCCGTTCTCCGGCGCCCGACAGTGTTGTAGTGGGCATAGACCATCGTGACCGGTTGGGGGTGTACTTCAGGTTGCGAGGCCTATACGCCCATTGCGCAATGACGTAATTTTTACCATAAACACCCCAGACAGCCACCTGGGCATGGTCGTCTGGGGTGTTGAACAGTGCATTGCTGATCCCACTGTACTCACATGCATTACTCATACCTTCCATATTTGGCAATGCACAATGGGCTTATTGGAAACAAGGAGATGCCCTGACTTGAAGTAACAATGTGTGAAATGGAAAACCATGGTTGAATGGACGTGCAGTAGAATGGAGAATGGGCGAAACGAAACAAAGCCGTCGAAATCCAACCCACTAAATCTCGAGCTCCTGAAAAGCGAAGAAAACAGCATGCATAGACTAAGAGGTTTATAACTTTATATGCATCACAGCCATACACACACACACACACACACACACACACACACACACACCACACACACACACACACACACACACACACACACACACACACACACACACACACACACACACACACACACACACACACACACACACACACATACACACACACACACACACACACACATACACACACACACACACACACACACAGTGGTGAGTAGCTGACAATGCAGAATGAGCCATGGGATAATCAAAAATGCCTGCTGTTCACAGTTTCTCACCTCGCTCTTGCAGAGATTGCCTTCGAAGAATGTTATGCGCTCGTCCTCGAACGTACGTCGGATGTCAAAGACGTTGACATCGTACCCTGCATCTAGAAGACCCTCCACGATGTGACGTCCGAGGAATCCACCACCACCGATCACCGTGCACTGCAAGGACAACAAAACATTAATGACAGCAAAGTCATGAAAAACCTTGATCCTGACGATGGCTCCTTGTCGAAAATTTGATTGAGATACTAGTAATTTGCAGAGAAGAGACCACTTGATATGAGGATGGTGTATGCAGGGTTTTTCATGTAATGAAGTGGCTGCGGTGGAGCTTGCGTACCTTAAGGCAAAAAAGCCAATGGGAAAAAACCAATGGGTCACAATGCGTATACATCAGGCTCATCTATCCGGCGCCTATGCATGCTTAAGCACATTATGGATTACCCTGAAGTATGTAGAGTCGCCATTGCCTGGGCGGATAGTGCTAGAGAAATTGGCAGATTCCGCTCGAAAAGCGGTAAAATTGGCAGAACCTTACAAACTTTATGGCAGGTACTTCCTTGAATTAAGCTCCATTTCTTTATCCACACACCAAACATGCATGAAGCATACCAGAAACTGTATCAAATTCTGCCAATATTTCTGCCGGCATTATTCACCAAGGGCTAATGTAGAGTCTATCATAGATGACGTATTTTCAGAAATACTGGACGAGGAACTTAGTACGTAGTATGCGAGACCTAAAATCCAAAAAAACACGCAAAACCCCTGACATCATGTGGCGCTTATTTCCGACAGGCGGCAGTAAAAAGACCGGTCACAATTCCAGAAGATACGGCGTGTACTGTAGAGATCAAAGGCTTGCGTGTGCTGTCATGAAGCAAGTATGTTGTATGAGATTGCTATTAGTAGCATCGTCAAATAAAAAGAGCACAACGTATGCAAGACTTGATGTGCATATTGCATAGCCAACATATGTTCGTAAATTGTAATGGATATACGCTTGCCTAGCAACCTTCGCTAATTATTTTTAAAGTATATCACGTGACCACTACCGTACCTTCGTGCCAGCGACACCAAGCTGTCCTGCTGGCATCTTGTGTTCGCCAGTCAACGCCAAGGAGAACTCTGCCGGAGATCAACGGATGAAGGAATCCTCTGCACTGGGATCGAGTCGATCAACTACTTGCCTCAACGTGGCATAGAATCAACTGATTCGATTCCCTGCAGGTATTATAATAATATTTTTCCAACAACCAACCAAGTGCGTTAGCAGCAGTTCAAAAGGAAAGGGTTCTGCCTGTATCCCGAGCACGCAATTTTGTGAGTGTTTGTGGCGGACAAGTCCACTTCAAAATGCTTGCTAGCTGTTTCACAAGTAGTTGTAGTAAAAATCAGGAACAGAACCCATTGTAGTGCCATACCCATTTTGCCAATAATATTATTATTTTTGGCCCTGGCCAACAGGGGATAGCACTGGCATGGCGTGAACGATGGTAGTGAACCGAGCTGAGCTCGTGTGGTCGAGCTCGATCGGGCCATGTCCCTTTCACCATGTTCACTGCAGTCTCTAGCTATCATCAGATCAGACTGTGCAAGCTGCACGTGCAGGCTTGTTGACTTGCTTAGATGTCCAGCACACGTGCATGCGTAGATCTACGTAGATCGTGCATGACCCAGGCGCTAGGCCAGGTCAGGTCACACCATGCATACCATCGACGAAATGATTGTATGCAGGGCCGGGAATAGCAGATAGGATCGGATCGCGGACTGTAGCAACGACTACGTAGCGCGGTAGCCGGTCCACTAGATCGATAGCTCCAGTTTACAGTCAGATAAATACTACCCCCCCCCCCCCCTTGCTAATACATGTACTGCGACTAGGTTTGTAGTTGTACGCGATACACGAAGGCAGAAGAGAACAGAGACACCTGCGGCTAAAGTCATTGTTGTAATCTGGGAATTCTCGCTATTGTGCGCCGGTATACCAGGTATACATGTACGGTTAAGCGTGTATGTATGGTTCAGTAGACCACACAGATTTGAACAGAGTCTTACACAGTGTACAGAGAGTCCAGAGACCCCAGACAAAGTGCTCATGACATTGTGCTAAAAAGCTGAAGGGATCGCGTACGTGAATGCGCCGTAGTGTGCACCTACAACAAGCCTCTGTCAATGACACACACCACGCGCACGCAAAAACACACACACGTCCACACACAAACACACAAGCATGTCAGGGATTCCAGATTTATAGCCCAGCGGAGAGCAAAAAAACCAAACAGAACTAGAGCTTCAAGTAATCAACTACACATACTTCTCATAGAAAGAGAAAGGAGCAAAACTGAGAAAGGCGCCATAATACTGTGTGAGACGACTACACAAACAAAACAAAGCAGTCAAAGTAGTGTTAGTGTGTTAGGCATAATAATTATGAAGCACACACATGGCTCTACACTGCGTGCATGGTTCTATACAAAAATAAATGAGTGAATGCAGAGCACACACACACACACACACACACACACACACACACAGGAGAGTGTGTCGCCTCGATATGGCGGCGCGCACGGCGTGTGTGTAAGTTTGCTGACTAGAACGAGGTTAAGTACATAAAGGTTCACGAATGCGCAAGTGGAATGTGAGAGGCGCTAGGCGCGGACACTAGCAACCAGAGCGGGTACCGGGGAAATGAGAAGCGAAGAAAGACGAGAACAGGACCAGCGGAAGCAGAAAAAAAGGGAGATGCATCGGTATCAAAGCTAGAAAGAGAAGAAGAAGTCGAGTATACTGTATAATATATAGATAGCATATGCGTAGATAGCATTATGTGATAGATCTTCACAAAGGGCAGATTGTGAGGGGGGGGGGGGGGGGGGGAAGTAACGGCTGGTATGGTCAGTGGGGGAGGCTAAAAGAACGATGAAAAGTGGAAAGACCAGGTGCTGACTGGCATGCATTATGTACAAGACGTGCACAATCGGCAACAAAGTGCGCTCACTCCGTGTGCACTTGGAATATACGAATACGCAGCGAAAGACCAGCAAAAGTTGGTCCAGTAAAGGATATCAAGCTTCGGACATGGGTCACAGCATCGTACAACATAATCACCTAACGTCAGTTACAACAGCCCACAACTAAATACACAGCAACGAGATGAAAACAGGGCAGAAGAAGTTCCTAGGGTGCAGCTGCTGCAAACGCACAAGCATATGTTGTTGATCAGTGTTGCACGGAGACACACTGATGGGCAAAGCAACGCAAATTCAACCAACATGATCGGGGATTCAGGACAGCCTGCGGTACTACCTAAACAAAAAGACTGTGCAATGGCATTCACGTGTGCAGAGGCGCGAGGCTCGGGACATACGCTGCTGGTACATACACAAAATCACCAGCTTGAGTGGGTACACTGGCTGCACGCAAAGCACCACTATCAGGCATGGGATGTGTACGGGTTGAGACAAGGACAGAACATCTTGGAACACGCTGCATCCGCGCACCTCGGGAAAACACCATGCAGAGCGAGACCTACTAGGCTGGAATAAATAGGAGTGCGAGAGGGCATTCCTGTTGACTGTAGCGCATGCTGTGCACGCCATACCCTGAGCTGTAGCATGGCACTGGCAGGGTCAAGGCTACTTCACACGCACACACACACACACACACACACACACACACACACACACACACACACACACACACACACACACTGTGGGCGACTGCACAGTCTGGGGAATAAACCTGCTCACACACAGACACAGGCTGAGATCAGTTCATGGTGTTGGAGCCCTTCAGGTTCTTCAGCAGCAGCTCGGCCTGGCTGGCCTCCGGACGCTCGATGATGCGATCGCCGCCACTGGCCACGGAGAGGCGAGGCTCCGATGACACGTGCACGGTGCTCTTGCGCATGGACGCACGGGGCTTCTTGCGCGCGCTGGCCTGGTTGCCGCGAGTCCTGGACACAACACATGGACAAGAACACAAGAACGGGGGGGAGAGAGAGATTAGTCAGCTCGATGTAGCTACAGTGATAGGCACGTAGTACTACTGGCAAATATTATCCTTTCATGATTGCGATTAATAATTACCTGTAGCTTGTATGGCATGCGTTGACTTTGGATTCTTCTCTTCATTTTTCCGGATTTTCAATAGAGTTCTTTGATCTTTTCATGCATTACTAGGTCGGTCCCCACAGACTTATTGTCTTCTTATGGTGTACTAGTACCTTTGGGGAAAGTGAGCATGCTAGATATGAGAGAGAAGTCCAATTGGAAACTGTTGTGCACTCTGCGCACAGAATACTGCCCATTGAGCACTTGGTATGCGCAGTCATACATGCACGCATGCACACACGCGCACACACACATGCCCCCCCCCCCCCCACACACACACTGGAGTGGGGCAATGCCAAACACGCCGACACTTTCCTGTACTAAAGCAAACAGCGCATACTAGTATCCTTTACTCGAATAACTGTCACCGACATTCATGTGCATGTACCGTAAAGTACCGTTGATCCGCCCCCTCTCTAATTCCCGCCCCCTGTCGATTTTCTCCTTGTGAAGCGACTTCGGCGTATACAACGAAATACGATGTTGAACCGACGCATGCACTGCTGTACACAATACTTGCCAATCCAGGATCAAAATGTGCACAATCCAGCACATTGAGTCTGATCCTCTACGTTGTTGTACATCGTACTGCACTTGACAGCCTTGATCTAATTCCTGCCCCCTGCCGAAAACCCAGCTGGGAAGCGACATGGCGTGGGGGCGGATCAACGGTACTTTACGGTACATGAATTAGGATAATTAGAGTTTGGATAATCGGTGCCGAGATAGTTAGGGTAGGATTGCAGTAATGACCACTGTACACTCACTTTGAGAAGGCTGAACCAGAGCTAAGTGCCTCCATAAGGCCGTCAAGCACACCTTGCTGATCACCCTCTGCAGTAAGACAACGCAACACAGCACAGTACAACACAGTGCAACGACGCACGGTCACCAACCAGACAACACAGAGCAATCAGAGACAAGAACGTGAGGAATCCAGCTGACCAAAAGAGTTGGATTACTGGTTCTACAAAACTATGAATAGAATATGCGAAGAATAATTCATAAACGTTTTTCCTCGATGGTCATGAGTGAATTTACATCGAGTAGGGATTGAGAGAACAAACCAATAATTATGTCGCCATCCATATATTCTATTCAAAGCTTTGTTGAAACTTCTTTCTCCAAAACGGCTTTTCGATTACTGGTTCTAACTTACAATACCCAAGCAAGCAGAGATGGAGGCAGAGCCTTGTCACACAGCAGGGGAGAGGAGACAGATCGTTGCAACTCCGGGTTTCACGGTCATACACAAACGTTGGGTCCAATGATAGTGCATGAACAGGAGGATGTCAAGAGTTGCTGCACATTTTTCACCCTCTCTTCTTGCTGTGTGGTTCCATGAGCCATGCACTCAGTGTCCTGATGATCACTATACGGGTAGTACACAAAGCCAGTGCTCTGAACAGCACCGACGGCCTGATCTGCGTGCACTCTAAATCTACATGTACGTAAGGGCGACTTCCGTCATAATTACTGTAAAAGCCATATATATATATAACGAAGTGCTAACTCTAACGAGTTAACGAGGAGAAATCTGTCGTTAAAATGGAAATCGTTATACAGAAATCGATACATATACTGCCCTATTGAGCGTTGAGAATGAGTGAGAATCGTTACCTTTGGTACACGTAAACTAGTCAATTTTGGGAAATCGTTATATATGCGCCTCGTTAGAATAATGGCTTTTACAGTATACAGAATACAAAAGGCAGGCAGCAAAAGGTAGGCAACTTTCAACTGGCATGCTTCCTGAACCATAGTAACACTGACAGGTAGTCAACTGTTTGGCTGCACTTACCTGCATTGATGTCGACCAACTGAACTTTGGCAACCTTCGCATTCTTCTTCCGCTGCTTTTCTTTCTCGAGCTGTACAGTAGGGAGAGGTGGGGAGGTAAGGGAAGAGAGAGAATGAGAGAGAAAGAGAGTGCGCGTGCGCGCGCGAGAGAGAGTAAGAGAGGGGGGGGGGGGGGGGGGGGGGCAGATGGGCAAACACGTCAAAACCCTGGCACATGCCCACAATCACTAGAGGCAAATACGAAACCCAACACAACCAACCAACCCACAAATCTCAACACCACACAACGCCCTACAGGTACCACCAAGAGCACAGTGTAAACCGGGAAACATTTGCCAACTGGAAACGTTCGAGTGTTTAAAGCGCGGCTTATACTCCGAAATTACAATATTCCCAAGGCCACGGAAATGACATAACGTAGAAGCATCTGGCGCTAGCCAGGGTCCTCCACGCTTTATTTCGTACATGTGTTTGGAACGATTGATCACCGGAGAGGACCATTCCTTAAAAAAATTGACAAAGCCCGGAATTACTGAGAGGCATACCAAAAAGGCCAGCTCTGCCCTCCTCCCCTCTTGCCTGTTCCGACGGCACTCTGTTCACACTTGCAATAGTGTGTACTGACAACAGCTCTCCAAGCTATTCCACTATGAACCACCTGGGCAGCTTCACGAATCCCCCCCCCCCCCCCCCCAAAGGATCGACATGTTATGCTCAAGTTGGTTTCTATCTAGAGGGCATACCTCTTGTTGTCTCTTCTTCTTCAGCTCCATCTCCTTACGCTTCTCATTCTCTTTCTTGGCAGTCTACACACAAACAAGGACAACACCGCAGTGAAAGAAAGCGATTGGTGCAAGGTTGCAACGACTGCAAGGATAGAGGCTTCACAAGATGACAAGAGTGGAAAACAGAAGCTCCATGTGTGTGCGTGTGTGTGTGTGTGTGCGTGTGTGTGTGTGGGTGTGTGTGTGTGTGTGTGTGACTGTGTGTGGTGTGAGGCTAAAATTAGTGGCGGTCAATTCATCAACCGTGCAAGCTGCTGAATGGTGTAATCCCAGCACAAGTTAGTTTGCTCACTGTTATCGCTTCAGTGATGGCCATGTGGAAGTGTGCGCGTATGCGTGAATGCGAAATAACCCAACATGGTTGACTACGCTATGCAACTCGCGAATGCCTTTCCCACTTACCTGGAAGTTCTCCATGAAGACATGCACATCAGTGAACAGCTCCTCAATTGGCTGCTTCTTGAGATCGACGCAGAAGAACGTTGACACTTTCTCGACCATCTCGCGCATCTTCTCAAAGCGCTCAGAGGCCACGGCCAGCCTCGTCTCCGCTCCCTCGATGAACTTTTTCATCAGCTCCTGGAACTTGTCCCCCTCTTCGACATCTTTGCACTCGCCGTGTACCTTGATCTCGCCGGTGACCTGCGCTAGAGACTTCTTCAGTGTGCCGAGTGTCTTCTGAACGGAATCCTCCGATACTGGACAAAAAACAAAAGGGAAACCCCCAGCCGTATCCGTTATCACCATGGCAACACTCAACTCAGAGGTAAGCAAACAGGACACTAATTTGCTGCCCACTGCCCACTGCATAAGGCCCTAGTATCAACACTACTGCTAGATAATGGCCGCTTTTGCTGCACTACAGTCATCGCTACAAGTTGTTCTCGGAGACTGAAAAGTGCACAAATTGCACTGAAACAGGCACAAAGCCAGACAACACAGTTCCCGATAAGTTTTCTCCTTACACAATAATTGCACGAGACCACAATGACACTTGCTCACACCAACTGCATCATAGTTGTGTTTTCAAAATGAGACTTGCTTGTTTGTTTGGGGGAGGGGAGGGGGTGATATCTATTGAATGCACAAACCCTCAGTCAAACTGATTGTGCAGAAGATGGAAATCAATATTTGGCTAGATTTCGATTTTTACCTGCAGAATGGGGGTGGGGGGCTGGCTGGAAAGCGCTAAAAATAATTGAAAAAATGGCAGCCCTCAACAGTCCCTTAGGAGAACTAAACCTGGGATACCACTCTCAGAGAGACAGGAATGTGATGGCACGACTTGCCCAAGTACACCGGTAATTCCTTACCCTTTGAAGCATGCTGCACGTGGCTCAGGTCCGATATAAACGCGGCCATTTCGGGGTACTCTTCGGACACGGTCGTCTCCAGGAAGTGCACCAGGTTCATGGAGTTGTCCACGGACTTGGTATTGCTCAGCTGCAGAATAGAACGAAGACACAAGATACGCAACAAGCATGGGCGCAGAGTTACACAGGTACTGTCGTGGACATTGATGGGGTGACCCGGGCCGGCGCCCTTACTGCGTTTTGCGCGAACATGCACTGTAGTTCATGTACACACTGTAAACACGGACCAGCAGTTTCGCATTTTTCAGCTTCTAATACTGCTTTTATCTGTTCTCAAGGTTTGGAGACTCCACTGTGGAAGAAATAATCGAAAAATAACCAATAACCGATCGATAAAGGTTTAGGTTATTCGGTAGTCAAAAAGTGTAATCGTTTCACCACTAGTTTTCTTCCTTGTACAAATGTGTCCCACTGGCAGACACATGTACAGTGTAGAAGTGAAACTCATGTGTATAGGATAGGGCTGAACGCGCTATGACGTAGCCAGGCCCGAGTCAACACAACGATGAGACTTGCGAGCGGATCTCTGCTTGTACGGATACATGCACGTTTGAAGCGGGCTCCTTCGCACAAGGACGATCCGTCCACCAGCTTTGACTGGGCAGTGCCCTGGGGACTGCTGGTATAGAAAGTCATGCCAGCATGCGACAGGCGGGGTCTACCCACTGCATACAATGTAAAGCCATGGAAGAGTAAATCAATTTAGACCCAGAAATGGTTATTTGTGACTACTGAGGCAGGTTGATAAGGCAGGTTGATATTATCACCTTCAAGCCCACACCCGCATGCATGCATGCGCACCCCTAGGGAAACACTCCCACGATAAAATCTGGTCTCACCTTGGTCAGGAAATTCAGCTCAAAACCAAACGACTGCTGATTGCGAGATCCGGCATTCATGAAGTTGCCAAACAGCAAAACGAGCTGAAGAAAAACACCGAGAAGCATCAACCATAAACACAGGCACACGCACACACACATGCGCACCATCGGGTTGGCAACAGAACATCTCGCCTAGCCAACTAGCACTCTACAGATGATAGCATGGAAGTACTTTCCAAGTCAAGCCCAAAAGAACGTTGCAGCCAGCACAGCACAGAACAAACGTTGGTAGTAGAGCCTCAGATCGAGCCACAGCGAGCTAACAGACAGCTAGATACACTGGGCAAATCATCATCAGCGAATGTGCCAGCACATACAGCAAACAATACACAGAGAACGACGTAATCCAGTGCTGACACCAAGCAGCCCTTTTTCTGCATCGGCGGAAAAGTGGCACTTCTCCACGTTTGTCAACTACTTCGTGCACGACACAAAACCCCAATTCCACTCCACGGCTCCTTGAATAAGATATAAAGAAAAAAACGAAGACTGGTAGCGTCTGATTACGCCATTGGCACCTGGCAGGGAGTGAGAGCGAAGCTGCCACAGTACTCAGTGACAACCAAAGCACTCCCTTTCAAGTAGTAGTAGCAGCAGCAGCAATAGCAGCAGGCAAAAAGGTGAAGGCAAGACGGAATCTGCAATGCACCTTTTCCAAACGAGACTCTCGCACACACACACACGGCCTAACCCAAGCCCGCAGGCAAGCAGCCTCAGATAGTGTCCCGCAAGCAGCGCAGCCCGCAAGGGCCAGCTGAAATGCGAGGCACGTCTCAGCATTGGCTGCAGGCTGCTACCACAATGCCAACCAAGGAAACAACATGCTCAGCCAAGCACAGTCACTATTTACCTGCAGTACGCTGAGGAAGGAATGACATTGAAGCTCCTCACAAGCAGAGATGACTGATTCGATATCCTTATGGCAATGGAAGTAGAAGAAGCAGAGAGATATGCACAAATTGGCATAGTTCACAAATATAGCCATGGCTGGCTAACGCCCCCCCCCCCCCCCCCCCCCCTTTGCATTGGCTTCTGCCATTGGACGGTGAAACAAAATGAATAAATAGCAATACTGAGTGCATACATGTACTTGGTGTAACAGCAAATTGCACACGGGGTGAAAAGATACTAGCAGTATCCTACTAGGAAACTTCATATAATTTACTAACAAAGACAGAAAAGGAGCTCTGGTTGGAATTTGTCTTAACATAATGGTCCATACGAACTTAGAAGTTGCGACTTCGGCGTTAATAGTCATGAAGTTGATTGTTCCAACTAGGAACACACGCTTCTTGCCGAACTTGACACTTGACTGACTCACGACTGCCATCCGGAGCACACGAGGAGCACGTCGCACCTTCCACTCGGCAAACCTGCAAGAAAGCACCACTCCCTGCTCAATACACAGTGTTTCGGGGAATTCACCCCTCATCAGTTGAGCTTGAGTAGGCTGAGGAAGATTGTGCCTGAAAAGCACCACTTATATACTGCTCTCCAGGCCAAACCATCACCAGGGATACAAACTTACAGAGACGCTTTGTTTCCAGCGCGACAAACACCTCGTGAAGCTCCAGGTAGCAGCGTGAGTCAGAGTCGCTCATGGAGTTGTGCTAAACAGACGTTGAGAGCCAGTATAGCTATTCGCAACGCTGTCACCTCCAACAACTAGTCGCACGTCCGCGTGAGGGACAACAATACGAACTTAGAAGTTGCGACTTCGGCGGTAATAGTCATGAAGTTGATTCTGTTTAGCACAACTCCATGAGCGACTCTGACTCACGCTGCTACCTGGAGCTTCACGAGGTGTTTGTCGCGCTGGAAACAAAGCGTCTCTGTAAGTTTGTATCCCTGGTGATGGTTTGGCCTGGAGAGCAGTATATAAGTGGTGCTTTTCAGGCACAATCTTCCTCAGCCTACTCAAGCTCAACTGATGAGGGGTGAATTCCCCGAAACACTGTGTATTGAGCAGGGAGTGGTGCTTTCTTGCAGGTTTGCCGAGTGGAAGGTGCGACGTGCTCCTCGTGTGCTCCGGATGGCAGTCGTGAGTCAGTCAAGTGTCAAGTTCGGCAAGAAGCGTGTGTTCCTAGTTGGAACAATCAACTTCATAAAGGTCCATGCTACGGCAATCATCAAACAACTGATAATAAAACCCGAGATTATAATCATTAAATTTCTGCTCATGCGTGATTTACAGTTGGTGGAGGCATTCTACTGGTGGGGTACACAGCAAGAAGTACTGTATGAGTAAACATTCCCAGGGCCTGCCAGGGCTGCCAGGGCTGCATTCTGCTTTGCCCCAATACATAACACAGAGCAAAAAGTGCACTTTAGCTGTAGCCTTCCGGGAAATCTGCAATGGCCGCAGAAGTTACATTGGGAATCGCCAGCGTAGTCTGAATTTCCTTGACCACAGACCATTTAAGGCCCTCATCAGACTACGTACATAGAACATCCAGTACAAAATCACATAAACCTAAAAGGCAACATTTTTCCAAGCCTGCATTCAGACTACACATTTTACATGCAATATACCATGCAATATACCATGTGATATACAGGCAACCTTTGACCCTACGCTATTGCGCAATGGACCTGGGATGTGTGAAAGCAGCTAGCCGGCAGTCGTACCCGGGTTCAAAGTCTGTACGTTTGTACAACTACCTGGTGAGAAAGTACGATAAATGCAGGAAAGTTGCCTTGTACAAGGGTTCGCACCCTGCCTGAAAGGATCGGGCAGCTTTTTAGGCTTCCCGCCAGATTCTTGTTGTTGTCTTGGAAACTTCTATGTAAATGTGACTTATAGGCTGTTTTGTACCTAGTCTGAAGAGGGCCTAACATCCCCACGCCCACCCGCACACATCCTTCCCCGCACTCAACTCACGGGCAAAACGTCATCTATGTCCTCGTCGAACTTGAGCCGAATAGACATACAGTTTAGTCGATGGCTGATGCGAGGGACTACGCCAACCTGCAGAGAGCAACACGGCAGGAGAAAAGAAGGTATACGCCCATTACACATTACCAAATACGGAAGGCATGAGTATTACTGTAAGGCATGTGAGTACGCTGGGATCAGCAATGCACTGTTCAACACTGTACACAACCATGCTTAGGTGGCTGTGTGCCAGTGTGTGGGGGCATGTATGGTACAAATTACATCATTGCACAATGGACTTATTGCAATACTACTCCTCCAGAACAGCTCTGAAACATCGTAGAAGATAGCAGTTAAACTGGCAAAGCACGAGACCCCCACACACTTCACCCAGGCACCGCAATCACAATTGAAAAACAGGAAAAAAAATTAATGACAAGAACTCACCACAACACAGAACTGTTCCGAATCTGATAAAGTGTCGTACGAGTTGCGGAAGAGAACCAGTTGTCTCATCTAGCCAGGGAAACGAAGACACAGAATACGTGTAGGGGAGCGTTGCATTAGGATAATAGGCATCACTAATATGCTGCGCATGTCTGTCTGGGAAAGGGGAGGAACGCTACCAACTTGGTACGTTGTACTATGTTCCATATGAAGCAAGCCAGATAGATACATACCACAAATGCAACATAATGCAGCTTCCATGCGTAGACAACCAGTGGAGACCTGTCTAAAGGACCACAGCTCTCTCACTTCTCCAAACAATATGCTTCACCTCATTGATTGCCACAGAGAGTGTAGCAGTACATGTACACGTACAGCGGTGGCAGCAGTGTGCTAATACAACGGCAATACTGGGTGGCTTCACATCGTTGTCATGTGACTAAATCTAGTGTACAGAACGATCATGGCATGTGGACAGTGGAACCAACATGGCCGACACCATGTGACCAATAGATGCAGGGGTTGAGTGGAGTTTGAAAAAAACATGGCTGCTCTGTATGGTCATGTGATAGATGTGCAACCACTCAATAGCCAGGGTTCCGAGCAGTTTCCCAACTCAGAAGAATGGTGCATGTAATGTAGCAATGAATGGCTGGCTTGCCCACGTACCTGGTCATCCGGTGGCAAGTACTTCATCAAGTTGGTGATGGTCGAGTACTCTAGCTCATCACTGAGAATGACAATACGGTTCTTGAGCACCTTATAATCCAGCCGCATTGAACCCAACATAATAGCTGCAGTACAAAGCAACAACAAAGAAACAAATCACAATGGCAATCCACAGATATCCGTAATCAACTGCTATAATATGCTATTGAGCAGGTGTACTGGTGGGCATTCACACTGTTTAAAAACTGATATCCTGTCTGCAACACATCTGAAACTAGAGCAGTCAATACAATTTGCAGTGGCGTTGAATAATGGCTCGAAAGACTCCAGTCCACATACAGCTCTCTATCTTATCTGAAAAAAGGGAGACAATGAAGGAGTTGCAAGATGTGACAGAACAGTTTGCAGCTAGATAGAGCGTGTGTGATGTTCGGCATGAGTTGACCGCCATATTTTACAGGTACTTCAAGAAGTTCAAGTATTATCCATAAAACGCTACCGGTACTTACACAGATTCTGTGCCGACTTGGCGTCCAGTACGCGGAGTTCCTTGACCTTCTTTACCGGCTTTTCGACCACTTCGCCACTTTCAGCAGCTTTTTTCGGCGCTGTGGGGGAAAAACAGTAAATAAATATCCGAGTTCCAAATTAACGGGTTTCCAGATAGTGTAAAAATGTGCATCCCGGTAGTGGGCACTTGCCAAGCATGTAAAAAAATGTTAAGTAAGTCTACAGTTCCTTCACTGGCACAAACAATCACTAAAATACAGTAAAACCTGTAACTAAAGACCACCGTGACTAGCGACCAGCCTGGTACTACAGTAAAACCTGTAACTAAAGACCACCGTGACTAGCGACCAGCCTGGTACTACAGTAAAACCTGTAACTAAAGACCACCGTGACTAGCGACCAGCCTGGTACTACAGTAAAACCTGTAACTAAAGACCACCGTGACTAGCGACCAGCCTGGTACTACAGTAAAACCTGTAACTAAAGACCACCGTGACTAGCGACCAGCCTGGTACTACAGTGAAACCTGTAACTAAAGACCACCGTGACTAGCGACCAGCCTGGTACTACAGTAAAACCTGTAACTAAAGACCACCGTGACTAGCGACCAGCCTGGTACTACAGTAAAACCTGTAACTAAAGACCACCGTGACTAGCGACCAGCCTGGTACTACAGTAAAACCTGTAACTAAAGACCACCGTGACTAGCGACCAGCCTGGTACTACAGTAAAACCTGTAACTAAAGACCACCGTGACTAGCGACCAGCCTGGTACTACAGTAAAACCTGTAACTAAAGACCACCGTGACTAGCGACCAGCCTGGTACTACAGTAAAACCTGTAACTAAAGACCACCGTGACTAGCGACCAGCCTGGTACTACAGTAAAACCTGTAACTAAAGACCACCGTGACTAGCGACCAGCCTGGTACTACAGTAAAACCTGTAACTAAAGACCACCGTGACTAGCGACCAGCCTGGTACTACAGTAAAACCTGTAACTAAGGACCACCGTGACTAGCGACCAGCCTGGTACTACAGTAAAACCTGTAACTAAAGACCACCGTGACTAGCGACCAGCCTGGTACTACAGTAAAACCTGTAACTAAAGACCACCGTGACTAGCGACCAGCCTGGTACTACCGACCACTTGGCCAGGCACGGACGGTCTCACATTCAAAATTCACTGTGACTAGCGACTACCTGCTGAACGCGACCAGCGACCGCCTTTTCTTGTCCCAAAGACGGTTTTTGACCCGTAACTAGCGACCGCGATGTAGGAAATCAAATGTTGCTCGAAGCTCCTTCTTGAAATTTTGCTGATTTTCCATGGTCCTGAAAGGAATCTTTCGGTACTTCAGCTGAACAAATGAACGCAGGCCATTTTGACTGTGGAGTCCGTGTGGACCGCACTACACCTGTCAGAATTTCAAGCGCCGTCAAGAATACACATGATAGGAAACGTCTTGGAGAGCGCATTGAAAGCGCTCTCTGCTCGATGTTACTACTCGGAGGAGAAACAAAGACTGAGCGGCTCTGTCACCCAGTCATACAAAGGAATCGACGATGGCGTCAAGGAATCCAGAAACAAAGCAGCACCGCGAGGTCCTGATGCTGAAGGATCGCGTTTAAACAATCGAGAAGTCACAACAGGGATAGTCGGTACGATTGATCGCATGAACAAATTTGAAGCTCAGCGCAAAACGAAACTTCCACAGGGAACGTTTGACTCCTGGCTTCAGAAGTAGCAGCTGAATTTGATGTCTGCAAACAAATTAATCTTCTCTCTCTCTCTTTCTGTCTCTCTCCATCTCTCCGTCTTTCTCTCCAAGTGTTGTTTGACCTGAATTAAGAATGGCATTGCGCAAGTCCTGGGGAATTGTATTAGCTGCATTTTGATATACATAATCATATAATGGGATCCATATATAGTCGCACGGTGCAAACCTCTAACTAAAGACCACCTGCTACTAAAGACCGCCTTTGCTGGCACCAAGGGGTGGTCGGTAGTCACAGGTTTTACTGTACTAGGGCTGAAACGATCGTGGATTTTCACGTATCGATTAGTCTTTAGATTAACGATCGAGCAATCGATTATAATCGTTAGCAAATAGTGTCATAATTCTGTGCAAACATTACTCTGTTTCCACAAACTATGCCTTCATAATACCAACAAATCTGCATTAGTGAAAGGGTAGCTCCGAAACATGGCAGTTTTGAAGTCAATTTAACCTCAGCACATGAAGCATACCCCTGGCAACTGCATACTCCCAGCGGAAACTGATTCAAACTTCACAAAACGAGGGTTTACAGTACTTTCTGGACAAAATTAAAAAACACAAAACAATCGTAATCGGTAATCTAAACGATTGCTCGATCGTTAGAGTTATCAAACGAGTACTCGATTATTCGGTATAATCGTTTCAGCCCTACTAAATACAAACAAATGTACATACCGCAATAACGCACATGCGTTTATAAGTGAATTTTTGCTACGAATCCAATTTTCAAAAAAGAAATGTTTCCCACCTAAACGCGCATGCACGATCAGAGTTCGTTTGCCAGAGTTTTCGTGTTTGACTAGGTCTTATAGTGTCAGTTTCATGGTTCCTGTATGCTGTTTGCAGACTTTTATCCGGGATCGTGTCAAAGTGAGAATTATGGTAGTGCTTCACCTATAAGAGCATGCGCTTTTATCCGAATACAGGCACATACGCCTATATGTGAGTTACTATGGTACAAGCAAGTGGACATGCAACGTGGGAGCAGTGACATGCAGCATGGCATTCGGAGACGTCACAAACCTTTGGAGGCGAACGTCGTCGTGAGCGACGCGAATAAACTATCCGTTCCCAGGTCGTCCTCGTTGATCTTGGCCCAGAACGAGTCTGGCTTGATGGCACGCGCCTGAAGCTACAAAGGGCACACCCAGTAACAATGAAACACAACAGATGTAGTGCGTCAGTATACGTACAGCAACATCTACATGTAACGGTCACCGAGAAAAAGTTTGCTTTAATTAATATTTGCTTTGTTTTCCTAGCTTACAATTGCCGTGGCTGGCTCAACGCCCTTGTCTCGGGGGATTCTGTCCCTGCATTAGCTATGCTTGTCACATGCTATGAGATTGTGTCTAATAATAATAATAAGCAGGGCAACGTCGTAGAGTGGTTTCACATCTGTGGCAAGTGACTAGATTCGTGTAGAAAGTCATCATGGCATGCGGACAGTGCCGACATCATGTGGCCCATAGATGAAGGGATTGAGTGCAGTAGAACCGACCATGGCTGCCCAGGATGGTCATATGATAGGTATGCAACAGCTCTATAAGGCGATCCCAAGGCAATGCTTTTTCTACCACACGCTCTGTGCATCCCAGGACGCAAGGCTTGGGCAAATGGACAGAAGCTTAAACCACCCCTGCTACATAGGGGTCTGATCCTTCTTAGGTCGAAATACGATTGGAAGCAAGTCAGAACAAGCATAGGAAATACTCTGACAAGGCTTTCTAATCGTTTCTACCCCAGGGTACCAAGAGAACAATGACGCGTAATTAATTACCTTGGTCCAATTCAGTCGTTTCATCTGTGCCTTCGGCTCGTACTTTCTCTTTGAAATACCAATACCAGCGCCTGGACCACCCATTCCAGGCGGAGGTGGCGGGCCGCCCATCCCGGGCGGAGGCGGGGGACCACCCATCCCGGGCGGAGGCGGCGGACCCGGAGGACCACCCATTCCGGGTGGGGGCGGGGGCGGTGGAGCGCCACCCATGCCGGGCGGAGGCGGGGGCGGAGGTGGTCCACCACCCGCACCGGGTGGTGGTGGCGGTGGTGGCGGTGCTGCCCCTCCTGGTGCTGGTGCTCCTGCCATACCAGGCGGTGGGGGTGGTGGAGGTGGTGCTGCCGCTCCAACTGGTGCTGAGGGCGCTGACGCTGTCCATAGAAAGACCCAGGAGCAGAAACAAAACCGTTAGAGTCCAGCCTAAATGTGCTAACAGCGCAATCGATCGCAAGCATTTCAACACCATACATGGATATGATGCACGTCATGACACACACACACGCGCACGCTAACTTACTTGGCTCGGCAGCAGTGGGTGCAGTACCCGCGGTTGTTGCGGTGCCAACTGGAGCAGGCTGTCGGCCGCTTCTTTCCAGTGAGGCTTTAAGCTCTGCGATCTGAACATTCAGCTTCTTTTCTTTCTCCAATGCAGCAGTGTCATGCTCCTCCATCTACATGGACCAGAGAACAAGATCAATCAAATACTGTAAGAGTTCAGACAAAAGAGCCACCCAAAGGCACCTATCTCAATAGCGGGGAGGTGCAAAACACCAGCATTGTCAAGAGCTGGAAGAGGTGCATACCCGAGCTAGGAGTGTATCTGCTCTTTTGCTTGCTTCTTCTGCAGTCGCCTTCGTTACAGCCGTCTCTGCAGCACCAGAAATCAAATGTGAACGACAACAAGATTGGCAATCCAAAAGCATAATAATAGAAGACTGCTACTGTCGTGGAGATTGAAATCCGATGGAATGACCGGCGCCGACGCCCTTACTGCCTGCAGCCTTACCGAGTACACGCATTGTAGTTCACATACACACTGTAAAAATGGACCAGCAGTGCTCACGGCTGCAAGGCCAGTGCCCCCGTGGCCGCTTGACTTCTCAACGGATTCCAAAGTCCGCAACAGTAGTTTCCCAGCAGGAACACGTTGCCAGTGACAAAAACAATGCACTGCCTGTGGGTAGATGAGAACCTCAAGCACCTAACCAGGCACAACTACAGTAAACCTTGCAAAGAACTGTCGTGTTTGGGCTGCAAGCCACGCAGGAGTCCATTGCGGGACAAGATAAGGACTGATTTATTTACAACGAGCATGCACATACAATACAGATGAGAGACAGACAATACGGGGAGAGACAATACGGCGACAAACACTATACACTACAAGAACAACCAAGGCTACAACGACAACTCACAAATAAAAACATTGTCTTCAGACCTAGCAAACATTTGGCTGCATACTAGTAAGTTCAACCCTGCGCATAACAAAAAAAACTTGTGAATAACAACACTTTTATCATGCCCAGCAGGGGCCGTCGTTACCCGCAAGGTTGACGATACATCTAACGAGAACTGGCTCTAGTATCTTACCCAGGTAGGCATCGATGTCCACCTCAAACTTGCGCAGACCAAAGTCGGGATGGATGCCACCATGGTATAAGGTTACTTGAGATACAAACTCCTCGAAGAGGATCATGTACTGGGCTCTGTAAGGATAGGACGACAGCAGCATACAAAATTGATCAGAGCCAATGAAGTTAGAACACATCGTGAAGGTTGCTTGGTAGAGTGTAACTGCCGATCCAGGACTGAACGTCATACAACCGCAGTGAAGAAGAGGTGAGGAAACATGGAGGAAAACAAGCTGCTTCAATACAAAATAGGCTGGACATTGGTAGAGGTTTCATTTTTCAACTTGACATTGGGCCACCTGCAACTCTTTTCCCTCCATCTCCAGCCAATCACGGATGAGATTGTACACACACACACACACACACACACACACACACACACACACACACACACACACACACACACACACACACACACACACACACACACACACACACACACACAGTTGAACACCCCCCCCCCCCCCCACACACACACAGTTGAACACCCCCCCCCCCCCCCCCCCCCCACACACACACACACACTATTCCAGGTCCTTACCGCACAATGTCCTCATTCGGCAGCATAATGAGGTGTTGGAGCAGCGACAGAAAGTGTGGATATGCTGGCGTGTCCTGAGACAGCGCCAGTAGCCGACTGAACAGCTCATATGGGTCACTAAGAGAGGAAGAGGCACTCGGGTCAAGGAAACAACACGGCAAGTAACAAAATTGCTCCACATGGCTGGTGACTTGTGTGAAAAGTGAATACCAGGCAACACGGCAAGCAGCAAACTGGCTAACTGCTTTAAACGGCTGGTGGCTTGTGTGAACAGTTAAGACCAGGACTCTAACTACACACAGATACCGCATTGTCGCGTATTAAAGCCGGGCTTATTCCTGTAGAAGCTGATGTAAGGGCTAGGCTTCTACTCAAACCAGATATTTGTATGTGTGTCAACACTGAAACCAGGCGTATGTGCCAGCAACGTATCTCGAAATCAGGCTTGTATTCAAAACAGGCTTCTACTGTAAACCGTGAAATTATTGCGATGGTCTAATTTCTGCGAAATTCGCGACCGCGTGGAAATCGCAGAATTTAGACAGCGCGAAAAGGAGATCCATAAAAGGTTTAGCATGAATGCCACAGTAGCAAATTCTGCAATCGCAAAATTAAAACCTCGCAAACCTGTCCGGATTCTGAAAACGCGAACTAAAAACGCCGCGAAAATTTCACGCTTTACAGTATTCGAGATAGGCTTTAATACAAGACACTACGGTATTGCATACATGCTGAAGGACTCTTCAGAGATAGATGACGGGTGACAACTCAAATGTTGCATGCTTGTAAGTGCTGTACACACAGAGTGTCCCCACTTCACTCAAAGGGCCACACCGCGAAACGTGCATGGGGCCTTTCCCGCCACAATATTATGTAATAGTGGATGAGCCACTTTGTGAGTGCAGTAGAAGCCAGGATCACAGAAGCCAGAAAATCAAGGCCACTGGCCGGGCATGGGCATCGGGGGTGCATACAGGGTGGAGCTGTATGAACTGAACAGGATGAACGGGATGGAGCTGCATGAACTGGGCACCCCACTAAACAAACTACATCTTATATACACCCGCCCATCGCTGAAGCGATGATAGCAAACAAGCTATGTTAGACATAGCAACTTGTACTGGGATTACACCATTCATCAGCTTGCAAGGCTGATGAATCGAGTGCGACTTATTTTAGCCTGGTCTACATCTAAGCTAGAGCTAACTACGGCTAATAGAACACACAGGAGAGCATGCAGTTTAGGATACTCCAACTCGACGCGGATGTCACCGAGTCGCACCTGCAGCTCGTTAACATCCTCCTCGCGATGGTACTCAAACACCTCCAGTTGAACGGCTAAATCATCACCGGGCTCGTCAGGGAGACCTGCGAGAACCTCATCGAGTCCAGCTCGAATCACTTCGTTTCGCAAGTGGATCCGAAAGTCCAGATCGTCCGGCGTCGTGATGATGGCGTTGATGAATTGAATACACGCCAGCTGCAAACACAAAAAAAAGGATAGCAAGACGAAGAAAAAATCAGAGAACATGTTCTCGTGTCTGGCAACCAGCTCCGCATACTTGTGCATTGAGCACTCTGCTTCGAGCTGCCTTGACCGGCCTTGTTTGTGACGAGCATAAATAAGTAGCTTCCTTTACATCTCATTCCCAGTGATGGTCGTAACCGAAGCGTTGAATCATTCTAGCAATGATAGAAAGAGACACAATCCATCTACAGACAACAGACACCGGATCACTACAGCAGAAATGATCCACACTACGAAGCGTTATTCAGATAGTAAACAAAGAGATGCAACACTGCCACCTCACCTGCAGTAAGTGATTTTTCGCGCCCTCCAGGTCTAAGCGGAGCGCGTCAATCAGAACCGAGAAGCGGCCGATTTCCCGAAACTCACCCACTAACGTGAGGGCTTCCAAGGCTTTGTCATGCCTGCAAGCACAGCAGCAGATATGTATAAATTGAGTTGACAGACTTGGAGACATACACGTAACACCCTACCCCAGCCATCCACTAACACCCCAGCATGCGACCGCACACCTACACACACTGTGGACAATACAAAATTACAAATCCTCCCAAATTCAATAGAACTGTTGAGAAGTAGTCATACAACGAATGGTGTTTTCTTCAAACGAATATTCTCTCGAAAATTGCTTTGACAGACGAACAAATATTCTTTATTCTTCTGATGTGCCTCAATCGCTTCACTCAATTAGACCCAATAGCCATGTTGCATACAGATCACGTTGATACTTGATAGTCAACAGCCAGTGGTGCAAGAGCAGATTTGACCAAAGAACAACCTTTACAGTTCTTAGAACATAATTTCTACACTATTACTGGTCAGTTCAGTTTGCATGAGCAGGCTGTGCCTGTCAGTTCAGTATCCGTGAAATCTGTGTCTAAGGTCCATAGCGCAACTCTGCGTGATCATGAGAGCATGTTGACATACATATTGCGTTGTGGGTTCATGTTCGGATAATTAGAATGTCTGGATAATTAGAAGTTTTATCCTGGCATTTTGAGGTTCGAATTATCAGGATTCCACCTGTATTAATTAAGAGGTGCTGATCAGCTGAAATGCAGGAGGAATTAGGTCTACAAGAGCCGGAACTAACCAGCATCAGCTTATTATAACACAGAATATGTTTGCACCGATAAAAAGGCAGCTATTAAAGTGCCCAAAAGTCCACCTGGTCATACCACAAAGAAGGTGGAGAGTACAGCATCAGGTACATGTCCAAAGGGAGTCCTATATAGAGTGGTTTCACATCTTTGTCATGTGACTAAATTTGTGTGGAAAGTGATCATGGCATGTGGACAGTAGGGCTGACCCGAATTTGCCAGCTGAATCTCGATATTTAGCGGCATAATTTTGCTCGTGCATCGTCGACATTTTGCTTTCATTTTGCTCGGTGTGCAATATTTTGCTCGTGTCAGCTGTGGTTGCAAAGGTGTTTCGCCATGGCTTCCAATGAAGTCTTGGTTATCACTGACTCGACTAGTGACACAGCTGAGGCCACTGAAGCGGCAGCTCCCTCTGGTGGCAGTGATAATGATCGTCAGGATGACAAAGACAAAGTATCAGAGTTTGTCGCCAGGTTTCAAGCTCCAAAGGCAGCCGATATTTCGCGGAAACGCTCCATGCCATCAAACCTTACAAAGGGTAATCCGGCCAAGAAATCCTGTCCTGGTCGTTCAAGTGACAAGTCTGCTAGCTTTGTACCAACCATTAACCCGAGGGACAGACTAAAGGAGTTTCCAGGCGAGGGGTTGAGCGTTGATGCTGGAAAATTATTTTGTTCCAGTTGTCGTGAGGAATTGTCAACAAAGAAGAGTTCAATTGCAGCACACATCAAGTCTGCCAAACACCAGCGCAGCAAAGAGACAGCAGAGCAGAAGTCTGTTCAATGCATGGCCATCACCGATCATCTCCGGCAGTATGCAAGTCAATACCATCCCTCTGGTGAGAGCCTGCCAGAGAACACACGCTTGTACCGCCTTCGAGTCACCAAATGCCTGCTGGAGTCGGGTATCCCACTCAGCACTGTGACGGGTGATTTCAGGGAACTTTGGAGGAGGGAGGCTATCGTCTCACCACACCAGGTCATCTGAGGGAGTGCGTAACCGTCATCCACAACTTATTCAAGAAGGACTTGTGCAAGGAGCTGGAAGGTCGAAGTGTATCTTGCATTTTTGACGGATCGACAAGGCTCGGTGAAGCCTTTGCTGTTGTCGTGCGTTTTATCACAGATGATTTACGTATCTGCCAGAGGCTTGCTGCTGTTCGGTGCGTGGAGAAATCCATGACAGCTTCTGGTGTGAGTGGTGCTCTGGTCGACATACTCATGGAGGACCTGCGTGTGTCTCGTCGGAATGTACTTGCCTGCATGCGAGATGGTGCATCCGTGAACACTGCAGCCATCCGGAACCTCGAGCAGCTGTTTCCTTCATTACTGGATGTGACGTGCTTCAGCCATACGCTCGACCGTGCTGGGGAGAATTTCAAGGTCCCCAATACAACAGAGTTCGTTAATGCCTGGGTCTCGCTTTTCTCACACTCATTCAAGGCTCAGCTAGCTTTCAGGGAGCGGACAGGCCTGAGTGTGAAGCTCCTATCGAAAACGCGCTGGTGGTCAAGATGGGAGGTGATTCAGCAAGTGGTGGAAATGTTCCCGGACGTCCATGGCTTTGTTGCATCGCAGACCGACATCGCACCTGCAACGGTGCGCAAGCTTCTCGCATTGCTCGATAATGCACAGACGAGAGGGCTGATTCAAATCGAGATGGCTGCTGTGGTTGACGCTGGTGAAGTAATTGTCAAGTCCACCTACAATTTGGAAGGGGATGGCCCTCTCGTGCTCATCGCTCATCAAGTCATTAAGAATGTGCAGGCATCGGTGCAAATGGCCAGCTTCCCGAAGCTGACTGCCTTGTGCAAAGCCCTGTGTCCAGGCCAGGAGGAGACCCAGCAGAACCTGCGATCGTATGGCATTCAGTGCGTCGAGCCTGGCTTGAAACACTTCTGCAAGAAGTTCATTGGTGCTGATGGAACTCCAGCCGAGTTTGAGAAGCAGATGAGCTTTTTCAAAGTTGCAAGCCTCTTCAACCCGCGCATCATGGCTGACAGGAAGCCATCTGTGGAGGACTTCAAGAGTGCAGTCGCCAGCCAGCCGACAATTGCATCTCTGGCAAATGCTGTTGCTGCTGAAGTCCCTCGCTATGCAGCAGCTGTTGATGAGCTGGATTCGTCCGTGCAGCCACTCAAGTGGTGGCGTCGCCATGCTGATGATCTGCCTGCCTTGGTCAGTGCATTGAAGGTCGTGCTATTGGTCCAACCATCCAGTGCGGCAAGCGAGCGAGTCTTCTCCCTGTTGAATGGTTTGATCAGCAGCCGACAAGAGTCAATGTTGGAGGAGACTGTTGAGGCCACATTGATGGCACGAATGAATGTCGAGAAGTTTTGCACAGACGATCTACCTTCACCTTAGTTTTTGATTTGATTGAAGTTCTGATCCAAGCCTTGCAATGATCTCGTCAGCTTCTATTATTTTATCTTCTTACCCTTGCTAGTGCCATGGCATTGTTAGGATCTGTGCTGTCATTTCTTGATGAAATAATTATATTATCCTGTCACTTCTTGATCACTCAACGATCTTGATCTTGATTTTCCACTCCGTTTGCCATGGTTTACTCCAGTAATTCATTGCTTACGCTGTCAATTTGTTCGAGATTTTTATTTATCTCTTCTTGATCACGATGAGTAGTCAACCCTTCTTGATCCAACGATTTTCATTTTGATTTTCCACCTTGTTTACTTCAGTATTTCGTTGCTTACGCTGTCAATTCGTTCCTTGGTTTTTTATTTATCTCTTCTTGATCACTATGAGCAGTCAACCCTTCTTGATCCAATGATTTTCCACCCCGTTTACTTCAGTAATTCGTTGCTTACGCTGTCAATTCGTTCCGCTCGCTATCACGTGCATTCAACAAATGCTCATGGAAAGTCTGTGGGTTCTGGGCTCAGTGGGGTGGCATATTGCATGTTCTAAGGTGCTTTGGGTATTGATTGACTGTAGAATCCACTTAGATAGTGTCGATGGTGCTGCAGTGCAGTCACAGTGCAGCCAGCACGAACCATGTCGACACAATCATTCAAAGACAGGGAGCATTCTGCCACTTTCAGCATGATTTTCCTCATTTTGCTGGCAAAATCTCGATATTTTGCTCGTATTTCGCCGGCAAATTCTTCTTCTGAAATCCTCGATATTTTGCTAGAAGAATTGCTAGCAAATTCGGGTCTGCCCTAGTGGACAGTGGAACCAACATGGCCGACATCACGTGACCCATGCATGCAGGAGTTGAGTGGAGTTAGAACCAACATGGCTGCCGTGTATGGTCATGTGATAGGTGTGAAAACCACTCTATTCAATGCACAGGCGCACAGGTTCAACTGGCACTAACCCGCTGGGAGGCACCAGGGACATGGCGGCCATGATGCGGAGGACGTCGGTCATCACCTGCGGCTTGCTGGGATGCAGCGACCGCGCCAGCGTGGCCAAACCGTTCTCATCGCCGAGCACTTGGCTTAGACCGTGCTGCAGAACAAAGGCAATCAGCACATGAACAGAGCTAAGTCAAGGAAGAAATCACAGTTGACCAAGGCACAAGACAGGCAAAGAGTGAAAGCCAAGCTGACCGTGGTGTGATCACTACACTGTACTGAACGGATCAAACACAACATGAGTTGTGAATCACAGTCAACCAAGGTACAAGAGAGGCAAAGAGAAAAGCCAGCCAAGCTGACCGTGGTGTGATCCCTAAAGAGCACTGAATGGATCAAACACAGCATGAATTGCGCATCACAGTCAGCCAAGGTACAAGACAGGCAATGGGTGAACACAAGCCAAGCTGACCGTGGTGTGATCCCCAAAGAGCACTGAATGGATCAAGCGCAAGATTAATTGCCGGAAGAACATGTAATGCGGAGGACACTGCACCACACCGCCACTTACCTTGTTGTTCATGAAGGCTTTCAGGCACCGGACGCACTCGTGCTCCAGGCGAGTGTGAACACTCGACTGCACGCTGTACGACACACAGAGCAGGGCACCGGCAGCATGACTACACCTTACAGCAAAACCACATCAACACTGTGGATACTACTAATTGAGAGCATGACTAACAACCCACACTTCGTTAAAATTACTGTGAGTTGATCTTTGTGCCCGCTAAGTGGGGAAAATTTACAAAACCGTTTGACTTTAGACTCGTTTAAACCCTTACAGTACACCCATGTTCACCTACAGAACAAGCCAGAGCAGAGTAGAGAGCGTGGACAGTGCAGCGAAAGTTAATCGAAACAATCAACATGCTAAATGCTAAATGCTGTCGTCGTTACTTCATAACATCTTCGAAAGCAGCTCATCGTCAGGCATCACAAGTTTTACAACTCAGCCTGGAGTTGGAAGAAAAGATGGCTGTGATATACAATCCTGCGCTGACTGATGCCTAGCACAAATACGCTCGGGCATGCAGACACACCGAAAAACATAATGATTATGACAAGAACTCACTATTGGCACTCCTTGAGCAGACACATCAGTAAATCCAGACCACCCTTGTCGGAAAAGTCCCGTAGCCAGCTAACCGCTCGGTTTGTAAGCGATACGCGCAGCGTTGTGACTAATTCCAGCATGAGGGCCGGTCTTTCCGTCGCCTTCATTGCGTCTACAAACTCGCCCGGCAAGTTCGGACCATGCTTTTGGTTCGGCCCGGACCTCTTGTGGAAGTTGCGAAGCATTTCCCGCTTCCCGGATACATCTTTACCTCGGAGTGGCCGCCGCATTTCCTCCGTCAAGTTCATATCATCCTGCATATCAAACAAACCGGAGCAACACACCAGAACGCAAAAGCAAACCAGTGAGTTGGGAGTCACCAACGTGAAGTGACCCTCCCAGGGTGCACAGAAAACCACTCTCTGCAAACAGCTCCAAAATTCAGCCATGCTCGGTGAAATCCGACCCAAAGTGCATATTTAGTGCCCTCACCGGGTACAGCTCGTGATGCCCTGGACAAGGCTGGACGTACAAATGTACATGTGCATGTACAGTGATGACATCGGACCCCCCCCCCCAACAAAAGAAAGAAGAAGCAGGGTCTACATGGGCACAGGGCGCACTAAAAAGAGTAAGCAAGCCGGTGCTTCAGTGCGTTGTCATTATTATCGTATGTACCATGAGCCATGTATACGGCTGTCACAGGAGAAGCACACAAATCTGCAAATGCACTGGATGTGCACCCACTGAGTTTTCATATGTACAGTGAGGTTGCGTTTGGTTGGGCATTTTCAGAATGTAAATGACAACCATTCTGGAATGGGAATCGGCAAGAATCACCTGACCAAACTAACGCGCCAGAATCAATTAGGAATAACTTGACATAACAATTCAATGATGTCGTTGAGGAACGGCGGCTGTCTTTTCTTTTACCCGACTCTAGTTTCCTTGAGAGAGTCATGGTACTTCTGGGTGCATGATTTGAGGCACTTGAACCTTTTGCTACATTGTTTGGCTCGTGGCAGCCATTATCATTTTTGATTCCGGAATGAGAATGCTCATTCCAGCATGTGAGGTGGAATGATCATTCTCCAAAAAGAATCATTCTCAGCGATTCCCATTCTGGAATCATGTGGAATGTGACCAACCTATAAACGCACTTTTTTGACCAACCAAACGGGCGAGAATGATTCCGAGTGATTCCAAGTGATTCCCATTTGGGAATGTGACCAACCAAACGTAACCTCACTAAAGACTAGTAAAGAGAGTGCAACCTCAGAAACCACCTTCCGGACCGGGAACAAGTGGTTGCATTATTGTGGCGGTCCGTGAAAATGAGGCATTTTCGAATCATGCATGTCACATTACACTGTGCCAATGGCCTTGTGCATCTCCTCGTTCAACAGCAGCACAGGATGTACGCATTGAACATTACATGCGTGTACCCTACTGACACCATCAAAACAAATGCTTTGCAATGGCCGACAAAACGGCACACAAAACGTGAATACACACAACTTCAACAGAAGCACGCAATCACAGTATGGAAAGGACCATGATAGAACAAATCAGAACCATGCTGTTTTGTATAGAGCCTGTCCCATAGAAGTCTGTTTTGTATAGAGCATGTCCCTTAGACGTCTGTTTCGTACACAGCCTGTACCATTATAGAAGTCCGTTGTGTATAGAGCCCATTTTGATATTCGGATAGTTCCAGTCACATTCCATAGAAGTCTGTTCCGTATACAGCCTGTACGATGTAGAAGGTGGCTTTAGAATACAAGCCTAATTTAGAAGGTGGACCAACACCAATGGCACATCAGCCTAGACAGATTCTAAATCTAATAGTTCAGTGCAACCCTACAGTCCGTTCAGAAAAAGATGAGCGCTGGCTCTGGAGAGCTACCGTATTTGGCGATTTTGTGGTACCCTGTGCAGTGCCGCGAGATTCGAAACTTGAAAAAGGGTCCAAAAAAAGGTACCTCAACTGGAATTCGAACCGCAAATGAACTGTTATGCAAGTGGAGCGAACGGCCTGGATTTTCATGGTTTTCCCTAATCCAGTGCTTTGGGGGCAAAACCTGGCCGAAATCCTATTCTGGTTATGGCTTGCTCTTTGGAGAAATGGATTTCAAAAACATAATTGGAAGAGCATTCCATGGGGGATTGCCAAACAAATTGGGACGAAAACTCAAAATTTGACCCGTTTATGGCCAAAAGCTAGGATATCGTCTTTTTTTTCTGAATGGACTGTAGCTCTCACATCAGGTTGTAAGAAAACAAATCCCCAAGCTTAGATGTACTGTAAAACCGGAAAGTTGAATGTTTTTTGTAATAATCGCATGACAACGTGCAGAAAGTTTAACGATGGCTACCTGGCCACCCATCTGTATGCGCATCTTTACACAGACATCTCAAACCGGGTTCGCGATAACGTTTCTTCAAATAACGAAAACATTGATCGCTAAAGCGTTGCGACTCGTCAGACTTTCCGGTTTTACAGTAACCAGAAGCAACTCATGGCACGGTTCTCAAGCCAAGGGTTGGATTTCACAACTAGAAGAAATCCATGACACGGTTCCCAAGCTACAGCCATGGCACATTTTTCAAGCTAGGGGTTGGATTTTAGTAGCTACAAGAAATCCATGGCACAGTTTCCAAGCTAGGGGTTGGATTTCATCACTAGAAGCAAGGCGTAGCACAGTTCTCAAGCTAGGGGTTGGATTTCACTGGCTAGCATTGTCCGTATGGTAATAGTACATGCACGTGTCACGGCTCCCCATGCGAACAGCTGGCCACGTGTCAGCCGTGGCATCTGCATTACCATGCACCTGTAGCAACCCTGTGTGCTGCACTGAAGACCACCAGGTGGAAGCCAGCCGGCCCACACCGAACACCCGTCTCTAAATAGCAACACGTCTCCCGCCATCACTTCTGTGTAGGCCACATCACCATAATTTATACGCAGGAAAAAATGCAGCACGTTACGAGCTGCGTGATACTGTAAGACATGTATATATAACGAGGAAGCAAATCTAACGTTTTAACGGATGACATTTCTTCGTTATAATAAGATCCGTTGAGGCCGTACTGCTTCATATATGCTGTGTGTGGATATGGCAGAATACTGCAAGATCGTTAACATATCTTCTCGTTAACCTATGAATTTTGGACAATCGTTAAATTTGCGACTCGTTATAATAACATGTCTTACAGTAGCACAATATCATACTACATACACAGATGGTACGCAATACAGATTGTACGCAACACAGATTGTACGCAACACAGATCGTACACAACACATATTGTATGCAACACAGATTGTTACAAAAGACAAGAATAACACAAAAAAAAAGGAGTGACTTGGCATTGTCAATACAGAACATACTGCAAAAACAGAATCCCAGGGCCTAGCATCAGCACCAGCGTGAAGCTGCAGTACTAGCTGATAGTCCAATCCCCATTGCACATCACTGACACTTGACAGGTATCCCCACCCAATAATCAGGCCATAGCAGGAAGTGGCCATGTAAGTGGGCAAAGAATACAGTGCTCTGGTATTCAGTACACACCAACACAGGACTAAACGCAGGCAAGCAGGCGTACAGTACACGGTACAGCGCACAGCAATCTACATAGCAATGAATATGAACAACTACTGCATTATGTTTATCCATTCGGACGCTTCCTGCAGCCTCATGTCTGAACCAAATGTGTTTCGGACAAACCACCACAACTCAAATTTGCACTGCTATTCACTCTATCTATCTTCTGCTATCATGTACGTTCTTTTTTGTTGTATGTCCGTCACCTGCATGATAGCTACTCCTAACGGGTAAAAGTGCCCTGCCTCCACACCATTTCATTGTTCCTGATGATGGTCTGCGGCCGAAACGTAGACGAATAAATGAATATTAAAGCTCAGAGTGAATAGCAGTGCAGATTTGAGTTTTGGCAGTTTGCCCGAAACACATCCAGGACTGTACACGGCCTGGACAAATCAAGTTTGGAAGAACTGGTGCACATCCCACTAACGTTTATGGATGGAATGAGCATGAAGCTCATCTTTGGAAAATACTGTATAACAAACTGACATGACAGCACACAAGTACCGTATTATCTCTATTACAAGCGCAGTCTCTTGCAGAAGCCCAGTCTCTATTATAAGCGCACTCCAAGAGGGCTTCGAAGATATACAACCGCAGTCTCCAATATAAGCGCAGGGCGTATAACGGAGAACTGTATGGATCATGTCCATGCATGTTTGACATCACAAAGTGTCACATGCGCACATGCTGTGGCACAAAAGTCTGTGGACCCTGAGGTAAAAAGAACAGACTCTGTGTACCAGGAAGTACAAAACTGCTTCCTGATACCTGGTGGGAAGCTTTGTGCTACTGGTGTAATAACAAATGATGACCAATGTACATGTAACAGATGGTTTAAAAATTATAAGCCCAGTCTCTAGTAGAAGCCCAGCCTCTAATATAAGCCCAGGGTCCGGACTGGTTGAAAAACTAAAAGCCCAGGGCTTATATACTAGTAAATGGAGATAATACGGTAAGAACACAAGGGTACAACATATAAAGGACAGTGTGAAACGATTCGAACTACCGGGGGGGGGGGGGGGGGGGGGTAATATCCAGGGCAGTAACCAGAACTAATCGTCAGCCATGTATGGAATGTGCTACTAGTATTCTACCAGAGTTCAAAAATCAACCAACAGTAGTCCAACTCAACGGACAGCGTACCGGATGGGCCGGTTGATATTCATTCCAAACACCCCTTGATACAAAGAAAAAACGGTATCACAAGGAGCTTCATCAGATTCAACCTAGCTAAGACCATGAGCGAAATCACAGAGCACTAGCAGTATACTGTAACGTACAGAGACCCGAGCTACATACTTCTGATGTGCTGTTGTGAACATGAAATGTTTTTTTTTTAACCCCGTTGAGAAGTCAAGCCACCACAAGGCGCTGCCATTGCAGCCGTGAGCACTGCTGGTCCACTTTGGCAGTGTGCATACGAACTACAATGTGTGTACGCGCAACAGCAGCTGGAAGCTCCAGTGTAACAGTATTGTATTTTGAGCGCAAACAATGTACACCTCCACTTCCCACAGGAATACCATTTGGTAAACACAGTTTAAAATTCACCCATTTACTCATTTCCCATAAAATTCTGGTCCATACCAACTACTTGCAAGTACCATTGGGAAATGGACACTCTTTCCCTGACTTAGTTATGGAACATTACTCTGTGAAGAATGCCAGTAAACTGAACACACCAACACACATGGGTGGTTTGCTGTAACACCAGCAGTACACCATGCAGTTGGGCATATCATGTTACACACGTCATGCGCCACCTGCACTGTATACACTGTATCGTCAGCACACGCACATACAGCTGCTCATGCAGGAGCAGCCCAGCACACCACATTTCATACAGCCCACAAATTCACAATAAGTGACAAAATACACAACACAGAGCTTCACAAGCTACAGCCATGGGTGGGGATTCAACATCAACGATATCAATTTCAAACGGAACGGCAACAAAAAGTTGCTGGTGAGATTACAAAAAAATTCCAAGGAAATATTTTCATTCTCTTTTGAACAGAAACATTCTCCATCTGACTCTGAGGACCTACACGGGATCAGAATCAGCTCACATGCACACTGTGCCGAGTGATAATTTTTTTCTGGCAAACGTAAAAAATAAACAACCGATACGATTACTGACTCAAGAATTGCACACATGCAGCTCCCAGTACAGCTAATCGTGACAAGACTCCACAAGAGGAGCGTTAGGCAATGCAGGGTGCTACCCCACTGGATGTGGCAAAACTTAGTGATAAAGTGTTTCCCCATACAAATTCAGTGCCACAGTTGCAACGTGTCAAAACATGAAGTGGAAGACACTTTTTTATTGAAAATCATTATGGGCCCATCAAGTACTACACGATGCTATCCCAGAATAAGCAGCCTGCCCGGCACAATACTACTGACTATCACGGTCCAAGCTAGGCGGATAATGAAGAGAAAGCCTTCCCACTATCGAGTAGAGTATGCTAAAACTGGTACTTGTCACTGGCATACGCAACCTTTTAGTTTATCTACGCTTGAGTGTGAAAAGTGGTTTGGTGCTCGACGGTGCCATTTCAAGACGAAACGGCATCGCTCAGAGAAATTTATCATTGTAATAAGCAAAACCACCCTGAGATCACAACCAAACTACTCCATGGACAAAACCGTGGGATTAAAATGACAGCAGACCAGATCAGTCAAAAAATATTTGTAATCAATCAGTTCATATGAGTACGTACAAACATTCTCTCCATCAGGTTCTCCAATTCTTCGCCCTCCACAGTGCGGAACTCCGCCTCCAGGTCCGGTTCCTCATCTTGCTTTTTGCTCTTCTTCCAAGACTACACGCCACAGAGCAATGACCAAACACAACAGGGATGCCGGTTTCCGACAAGTACGATCGAGAAAATCTAGAATTGAACAGGAACCTACCCACTTCGCCTTGGGGTTGGCAGGTGCATTGAGAGACATTTTCGAGGACGAAGCGCAGCTTACGCCGTGCAGGAATGCACGAAGGCTGCCTTCCCTACGGAGTTTCTATAATTCTAGTTGTCATTCACCTTCAGTTGGAATTACTACAGCTACAGGTAAAACAAGGAACGTGTCCTGCCTCACTTTCCAAAGTCTCATTCAAACTGCTGATTACATCCTCCAGATGTTCGGAGGCATCATAGCAGTCAGTCAGTCATACCGTGTGGGTATGCACCCGTGCATGCTGTCGACCTTCAACTGAAGGGACCGTGCAGGACGGTACGGGGCAGTGCAAGCAGCGATGCTGGAACGCCGTCGTACAAGCGGAGCTGCCGAATAAGAACCCGTGTCGTGTGAGGACTGAGGAGGTGCGCTACTTCCAGTGCAGTGCGCGCGCTAGTGCAGACCCGGGTACCCGCGTACAAGCTTGCTACACTACCATGACTACCGCTGATGGCGCTACACAGTCCATGATCCAGTCATCGTGTCGGGCCGCGGGTGAAGTGACACGACGTACAGTAAGATCGGGCGCCGAAGAACGCAGGGGCTCGAGCGCAGCCTAGGAAAGTTCTTAAATTTTTGATTCTAGCCAGACCGTTCTTATTCACACGCGCGCGGCGAGTCGAGTGACGTCATGACGTTTGTCATGTACATGTACATGTAGTGCAATTATGTAGTACTTCTAAACTAGTGGGTGTCGTAAATGGGAATGACTGTACATGTAGCAGTTACTGTTTACACGTGTACACGACATGTACTCACCTCCCATACATGTAGAATGTTCCAAATTTTAAAAGTGTTCTTAAATCTGATAATTCTAGCCTGGACTGTTCTTAAATTTTGCCGGTTTTCCAGCCTGGGTGTTCTTCGGCGAGGTGTTCTTCGGCGCCCGATCTTACTGTAGTCGTAGATCTACGAGCCTATCGCGTTGGCATGTATCGAAGAGCTAGCGTTTACACCACTAAATCAAATCACAGCTTTTTGGAAGCCTGACTAGACTCTTTGCATCTATTCTTTTACCTACTACTGTACTAGTATTCTTTGCAAGCACAAGTGGTAGGGAGCACCCACAAATCAAGAGTGAATCGCAGTGCTTACAATGATAAACAAACAACACAGCTAGCTGGTCATTGAAAATGACTACAATGTATGTAGGATCGCATCACAACACACCAGAAAACTTAGAGATGCGAAAATAATTAATTACGGCAATTAATAAAGCTACAGGTACTTTTCTTTGCTATCAATCCCCAAAAGAATCTAGGATACCTCAACCATAGATTCTAAGGATTCCAGCCCGTATTGAGATGACCAATGGCTGTTCAACAAGCTGGGCTTTGCAGAACAGTGAACGCCCAGACCACATACCAAAATACAACATGCGCCCGGGATCTACTATGTACATGTGCTTGTCTCCTGACACGCCAGGTAAGGTTAAAGTTAGAAAGAGCAAAGTATATCAAAAAAAGTATTCTTTCTCGACCAAAGAGTGGTATATTTGATAAAATTTAATAACGATAGAAATATTTACGATACTTCTCCAGACGTTTCGTTGTTCTGAACATCCACTGACGATGTTGTTCAGAACAACGAAACGTCTGGAGAAGTATCGTAAATATTTCTATCGTTATTAAATTTTATCAAATATACCACTCTTTGGTCGAGAAAGAATACTTTTTTGATATTAAAAATGAGAGTGAATAATCAACGGCTTGTCCACCAACTCTTAGAGCAAAGTATAATCAATATTTTTTCGCATTTATTCTTCAGAATGTTAGTTTCATGACAAACAGTTTTTTTTAAATATGATAAATGCACGGGCGATTTAGTCTTCATCTTCGGCAAGCATGGCGATATGGGAGGCCTTTGCGCACTGCTCCTCTGTTAGTCTCTTGGGCTACAATGCAGAAAACAAAACAAAAACAAAACAGCAGAAGCCACAGGTCAGCAGGGCTAGCGACCAGTACGCAACAACTCACCGAACAATGTAAAGAAATACCAGGGAAACACACCGAAACAGGACATTCTCATGAGATGAACTTTGTAAAAGTAGGCCCGGTGATACTAAATAAGCATAACAGAGAACGCTTCATACGTCATGACTTTTCGCCAGGCATTGCTGTTAGTGCCAAACCAAACAAATAAGTATAGGACTGGTGAGAAACTCACGGTTCCGTGAAGCAGAAGAGTGGGCACGGACGTAAGCTTGAGCTGGGGGTGCGTCCGATAAGCGTTCTGCTTGTCCTTCCACCTATACATGGGGGTAAAACAGAGAGGTTCCAGGCTGTCCAAGAGAGTGCTCAATACCGAGAGGCAGAGCTAGTTCAAACAATAAGAGGACGGAAAAAGTGTTCTAACTTAGAGTTTCACGCACTAAGCGATCATCAGAAAACATTAACTGTTTTCTGATGATCGCTTAGTGCGCTTGAGCTGGGGGTGCGTCCGATAAGCGTTCTGCTTGTCCTTCCACCTATACATGGGGGTAAAACAGAGAGGTTCCAGGCTGTCCAAGAGAGTGCTCAATACCGAGAGGCAGAGCTAGTTCAAACAATAAGAGGACGGAAAAAGTGTTCTAACTTAGAGTTTCACGCACTAAGCGATCATCAGAAAACATTAACTGTTTTCTGATGATCGCTTAGTGCGTGAAACTCAGAGATAAAACACTGTTTCCGTCCTCTTATTGTTTGTTTGTACATGGGGGTATGCAGACACATGACAGCAGCAGATGTACACTCGTACAGAGATGATCAATGTCCTTGTGTCATTATGCACACTAGCAGCCGAAACAGAAATACAAGCGCGCATCCACACATTGATCCGATGGCTGAGGGAACATCCCCATCAAATCCTTCGACAGCGCTGCGACGTACAGATATTTCCATTCGAACACTGCAAGCGCGTGGGCATGCTGCCATGCATGTGTGATATACAAGTACATGCATAGTATTCCCAAACGGAACGTGATCCAGAGATGCAAGTAGAACATGGGAGTGAGCCTTCACGCGATTGAAAGACAAGGACGACTATTTTAAAAACATGGATTAAAACACAAACAGTCTGCGAAGTACTTCCACGAGTGTCCATCCATTGCACCAGTGCCAACAATCGAGTTTGGACGAAAGACCTCTGATTTATCAGATGTCTTCTACATGACATTTATTGACCTTCCATGAATATATCTGCAGCCATTGGAAACCACCAAGCAGAATGAAGAAAAGGTCAGCAGGAGACTGAGAAAGAGAAGAAAGACGTGTGCTGCCAAAATTGTCGGGAATTGAACCCGCAGCCTCTCGTAGTGGAGTTAGCCAACTCAGTGTGTTTCCAAGTTGATAAATCGAAGTCCCGTAGAAGACGTCCATTTAACACACACACACACACGTGCATGAGCACCCGCCCGGTTTTATCCGGGCATACAACTTACGCATCACGGCCGCCGACATCAACATGAATAAGGACTGCGCCGGCTTTGGCAACCTTTGGGAGTTCACTGGCGATGACTGGATCAGCTGCAATCATAGCCAGGCAAGAAAACGAAGGCAATGTGAGTGAAACGTAACCCAAATCTCAAACAAAAACACAATTTGGTCTCCATGGTTGTTTTTCTTACTGGTACCGCTGTGCACAAATAGCCTAAGAAATAGGGGGTTGATTTTGAATGCACTGACCAGTTTGTCTAGCACACATACACTTACATATGCATTGCATAATAAATAAGACAATGGAGCAAGTATTGCCTCGCTTCCTTTTGGACGAGAATCACCTAGATCCAGGCTGCCAAGTGCAGTACGATGTGCAACTACATGAAAGGACATAGTCGCCGTACTGGAGGCACAGTTCCACCCACAGGAATTTCTGTACTGGCATGCAATGTGCGCTGCGATGCATGTGTAGGTTCAACATCGTATTTTGACATGCACTCTGGGTTGGAAATTTATACGGGGGGGGGGGGGGGGGGGGAGGGGTATTTTACGGTACATGTACATGGGTTCTGTCTTCCTCGTTCCTGTCTCTGAATCACTGTCATCACTACTGGGATACTACCATGTGATCGTTTGCTTTGAGATTAGGGACCTTTCGCATTTGCTACGAATCGAATGCGAAACAAAAGTTTGATTCGGCTCGTAATCGTTTCGTTGAAAACAGAATTTAGGTTTCGCAAGTCGTAATGCAAATGTGCATCGCAACTACGAATACGGCCGGTAGCTTGGCGTACGGGTGTGTTCGCGCACACGTGCATGGATCATGGAATCAAGGGAAAAATGAGTACCTGGCAAAACATGTGTACCTTGCAAAAAATGTGTACCTGACGGATTCGGAGCGTGCCACGAACGAAGAGGCTTCCATTCGTGAAAACGAGCTCTCCGCGGCGACTCTGACGAATCCTCGAACCCAGATGACGAATCAGCATTCGTTTCGTATCCGTACGCGTAGTGCGAAAGGTCCCTATTGTCAGCAACTTTCAACGAGTACATTGGGCATCGGGACTACATGAGCATCTGCAACTATAACAACGCGATTCACTATACACACTACATTGTACTTATGTCGGTGATACTAAATCTGTAGAAAATGTAGTGCAGTACGTAACAAGTCAACTAAGTACTTCCTTCGGCCTTTTTCCCTTTTCAACTCCCTCAACTGATGAAAACACTCTCAAGTTATAATTGACTGTCTCAACTCGCAACGCAGTATTCATTCTTATTAATATTCACGTGAATGTATCTCTTCATCGCCTTCCCCTAAGCTCCCAAGAGCCGTGGATATCAGTCGCCTCCATGCACTACTACGATAGCATAGAACTGTTCATTCCGGGTGTAGGTACCTGTCACGCAGTCGGGGCACCAGCTAGCTCCAGTTGCAGGGTCGGTTCCACCACAAAACAACCCAAACACTTGTGGCGCAGCCTTGTGCGTCTCAACAGCTGATAGGTAGTCTTCGACACCCTTGACGTGAACCTCGGTCAGAGCCATAACGGACGAGAAGAGAAGTCGGACAACGCGAAAGAGAGAGAAGTAAAAAGTAAAGCTACGATGATTGCTTGAATGATTGAAACAGCATTCAAATCATTTCAATTATTTTATATTCACTGGATGGCCGGTTGAAGAATGAAGATGGTCAATTTTTTGTACAGTGTACAATTATGTACTACGTCATGACGTCATTGTCGCGTCATCATCATCATGCATAGCAGTCGCACTCATGCATAGCGCAGTCAGTAGCACCACACCACTCGACCAGTGCAGTAGTAGCGGCTAGACCAGAGTAGAGCGAGACAACTAAACCAAGTGCCGACTGTGCAGAGAGAAGAGAGAGTCAGACTGTGAGCGTAGTAGTAGTAGTAGTAGTAGAATTTATTATTTTACTAGGGAACTCCCAACAGGCGTTGCCTTTTTACTGGGAACCCTAGGAATGACTTGGTGCTTGTGACAAATGCAGAAAGGGGCTTAGCTTGACGACATCCAGGTGGAAGCATGTTCCATCTGTCTGCTGCCAAAAATGAAATAGCATTCAGGCCGTAACGAGACGTAGCTCTGGGTAGGTTCAGAGCAGCTGAAGCTTGACCGCGGGTAGCAGCATTTGTGCGGCATGATGCAGAGCGGGGGGTAAATATCGTGCTTAAAAGAGGACTGGTGCAACGAGATAGACACCTAAAAACAAACACAAACAGCTTCAAGTTTACACGGCGAGAGAAAGTATACAGGTTATATTTGGTGAGAATGAAATCGATAGAAGTATACTGATCATGGCCAAACACTCGCCTTAGGCACCTATTGCTGGTTGACTCAAGTTTGTCTCTGAGTTTAGCAGACAAGCAGTGAACATAACATGTGCTGGCATAGTCCAAGGTACTCTGGACAATTGTCAGGTAAAACATGCGGCGGCCGGTCATGGAGACATCGCGGCGCCCGTGGCGGAATGAGGCAATCTTGCACTGTGCCTTTGCGCACACACGCTCAACCTGCTGCTCGAAGCTGAGCGACGAGTCCAATAGGAGGCCAAGGTACAGAACATGGCTGGACTCGGGGATTACGGTGCCTTTGCAGGTGATGCTGGGGATCACGTCCAGTTGCGCAGTAGGTCGTCTGAGCAACAGAAGCTGAGACTTTTTGGGATTCAGCACCAGTCCCCGCTCGCTGAGAAAGTCCTCCAGATTCAAGAGATCTGTCTGAAGCATTCTGAGCACGGTTGAAGCCTTGCGACCGATGACGTAGAACGCGATGTCGTCCGCAAACAGGAGAGCACGGCAATGTTGAAATTTCTGAGGGGTACGCCGGATATAAATGCAGAAAAGTAAGGGGCCTAACACGGAGCCTTGTGGTACACCACGTGAGCAGGGCTCTGTACTGCCTCGGGCATCGCCGACAACGACCTGCTGGGTTCTCCCAGTAAGGTAGTCTGCGAACCAACGCAATGCCACACCTCCGACGCCAACTGAAGCCAGTTCCTGCACGAGCTTGCTATGCTGAACGCGGTCGAAGGCCTTGCTCATGTCCACAAACATGGCTCCACACAGCTGCTTCTTGTCCAAGGCCAACTGCCAGTCGTTTATTGCATACGCCAAAAGGTCTTCACAGCTGTGATTGCGCCTGTAAGCAAACTGCTCCTCCGGTAATGCACCGAGTTCCGGATGATTGTCGAAGAATGCTACAAGTTGTCGGTGTACTACCTTCTCAAGCACTTTGGATATCACTGGCAAAAGTGACACTGGTCGGTAGTTGGAGCCAATATTTGCGTCGCCAGCTTTGTAGAGTGGGCACACGTGTGCATGCTTAAAACTACTTGGAACTTGGCCTGTATGCAGAGACTTATTGATGATAGCGGTGAGTGGGCCAGCGATGTCTGTGCGGCATCCTTTGAGGAGACATGGTGGTATTTCATCGGAACCTTGTGCTTTGTGGCTGTTCAATGACTTCAAGACATCTTCAACATACTCTACTGTGACTGGCGTAAACTCGTTGAGAGTGGGAATGTCGACTGGTGGGCTGGGTAGAACAAGTTCAGACGGTCTTGCAGGATCACAAACTACGGTTGCAAATGTGGCTGTCAGGTCGGATATAGTCGCCTTAGGTAGTGATTTGACTTTTTCTCGTCCTGCAAGCTTGTTCAGGATTTGCCATTGGGCTCTGGGGTTGCGTTTGTGGGTGTTGAAGGCCTTCACGCAGTATTCTGTTTTGAGTTTCTTATTCAAGAGGGTTCCCTCGCGCCGTGCTGCCCGGTACTGCTGGAGGAGGGGGCCGTCGGTTGGGTTCCTTCGTAATTTCCTGTGCAAGTTTATTCGAAGCTGAAGAAGCTTTTTCAAGTGTGACGTAACCCATGGTTGCCGACGAGGCCTGCCAAATCCAGACACCTTGAGCTGAGTGATCGGGGCATTTCTGTCCAGAACATGTCTCAAACACTTGGAAAAGTGCTTCACTTGACCGTCCAGGCTGGTGGGCGACTCCGAAGTTCTGAAACTTTCACTGATTTCCTGGCCACATTGGTCAAAGTCCATAGAATGGGGTGCAGGCTTCCGAATCAGCCTGTGAGTGTGCGCAGGAATGGGCTCAAGGTTTTGATAGGCACATTGGACAATGATGAGATCGTGATCACTAACACCGTTCATTGAGACTACTTCCGCCTTGACTACAGGGGAGCCGTCTGAAACCAGAGCAAGATCTAGGCAAGTGCGTGCTAAACGAGTGGGTTCAGTGATAACATTTCTGAGGTGATGCTCCGCACAGACACGCTGTAGATGGCGATATCCTGGAGTCGTTGGCTGGAGGACATCAGTATTGAAGTCGCCTAGGATTAATGCATTCGGAGCGTGAGACAGTGAGAGTGACGAGCTATGCGTCATGGAGACTGCGAGTGTTGTCTGTCGAGTGTCGACCATCACGGCCGGCATCATGTCAGTCCATCACCATGATCGCGATCACTGCGGCAGTTCAGATTATAATCTTTATTTCAGGATTACCCAAAGGCTTTTTAAAACGCCTGCCGGGATCTCCTATATTTGTGTATTGTACTAGTAACAATGGTAGATCGCAAAGCCGCCGAAGGAAATGCGAAGGAGTAAAGTCAAAAAGTGTAGATCTACTTCGTGGCCGGCATGCCGATGGAGATGTTCTAACAAAAAAATTCCAGACGCTGCCGCTAGCACATGGCACGAAAGCCGGCATGAGGAACGGCTCTCGCCACCAAAGAGAAGTGAAAATCGGTTTCTCTGGCACGGTGGTGGTGGTTGGACACTCTCGACAATCCGATGACGCTTGTCGCCGGATCTGTCGAGTCTCTTTCCTCCTGCCAAGACCAGAGTCAGCACTACATTTTTGTACAGAATTTGTAGCAGCCTGAGACGACAAAACCATGATCGGCCCTAGATAAAGATTAAAGTAACGTATAGTTCACCCCGGCCCGCGCGAGTGACTGACCGACAAGCGAAATGATCAAGGGGTGGATCTGTACTGTGTCCACAGACTCCACCGAAAACAGTACCGGTATGTCTCATTGTATGGGTTCCGCAGCTGACAACCGAAATAATAATTATTAGCAGCTTGACGCTACGATCGACATGACCAAGATGTCTGTAGACATACAGATCAACAATGCGTCGTGCTCAGTCATACAACAGTACTGCATGCTAACGCTATCACCATGCATGATCACCGATCACCTCAAAGCTGTCCTTATTTTCTCTTCCATTGATTCGGATTTGTAAGCATTTTTTGGAGAAGCCCAGAATTTCCCTAGCCCTGACTGTAATCTCCCTGCAGTGTAGAAGATCGACCTCCCTGCTTGCGTGGCATGGTTCGAGTCTTTATGAATCCGATATCCCTGTCCCACCACCTACCCTGGCACCACGTACCGGCACTCTTGAAGTCGTAAAAGGCTCGCGCAAACCAAAGCGAAGTCATTGAAGTTCGAATATGGTGTTGGCCATTGATTGTCATAAGTGATGGACAAGATGATACAGTAGCGTAACTGAAGAGCCTGGTTCAGTGTAGTCCTGCGTCGAAATCCGAGGATAAGGACTTGCATTACGCGTACCTGCTTGCAAACCGTCTTCCAATCCACTCATCCGTATCGACAAAAATGGACAAATACGACAAGATTGAGATCGTCGGCCGTGGCGCGCACGGGTAAGCCTCCCAGCTTGCCCTCAATCACTGAATCAGTAAACAAACGATTCTAGTGACATGATCATAATAGAGAATGTATCCCCGCCGGGGCAGCGGTGCGGACTTAGCGGCAGCGGGAACCGTTGCCATTGTGCCATTTGTGGTCCAACCGATGACCGGCACCCATACATGTACAAGTACAGTCGACTCCTGATATAACGAACATTATTGTGCAGGAGAATTAGTTCTTTATAGCAGAAATTCGTTATAACAGAAATGCACCCACGCTATACAAGCAGCAAGTCATGGCTGCAAGTGGGCCATGACAGTATGGGTGCACTTGGTTTACATGCGGCCCTACACGATTTGGATCGTTATAAACGAAGACTGTTCGCTATCAACGGTCAATTTTGCATGGGTGCAAACAGGGACACGGGCAAGAGTTCGCTATATCACGAAATTCGCTATCTGCGAGTTCGTTATAAGTGGAGTCAACTGTACTCTGGGCATCTTACACAGGGCACACAGCAAGTACTGGACATGACATTGGTGATGTGAATAGTCAGAGAAGAATAGCTGGATGAGCATTGGCCACAGAGAGGACATGTAATAAGACAGTCATGACCTTTCTACCAGCACAGTGCTCACCGGACCGCTAGTTCCAGGCAGGATGGGCAAGGCAGTGATAAAGTTGCTTTCTGCTGTCCCCGGGGAAAATTGCGGAAAAAAATCGCAAAAAACGCGGGGGAAAACGCGGCATAATATGGCATAATTTGCGGTGAATTTGCGGTAAATATGCGGTAAATATGCGGTGAATAATATTGATGTGCGGCAATTTTCAGTGAGTATGTAGTGAAATCAATCAGTTACAAGTCTCTGGTGTAAGCACTCGTCATATTTGAGTAAAAAGCCGCCACGATGAGACGTTGCTGACCGGACAGTGCACTGTGTGTACGTGTAGTGCAACAAAAAAAGTTCAAAAAACGCGGGAAAATCGCGGAAAACGCGGTCTTTAAAAAAATCGCAAAAACGCGGAAAAAAACGCGGCCGCGGAATCGCAATTTTCCCCGGGGACAGTTTCTGGCACGCACGGCCGCAAACAGTGCCAAACACACTCAGCCATCGCTGAAAATCAGACAACCCCCATTCGCTACCGTTTGCTGGGCATTCTTCCCCGGCTTCAACCGGTTGGTTTTCAACGGCTATTGTCAACTCAAAGAGAAATGAACAATGCCAAACAAACTTCCAACACCATGCACACACACATTCGGTAAGCTTTCAATAAGGTTTTATCTTGCGTCTCCCTAAGGGCCGGGCCGCTTTGATGCCAGTTCTGTCAGAATGCCAATGGTCTGTGGTATACACGAAAGTAAAGTAAGAGTGGACTGCTAGGAGATGAAGAAGCGTACTATTGCATGCAGTGACCTCCAACCCCACTCACACCCCATGCGACAATACTCATCCGACCGTATGCTTATACAGACGGTTCTGATCAAGACACCAACTACCATGGCACTGGCACATGGTCTGGGTAGTCTCAGCCATCTGAACACGGTATGAAACTGCTAAATGACTCAATGTAACCAGGTTATAATATTATGACCTGGCAGAACATGATATCAACAGGGCGGGCTGCACAGATCTTACATGGTCGATGCATGACTTAGAATCAGGGAGTGGTAAAATACCGGTATTTTACTACTCCCTGCTTGGAATGCACTCTTCTGAAACTGTGCAGAATCGTTCATCTGTGCCGTCGTCGTGCCGATCGGAGGCATGTGATCATCAAGGAGATATCAATCGACGATGTGGATCGAGATGAGCGGCAGGCGGCGCTGAAAGAGGCGCGGGTTCTCGCCATGCTGAAGCATCCGAACGTCATCGACTACTACGACAGCTTCCTAGAGGATAAGGCGTTGATGATAGCGATGGAGTATGCCGAGGGTAAGCGAGGAAATAGCCAGGAGTAGGTCGACCGGTCTTGTGATATGTTTCCCAGCAGGGCTGTGTTCAGTTAAGTTACCGTATTATCCGTAATATAAGCCGCACCTAGATTTTTTTGCCACGAGATACAGACATCTTCCCTGTTTATCACTGCCAATTTGATCATTATAGTATTACGATGATAGTGTGTGTGCATGTGTGTGTGTGTGTGTGTGTGTGTGTGTGTGTGTGCGCGCGTGTGCATGTGTGTGTATGTGTATATATACATGTATGTGTGTGTTTCACAGGTGGGACGGTGTTTGAGTACATTCAACAGCACGATGGGCACTTGGAAGAAGAGGTAAGAGACGATGCCGAAATGATCTGAAGACCGGCTGAATGTATAGTTGACATGCCAGGTCACGCTTGCATAGAGGTTATGCGATTGCATCACCAGTTGAGATACTTTGGCGAAGTCGCAGGACAGTGCTGCACTTGCACCAGCGACTCCTGCTGCACATTTATTTATTTATATTTATTTCACCTTTCCATGGCCAGGGAATATAGGCCAATATGGAGGGAGGGGGGCGATAGCCAGCCATGGCAGTAAGCAAAAACACAAAAAACACATGTAGCGCCCAGAAGCGGTTCATCTGTATACTTGGTGTCCATATGCAAATCCGCTGACGCACACTGTATACTTGCGTCCATGAGCAGTTCCGCTGACTTGCCCCCTTAAATCATCCGCATAACCTCATAACCTGCATAACCTCATAACCTGCATAACCCCATAACCTCATAACCTCGCAGTCAGGTGGATTAGCTATGCAACTAGGCATACATGTACATGCGCAGTGTCATTGATGCAGGCTGAGCATTGCCAGGGCTACGGTAACTGGTTCCCTATAACGTGGGCCCTGGTGCAACTCCCACCACTATCATTTTGTTTCCACCGGCTACAGGAAATCATGCGGCTATTCGTGCAGATGCTGATCTCCGTTCAATACGTGCACTCCTTAAACATTCTTCACCGCGACCTGAAAACGCAGAACATTATGCTGGATCGATCGCAGGTGCTTGTCAAGGTGTGCGACTTTGGTATCAGCAAGGTCCTCTCCACCAAGACGAAGGAAGCAAGCACTGTAAGCGCATACATTGTACAAAGTGTGCCTGCTCATTGTGATGGGTGTGTGTACATGTGTGTGTGTGTGTACATATGTGTGTGTGTGTGTGTGTGTACATGTGTGTGTGTGTGTGTACATGTGTGTGTGTACATGTGTGTGTGTGTGTGTGTGTGTGTGTGTGTACATGTGTGTGTGTGTGTGTGTGTGTGTGTGTGTGTGCGTGTGTGTGTGTGTGTGTGTACATGTGTGTGTGTGTGTGTGTGTGTGTGTGTGTGTGTGTGTGTGTGTGCGTGTGTGTGTGTGTGTACATATGTGTGTGTGTGTGTGTGTACATGTGTGTGTGTGTGTGTACATGTGTGTGTGTACATGTGTGTGTGTGTGTGTGTACATGTGTGTGTGTGTGTGTGTGTGTGTGTGTGTGTGTGTGTGTGTGTGTGTGTGTGTGCGTGTGTGTGTGTGTGTGTGTACATGTGTGTGTGTGTGTGTGTGTGTGTGTGTGTGTGTGTGTGTGTGTGCGTATGTGTGCGTGCGTGTGCACATGTATGCGTGTGTGCAGAGGGGGGGGGGGGCAATGTCTTTCTTGTTCTCGGTGAAAGAAGACAATACTGAGTGTGTCATGACACGAACTCTACTGAAGTACATGGGGCAGAGTATTTGGCAAGACCAAAGAGACACGGTGAAGGCACATCTACAACGTGATGGCTGTGTGTGTTGTGTGTTGTGTGTGTATACGAGTATGTGTGTGTATGTGTGCGCATGCATGTCCTTACATACATTGTGTTTACCTCTACTTAGGTCATCGGCACTCCGTGTTACCTTTCACCGGAACTTTGCGAAGGGAAGACGTATCCTCACTATGGTCTGCCTAGGGCACACGTTGTGCATGAATGTTGACTCGGCTAGTCTTTGTGTACCCTACACTGCTATTGTCATAAGAAAGATGTATAGGCTTTTGCTCCTGTGTATTGCCCCAAACTAGCCCCCCCCCCCCCCCTCCGTCTCCCTCGCCTTAAAGGCACTCAATCTAGTCTTGCGTACTATTCGATGCTTAGGCACTGACTTTCCCTCTGCAAGAGTACCGATCTTGTTCCATCAGCTTTAGTGTACATCCAAGTGCAGATCTGGCTGCAGAGAGAAACTAACGAGTTGCCCTTTCTCTCCTCTCTCTCTCTCTCTCTACTTTCTCATTCTCTCCTCCTCCTCCTCCTCCTCCTCCTCCTCCTCCTCCTCCCCCTCCCCCTCCCCCTCCTCCTCCTCCTCCTCCTCCTCCTCCTCTCCTCTCCTCCCCCTCCCCCTCTTCTCTCATTTTCTCCTGCCTCTATGCATCTATTTTCAGCTCGCATTTGGCTACGGTTTTTGAACGATGTGCATACGATTCTTCCTTGACTGGCCTTGTGGAGGCATGCAGATACAATCAGAAAAGTGATGTCTGGGCGCTGGGCTGCATTCTTTATGAACTGGCCAGTCGGAATCGAGCATTCGAAGCACCGGTGAGGAGCCGTAACACGCGCACAGCGGTGCGGGGTTTTTTTATTTATATTTTTTATACAAAGACCACTGACTTAAAATGCCAAACATGAGATTCAGCTAGGGGAAGCACGCACAACCTGAATCGTGGCAGTGGTGGTGAGGTTTAGGGAGCTCCGCCGACCTAGGGTCTCGACTTCATGGCTACCTAGACGGGCCGAAGTGTGAAATACAACCCCATGATAGCAGTAGCTCCTCTGACGGTGCAGCACAACGGGAACTGGGCCGTGCAGTGAGCCCTGTCAGCTCTACGTTGATCTGGGTCTGGTATGGTGTGTCACCACTGTGCATTTACTTTGCAGCTGTCACACTGAGGTCTAAATGCTTGTTGACCTGTGACTTTCTGCAGCACCTTAGTGCATGGGCTGACTGGTTTCTGAATGAATGTGCTCTCGTGTGACAATCGTTAATCGCATGTGCGTGTGTGCGTGTGTGCGTGTGTGTGTGTGTGTGTGTGTGTGTGTGTGTGTGTGTGTGTGTGAGGGGGTGTCGGCCGTTGGGCGATTCAATAGCCAATTGAGTCCTCTTTCCAAGATTCCTTTTGAGTCTCTCTCCCCTCTCCCGGAGAGACCCACGTGACCAGTTTTGGCAGTGAGCAACAAGTGTGTGTGTGTGTGTGTGTGTGTGCACGCATGCATCCTCGGGTCCCTGTGTGTGTGTGTGTGTGTTGTACTATGTCCACCCGTTGTAGAGCCTGCCTGCGCTAGTGATGAAGATCATGCGTGGCACATTCGCTCCCATCTCTAGTCACTACAGCGAGGACCTGCGGCGACTTATCCTGAACATGCTGCACACAGACCCGCGCCAGCGACCCAGCACACAGGAAGTGCTGGCGCAGCCCATCTGCATGAAGACGTTCTTCGGCCTCCAGTGCTCCCTGGGTCTGCTGCCACTCTCCCTGTGAGTTACATATCACTGATCACTAGTTGTGTCCTGACATGTGTCTTGTCTGTTTCGTAGACCGTCTCACATCTGCATGAGGTAGCCTTTACAGCAAGGTAGAGAACACACTGTACTGTGAGGGATAGTGTTTCTGACTATGTCCACATATATGGTGACCTCGCTCCCAGTGGGGAAGGGGTTGGAACCTATGATCTCGAAGAAAGGAAGCCTGAGAAGGTGAATAATGTCTTTCGTGCACTTCTCTCCAGGCCCTGTAAGATGGCTAGTATCCTGTGCCCGGCAATGGACAAAAAGTAAAAGAAGAGTACAGGCACAGGGTCACACGGTGCATGTGTCCTACCCTCCCCCCCCCCCCCCTCGTCTTCAAATTGTCTCGACCAACTCTATCGGTTCGTATGGCCACTCTGTTTTGCCATGGCAGTGGTCCTCGGATGCTCTCCAGCCGAAGTCGTGGGTCAATGTCCAACCATGCTGAGTCAGCAGCTGCAGCAGCGAATGGCGAAGGCAGCAAGGCAGCCTCTTCCGGTGCAACTGCAGGGGCGGGAGGAGCCGTGTCCGGCAGTGGCCGCAAGAAAGGGGAAGTGCTGATGTGGGGCGGTGGGTACACGAAACCAACGTCCATGAAGTTTGTGGCTGAGGACGGCAGTACTGCTAGCAGGGTGGCGCTTGGTCGTGCTCAACGCCTCGTCCTTACAACGACAGGCAAGGTCTTGTCATTGCAGGTGAGTGCAGTTGATCCACCGCTCACTGTGCTCCAGCATTCTTTGCTCTGTGGAGAAACTACTGTTAGAAGCCAGACTTTTTGAAAACAGAAGATGCCTTCAGCTTCTTATTCATATAGTATTCTGTGTACATGTGTATTATGTTGATGGCACGTCAGAGTGTGCACCGAGATCACCTGAGGATGCAAACCAGGGAGTGGAAAAATACTGGTATTTTACTACTTAGAAGTACTCCCTGGTATACCAAATGTGTGAAATGTGCAAGGTTCATCCTGGCTTCAGAGGCCAACTGCAGTCTACACAGCTGTGCATCATTGATTTTTTTTTAACGCTTTCACCTCCAGACATCCAAGGCAGGAAGCGAGTACTTAATGCCGGGATCTCGCGGTTCAAAGTCCCATGCAGACGGACGCGGTGGAGGCCAAGCATCGGGCGCTGACGGACTCGCGTCGGCCAGCTGGTGCCATATCGAAGGTTTGGAGCGAGTCACGAGCACGCAGATGTCTTGTGGCGACCTGTTCACTGCCATTCTCACAAGTGAGTACACACTAGTGTGACAGTGTATGCACGCTGTTATACAATAAAACCTGTCAAGGCGACGGACCACTCGGATAAGGCGAACACCTGTCCCAGAAGACCACTGTAGCCGGGACCAAGGGATGCTGTTTCCAGTCGAATGGCATGCACTGGATAAGGAGACCACCTGGCAACAGAGACCACACTTTGAAAATCCCTTGAGCAGTCGTCTTAGACAGGTTTCCCTGTATGTGCACTACCCAGTTTCATAGCCTGTATTGTGCATGCTCGGATTGATTGATTGTTGTTGTTTTACCTAACCAAGAACCTACTCGGACTTATGAGTAGTCTGTGATTGTTTTGCGAGGGCATGTAAGCCGGTGAAACTTGAGATTCTGTGCGGTTAGTCTGCAAGGGGACCGGACACAGCGACTACGCAGTGAAGCTGCAGTATAGGTGGATATACAATACACGGCATGCACCAGGAGCCGTGACCAGACAGAGCAAGACGGATGCCCATGCATGTTAGTGTTTGTTCGTGTGTGTGTCACCGTTGCTATGGGGGAAATGTGCTGAGCACTCGCGGCCTCGCAATGTCATGCTCTTTGAAACAAGAGGTGGCGAGCACCTCCTGTTCCTTGCAGATAACCTGCCTTTACCTTGTCATGCACTCAGGGATAGTTGCAGCAGCTCGAGAGAAAGAGAGAGTGCTCAATGCACCTTGGTGCAGAGCCTTATAGACGTAGAGAGAAAAAGAACCAAAGGGTTGTTGCCGCGTGACTCCGAGTTCTGAGACAGCACAGAGTGCTCTCCGATGATCGCTGTTTTGCGTGAGTTACAGCAACAGCACTTCGCCTTTTCTCTGTACGTGTATACGACTCTGTACCTTGTTGCATAAGCATGTATTTGCATACTCTGCCCTCTGCCCTGTGTGGTGTGCAGATCGCGGCATACTGATGACATTTGGCAGTGGGGTGCACGGTGCGCTGGGCCATGGCAACTATGAAGACATTGCTAAGGTCAGTGCTGCCCCGGAGTCTGTTGTCCTCTTTCACATTGGTCTTACATGCACGCGATCAGTGACCTATTGGCAGGTGCAGATCCGGTAGCGAATGCACCGTAGGAAGGTTGGCAAGAGTCTGCAAACTGGTTAATGTACTCTTGATAGAATCCACAGACATCTCCCATAGTTGACTACCATAAGTCAGCAATTCCTCACGGTCAGCTCTTAGAATGACCACGAAATGATTGCTGATTTCACCGGCTGGCAACCGATGTTAGTCAGTACTTGTCGCTAGTGCCAAAGAACACACGTCTTGGCCATATTGACTGTTGACACTTGTTAGTCTATTTCCCGTTTACAAGTGCGCTGCTGATAAAATCATTTCTGTTTTATAGCCTGTTCGATGAAAAACCTTCAGTGCAATATTGTGTAGATACTGAATCTGCACGTACGCTCTCATCTGATTCTGTGTCTTTGACTGTTGCGCATGCAGCCAAGAATCGTGGAATCACTAGTGACCCAGTCGGTGGAGCTTGTCTCATGCGGGACCAGCCACATGGCAGCAGCAACTGGTGAGTGACCAGTTAATTAACCTCTTTCTTTTTGGCCAACAACCGATAATTTCTACATTCTCTGCGTGTAACACACGCCCATTCGGTTTCCCCGTCTTTTCTGTACCTCGGAGGTAGGTACTCTGATCCATGCCTGCTTTTACGGCCGTTTCTGAATGGTCCGTGTGATGACTTAAATTAGAAGCTTTTTGCCAACTTGTATCCTATACACCATGATGTTTTGCGAGCAATTTAACGTTTGTCCAGGTTGGGACATACAATGTAGGCTTCTGCGATCATTTTTTCCTGTTCTCATTATGCACAAAAGCGTTGTGTGGCTGAGAGGAGTACCGTATTTTTCTGGTTGTAAGTCGACCTTTTACGACTAAAAATAGAAGGAGAAAGGGTGGGGGTCGACTTACAACCGGGATTCGACTTATAACCGGGAACTATCAGTATCTTACGAAAAACGACCTGCACGAGTGCACCATCTGTACAGATTTGCCAGTTTATTGGCCTCTTTCAAGGATCGGGATGTAACACCCTCCACTAAGGAATGTTTACATGATTTGTTGTTGTGTTAGTAGAAGGGAGTGGTTAGTAGTGCTTCGTTGGGTGATAACTTTAAAACGCAGAATTAAGACCTCCGGATACGGGGGTCGACCTATAACCGGGGTCGACTTACAACCGGTAAAATACGGTATATCACGGTTGTTTGGAAAGCCGCTGATGATGAGTGTAGGTGTATGAGCACAGGCTATTCAGGTGCATTGCGGTCTATTTAGGTACCTCATGCTGTACTGCCTTTCCATCCGGTGTTCTGTACATGCAGGCAGTGGTGATGTGTACACTTGGGGAGAGTGCAATCACGGTAAGTCCATGCAGAGTGTGTGGACGAGAGCACACTGACTTACAGGGCACCTTGTAAACACATCATGTGAATGCTTTATTCGTTCAACAAACACCCAACGCATCCATCAATTCCTCAAGACACCGGTGCCTGATTGCATCAGTGTGGCACAGCCAAAAAGCACCCACTCACCTGCAACAGTGAATGCCCGGTTGTAACTCTAAGACGTGTCACGTACAGCCGGTGAAACCTCTGATAAGCTAAACGCTCGGTTTAGAAGAACAAGTATTCGTAACTCTACCTCATAGATCACTGTGTATTCACTGGGTACAAAATATGGATAAGAAGAACGCCTGTGTTTGCGAACAAACACCATTGGTCTCTTGGTGTTCGTCCTGACTCAGCGGTTTGACTATAAGTTACTTGTACTAGTATCATACCTCGGTTACCCAGTCCCCGAAGTTACGGGCACTTCGGTTTACCAGGCACCCTTTGTGCAGCGCCCCCCCCCCCCCCCCCCTACTCTGTTTGAGCCCCCCCCCCCCCTCCCTGTGAAAAAGTGTACTCATTTTCCGATTTTCATGTTTTTCATGCAATTCAACGAAAATGCAGCCGAAAGTCACTATTAGATGGGTAACTGTTTCCCATGCCTGCCTCCCTACTATTTTTACCTGGCTAGAACCCTGCATGGCCTTTCCCCATCAAATTGTATGTGATTCGGAGTTACGGACGTTTCAAAGATACGGGCAGTGCCCGGTCCCGGACCGACCGGATAAACGAGTTATGACTAGTACTGTCTTTCATCGGTGTCCTTTGCAATACACTGTTGTACAGGATGCCTGGGCACTGGCTCTCTGGAAGCCAGTCCGCGTCCCCGGCTGGCGAAACAGCTGGGCAGCGGACGACCGCGGGCTCTGCACTGCGGCGTGGACTGCACATTGCTGGTGGATGCACGCGGTCAGCTGCACGTGTGTGGCAACAACAGGTATAGTGGTGCACGGCCCCAAGTCCCCACTGCTACACACACTGCCATAAGAACCTCCCCTGCAATACGACCCCCCCCCCCCCCCCCCTGCTATAACTTATTATTATAAAGAAATTTAAGAACCCCTCTGCTACGAGACCCCAAGTCACGCGGCTACATGAACACCCACTGCCAAAAGATCCCCACTGCTATAGGAACCCCCACTGCCAGAAGAACCCCATGAGAACCACTACTGCCGTAGGAGTGCCCACTCCCTAGGAGACCACATGGTTTTAGTCTTTTAGAGGATGGTGTCATTTCAGGCCCAGGGTGAAACATGTGCAAGTGCATTCACATATATGTCCTGGGATTCTAGAAAGACTTTACACCTGTCTATAAGGATCAGCTTGCACTAGATGTGCACTATGGTGCAACCGGAAAAACACTTTGATTGTACAAAGTGCTTCCCGAAGTACCGGTATGCGGGATTACACTTGAGCATTGCTCCATGTACTGCCACCACACAAGTTAGGCTCACGAGATTTCGCCAAATTGTCGAAAGTGAAACGTAACCTTCACTATTTGTTTTCAACACAAGATGTTTATGGAGTACTCTGAGTCTCCCTTGTCGACTGCACACGGCACTAGCCCCAGTAAATCACACCAGGTCACAAAACAAGCCTCGACAACGTCGAAAAGTCCAAGGAGAGCGACACAATTCTAGTGGCTATGGCAGAACTGGAGAGCAGATATAAGCTTTGATTGGTGCTGCGGGCAGCCAGACTAATACAATTGTTATCCCTGGTTTCTTGTTACTGTGCAGGCACAACAAGATAGCCCTGGGTAAGTGCAGCACGCAGCACAGCACAGCACAGCACTGCATCTTAGTTAAGGTCTAGACGTAACGTTACATGTGTTCAGACTTGCTACTCTAATTGACGTCGGGCCCGGTAGGGTCCACTTTGCATGAAACCGCTGCCTCAATTACCCACACCAGAGAAACCTGCGTGCAGCTAGTGAAGGTCCAAGTTAGAATTGCCAAATCTGGCGCTTTACTCATTGGCATGAGGTGCAGAATAGACCCGGCATGCATTTTCAAGCCGCTTTCCAACTCTTCTTGTATTCCTCTCCTACGAATATGATACGTTTACAAACAATGTACATTCACGCAGATGGAAGTGGTGAGATGCTGGAGGGAACACCGTCGTTCACCGCTATACCGCTGTCCTACTTCAACGGGCAGCGGTTGAACTCCATCTCGTCGGGCTTGGTACACTCCATCATGCTGACAGGTTGGTCAATGATAACGATTGTTACTGCTGCTATACATCTGTGTAGAACAGAGTTTCCGTAATCTGATCTCTACATGTCAGCAAGAGTGCATAACCCCCAAGAGTGTGCAACTCCAGCTATGGGGTCTGCGACGGCAGAACTTCACAGCATGTGATGAACCCGTACACATTATTTGCACTCCGTGTATGATAGATACAGGGTTGTATGCAACCCAGCTTTGGGTTCAACTCTCGCGTGATCACTTTGCACTGTTTGCCAGCATAACCTTTTGAACCATGTCACGTAATGTGAAGTTCTGCCGTCGCAGCACTACATAGAAGTTGTGCAGGCAGTTGCATACTCTTGGGGGTTATGTACTCTTGATGTCAGTCATCATTATAATGTTAGGTCAGTTTTACTACAACAGTTAGTCATGTCGAAGGTTTCTTTCAAAGTGATAGTACTATCCAATGTTGGACACTACTGGATCTGTGCTGAATGAAATCCAGCCCGGCGAGTCGGTCAACTGAACACCGTGCGCTTCAATCGTCTTCAACTGCGTTTGTTTTCCAATGCAGAAAGCGGCGCCTGTTTCACGGTCGGCGCAAACACCAGCGGTCAGCTGGGATACGACCTCCAGGCGGACGATGCCAAGCGCCCGCAGCCGGTGACCGTGCTGTCGCCGCACTGGATCAAGCATGTGTCCTGCGGTGACCAGTTCACCGTGGCAGCCACTAAAGGTGAGCACAGCTAGTGCGTGTACTGGTAACGTTACGCGTGGGAAAGAAGAAACTGCAGTGGTAGAGCCACCTGGTTTTGAAGGGAATCCTGCTTTTTTTTGTACAAGTCTGCTCTCTTTAGCAGACAATCCCGGGGTTTCAATTGATTGTATCGTTGTCTAGTAATGATGCTTGTCTTGCAACCAATGTCATACTAACGAGGGTAGACCTATACACATGTGCCGTGGAATTCTATCGTTTCCCTCTGCAGATAAGATCTTCGTCTGGGGTAAGGGCAGGCGAGGTCGCCTGGCTAGTGCTGCCGACAACGATCTGTGCTCGCCGACCGAGGTGAATCTCAACGACGGCACTGGGCGCAAGTACACGGTTACGTCGCTGCAGGCAAGCCACGGTGCAACCATGGTATCGCTGACAACAGAGTGAGCTAGGTCACGGTACCACCATGGTATCGCTGACAACAGACTGAGCTACACAACCATGGTATCAACCATGGTATCGCTGACAACAGACTGAGCTAGGTCACACGATGACGACCGTACCGGAAGCTGACCAGCTTGAACAAACCCAGCAGCCAGATCACCAGCAGACAGAGAACTTATCAGGAGCCGACTGCTATGGCGAAGTGAAGCTGCGAGTCGGAATAGGTATGTGACGATGCGGCGATCCAGTGTTGTACCCAACACTCCTTGATAGCTATAGCTAGCAGTGTGCTGATGTTGGTTGACTCGATGGCTGGCGGACAGTGCATGGTGCCTGGCGAGGGCATTGCAGTGGAGTTCCATCGCAAGAAACAGGATCACCTACGGCAGGGGCGTAGCCCGCAAATCTATGGCGTGGCGACCATGTACCATCGGCAACCTCATTGCCGCCATTTTACCTTTTTTGTACTAAGTTATGTACATGTGGTCCCTATGACGACCATTTGCTGGTGTGGTGGCCGCACTGCACTGACTACACACGAGCTACGCACCTGCACTGTGTTTCAGCTACGTCACATGGCTGATCAAGGCCAAGCGAAGAGAACGCCGAACTGCATCTGGAATGGAGGCCTATCCGACGGCCGACGGGTAGGGAGCTGGTTAAATGGATGACTCCAGGATGGCCTCATGAGTGGCAGCATGTAGATCTACCTACAAGCGAAAAAGCTACTACTGTAGTACTTCAAGGCATGGGTAGTCTCAGTTACCCACATGCCTGATGAGGTTCAACGTGTAGATAATCTGCCCCGTGCCTGAAGAGGAACTCACATGCACAGCAGTCGGCATAAAACTCTGGACGGTGCCGTCAAGTTTTGACTCATCTTTTCAGTGACGCCAACAGTACGGACATATTACGGGTGACGGAGAAACACTGCAGACGGGATTTAAAATAAAAAAGCAGCACGTCAAGAGTAGCTAAAACATCCATTGAAAGCATAATGGGATCGGGGCAGAGAGATACACTGGCATGACGTGAGTGGTGGGGTGCATAGGCATCTGCTGAGATCTGCTGAGATAAAACTTAGTCTAAACACTGCACAAGCTACGCAGCGCGACTACTCCCGTCCCGGCGACAGAGACCGACACGGAGACAGGAGATAACAGTACTACAATATACAGCGCAGCGCTGGCACGCAATGAACGGCACACACCACGCATTTCACGTAACCGTTAGATCTAGAAAGATACAAAAATTGGCTAATTCTCGATACTTGTAGCAAAAAAAGATGACTGGCTCGGAGTTTCTAGGTTTTATGTCATATTCAGTGTGCAACCATTGCTATTCTGATATTAATTTTCATCGGTCACTTTTACGACGGAGATCATCGACAATAATATGAACCAGGAAATAGAAGACCTACTCTGTACAAACTATAAAAGGGCATGATGGAGTGTGAGCATGCGTGTGTGTGTTGTCAGCACTGCATGCTGGCCGTGGCCGCTTGCTTTTGCGATATGGCTTCAAGCAGGTTTTACTCCGGATGATCGGAGGAGGGGGAGTGAGGCGCTGAACACCTCCGATAGAGTGAGGAAGAGACGCCGGATACTGAGGGTGTGGTAGTCGTACAGCAGAAGACACACATGCACACACATGCACACTCATGCATGTAGATAGGTTCACAGCCGGGTAAAGTGCGGCGATCAAGGTAGCCACTAGTCGCTTATACACACACAAATTCAACACGAATGACTGCTCGTGATGCGTGACGGCATTCGCTGGATGGCAGCCGTCAGGGCGGCTGCTTGGACAAGGCTACGTACTCTTAACCCAGCTCCACGGACTAGTTTCATCAGAGTCTCGATTGTGACTTCTCGTGACCAACAGGCCACTTTCATCAAGATTGGGCAGGCAGCTAGTGCCATGGTACACTTCCTCGCGTAGCCACGCTTCGTAGTTCTCGCGGAAGTGCTGCGGCAGCGACACGTCCTGGCCCATGCAGCTGATCGGGTTGTTGTCGACTTTCTGCAGCAGGTCCGCCATGACGTCATTCGCCGGTGGGTCCTCCTCGCTGGGGCCTTCGTTGTAGCGGCGGCCGTTGAACAGCTCAACGCGATGGCGCATCGCGACCTCCACAGCTTGGAAGTCCCACGGACGTGCTTCAAGGTCTGAACACAGAGAGCAGTTCGTTACGAATGGCAGCCCGTAGCAACACAATACCATCAGAGCAAGGATAAGCTCTGATTGAAGGCACAAGCCAGGCTGCTCAAGTGCTCAATGCCAAAATGGGGCATGATGCTCGCCGAGTGCAAGGACCCCTGAATAGTATATTATGGATAGTACCCTCTTTGCAGCGCAGAAGAATACTTATTCTCTGCTTTTCAGACAGGGCCTGGCATGGCAGAAATCTGATGGCTTCTCAATAGGATTGTGGACACACACACACACAGACAGACACACGTACATGGGTGCACACACACAGGAAGACACCCACACTCACGTGGGCGCAAGCCCCCCCCCCCCCCCCCCCACACACACACAGAAAGACACCCACACTCACGTGGGCGCAAGCCCCCCCCCCCCACACACACACAGAAAGACACCCACACTCACGTGGGCGCAAGCCCTCCCCCCCCCCCCCCCCCCCCCACACACAGAAAGACACCCACACTCACGTGGGCGCAAGCCCCCCCCCCCCCCCACACACACACAGAAAGACACCCACACTCACGTGGGCACAAGCCCCCCCCCCCCCCCCCCCACACACACACACAGAAAGACACCCACACTCACGTGGGCGCAAGCCCTCCCCCCCCCCCCCACACACACACCAGGATTGTGGTACGATGGTCAGTTGGCTCATTTGGCTGACACATTCCTGAGTGGGATGCTACTTGGCACAGCTGCACACACACAGACACACACCCACGCACGCACGCACGCGCACACACACACGGTTGAACACTGAAACACACACAGACACCCACACACACACACCCACACACACACACATCATCAACACAGCCAAGACATTGGACGGTTACTTACCGTTACCAAACGCCCAGTCATCGTTGAGACGGTGTCGCACACGATGATAGATGGACGCTAACACTTTCATGTTGCTCTTGCGCCAGATCTTGCCCAGGTAGCGAGCTTGCAACTTCAGCAGCTGTATAGGAAAGCAAAGATGAAAAGCCAAAGTAAATTTCACATCGCCACACGCACGCACACAAAATGCACACGTAAATACAAACAGACGCACACAACCCTCGTACATAACTGACAGAAAAAAGCCCGCATTCCAAAGCACGAAGAATGTGCCAGGTACTAGGTAGGATACACTCTTTATTCTCCGATTTCCCAGAATGCGTCTGTAGGACAGTTTTCGAATGCAAGTACAGTAAAACCGGGTGTAAGCGACCTCTCGGTTTGGCGCCCACCTGCTCTTAACGACTTTCTTTTTTCCATGCACCGACAGTTCTACACAGACACTGTGGGACCTGGTTCTAAAGACCACCTGGCTTTAACGACCGCTTTTGCTTGCAACGTGGGGTGGTCGCATACACACCAGGTTTTACTTTGCATGTACAACAACATGTACATTGTGTAGCTATGTCCTCGTCCAGCACCTTCAGCTTTCCCAGTTTGAGTTTCGTTGCTAGTGTCCCAGCTTTTAGGCAGCTTGAGTTTGAATCATTATTGTTCTTACTTGACAATGGCCAATGGCCAATAGATTGTAAAGTAACAGAACTGGTTCAGATGTGCAGTGTTATGTGAATGAGGGGTATCCACCCAAACTCCTTTCTTGACTAAGGAAGCTGCAAGATGCCTTAACCCGTCTACAGACTTGAGTTCGGTGGAACCACATTACAGCATATGATCCGGGCAGCACTACCTACATAAAGACTACAGAGTAGCCGGAAACCCCCAGTACCATCAGTAAACATGAGATCAAAATTAATAACATAAAAATCCTTTAAAATTCCATGAAATCGCTGTTGTCTGGCCATGTCTGCATCTATTATACTCTTTATTGCACTAATCAAAATTAATACCTTGAGAATATAGAGCTGCATGAGCGGGTGCTTGACTTTCATTGCACGCTTCAGTATGGGTGAGGACTTGAACACGACCAGCATCTGGAAGGCACAAACGCACGCGCACGTACGTGCACACACACGCACGCATCAGGCGCCGAAGAAACCTAATTTCTCTCGGCTTGACAGAAAACCCTCCTAGCACATCTGCAGTTAATAGAAATGACCCAGGTCTGTCTGGCTGAACACAGAAAAAGAAAATATAGTTCTGCAGCAAGAACTTCGCATGTCACGCGAGTGGAGATACTGAGTTGCAGTTGTCAATTACCGTATTGGCAATATATGTTGCCGCGTAACGCGTAACGCAGGGGGGTGCGGCGTAACGCGCGACCAGGCTAGTGCGACAAATTTTCGTTGCGTTCGTAACGCGCGTCCGGCGGGGTGCGGCGATCTTTTCATTGCAAAAAAGGCTGAAAACTGTGAAAGCACGTGTACCGCGCGTGGTGAAAAGTTCAAAACTGGACGCAGCAGGAAGTCCTGCAATAGCAAAAAAAAGGACTGCGGCAATAGAAACCTGTGTAACGGCTCCTGTGCGACTTTGCATGTAACGCCCTGCGTGCGGTAAACATGTGCCAATGTAACGCTTCATGGCCTCACTGCGACCATATATATTGCCAGTACGGTACTCAAGGTATCTTGGAGAAGCGGCGGCAGCAGCAGTGGGCCTGGCAGCGGCGGCAGCAGCAGCAGCAATAGTAGCATCCACAGCAGCAGCAGCAGCAATAGCAGCAGCAATCGTAGCATCCACAGCAGCAGCAGCAATAGTAGCATCCACAGCAGCAGCAGCAGCAACAGCAGCAGCAGCAACAGCAGCAGCAGCAGCAACAGCAGCAGCAGCAGTGGCAGCAGCAATAGTAGCATCCACAGCAGCAGTAGAAGCAGCAGCAGTAGCAGCAGCAGCAGTAGCAGCAGCAGCAGCAGCAGTAGCAGCAGCAGCAGCAGCAATAGAAGCATCCACAGCAGCAACAGCAGCGGCAGCATGAGTTACCTACCATGGTGCGTGAGTGTTTCCACTTGACCAGCTTCTGCAGGATGCGCAGCAGATTGATGCAGGAGAAGAGGTTTCTCCAACAGAACGGCTTGTCACTGCCAGCCTCCTGCAATCACAATGCGCACCCAATACGTGACAGCAAAAATTTACCTAACGCCTCCTGTTGCCAACTTAGTATGTTGAAAGCTATACCAGTCCACACACAAAATATGAACATAATGCTGGCCTTCAGTGGAGTGAGCCTCTGCCTCATTCATGGGATGGCGGGTGGCTGGAGCCAGCCATACAGGCAGTGGTAGTCCAGAGAAGGACCAATGCAGAATAGCATAGCTAGTTTCCACTTGACAGCACGTTCAGGTAACCTATCAAAGCCACTTTGGGCACAAACATGAGCACTGGAGGATGAACATCTATAAACAATTAGTAATTTTCGTCTTCGTTCCCAAGGAAACTGACGTTGGTCGCACACACACACTGTACGATAGCCAGCTCAAAAATACTGTAGCAGAATAATAGTGACTGCGGGTGGAGTTGCGGAGAGGAAATCACAAAGCGCAGTGAGCAGTGAGCAGACACCAGTCGCGTGGCACTCGGCCACAAGTTCTACGTTTGACACATTGCACAAAGCTACTAACCAGACTTTCAGCAGTCAGCTCTGCACCAGCCCCGCTGAATAGAAACTGAGGAAAGTCCAGATCGTTGATGCTACAGGAAGATAACAACAAGAGGTCATCCAATACAAAAGCGATGACGACAAAGGGCAAAGGGTGGTTGGTAGCCCTCCACAGCTACCACAAAACTAACAGCAACCCCCGCAACAGAACGAATGGTTTGTATTTCTGTAGATGACTTCACGTGTACTTGCTCATAGCAAAGGCAATCAGAGGCAGAAGAACACATGAACAGGCAAAGATCATGCATGTCAAAATGTGCTCAATCTGCGGACAGAACTGTTTCGTCCTTTGTGGACTCATCAGCGCCGCACAGAGAAAATGAGACCGAACCTGATAGCAATGAAAAATAAAATTGTCCAAAGCCAGATTTACACCAGGCCCGAACGTGCCTTGCCAGAGTGCTCAAACTGACAAGTCAGTGAGCTCTGCATAACGCAGCAAGTCAAAATGTGTGTAGCCTAGTTAATACTTCTAGAAACCAGGGTATGGCAAAACGTACCTGTTCCTGACCGAGACGAATGCTGAGATATTTTGGTTCAAGAATTTCAAAATGAGCGGGATGCAATTGGCAAAGACCAGGTGCTGGCAGATGAACTCAAACTGCAGGAAACAAAGCAACAACACCAAGACAACGCTGATATGTTGCCACTGAGATAGTGTATTTGAAGTGCACAGAAGGTGACTCTCCAGAGGAAATCGGTTGCCCGAGGATCGCTCGGGGCTTGGAAGCGCACGTTCCAGTGTGGGGAGCAATCAATTTTCAGACAATGTTGAGTAAGGAAATTGGTCGCAGGGGCCAGTGCTTTTATCGTGTTAACCCCACAATGTAGGGTACATCTGCGCATGTCCATGCACATGAAGTATGCACTTTGAAAGAAGGGTTGTAAATGACAGAAGGAACAGGTTGCAGACATCAAGTACCTGGAATACGTGATTGACCTTCGTGTGTTTCAGCAGCAAGAGCAGCAGCGCAGACGTGGCTTTGATGATCACCTCCTATTGGGCAGTCACAAACGGACAGAGAGAATATCCAGCAATTAATCACAGAATGATAATGCACACACACGTACACGTACACGTACACACACACACAAATACACAGTGCGAGCCGTAGAGAATCATGTCACAAAGGTTACTAGTTGATCACATGGCACAGTTCATACGTGAATGGTTCTACTGCAAAACTGTCACATGACCAAGCCATCACATGACTTTCCACAACAAGTTACCTTACCTTGTGTCGGTTAACATCAATACCGAGTTTCATAGACTGGACAACCGTCGTCCTGCAAAGAGAGAGAGAGAGAGAGAGAGAGAGAGAGAGAGAGAGAGAGAGAGAGAGAGAGAGAGAGAGAGAGAGAGAGAGAGAGAGAGAGAGAGAGAGAGAGAGTGAGACGGAAAGAGCACAAGCCAACAAAACGTATGAGAAGCGGACAGAGAATCGCCTTACTCAACCCAGTGTGACAAGTTCAATACAGACTACACTGGTCGTGCCAGCAGTCCAGATCATCTGAGCCTCAACAGATTCCATGAATCGTGAAGCGACTCAATGGATTGTGAACACTGTCATCATACGCAAGGTAAAAAAAGGCTTGTTCAGCACCAAGTCTTCTATGGTATGGCTGGACCAATCGAAAACTGCTTCCGCCAGTTCTGATACACGTCATGTGATTTTTGATGTTACCAAGACATACCCCCTACACTGCATACAAAAAGACGTTAACAGTTACAGCAGTCAGCAGAATTGTGAACTATGCACATAAACAGCAAGTGAGCATTGTCATCAGATGTTTGGGAGCAAAACCAACAGCCAAACTTACGGCATCTCCTCTGGCAGAACATCCACTAAGATATTGATGGAGTCGTTCTTGGCCTTCACCGTCGTTGCCGCCGCCAGTAAAATCTTCAGCAAGGCGATCTACCGGACAGGATCAGAAGTCAGAATTTCAAATAACAAGGGTATGGAGTCATCAACAGACAATCCCAAAGTTTGCTCCACTGCCGACCCGGCTGGTTTTCCCAATGGAGTATCTTCTATTTGCTAATGTGTCACACGTGTACTGCCTCTACTTCCCCATATTTCCCTTGCAGAAACGATATACATCTAGAGTTATCATCAAGTCTACACGCTCACAGTTTTCGATTTGAGCACGCTCAGTTCCTACCCAGAATGAAAACACAATGCTGGACACAATGATGGGGGACTAGCTTACCATGTACTGTGGAAGGTGCGGTAGCATAGCAGCATAGAGATCCTCAGTAGGTTGGTGGATGCTGTCCAACTCCTGCACCAGGAAAAAGTCGCAAAAAAGGCACAGACGGGCAGTTTTGTGTAAAATAAAATGAAAGAAGGAAGGACGTTACGAGTTATGACCACCTGCTGAGTTCAAAAACAAAACAAAACCGAACTTCTCGTGCGTCTAAAACACAGGCCTACATTTTCCCAGGGTCTGTTAGAGGACAAGGTTGTCAAAATACACAGTTACAGTACACAGATGAAGACAGTGGACGTTGATGAAGGGAGGTGATTTCATACTCAGATATGTGTAGTTGACACTTTGCTCGGTGCCCATTGACAAATAACAGTGGTCATAATTCATTGAATCTGTTCAGGTACAGATGATCTGGACCTGCTGGCACAACCTAGAGCCATCTGTGTTGACCTTACCACAATGGGTTGAGTCAGGCGATTCTCTGTCCGCTTCTCCTCTTCTTCCGTCTGGTATTCACCGAGTGACTGGTAGATATGCTGAGCAAAGGAAAAGATCACGGATGGTTCAAATTTGTATTTGTATTTATGGATTCTCCACAGGCCTTGGCCTAAATCGAGGGAGTTTCCCTCCCAAATGCGGTGCATACAATCGACTACACATACTCCCTCAACCTGTTTGGATTTTACTACCCATTCCATTCCATCTCATCCCATTCCGGCCATCAGCATCATCACCGTTTCATCTTGCTGACATCGTTGGGTTGCGTCTGTACATGAAATAATCTTTAGGGTTTGGTCCACAAAATAGCTCCTGCAATTCGCACCGCTACTATAATGTAATTTTTTAAACAACGAACACTTCCCAGATATTTTAACGCACTAGAACGTGTACTTGGAGTAATCTAACGCGTGTGAAAGTGTCAAAAGAAATACTTCTCTACAGTACTATAACAATTGGAAGATTCTTACATCTGACATCACCGAGATCGAATCTCTGATTGGCTGTGGCAAGCCGGCCAAAGTTGCACTATCGCTGCAGGTGTGCACAGGTAAGCACAGATCACATGGCATCACTAAACACTAGCACTCATTGGTGAGCACACATATCTGAAATGTGCCAGGGCTTTTAAGCCCGGACATATCGAAATACTTTGAACTCACATGTTTTCGAGATATTCTTTGAAAAAAGAATATCTCGAAAATGTGTGAGTACAAAGTTTACTACAAACTAAACAGAGTGCTTGTCCGTTGATAGCCAACCTAAAAGGCAGTGGAGTAGAGCGCATCAACTCTTCAGTGCTCATTTTCTAAGAACAGGGGGAGCAGCTGTGGCAAATGAAATACTACCTTAGGAACAAAGAAGAGTCTGTTGAATGCATACTGTCAGTACTCAGTATTCAATCAACTGGCGAGAAACTTACGCGTTGTCCATAACAAAGCCAACATATTTAGCCCGTGCCTGGTTGATGAAGGCATCCACATCCCTCTTCCTGTCACCAGACAATGGGAAAGGGAGAGAGAGAGAGAGAGGCAAAGAAAGGAAAAAATAAATGATGGCGACGGAATGTCCATGGACGACAGCACGCAAAATGTAGTCTAGTCGTCAAAGCTCAGAACGATTGTAGACTGTAAACTGGCTGCATGTGAAAACTTCGAACTCTTTTCCAAACACCCTCAGCCATATGAACACTTTTTAACAAGTTTAGATGATACGTTTAGCTCCCTAACACGCGGAGAGCAAAAACAGACTAGGTGCACAATGCCACTCCGATATCTTTCGGGAACATTGTAAGGACAAAGTGGGTGCTTCAAGAGTACCGTATTTTTTGGAGTATAGTGCGCACCTTTGTATAACGCGCACCCCCAATCTTCATTGGTGGTGCGCACTTCAATCTTCATTGAAGTACATGCATTTCATATTCGGAGCATAGTGCGCACCTGCGATTTAGGGCCTAAAATAGCACATCTAAAGTGCGCACTATACTCCGGAAAATACGGTACAGTATTCGGTGCTTTCCAGATCTAAAACAGTACAATGCCAACGTTGTGCGATAGACTTCTGTGTCTTTTGTACACACTTCATCACTGTGCAACCGGTCTACACTCGAAGATAGTCATGACCCTGTTCGGTTTGTGTGGTAGTCTGCAATATGAGAATAGAGAAGGTCCTTTATCACATCATGTGCATGACCACTCGCCATATTTATTTAAAAAAATTAGGACCCAATCGATATGAACGGTACCACCTAGTGCTAACAAATACATTTCAAGCATAAGTGAAGCAGCACACTGGAACACACAGCTGTATACTGACCGTGCTTTCAGACCGGCCGGGTGGTTGCGGATGGACGAGGCGTCGTGCCCGATCGGCATCGTCTCCGCTGGAACGGCCGGTACAGTTTCCACGGAGTACTCCACGGCGGGAAGGCCGGCTTTCTTGCGTGCCTCTTGCATGCGGCTTGCTTGCACCTGCAAGCCACCTAAGGAAACCTGTTGGAAGAAAACAACATGAAAAACAGCAGCACGCAGATAAGCTTTCAGTCAATTAGAAAAACAGGAGGCATAAATTGTTGATGCTTTTCTCGCCTCGATGTCCCATCTTCACTTTCTTCTCCTCGGTTGCCATGGTTGGCTAACGCCCCCATTCATTTATGTTGGCTACTGTCGTTGGATGGTGAAGAAAAATAGAAATAGTAAATACCATTGGAAAAACTCAGCATCCCTGTCTATAATCGACAGACTCTGTGAAGAAATCAATACACAAGAAGTTGAAGAATATTTTAGGAGGGTTTTTGGTTTGGCTTCAAGTTATTATTTTGACCCCAGCACCCTTGGGCCTACAAAAAAACAGGGTGCAATGAAGGGCTTCCGCCTACATGTACTTGCAGAAAAAATGCATTGGCCGGGAATCGAACCCGGGCCCCCCGCGTGGCAGGCGAGGATTCTACCACTGAACCACCAATGCTTGGATGAAAGCAAAGACTGTGGTCATGTTTTTAAAATACACGTTCACACATACACAAGCTGGGCAACGAGGAGCGGACTCTGCACAAATCCACTCTGCCTAGCAAAGCGGCATGCCATAATGCCATGCACTTACCAGCACAGTCTTCCACAGCAGCAGCACCAGCTTGCGGATAGGAAACGGCGGCATTAGCGCACTGCAGAACTGCACTAACGCATCAAAGCAGATTACTGCCAGGCAGGGGTTATTTCCACATGGCTGACCTGAATAGTACCACATCATCGGAGAAAGACACAAGCAAATACACTACGTTGCAGCTGATTCCAGGTCAATGCAGACAGTACAAGAAAAGCAAGTAGTGAGCAGAAATACCAAAATTAACATCAGAAGCCCGGCATTGAGACTACTGGCTTTCAGAAAGACTACCTGTACAACCAGAACACTCATGACCAGTTGGGAAGTATGGTGTCATCGGACCACGTTACTGTGAACAATCCATACCTTCTGGGCAGTCCAATAATATCAGCAGCGAATAACGTGTGTATGTGTGTGTACAGGTTTGTCGCATGATGGCAAGTTCTGCCGTCACAAACTCCATAGACTGGAGTTGCATTCTCTGGGGAGTAATTTACTCTTACTAGCATTTAATAGCCTAGTTTATTACAGCATACCTAGTTCAGTAATGAACTGTTCTCGCACTGCCGTCTCCTCCTGGGTGGGATCAACCAGTGGCACACGCATGTACTCGATCAGCGAGTACAGGATACTGCAGCACAGCCTGCACAAGATCATACACACATTGTTAGAAAACACCAAACAAGGTTCGCAACAGGCGCATGTACACATGCAACCACGACGTCTTGCCTGTGTTAAATGTGTGGCGCGTGGCGCATGATGAAAGAAGAACTTTGAAATTATAAAACAATACTACAGAAGCTTACGCTAATAGTTCCAACTGTGAACAAAGAAGAGTTCTAAGCAAAGCTGCAATTTAACTACAGATGAAACCAGGTCCGAAACAACTTGCACAATCCACACATTGGTGCCAAGGAATAGTGGTCTTACAGACCAGGTGGTCTCTCAAACCGGGGTGACCCTTGCAAATTGCACATGCTTGGTGTCAAGGGATAGTGGTCTTACAGACTAGGTGGTTGCTGAAACCAGGTGGTCTCTTGACCAGGTTCCAGCTGTAGTAGCAACTGAGCAGGAACACCATGATAGCCCCATGCAAGCACTACAGCCACACGGTCACCCCCACTCAGATAGAGAGTGAAGATCCTAATCGGATGCCAAGCTCCCCCAGTGCTGCTAAACCCGAGGAGTATGGACTGTAAGCAAGCACTCAGCCGACCGCCAACAAGTCCACTCATGTTTACGTACCGAGTGTGAACATTGTCCGATAGCGTAACCGCTGGTTTCTTCGCTGCCAGACCCTCGGAGTTTTGTGCGATGCTATAATGGCGAAAGAAAGTACAGAGAATGCATAGTGACGCAAACAGAGTATCACCACAGGTCCGTTTGTCATGGACTTAACTTACAAGAAACCTTTACAGTACAGAAAAGGATAGGGCTACAGTACTCCTCGTGGAGAAAATCTGAGAGTGTCTATGAAAATCGAATTCACAACAAAAAAAAGAGGGTAATTGCTTTTCAGAAGCGACAAAGGACCCATGACAACAACTGTCCCCTCGCGCTCCCAATAGGCGAAAATCAGTAGACAGACGTTTGTACCGAAATGGTCTTCAGCCAACCAAAAAAGCTTTAAGAAAGAGAGAGAGAGAGAGAGAGAGAGAGAGAGAGAGAGAGAGAGAGAGAGAGAGAGAGAGAGAGAGAGAAGAGAGAGAGAAAGAGAGAGAGGGAGAGAGGGAGAGAAAGAGAGAGAGAGAGAGAGAGCACATGGGAGCACTCTGGTCTCGACGAGCGTGACGCAAGCTGATGACCATAGGTCTTCATAAAATTGCCGAACAGCATGACAAATATTGAAAGCCATCCTCCACAATGCCTTACCCAAGCTCCATGACAAGCAACTCCACTAGCTGCTCCAGTCCACCTTGCGATGCCAGCAGGTAAGCATTTCTCTGAGCCTACACCAACAGCACAACAGGCAAGGACAAGTATTTCCGTAGCAGCACTCGGACACTGTGAAGTAAGTCTATAGGGTAATGTATACGGCAACGGCCCAAACGATCACCGGCAACCTGATCTAACATACTGCTATGAAAACGTAAGGTAATCGGCATAGTACAGCAAGCTATTTACTTCAAATAAGGAAACAAAAAGGGGTCACATGACGCCCACATGCACTTACCATGACATGCTGCTCGGCTTCATCAGTACACTCCCCAAACACACCTGCAAAAAGAAAAAAAACAGTCAAAAATGCATTGGCCGGGAATCGAACCCGGGCCCCCCGCGTGGCAGGCGAGGATTCTACCACTGAACCACCAATGCTTGGACAAGATACCTGTGAACAATCCAACACTTTATGTCTCCATTCCCCCAGTGTCTCGGGCCTTCGATTTCTGGTTTTCCGAAGTGCAGTACATCTGCACCTGATTTTTGATTCCCTCTGCATCTAAATGATAAGACCAGCGATTTGACCAAGTGGTTGTGAGCATACCTGCAAATCACAAGGTCCCGAGTTCGAGACACACGCTGACAGCAAGGACATTGTCCTGTGCTAACAGATGCAGTGATGCATGCGTGAAACACATTACATGCAAAGAACTGCGCCGGCACCCACGGTCAACTGGATACTCACAACTCGGAGTGAGGGTAACATGGCTGCAGCTAACGAGGCTTGGCACCCTTGTCAGGCACTGGCCGTCAGGCTTACTACCTCACCCTCGCGGCTAGGGTCTGCATCTGCCACCTTGGGTTATCAGGTATGGCGGTGGCCTGACACAAACGGAACTTTCTACTATTGTAAGCTGGTTGTGTTTCTCAATACAATTGCACAGCAGGTGGTAACGCGAAAAAGCGAACTGAACTTTACTTTTAAAAGATGCATCAGTAGCAAAGGAGCTCATTAGCAGAGGAGCAGCTTACAAACCCACAAATACCCACCCACCCAGACATACAGGTGTACATACCCACCCACAGTCCCACACACACCTTGAATTAGATAGAGCATGGACCGCACGGCGCGCGTCCGCTTGTCCACACATGCTAACTCCAGCTGGTTTAGCAGCACCTGGATGAAGCGCTTCCTGTTTCGTACACTGGCCTCCCGCCACCGACCTCCGACTGCAGCAAATACACGCAAACGCACACACCACACAAACCGTGTAGAACTCGAGTGCAACGATAGCGTCAACAAGCAGGCCAGCGAAGCGGCCCCAGGACATGAAAGAGAACACAAGAGCGGTAAACAATAATGCAATTACAATAAAACCTGTAACTAACGGCCAACCCTTGGGGCCAGAGAAAGCGGCGGTCTTTAGTGGCAGGTGGTCCTTTGTTAGAGGTTTGCACCGCACAACCATTATTATATGAATGTGAGACCGCCCGTGCCTGGCGAAGTGGTCTGTAGTACCAGGCTGGTCGCTAGTCACGGTGGTCTTTAGTTACAGGTTTTACTATACCTACATAGATTGCCGGTAATCTCCCAGGATGTGAGTAAAAGTCAGTAAACCAACCAAAATCACGGAATGATGCGGAACCCTTCCAATTTCCGACTGCAGTACACACCACCAATTCAGTTGCATCACTTTCGTGATTGTGCTTTCCCTGTCCTATGCTGACTGGCGAGTGCTCAATCCACAACTTACATGATACACAGTGGACTACAGGTCCCAAATTTGCTCTGCTACACCGGCTTAATACGGTTTGATTTTTTCCGGAAGTTCATCTTGCCCACATGCGGCCATGTGCATTGGGAGAAGCTGTTGCAGGATCCTAACAAAGTTTTTCTCTTCGGAAACAACAGCATATCGTGTCAGAATTCTATCATTCCAGGGTAGCACAGCCACCACAACACACACAGGACACATGCAGCATACCATGTTTGGAGATGTCCTCATCGCCAACCGTCTGGTTCAGCGCGAAATCCTCACTCTCCGTGTAGCTGTACAGTTCTACGAGCCGACAAGCACGCAAAACAATGAACACACACATACATACATACACACACACACACACACACACACACACACACACACACACACACATAGACACGAACACGCGCACACACGCACGTGCAATCCCGGGCAATACAGCAACACACTTACAAGTGCGCCAAGAGTATACAGCCGAAGAGTGTGAACCACATTTGATACACGGAGAGCCACCAGTGAAAATAAACTAACATCAGCCTAGTGGAATATATTATTACAAACGTAGAGACCCGAAACCCAGCTCACTGTCTAACGATATGTTTCGCTAGCGCTTCTTCCCATACAGCTTTTTTTCATTCGTAAAAAGCATGTTGAGTAGTTGCACAGAAGCGCAAACGCTGGCATATGCTACTGGGAAACGCATGCACAAAAACACCGTTTTGTATGTACAAGGCTAAGCCAACTACCCCCCCCCCCCCCCCCCCCCCCCACACACACACACACACACACAACACACACACAACACACATACACACACACACACACACACACTACTCCCACCCGCATGCAGAGGACCCTAATCTAGCGATGCACAGTGACACACACACGCACACTTGACACACACATAAGCAAGCACGACCTCTACATTGATTTGTGTACATGCTGCGTTCGAGAATGAATTGAAAAGGAAAACAATTTCTTCCATATTCAACAAATGCAGTGAGCAGAAATCCAACCTGATATTTCAACCTCCACGGTATCCGCGTCAGCATAAACGAAGTTCAAGTCAGGACTTTCATTCTGTAGCCAGCAACAAGTCAAGTTCAAACCAGTCAGCAACGCAAGGCCAGGGAATAGTTCTCGGAACAATTTGTGCAGCGAACCTCAGAATCCTGACGTTGTCGTTTTAGAATGTCTTTTAGTCCACTAGGCGCCCGCCTCTGGGTTCCCGAGAGGAGCTCGTCATCTCTTCCCTCAGCCGCAACAGCTTCCATGCCGCCACAAGCTACAGAGATCCGACAAACTGCTCGAACACACCAATTATTTGAACTTTCATAATTATTTCGTCATGCGAAACAAGACCCATGCCCAGATCAAAACAGTATTTTTTTTCGAGCATCCTCATCTTCCGTCGAAAGCAGGAAGTAGTAAAATACCGGTATTTTACTACTCCCTGAGCCAAGCTTCGAGAATTGTTACGTCACCGTGAATAGCAGGGATCCTACAAAAATATACAAAAAATATTCTCCTGAGTCCTAGGGTGCGTTTGGTTGGTACGATCTAGAACAGGATCGAACAGCTGGTGCACATGGAGCAGCCTCATGCCAACCAAACGGTACACCAGAAACAGAGCACATTTTCGTGGAAAATGTGTGAAACTTGAAAATGTTTATGGGTCACCATGGTCACTTTGTACGGTACAACGAGTTCAACCCAAAAGCGTGATCATTTGGGACCAAAATCGATGTTCCCGCCAGGTTTCACTGTGAAAAAGTGAAACTGCTCGGTCTGCTCCGGCCTCGAGGCCGGAGCAAGCAGAACATGTTCTGGCCGACACAGAACAGGTGCAGTCTCAACCAAACGCGCTGTTCTGGTGAATCCTGTTCTAGTTCGTACCAACCAAACGCGCCCCTAGATCCTGACTCATCCTACTAGTACTATACTACTATCCGGTATACCGCATGTACATGACTGTACAATGTCATGTACATTATACAGTCCCTCTCTAATCCGGCACTTGTTTATCCAGCACCCTTGCAAACCAGCACACTTTCTGGCAAAACGGATTTTTTCAGTTCATTTTCTACGCTTTAATCCGGCACTTGAATTCCGCCTCCAGCAGCGATTTTCTGCAACAAATCACTCAAACTGTGCATAATTCAATTTTCTAATCCAGCAGTTGTACATCACATACTGTCCAGGAGCATTGTAACATACACAACACATGTAACATACACTTGGGAATATCCTATGCTAGTGCATAGGATATTCCCAAGTGTATGTTAGAGACATGCATTCCACAAAGTACTTGGATTGACACAGAAAATTGCTACGTTTTGACGTACGACACAAACATGTATGTTAATAGGTGGGCCAGGGTGGAGGGCAGGATTTGATAATCCAGCACCCTTGTTTATCCAGCAGAAAATGCCGTTGCGAAAGGTGCCGGATTAGAGAGGGACGGCTGTAGTATGAGTCGAGTCACTAACGAGTCGGTCTGAATATACATGTAATTATTAATGTTTAATAATAGCTATGAAAAGTATGAATGCCGCAGACATCACCACGCAACATGACAGGTGATGTCTGCGGCATTCATACTTTTCATAGCTATTATTAAACTTTTATCTCCACGTAGATTATTTGTAAATTATTAATGTACCGGTAATTATTATACATGTACATTGTACATGTATTATGTATGAGTATGATGTTGTATTTTCTTTTCTTTTTTTTTGTATTCATGATCTATGAAGTACGAAGACATTGATGCTGATGAGTGATGGTAGATTTACACCAATGGTTGCTGGTTGCTCCTCAGTCACAGCTAGCGGCTGTTTCACGGTAGTAGACCCCGGCTATAAGTAAGTAGTTGTACATCATGGTATTCAATCAAGCCGCAGAGAGAGTTGTGTACGGACCCGGGTCTATAAACTCCCTAATTTCAAGGTTTCGCATCACTGAAGATGTACGAGTATGCACCACTGAAGAGTTGACCAATGCCCTACAAGGCAAGGAGGCAGTGAAGGCACTCAAGTGAACCCGGCAGAAAACGGAGGGGCCGATACACACCTCCACGCCGCGGGCCGGCATATGATAATTGCGGGGGAACTCGAAGCAGCTGGGACCTGTATTACTATTGGTATCAGGCTAGGAGAAGAGGAGACGGGAGGCGAGACGAAGAATGGAACAAGCATCCGGCCCTAGCATTTCGCCCGAGCCCGCAGTCACACACTTATGCACTTACATCACGGTAGCGGGCTGCAGGAGCCTGAGAAGGTACCGTTGGCGGAGGGGAATCATGTTTCCACTAGCTATTAGCCTTTTCCCAAAGATGCCATAATTTTTCGCAACTTATGCTTTTCGCAACCGTGCCAAAACAAGTGCTACCGTATTTCCTCGATTAATGGACCATGCTCGAATAATAGACCATGCTCAAATGGTAGACCCTCCTATAGAGGCCTCACGGAAAAATAGTAGACCATGCCCGAATAAGACACCCGGTCTCTTATTTGAGTTCATTGCTTTGCGCATGCGCACTAAGAAAGCATGTGGTGGATCAAAAAAGGACGCAATTTTAGGTTGCGCAACTACAATTTTTGTAGGGGCTAGTGCTTTCTTTCATTATTTGAGCACGGTCCACTATGTATTTTCATCGGCACAGCGCTGGAAATGGTGGATTTTTAACACGTCATAATATAGAACTTCTATATTATGACGTGTTAAAAATCCACCATTTCCAGCGATGTGCCGATGAAAATATAGTGGACCGTGCTCAAATAATGGACCATGCCCAAATAAGAGACCGGGGGTCCAACCCTCTTCAAAAAACAAAAGACCGGGTCTATTAATCGAGGAAATACGGTAGTTGCTGAAATCGCATCCATATTTTCGGAAAAAGCTTAAAAGTTGCTAATATCGCAACCTAGAATTGGAGAGTTCTAGTGCAAAAAACTACACAAAAGGGAGTAGAAATAGCAGAACTTACGGTGCATCGACTGCAAACTCGTAGATCTACACCCCTTCCTGCGGTGAACCACCACTTTACACAGTGCCAGTAGCCTGTTGCATGTATCCTACATGTAAATCATTCCAGTGCAAGGAAAAGGGAACTATTACTTCAGTGCACATTATCAGAACTACCGTTGATCTACTGTTTCTCTGAAATCAGTCTGAAGGCAGGCGAGAAATGAGCGAGTACGAGTTTGCATTTGTCCGACATGTAGTCGGTGAGTCGGTGACTTGACCGTTTGACCCCATGCCATGGCGCGAATTGCGCTAAGGTTGCGAAATAGTTCGCGAAAATGAAGAAAGTTGTGAAGGTTACGATTTCTTCCTAAGCAACGAAAAGTTGCGAAAAAAGCAATGTGGTCAATTGTTTCTAAGCTGCCCTTGCAAAGCCTGCAATTGGCATCAGTTCGAGCAATTGACTTCATTATGGCGTATTGGTAATTTTTCGTTTTGAGGGATTGGTCTTGTGCTGCCATAATCATGCCTTCAGTTGAAGGTTTCAGTGTCCTTGATTTCAACCACATGAAAGTAAGCTCCTTATCTAGGCGATTCTCCTCCAATCGGCTCCAATATCTCCCATGCAGCGGCATAGTGGAAAGTGTTTTGGATTTTCGCTTATTATTATTATTATTGGACACTGAAACAAAAATTGAACTATTATAGAAAATCTAAGTTAGAGAAATAACACTAAGTAAGAGCAACAACAGTGAAATTTACAAGTGTGAATTTTAACAATCAAAGCGAGAAATGAACAAAGGAGAAAGGAAGGAAAGACAACGTGATAACACATAACAGCAGTACATTACACCTAGAACATTAACGGCCAAGCTTGGCCGCACTAAACACGACACGTTACTTGAACAATTTCAACCCAATTACATATAATTATGTATACTATCTTTCTGTACACACAAATTAGGCTTGTACAGACGCTGATAGATAGCTTCCAACACTTTTAACTGTAGTCCATAACCATGACGACCACGGCACAATACAGTGAACGAAGAGTCGGAATACGCACCGCAACAATCAGGACTAGCCAGCAGATGATTGTACACTGAAGACTTGCTACCACGAAACCTACGCACAACACTAACACTCTCACCGGCACTCTCACCATCACTCCCATCACTGCTCTCCGACTCACTGCTCCCTCCGCCGTCCGTTCCATCCTCCGCTTCCTCTGTACTCTCTCTGTCTCGTCCATCCCGCCTGACCGGGTCCATTGAACTCAACTCGGCCGTCACCCTGCTATCACGTCCCTCCTTTCGCCCTCGTCCGCTGAGTGCGTAGCTTCTGTTGTAGTTGGCTGTTGATCGTCTTGGTCTTTCAATTATGGGCTTGGATGGTGGATTAGTTGTGGTTGCTGTAGATTGCGTTGTTGGTGTTGGTGTGGGAGTTACTGATATGCAAGGTGGGTCTTTTTGAGTCGGCATTTGTAGTGTTAATGCAGCTGTCAGTGTTGCTCGCGGTCTGCCACTGGCAAGCTCCACCGCCGCAAGAACCGATGGCGGAGGATCAGGAGGAGGCAGTTTGACCGGGACCGCAAGCGGCACCGCCTCAGCCAAAGCCGCCGGGGGCACTGACGAGGGAACCACCGACGGCCGGAGCAAAGGCGGCGACACAAGCCGACCCGATGAGCCACCACGCCCATTCTCCTCCACCACCGCCACCAACGACGGCGGAGCAAGCACAGTCTGTGAGCCAGGATCCGCGGGTTGTGTAGGCAACGGCTGTGTGGTTAATGGTTGTTCGGTTCTTGCGGCGGTGGAGCTTGCCAGTAAATTTATTTATGGCTCAACATCCGAGTTTCTAATTGCACACCTGATGAGCCGTCACGAACCATACGGCGAAACGTACGTCGTGTGAAACAACTTGTTTTGTAGTCAACTAGTCCATCACAATGTCATGCATGAGGAGTACTGTAGGAGTTTGGCTTTCGGCTTGTACAATTCGTTTTCGCAAAGCTTCCCTTTCTTCATTTATCTTTGATATTTATGACCCACCCAAGTTGGGTGGTGTGCTGCTTTGCTGCTTCGAATTGTAGTTAGACCGCTTTGTCAAATATCGTACTGGTCTCGTCATCGTCCAGCCTAGTAACAATCGACATTCTTTGTTCCGTTGGGACTGTAGCTTTTGCTCATTTTCGTTGCGCTTGCCTTCCCCTCTTTGGTCTTTCCATAATCTTGAACCTTCCAAGTTGGAAGGCTGTCGGTTAGCGCTACGGAGATGTGTTGAAGCTAGGTGTCAGGACGTCGAATGTTTCAGTACTCTGTCAGTTTTGTGCCTAGTTATTGCACTTTCTGACTGTATATAGTATCATGTTACAGTGATGGAGAGTTACTCTTAACTCGTATCGATATGTCCTTTTCTCTTCTACATTATTATTATTATTATTATTCACTAGTTTGAGGGATATCAGCATTATGAAAATGCCCCCAAGGCAATATGCCTATCGACGGGTTTCATTTGATTGAAAGAACACTACTACTACTACTAGTATATCAGGGGCGTAGGAAGCAGTTTAATATTGGTGCGGTGAAATTGTGAGAGGGGGGTCCGGGGGTCCTCCCCCGGGATGTTTTTGAAAATTGGGCCTAAAAGGCCATATTTTAATGCTACAGAATAGTATGTATTATAATATTATGAGAAATAAGAATATGCATGCTGATGATACACCGCATTGTCGATGTAAAACATGGTACCTGTACAAGAGTCGACAAGCCATCAACAAGGTTGAAATATTTAAAAAAAAATCGAAAATTATTGGTCCGGCGACCGCCGGGCCTGCCGGACCGGTTCCTACGCCCATGTATATGCAAAGACAGGTAGGGCTTGATGAGGAGAGAAACGGGGAAGATCAACTGCATGGTTGCGGAATTCCGTTGATTGCATAAGCATGGTTACCGTATCGCAGTTCACAATGCAATGTATGTCCGAATCATCACGCCGCACATCACAACCACTTGAAAGTTGAAGTAAGAAAAGTAGTCGCTGTATATAGGGTTTGTGGTGCTTCTAAGTTCTACGATGGACGTAAGAATCACCGCTTTGCTCCTTTTTGAACTTTTTCTGTGAAGTTCTGACTAATCTGTCTATATAGCTGCTCAGTATACTGTATCATGAGCATCACCGTCATGTACATGTACATGTATGCTGTATTACTCGGAGGGAGTTGTGGTTGCTCGTGAGAGTGCTCAATACACCAAGGTGCAGCGCCTAGTACACACACTTGAGAGGGACGAAACGCGTTTCTTCTGTAACTCTGAGTTTCACGGTTTTAACCGATCATCAGACAGCAACTATATTACTTGACTACAATTTTCAGAAGATAAGATTGATATAGGCTGCAAGCCATTCAGCAAGACAGTGGCCACAAACATCGGACAGAGATTCCTGCGACTAATCGAAATACACTTCCCCGCCGGATCTTAAAGTAAGCTATACATGTAGTTGTATGCCGAATATGTCTGCAATGGTCAAGTCACACAACAACTCAGTTAAACGGAAGAGTGGAAACAACGATGGACAGCCCAAGGAAAGACGATGCAACTGCAGAGACAAAGCGCAGTGTCCGATGGACGGCAACTGCTGTATTATGTTGCCTGATGATTTGCGAGAGCATGAAACTTCAAGTCGCAGCAAACAAGCCTTGATTGTCCTTGTTGTTCTGTTCTGTATGCTGTATTAAAAAGATTGTTGTGTACTGCCATGTTACAATGTCAATGGTTAACAGTACATTTAAATAACGGTATATTTTTCTGCCTTGTATCCGAATAGTATCTGCCTGAAGAGAACGATGAAAGTGCTACATTGGAAGGTTGATTATAAAGAGCGGCTGAGCCTGAAACTGGTTTGATGTCTGATTGGATATTTGTCTCCAAGGACTACACTACCACTACATTGTCTTTGTAGTGATTTATAATAGCGTACTACTACTAGTAGATCTACCGGTGCGTTGGTGAAGTAACTCACTTTAGTTGTGTCCGCATTTCCGGCAGTAGCGGCACATGCGTCCACCTGCCGAGCAGACTCCAGCTGTCCAGTCTACCTCAGTACCTGGTAATCATTGTACATCTTCCTTGTGGCCATGGCCGTGATGATGACGCCAGGCGCCTAGGCCGGGACTGGAGCCTGTGGAGGGCGTCGTAAAAATGTTTTGACCCCCTGTTCGACGCCCAGTACAACTAGTGTTGCCAGTGTGTTGGGCTGTTGTATGCATATGCATGATAATAATGTTGCGCACGACTGACCACGGGGACTACAAAGTACAGAGTACGAGCTACAGTCATGTACAGAGTCAGTGCTGGCAACTGAAATCCGACCCCCTAGCGTCTCGTACGATCGTACGAATCGCTAACGCGGCTAGCGCACCGCTAGGGGGGTCGGATTTCAGTTGCCAGCACTGTAGATCTACACTACAGCAGCTGTACACAGGCTGACTACAGCCTACAGTCTACAGACAGTACAGGTAGACTACCGTACTGGCAATATATGTTGCCGCAGTGAGGCCATGAAGCGTTACATTGGCACATGTTTGCCGCACGCAGGGCGTTACATGCAAAGTCGCACAGGAGCCGAATTACACAGGTTTCTATATTGCCGCAGTCCTTTTTTTGCTATTGCCGCATCACTTTTTTGCTATTGCCGCATCATTTTTTTGCTTTTGCTGCATCATTTTGAGTGAAAAGATCGCCGCACCCCGCCGGACGCGCGTTACGAACTCAACGAAAATTTGTCGCACTAGCCTGGTCGCGCGTTACGCCGCACCCCCCTGCGTTACGCGTTACGCGGCAACATATATTGCCAGTACGGTAGTATGGGCCTTACATGGCCCCAGGCTGCGCTCGCACTGACTCGTAGTGTGCTGAAACTCCTACATCATTACATGTATCATCCTATGCCCGCTGTGCCGCTGAGTATGCGTGTGGATCCACATGACTGTGGTACCGAGGCTTTCGCATGCTAGTAGTAGTACCTGATCCAGATATGCTCTCTCGTCAGGAGTCTCGAATGTCCCGGCGGCACAACGATCAGTCTGTTATGTTTACATGTGTGTGTATCCGGGTGCTGTCCGTGGCGGACGATTTGCAGCTGGTCACTTGGTCTTTTCAGTGATTGCTCTCGGCCGCCGGGACACCTATGAAAGATAGCAGAGAACAGGGGCAGTGAGCGGCAGGATGGGAGACGAAAACGCAGATTTGGTAGGGAGCCAATTACTTGCCCGTCCTAATTTTCAGATTGATTGCAATATCCAAGCTCTATTCTACTATCTGTTCTGTGCATACCATTCTACAACGGCAGACTAAGCCGCCGCCGCATTTGGAGGGTGTTCTGCTGAAGCAAGATCCCCGGGGTCTTAGGAGAGGCTGGAAAAGTCGCTATTTCGTGGTGAGGGCACGCTCGCTAGCGTTGTATCTTCATGCTCACAGTTCGTTATTGCAACATTTTTGTACCACGCACATGTACGTCATGATGCAGTATAATTATCACTCTATGCAAACGGAGCGTGCGCTCTAAGCCGCTCTTCCTGGATTCGATGTAGATCCACCAATGTATACGTTCGTCAGGGATTCCGGAGGAATTAAAAATTAAAATCGGCTTCCTTGAGTTATGGACTGAACAGAGATGACACTCAACTTGAAACATAATCAACGATGCGGTGATTTTGGAAATCGGATGAATCATTCCAAAGTTACGGCCTTGCTTTCTGAGGTTTGAGAATTTACGCTTTTCTCCAGCTTTGGGCTAGGAAAAGTTCGTATTACATGTAATTCCAGAAATTGGTCAAAAATGTGTGCATGTGTGTGCATGCGTGTGCGTTTGTGTGTATGTGTGTGTACGTGTGCATGTACGTATGCGTGCGTATGTGGGCGTGCCCGCGCCATTTATCACGTGTTGTATAATAATGCTACAAGGTGAGAAAGGACAACATCTTCTACTACAAGTCGAGGGAAGAGTCGGTCAGCAATCACAAGTACACCGGTGTTATCAAGCTACCTGAGGTGAGTCAGCTGATGTCGACGGATAGTCAATGGCTCTCTGTGTGCAACAGGGAGTCGTGCTAAAAATGGTTTGGGTACGACTCCCTAGTGTGCACACATCATAAGACATAAGACACAGTATCTGCTGGTAAGGGGCCATCCGTAAATATAGATATATATTTGCCAGAGAAACGAAAACTAGTCGTTTAGGGGGGAGGGGGTTGACCGCCTGTTCGTTTCTCCAAAAATATCGACGCACAGTTTGTACGTGTGGGCACGTCCAGAAAAAAAGAAAGAAATCGATTCTATGTACCATTTGTATGTGTTCGTTTCTCAGGGAGGGGGGGGGGGGGGAAGGTTGAAGAGAGATGACTAGTTTTCGTTTCTAAATAGATATCGATATTTACGGATGGCCCCAAGACCATGCGGATCTCACGGAATACTGTAGTTGAAAACATCGACCCAGGTTTTAAGTTGATGCCCCATGCTTAGGACCTCGATTTCCCTATTCAATGGTAGTTAAACCCCGGTAGGAAGTGAACTACCCCAATTTTTCCCGAAGCTATGCGAAAGACGTTACCTCAGTAGGGTATGGCGCTACTACTGAGCTAGGATCCACAGCACTTTAGTGTGTATCTGTGTGTGTGTATGTGTCACTGTGTGTGTGTGTGTGGGTGGGTGCGTGCGTGTGTGGGGTAGGGCCTGGCGCGCTATCCCGTACATGTCCCATACCGTACCATCAAAGAAAACTGGCCACATATTCCAATAGGGCTTTCAATGGCAGGAATGTGAAGTAACTTGGTAGAAAGTGTTTGTATGCGAAGTGCATCGAGGGAATGCATGCATGGCGATAGTGCGGGTTAGAATCCCATGTTGCATGTGGAAATAATAAAAAAATAGATAAGGACCTCGAGTTACGAGTTTAATACAAGTATGTACGGTATGTATCTTTATGAGTCAAACGAGAGAGCTCGTACTTGGTAAAATGTACCTGTCTCAGTAACCTCTCTGGGAGTTAGAGTTTTGATGTATGTAAAGTGGTCAACAGAATTATTGTCCCACCCATGCTAAAATGTGATTCAGTTGGTTATTACTACTGTAAAACCGGAAAGTCTAAAACGACCAAAAAGTATAACGTTTTTGTAATTTTGGCATAATTACGTGCAGAAAGTTTAACGATGGCTACCTGGCCACCCATCTGTATGCGCATCTTTACACAGACATCTAGCTATAACGGTTTTTTCCAATAACGAAAAACAATTGGTCGTTAAAACGTTAGACTTTGTGACTCGTTAGACTTTCCGGTTTTACAGTACCTACTTCGAAGTAGACTCTAACTAATGTCAGTAATGAAGACCAGGACAAACGGAAGCAGTGTTTGATTGGTCCGGCCATGCCATAGCCGTTCATACCTTGTGCCTGATAAGGCGGGCACACACGACCCCTTCAGGAGCTAACACCCATTGGCGGCCAAAGAGTTGGTCCGGCCATGGTATGACCAACCGGACCTGTTCAGCCACCCCTGAAGAGATTGGAAACCTGACAGGAAAGGGAAAATTTGTTTGTTATAATTATAGTTTACAACTACTAAAAGCACCTCTACGCGAGAATAACAGGGAAAAAGCTGGTACAATAATAATGGCTGAATCCAGTATAAACGGTAAGGTTGCCTATCTACCTAAATACAGCTAGGATTGAACTAAGTTGAGACTAGCACCGCTAAGCAGTGCTGATTGTATAAAACTCGTGCAGTTTTACCAATTTGTGGTGCCACCCTTGGCCTGGATCACTGCCTCCATGCACCCCGGCATGGTGCTGCTAATGCTCACGCATTCTTCGGCTGTGATTAGGTTCCACACACTCTTGCAGACATCCCACAGCTGATTTGTGCTGGTTTGCCTGGTCTGCAGCTCATGGCGCTTCAGGCCGAGGGCGTGCCACAGGTTTTCGATCGGGTTCATATCGGGCGACTGCGGCGGCCACTCCATGACCGTGACTGTGACGTTGTTGTCTTGAAGCCACCGCTTCGTTGCACGCGCCGTATGCTTGGGATCGTTGTCCTGCATGAATATGCCACCAGCATTGCCGAACACATCCTGTATACTTGGCAGCATCGCGTTGTGCAGTATTCCCAGGTACTGCTGTGTATTCAATATACCATCAACCTTGTACAGACGGCCTCTTCCTTTGGCGGACATCGCTCCACGGATCGTAATATTGCCGCCTCCATGCTTCACAGTTTTTCGCGTACACGAGTCTGCGAGGGCTTCACCTGGTCGTTTTCTGACTTAAACAGCCCCATCAGACCCCACCAGGTTGAACTTGGACTCATCTGTCCACAACGCCCACTGCTCACTTGTTCAATTCCTGTGAGTGTCGGTGAATCTCGTCTTCTTTGCGTTTGTTTACCTTGGAAATAAACGGCTTTTTAACTGCCACACACCTACACAATCCACAAGTCTGCAGCCTGCGACGCACAGCTTGCACTGAGATAGCATCATGTCACAGGTTCCGCCTTCCTGCTTCAACTCGGCTCTCACCTTTTCGATATCCTGAATCTATTGCACATGGAAAGCACCCCAAGTTCAGCCAGCAATAGAACCTGGGGGTAGTCTTCCTTGGGCGGCCAGTGTAGGGCTTTGTATCCACTTCACCAGTTTCGGAAACGCGGAAATAATTCTGCGTACTGCAGATTTTACCCAGGTCATCATGCATGTTATTTGAACTGATAGAAATGTCTTTGCAATATGATTATCGGGTGCATGTTTTGTATTGCAAAGACGTTTATATCAGTTCGAATAACACACGTGATGACCTACAGTCCATTTCAAAACTGTAGACGCGTACCTAGGCAAAAACCGTTATGCCAGCATCTATACCACATAAAATCTGTGATCACTTTGTGCATAAATTTTTCCAAATTGGGCGTCTGTTATCCAATCGTTTAGAAATTATTTGAGAGTAATTGTAGAGCGGTCCTGAGCAATATTCCGAAAACTATTCTCTAAAAGCTCCAGCCAAATTTGAAATATTTCAAAAACCGTACGCGTCTATAGTTTTGAAATGGACTGTAGGTAAAAAAAGAGCATAGTGAGAACTCTGGGCTTTCAAGCTCTCTCGTTAATTCGGTTCCTAGGTCATGAAAGGTCGGCTTATAGCTGCATGGTAAAATACGGTAATTGGATGGCAAGAAAGCCGTTGGAAGATAACCGCTTGTGGTCTTCTAGGTACTCAGGTGAATGGTGTTGTTTGTTTGTTTGAAGTTTTATTTCACATCGCAAACCGAACGGGCATTGACGCCCAATATTATAATGGCGATAGAATACAAAATGGAATGTGGCTCAATAAAGCACAAGCTGTACTCGAGAAAATGAGAAAGTAGCCAATAGGAAATCGATGTACCGGTAATTACAAGCCAAGTTCTGACAGAATTTACAATCAGAGTGTTGGTCCGAGGACGCTGTGACGGTCCGTTCATCCTGTTCGATCCCTATGAAGTTTGTGTACTAGTATCTCTACCAACTTGGGAGAAGTGCACCCTACTCAATAGGAATTAGTACGGAAATTCACTTGAAGCTCCATTTCGCTCTTAAGCACGAAGAACGATGAAATGTTCAGAATCTGTAGTCTTCTGGAAGTTAAATTGAATGTTGTTCGTCGGGAGCATCAAATGGTTCGTACCATCCCTGTGTGCATTGTGTGTGTGTGTGTGTGTGTGTGTGTGTGTGTGTGTGTGTGTGTGTGTGTGTGTGTGTGTGTGTGCACATGTATCCCATCTTGCAGGTTGAAGAGATCAATGAGACAACATTCAGCAAGGTGCCTAAGCAGTCCTACGTCAACTGTGGGTTCACACTGACCGTAATTGGCCAAGACCGCGTCTACAGTCTACTGGCAGAGGTAAGCACACGACACAAGTGTTGTGTTAGAGTGCACTGCGTGTTGCCCCCCCCCCCCCCCCCCCCCGTATTCTCGACCACAGTTCTCCTTTAGTGTACCTGCATCTGCCCGAGCACTGTGTTCACATGCAGTCGTGGACATGGGTAAACCCCCCCATCCTCAAGCAAATATCTACTACAGCCAGGAACATGGGTGCCCTCCCCTGCCCCCTGCCCATCGCCCAGCAAATATATAATGTACTAGCCTGGGCACTGCCGTTTACAACTTTACGTACATAGCGGGGACTTGGGTAGGCTACGGTCCATCAGTGCGTTTTAAAAATGAACTACCCCTGCTGCAGTAAAACTGGAAAGTTTTTCTTTTTTTTTCTTTTTTGGCCACGGTCAACTAGCCGTTGGTATGCACACCTACCATCCTATCGATTATGTGGCTTGCCGGTGTGCTGCATGTAGGACAAAGCTGATTGCGACCACTGGGTGCGAGGTCTGAAGTACGTCAAGCGCTACTGGAAGGCGCAGGACATTTACCGCACGACCGTGCTCAACGATGACGAGATAACACGCAGGATGATTGCGGACGAGGATGAGGTACAGGTCTCGGCATGTTAGCTTTGGCATGCGAATGAGTGCGAGGAGTGGTTCACCGGCAGTGTATCGCAAGGGTGGGGTCAACTGTGATGGGTTATTGTTGAAGCAGTCATGTTGGTTGAGTCAGCTTACCGTTGGAATTGGCATCCATGTACTCGGGAACACTGTACACCTATCATCCATGTACTAGGGAACACTGTCATATACCTATCTTGCATGTACTCGCTCTGCTCTGTGTATAATGTCAATATGTGTTTTTTTGTTTCACGGCATATGTGTGCAGGAAGACTACATCGACAGCAAGTTCACTGTGTATGGTGAAGGGGGAGACTCCACAGCTTCACCGAAGACTAGACGACAGGTAAGATGGGCCGGAGTGTATTGTTGCATGGAAAAGGCAGTGCAGAATCGATGTGACCAATAAGCTTTTGATTACAGTAACGGAAGGCTCCCCCATCACTCTTATCCAACTAGGGATTTCGCTGGGGCTGATCATTCCTACCCATGGGCAGTGAAGGTCTAGGGAAGTATTAGAAGCTGAGGAGACATTAGATACTTTCAAACTGTGTACCATCAAGGTGTTCCAGAATCCTGTTAATCTCGGTATCCCCTTCGGGACCGGCGGAAGCAGTTTTCGATTTTTCCGGTAGTATTGTGGCCTTTCATACAGTTTGTGTATCGATATGGTGGATACACAATGCCCTCCACAGTACTAAACACGTGTTGATGGCCAAGATGTTGGTCCGGTGATAACCTGACCAACTGGACCGGTTCCGGCGGGCCTGCCCTTTCCTTGTCACTTGTGATGCAGCTGCCAATGCTAGTATACTTCCGAGTCAAAACATAAAATTTGTATCTTCCAAAGTCGTTAGCAGTCCTTGCCATTGCCTATACTGATGACGAAGGTGGAATTACCCTTTCAACAGCCGCAGCTCAGCTTTATCAAATTCGACATCTGACCAAGGCATAGCATGTTCACCCACCAGTTAGGCTCATGTCGAACCTTTGAATTTGAAATATACTATTCAAGTAATCTTGAAGCACCGATGGAACGAATAAATGTGAACAATTGAATACTGTAAATATACAAATTTTCGGCAGCTATTTAATTTCGGCTATATTCGGCACCGACCAAAAACGCCTAAATTCAAACGCCGATGAAATTTTTCACAGCATCTGTCGCACTATACCATGCCCTCTACCCCACGCCGAAAATAAATCGCCGCCGAAATGTCAAAAATCGTGAAGTGCCGAAATTTTGCAGCGCCGAAATTTTGTATATTTACAGTACTGAGTATTGGCTACATGCTACTATGTCTGTGATGTGCGCTGTTTGTTCGTGATGCAGAGCCAAACTCGACCGCGTTCAAAGTCTGACACGCGCCGCGTCATGGTTCACCTGACCGGCGGCGAGACGAAGCGCGTTGCTCTGGCCATGGACAGCACGGTGGAGAACCTACTGGGTCTTCTCTCATCATCTCTCATGTCGACCAACTGCAATGTTTGGCAAGTGAACAAGGAGGGAGTTGGTAAGCCAACAGTAAAATGACGAATGGATAATGGCAGATTGTGGGAGTTGTACTCTGACATACTGCCACTATTGTTGCTAACATACACTCATACCTAGGGGTGAGTCGGGTAGCATTTTCGTCGGGTATCGGGCTCGGCTAGTTTTCCACGGGTAGCACAGGTACCCGATCGGGTTTTGTTTCCATGGTAACACCAGTCCACAATGCACCCCTTCCCTTACACACTGGGTAGACATGCGGAGTATTACATGAATTTGTACACGTGCACTGTACATGACGTCATCTGCGACTTTGGGTTTTCGGGTATCCGACTACCCGTGCACGCACTGTACATGACGTCATCTGCGACTTTGGGTTTTCAGATATCCGACTACCCGTGCACACCACTACTCATATCTCTCGTACCCGGGCAGTGCCGGTAACTAAGTTACTTTGAAATATCTCTTCATCACATAGTATGTTTAAACGGGGAATGACCAGAGATCTGGCATGTGATGTCACGTTTCCACAAAATGTCCGAAAGAGACGTAGTATTTCCACCAACATTCAACGACAGGGTGCCCGGTAGACCGAGGTGCCTGTGACGTTGCCGTCCGGATAAGAGAGATATGAACCGCAGCGGCGTATTGCCAGTGTACTGTCATTGTCATTGTTGCTGCTGCATTGACTGATTACTGCTTGTTTGCATACTGTCAGCTTTGCTGTCAACATGCTCACAGCTGCATGCATGCGCCAGTTTGCTCGAGCGTTGTGGCCACTTTCGGCGTTCTGAAGTGAGTGGTACCATTGAGGACCACACTGTATGTTGAGCATCCATATAGATGTTGACTGCGCGAAGCCAATGTGTTGTGCAGTTGCGATAATGATGGTGCTGAGCTAGAGTGTGACAAAGCCACCAGGTAGACGCAAGTGAGAGAGCTATGGACGTGATGTGTGTCATGCTGTGGTGTTGCAACCATGGCGATTGTCTTGTGATGTGCTGCAGTGCGACGCCTGGCCAAGACGGAAGCGATTGCACCTCTAAAGCCCTACACTGACCGTTTCTTCTGCTTGAACAGCCAGTGCAGGGTAGGTGAGACCACAAGGCAAATAGAAATCCGATGCTGTATGCGGTCTGCTGTCACCGCCAGCAGAACAATCCAGAGAATAATTTCCCATCCAATGTGCCTGTAGAGAAGTCACACCCTTCTGTAATTGCCTCACTTGCCATTTGTCCAACACTTTCTAGCACTGCGGCTGCATCTAGCCTACATGTACACGTATGTTCAGCAGCTGTTGCTGCTTCTGTAGCATATGCTTGATATCTGCTCCCTTGTATGATGATAACTATTATGTTCTGACCTGGCTGCAGCCTCTGGTGGTGCACTTCGATAGAGACGAAGGCTTTGTGGCAACGGACGTACCGGACACCATCACTGCGTTTCAGGTACTGTCCCATGCAGGCTGCGGTGATGGTTTAGCTGTGCTAGCTGAGATTCTGCTGCTCCATCCGAGTATCATTTTGTTCACTCAGCATATGCGAATACTAGGATTTATGCATTTGAACGCACGAATGCATATTATGATTCAATGGATGGTCTTGTTAGCTGACATTCCCTGTCGTACTGTAGTAAGGTAGATCTTTCCATGCAAGTGCGACGTCAATTGCTAGTACCAGTTGTGGATTGGGTATTGTTATCCCGATCCTATAGCCTCCGGTTGTGCCGCTTGAATGCAGAACCTGCTGATCGCGAAAGCCGGGTAACACTGCATACTGCCAGCGTGCCAGTAGGTTTAAGGTTGTGTCCTATGCATAGTTATCTATGCATAGTTATCTATGCATAGATAACTATGCATAGATAACTATGCATAGCATCAAGAGTATAATTATCAACCCCCCCCCCCAGAGTATGCAACTCTGCATATGGGGCCTCCGACGGCGAAAACTCACATCACGTGTCTCAGATACGTTCGTACTACAGTCGGACCTCGCTTATCCGGTCCTCGTTTATCCGGATCCCTCGCCATCCGGAAGAAAATCGATGGTTACCGATGTGCAGCATATGTTATGCATACAACATAACCGGACCTCGCGATCCGCATACCGGTGCATGATTTTGTATACAAACTGGTTAAAATGTGTACAAAAAGCTTCGTCGTATCCGGTTGCATGTGGCTTGCAGAAACTAGAATCAGGGAGTTGTACAGGCAAATGAGGTCCTTGACCTGCTGGGTGGATGTGGACAGCACTCAGTTGCATGGACTTGTCATTTTTCTCGCTTGTTTTACATGTTGTGCACGCTAGTTGTACTGCATAGGACCCGTCTACATGTATGTACAATGTCACTGCTTTTGACATGCCACATGCAAATACAGTATGTGTGTTCAGTTATCCGGTTCCCTCGCCTATCCGGATATTTTTTGCGCAATCCGAATATCTGCCACGATCATGCTGGAGATTTGCATACCCGCAGTGAGTTTCTGTCAGAGAGCCCTTTTTTTGATTTCTCAGCTGCTCGCTAAAAACGGGCTGGAAACGTACAACTGCGACACTGCACCACGTGATGTGAGTTTTCGCCGTCGGCGTACCCCATAGAAAGGGTATCAGGAGTTGCGCACTCTTGGGGGTTATATACTCTTGGTAGCATTTATAACTTTAAAAATGGCAGCATAATATTAGTGCATGTGTATTGGACGTAAATGACGGACCGTCGGGCTTCTGAGTTTGTGAGTTTGGGTTTGTGAGGTACGCTGGTAGTTCTGGGATGCATACCTGAGGAGCGGAAGAAAATGTTGCTTGTTTGCTACGTTCTATATACACGCATGTGCACACATACATCACCAATCTGAAAACGATATTGTAGCTTCTTCTGACCATGTGTGTAAGCTGTGCTTCGTACGAGTAATGAGCGCGTAATAATGTTATGTTGTTGCATTTACGGCAGGTGGTTGAGTTGAAGTGCATGACGGACAAGCTGGCACAACTCGGTGTTTACAGCGCTGGCCTGTTCTTGCGCGATTCGTCCGCGAAAGGTACAGGTGCTTGGTAGCGTGGTGACTGCTGTTATGTATCTTTAATTATGCAGTGTGGAGTTTAGTCACATTATGACTATGGGCACGTGATGGCTTTGATCACATGATGGCAATGGTGACATGACTGATCACATGCCTATGATCACATGACTAATAATAATGATCACATGACCATGGTAGCATCACGATTACTAGTACAGTCGTCCCTCTCTAATCCGGCACTTTATAATCCAGCACCCTCGATAAACCAGCACAATTTTCAGTAGCCAAAATGTCCTCTTCATGCACATTGCAGCAGTAAATCAGATTTGTTAATCCAGCACCCTCCCTAATCCAGCAGATTTTCGTGGCACAAATGGTGCCGGATTATAGAGGGACCACTGTAATGGGTATATGGTTGCCGGGCTGCGGTACATATACTGTGGTCATGCCTGTGGTCACATGACTGGTCCACTAATCACTTGGAGTCCCCGGGGGGGGGGGAATTGTAGAGCCTGCCATGGGTTGCCGTGACTCTACGGAAGGTCGTCGTAAAGCTAATGTTTTTGGTATGTATTCCCGTACTGCAGATGTGCTATTTGCCAACGAGGATATGCCATGCAAGCTACTATATGGTGAGCGTAACACGCAGTTGTAGCCATGTTGTGATTCTGAGCCTAGAATACTGGCCTATGGTATCCAGAAATTAGGAATAGAATAGAAGCCTGCACTCTGCAGTCTTCAAACGGGGTGACGAGTCTCTAGACCTGAGTCAGACTGCACTTTCGTTTCAGCCTTGCGAATCATGACCCTCGATTGTGCATGAGAGACTTGAGTATCGTCATCATTCGCGAGGTTGAAAGTATGTAGTCAGATGGTCACAAGGGCTGAGGATTGTCTCGTTATTCGCGAGTTGTAGTTATACCTGAGGTTAACTGTACAGTGAGACCTGTCTAAGACGACCACCGCTCAAGGGACCTTCAAAACGTTACCGGGTGCTCTCCTTATCCAGGGTCATTTGACTGGAAATAGCATCCCTTGGTCCTGGTTTCAGCGGTCTTCCAGGACAGGTGGTCGTCATATCCGAGTGGTTGCCTTGACAGGTCTTACTGTATGTACTGTTGGAGAAATTCACCGGCGGGTATACCATCAGAGTGGCTCTAGGCTATCTAGACTCTAGCAGTAGAATCATCCCTCTATCAGCACAGTAGTGCTCTGTACCGCGTAACGTGCAGAGCTTCCTTACACAGAACGCTGAATGTGGTTTTTTTGTGCAACCGTGGCAGATGTTTGTCACGTACGTGGTCACGAGACAGTCCATAAGAGTGGGATTTGAGCTGCCTTCTTTGTATCTAGCCTCTACCGGAAGAGAAATGGCGTAGGTCTCATTTATATATCATTTTTTATGTCATCCTTCCGGATCGGTGCTGTGCTGCTGTGGTCCATGCACGTGCGCACGGATTCTTTGTGCTACTATTTCGTGCGTGTCGGCTTGTATTCGTAGACGAGGGTGCCGACGGCAAGCCGTTCTGGAAGACGAGTCTAGGACACCTGGTCATGCACAATAAGAGACAGTTTGATTCACCGAGCCTGCGCCCATCACAGAAGCCAATACACATAGCCGTCAATGAAAGGAAGAAAAGGGTAAGTAAAAAAACAACAAAAACATTGTGCGTTTTGGCGAGGAGACAATAATTTGATAACCGCAATCAATAGGACAAGCTGAATCAATATTCTGAATCTTACGCTGAAAGCACGTGTTCATTACACTATTTCTTCCTATTTTCATCGTTTTATTGCATATTGGCGCCACTTTACATTGCATGAATAAAGTATACACAAATGTCAATTCAGCTTATTGATTGCGGTTATCAAATTATTGTACGTTTCGTTTAGCCAACTAAGTGAACTTACTGTTAGGATCCTAAAATGCGTAAGTCTCTGAAACAAACATGTAGCTCATTGTGCTTGACTACAGTTGAGTGGAGTTGAATGGCATTGGTACATTTTGTATTGCTGTAGTCATTGTGTGTGCGTGTGTGTGTGTGTGTGTGTGTGTGTGTGTGTGTATGTGTGTGTGTGTGTGTGTGTGTGTGTGTGTGTGCGTGTTTTTTTCCTTTCTCGCTGTTGTCTCCCGCTTCTGGGAGCGACGTGGCCATTTTGTGGCAGTTGTACATAGTAGTAGTAGTAGTAGTAGTGTGTGTGTGTGTATGTGTGTGTGTATGTGTGTGTGTGTATGTGTGTGTATGTGTATGTGTGTGCGCGTGTGTGTACGTATGTGTGCATGTCTTTTTTTAGGAAGAGGATGCTTCCATGGAAGAAAAACAGCGCGAGCTCTTGAAAAAGATAGATCAGGACCGGCAGATTAAGTTGCAGCGGGACGAGAGACGCAAGGCGGACGAGTTTCAGGCATCCCAGGCGGCTAGAGAGGCAGAGGGAGAGACAGACGGATCAGGCGAGTGGTTCCCCCGTGAGGAAGTGTCCCAAAGGCGGCTGTCCCGGCGCAAACAGAAATCAAAAAAGGAGAGGGACCCGGAGGACACGCCGTTTGAAATCGTAAACGACTTCTATAGTGGCGATGCGGACGCATGCGATGACCTCACGGTGACGGAGGCTAGTCTGATGTCCCCTCCAAGTGAGGGAAGTGAGGATAGTAGCTACGCATCGAGTCAGCCCAGCAGAGGATCGACTACAACAGACCATGCGCAACTGACGGCCGACTCTGTGCGGTCCTCAATCACCTCAGCCGACAGTGCCAGGGACTCCTCGGCATTGTCGTCCTCGCCGGAGAGCCACGCGGAGGAAGACAGCGGTAGCGTCAGCCAAGCTGCAGCGCAAGACATGCCAGTGTCTGCAACAAGTGCTGAGGAGCCGTCACCAGCCGCTAGCGGAGCTAGTCCATCACTACGGCGCGTGCTTGAATCGCCAGACTCGGCCGCCATTGTGTCCAGTGCGGGAAGATCGGCGGTGCGCAATCGTGGATCCCTCAGTGGCAACAGCGGCGGCAGTGGCAGTGCAGCCCGAAGTACTCGCGTCCGTTTCAGCCTGGACCTAGTGGAGGCCACCGACATACCATCAGACGCGGACGTGAAGGCACACGGAAGCTGCGATGAAGATGACGAGGAGAGGGGCGAGGCACACGATCATGATACTGACGACGATGATAATCGCAGCGACATGACAACTCCAAGTAGTGTTAGTAGCATGTCGACTACGGACGAGTCGGAGCAGCAGGCGGAGAGCGACTCGGACAGTGATACGGACGATGAGTGGCATCGCATGCAAGACGACGAACTAAACGATCTCGTTACGAAGCCGCTGGATCTGAATCACCGCCAGGCACTCAAGGGCGTCTTGTCGCGCGGAAGGAACCTGAACGCGAGTCGCCGTAACAAAGACAGCCGCCGCAGCTTTGGCGACTTTGACGAGAAGCACTTGCACCGGCAGGAGATGGAGGCACGGAAGAACAAACCTCCCAGCGATGACACGTGGCAGGTTGTGGACTCATTCGATGTAAGAAATCATGCTACAGCGTATTAAAATAGTCTGTTTAGGCTGTCCAGATTATCTCTGCTCAAAGTGCTATTATGCCACATTAGGTCCCCCGAAGTCTCTATATCCTGTATACACCTCCAAATCGGTCTATAATCTATACATATAATATTAGTATATAGGGCAGCGGCGGATCCAGCGATCTCTACAGGGGGGGGGGGGGGTCCAGTATAATCAAAACTGAATAGCTGATACATGTACATGGACACGCATATGGTTGCCAGTAATACATTTGCGAAATTTAGGGGGTTCCGCGGAACCCCTTCTGGATCTGCCCCAGTAGGGGGGGGGGGGGGGGGGGGCATTCACAACTTGTGATTCGCTTTTCGAAACCAAAATTTGTAATTTGGAGGCTGGTGCGATGAGTTGAAAAGTATCGATGGGCTCTAGAAAGATATCAACTCAATGGCCAGCATACACATGTGTTCGTAAAGGGAGATCGTATGTGTATGGGGGGGGGGGGGGGGGGGATTGTGTGTGTGTGAGTGTGTGTGTGTGTGTGTGAGTGTGTGTGAGTGTGTGTATGTGTGTACGCACGCGCACGCGCGTGTGTGTGTGCACGCGTGTGTATGTGTGTATACGTATGTGGGTATGTGGATGTGTGTGTGTGTGTGTGTATGTGTGTGTGTGTGTGTGTGTGTGTGTGTGTCAATCAGCTGTGCAGTAGTGTAGACCAGGCTAAACTTAGTGGCGGCCAATTCATCAGCCTTGCAAACTGTTGAATGGTGTAATCCCAGCACAAGTTGCTATGTCTAACATAGCGTGTTCGCTATGGGCAGGAGTAAGAGCGTGCGTGTGTGTGTGTGTGTGTGTGTGTGTGTGTGTGTGTGTGTGTGTATAGTGGCGGTCAATTCATCAGCCTTGCAAGCTGTTGAATGGTGTAATCCCAGCACAAGTTGCTATGTCTAACATAGCTGTTCGCTATCATCGCTCCCGCGATGGGCATGTCTGAGGTCTGAGGTGTGTGTGTGTGTGTGTGTGTGTGTGTGTGTGTGTGTGTGTGTATCTGTGTGTGCGTATTGGTGTGGATGTGCGTGTGACAGAAACAAGCCGCAGCCGAGGCAGCACGTCGATCAGTTCGCCGGCACACTCTTCTCCAAAGCGAGGCGCCCACACCGGCCCAGGCAGCCGGAGCAGCAGTGGGACAACCTGCCCCGTCGTCGTCAACAGCAGCATCAGCATCATCTCTTACTGGATCCACTGTCCAGCGATCCAACGCAGACAAACAAGCAGCTGGAAGTGATGAAAAGAAGTGGTCACGCAACCGTTCTGTGCGTGTCGACAAGCGAAGATCCCCGTCCATGAACGACTCTCAGGTTCAAAGCACATCTCCGTCGCAGGAGCCGGAAGTAGACGAGGAAACAAAGCGAAAAATTGATGAAGACCGTGAGTGTGCTTGAATGTGTGTGTGTGTTTGGGGGGGGGGGGGGGGCACAGTTGCTATAAGCAGGCTGTTATGTACCCTGGCAACAACTGCTATAGAGCTTTTTCAAGGACACCTTTCCCGCCACCGCCCCAGCGATCACCCCGAGAATGGCCGAGATTGTGGTGAACACATGTCGCGTATACCACACATGGTATCAGAGACCATGTTGTGATGGTCCCTTGAGCGGTCGTCTTAGACATGTTTCACTCTACTCAGATGCCACAAACGGCAGAAAGTAGTACACCGTACACTGACAACAGTAGAGCAAGGCTGGTTTGTTGAAAGTCTGAGTTTCATGCTCAGTACAATCATCAAGAGCAACATTAGCCTGGCTCCACTGCCGTACTGTGTGAGCAGCCGTTGGGCTCACTGAAATCCGACCTACAGTACAACCCTGGACCAGTTCCGATTACATCCCTGCACTTGTCCAGGTGTACTGTATGTCCGCCAGCCGCTTTTCTACCACTTCCAGGGGCTGTAAATCCAATAGTATGCACTGTGTCTTGCAACTTTACTTGCAAGCGTTCCGATGTATGCTGTGCCTGCTGAATCCCCGCAGAGCTGATCAAGGAGTCTCGGAGTTCTGGGTTTGGCGAGCGGCCGATGCTGACGCTGAACGGCGTACACGAGCATAACCAAGAGATGGAACGGGTGAGCGCTCTCCTCGACCGACAACAGCAGGTGGACAAGGAGCACAGCGACAAGGAGAGGCGGCTTGGCTCCGTCGATCCCGACCAGCAAATCGAATCTCTCCAAGCCAAGCTGGAAGCTCTGCAGAAGGGCAAGGCTGCACAAGGTGGGCTGTTGGGTATGAAAAGCAAGAAGTACTAAAATACCGGTATTTTACTACTCCCTGATGAAAGCGCATTTGCGCAGATGCTTCAATGACTGCCTCTGCATACACTTCATGGACATGCTGCAGTCACAGTGACTTGGATTCGAAATACCTCACTGGTCGTGTTACACTTACAGTGATAAGAAACGCAAGCAGTGTTCATTTGAGTAGACACGGAATACTTCACAGCAGCAAAGCATCTACACTCACATCTCTCCTACCCGGGCGGTATGGGACCAGGCATTGCCCATAACTTTGAAATGTCCATAGGTCCGAATCATATACATTCCAATGGGGGAGGGCCAGGTATCTGGCATATGTTGTCACCACTTCCACAAAAATTGGCAAAATAGTAGTAATATTTCCACTAAAACTCGCCCACAGGGTGCCCGGTAGACCGAGGTACCCGGAACTAAATAATTTAATTCGAGGTCCGGATAAGAGAGATGTGAGTGTAAACGTAGATCAGACTTCTACCTCAGGCGCACCGTGTATAAACACTCTACACAGCAACCGGATTTTGGTTTTTGATACCGGAATCAAGCTCATTTTATTTGAGGGTCCCTGGTTAGAATCCTGGTGGTGACAGTCAATGTGTTCTTCAGATTTTTCCCGTTTGCAAACTTTCCCTCAAACTGATGAGTTATATTTTTACAATCATTTGTCTCGTACACTTCAATTTCTACTGACAGGCAGGTCCCAGTAAGGCGCATCGCCTTAATGTTAACATGTAGATCAGACTTCCACTCCTGGTGTACCGTGTATACTCTAAATACTCTATATTGCCACTGGATTTTGGCTCTTGATACCGGAGTCAATTTCTTTCTACGTTCATTTGTCTCGTGTATCTCGCCTTTCAGGTCCCAGTAAGGCTCATCGCCCTCTGCCCGTCGACATCAGCCGTCTCCTGCCGGCCACTCTCAGCACGGACGGTGGTGCCACGGCAACGGGCGGCAGTGGCAGTGCATCGGTGACCACGGGCCGAGCGTTGCCCATCACCAACCCGGCGCGCCTGAAGAGCGTTCTCATGCAGTCCAAGCAGAGCAAGGACGCGTCGCACAAGAGCTACAGTCGAATGTAAGACACGCTTCGGGCTATACCCGGACCAAAATCATGTGCAGCACATGTACTGTAGTGTCGCGTATAAAAGCATGACCTGTATAGAAGCATGACCTGTATAGAAGCATGCCCTGTATAAAAGCATGACCTGTATCGAAGCATGACCTGTGTAGAAGCATGACCTGTATAGAAGCATGACCTGTATAGAAGCATGACCTGTATAGAAGCCTGACTCGAATAGAAGCAGGACTCGAATAGAAGCCAATTTTTTTGAAGCGCGTCTTGATGCAGAAGCATGGTTTGAATAGAAGCCGCTCGCTGCAAAGTACATGATGATTGTGCACGTACATGCGTGGCAGTATGCACTGCAGCGCATACTGATGATGTTCACGTAGAAGCATGTTTTGAATGGAAGCATAACTTGAATACTAGTAGAAGCATGGTTTGAACCCCGGCTTATACGGCCGTAAACACCTGCTTTTATACGCGACATTACGGTATGTAACTGCTCCAGGCCGGTGTGCCTGCGTGTGTGCTCCCTATCCTAAGGTCCTTATAATGTGCAGGACTTTGTAACACAGTGCTGTTCTTTTAAAAGGTCTTGGTGGGAGCGGAAGTATCTTTTTGCTTGTTCGACAATGCTTTGGTCCGAATGGCCGTTCTGTTCTCCTTTATTATGTGAACGGCGACTGCACGCCCATTGGTTAGCTGACTCGTGATTGGTGTGCTATGCTCTTCATGTTGGTCTACAGGATGGATTTCATCTCGCTGTCTGGAACTCTGTTGCGCAACACCGGTGGCAAGTGGCACCTGGAGACCGGCTCGAGTTATCACAGTGAAATGAATGAGGTAGGCGCGAGCTAATCTCTCTTGCTGATGAGTCATGACTCGTGACTCATGTTTGCTAAAAAGGCAAATGGCCGTGCAGGGGGCATGTATTTGCCAACATGCAGTACCTACTTCAGTAGTAAATTTTCCTCTGTTAGCTTCGTGGGTAGGGAGGTGATAGACTTCGCTAACTTGCGGGATATGTGGTGTCCTTCCCACATAGACCATGTACTTTCTGCTAATCTCCCCTTTCAGGGTTTTTTCTGAATCATGTGTTGACAGAAGTATGGGTACACCTTTTTGCACTGCTCCTCCGTCCAGGATACAGAAGACCACGTAGAAGTCTTCAAGATCCCCGGCGGCATCAGAGCGGCGTACAACCACACACAGAAGTGCTGGTGTGTGCGTCCAACGGCAACCACTACTAGCAGCGCTGGCCAGGGACCGCCGGTAGTTGCACAGCCGGTGCCGATAGTGGCAATGCCCGTCAGCAGCGACTCCAGCCTGTCAGCGACACCAGTGGAGGCCATCCCGGTCGGCAAAACACGCTCGGACAGCGCTGGCGTTGTGAAGGCGTTTGGGCCAGCGCCGGTGTTCGGAAAATCAACCGGCAGCGGTCCGCCGGTGACGGCTCAGCCGGTCGCCATGCCAACCAAAGCCGCTCAGACCACCGTGGAAGCAAGGTATGACCATTGGAGTTACAACATGACTGTATGCGTGTATGTGCGGCGACATTGGCTGTCTCCATTGACTCTGTAGGCTCAATTGACTAATACAGCTGTGGCATATAGACCACATGACCATACGGGACAGCCACGTTGGTTCCAACTCCCCTCAACTCCTGGGTCTATGGGTTACACATTGGCCGTGCTGGGTCCACTGTCCACATGCCATGATCGCGTTCTACACAGCGTTAGTCTTTTGACAAACATGTTAGACCACTCTATTGTCTGCGTGGAGAATCTCCTGAATTGTGTTCTCTGCTGTGTGTTTCTTACTGAATGTATGAACTACAGGCGACACACCGCTGCTACGCCAAGTAATGAGACTACAGTCAACACATATGCAATGAAAGAGAGTAAGTTGATCCGGTGCCGCGACCAGCTGTGCACGTGTACTCACTATACACGGCAGTAGCCCTGGTGGCAGAGTAGCTCTGTGCTTGCAATCACGCCGTTGCCATCTGCCTTAATGTCGGATATATGTGGTATACAAGGTAAACGTAAAAGCCGGAAAAACGAGGAAAGTTGATGCAAGCAGATGAGAGAAAAATGAATTTAGACACAAGTACAACCAAACAGAAGGGACACGTACTGTTGAAGACGGATAGGGTCCTGCAAGCTTATGCACAGATCACGACTCACGAGTAAAGTCAGACGGATGCGATTGCTGGCGAAGATCTGCTCCGAACGCATTGAACGAAAGTGCTGCTCTGTGAGAAAAAAGATGTATCGCCTGCGTGAGAATTATGCTCAATGATAGTATTGATGTTTCACTGATATCATTTCTACTGTTGCCGTATCCGAATGTTGCACACATGCATGCAGGACTGGTCAAGGGTGCGCTGGGCTCGACAGAGCAATTGCTGGCACACTTCAGCAGCACCCGGGAAGCGGACAAAAAGGTAAGCGTTGAAGAGCATTGGGCGTGTGCATGTGAATTGGACAGTTAATGGCAAGCACTGGTAGAGGCGACGGTTCGATACCGGAACGGCTTGACAGCCAAATGTGTATAGACCCAACCGATCATCAGCGTTGATTGTTCACTCGAAATATGTTTGTGGAAGGAAACTGGCATGTTGAAGTTTGCTCTGAGGCCAGAGTCAATCGAACTGAGCCACTCCTTTGTGTTGACCCATTGCCTCGAAGTTGCCCAATTTTTCGCTTCAAATCAGAGGTGGCTCCAAACCGGACATGTTTTAGAGTGCACGTCAAATTCACTCTGGGTCTGAAATTAGGTAATTGCTATCGCTCCACGACGGCCAGTACAGAGTAACAATAAGCCTTGTGTGTGCTTCCATTAGTTTTGATTGGTATGCGGTGCTTTATTGGCGAGAGGCAAGCCGCTGTTTACCTGCGACAAGAAGTTGATTTTTCGAAAGTCGTAAAACTCAAGTCGCAGTGGGAAGCAACACGTCAAAAACTCAAATGCTTGGTATGGCGCTTCTGGTCATCGCAGAGCCATGGAATTTTGGCGCTGAGTAAAACACATCGTAGTCTCACTGTGACATACGTTTTCTAATCAAAATACCAAGAGAGAAAGTGAATATTGAGACCGTTCCGGTTTGCAACCTATGTCCTATTTGAAACCGTCGCCTCTACATGGCCATTAGACTCATTAGTACTTGGGGGTACACCTATCATGTGTGTGTGTGTGTGTGTGTGTGTGTGCTCGTGTGTGTGTTCGTGTGTCCGTGCACAGCACATTCTTGGAGACGATGGGCGCACACCGAGTATTGGGCACTTTGTACGCGGCACGTTCTGCACATCGATAGCCTCTGTCATGTCCAACGGTCTCCGGCCGACCAGACTTGGCGGCTTCATTGTGAATTCGCTGTGGGATGTGGTGGTGGCTGCCTCCAACGCTGGCTCTAGTCTTGTGTCGCAGCCGGCTCAGGATGCCGTCGAGGACATTAAGGCACACCCGGCTATGATTGACAGCAACATGAAGTACAGGACATTCCTCTGCCTGGCTCTCACGTAAGGATGCTCTGCAGAGTCCCTCCTCCCGCTGCAGATGCCAGGGAAATCCCCCACAAATCCCTGTTCCTTCGCCTGGCTCTTACGTAAGAATGTTCTACAAGGTTCCCTCGGGCTGCAGATGCCAGGGAAATCCTCTGCGAATCCCTGTTCCTCTGCCTTGCTCTCACGTAAAAACACTGACACAAGTGCCAACCCAATTAAACTATTGCATCTTGCTACCCTTGCCCCAGATCATGAGTTCTCACTTGATTCTGTGGCACAGCACGGTTTAAAAAATCTTGCCGTTACCGGGCAGGAATCGGAACCTGGTAGCCTCTGTTTCTCAATCCTGGCCTTAGGCCATCCAACTACATGCACTGGTAGCAGCCTGTCAGCATAGATAACTAGACTGAAGTGCAAAGCCAAGTGTAAAACCTCACAAAGTAAACAATATCATTCAATGATGACTGTGCTTGGCATGGACCCGTGTGATCAGCTTATGCTAGACCTTACACCTAGCAAGAAGAGGAGGCGATCGATCAGCCTGCAGTTAACAATGGTGATCACTGAATCGAATTGTGCATCATCCTGCTATCCACTGTTTTATGTGTGCTTTCAGGCATTCCTTCCTGGAGCCATGGCTGGACCATTTGCGGCAGCAAGATGGTAAGAGAGGAGCGCCATTTGATGACATAATGATCAGACGTCCGATCCTTGCATGTGCTACTACAGTAGGGAAATAACTATATGTGTACTTCGAAGTCAGTACTGTGCATTGCACACATGCATGCGCATAGCACCGCCATTGGAGGTGGTCCGGCCGGAGGGGGGGGGGGGGGGGGGGGTCCCGGGGGTGTCCCACGGGAAATTTTGAAATTAGGGTGCAAATCCTGCATTCTGGGCACTTTCGGCATTGTGTTAAAAAAAAAGGGGTCCGGCCGACTGGCTGCTACGCCCCTGACGTGTAGGTATATGCGCAGGTGTTGCAGGTTTTACTCGGGTCCGCAACAAATTAATTGTCTTCCTCCTCGGTCTTGTCACCTCTGCAGATGTTCTACGCAAGTACTACTTTGCTGATTCGTTCCTGTCGCTAGCCAGAGGCCAGTGTGCTGGACTCTACGACACACTTCTCCTCACCATCCAGCCACTTGCCGAGCTGCCGTTCAAGCTGCACATCGCGTTCGAGGCTCAGCACCTGCACGCTGCCAACGAGGCGAAGCGGCAAGAAAACCGTCAGAAGCAGGAAGAGCAGCACCGCCAGCCGCACACTACCACCACCACCACCACCGCTGCCACATTGGACGTGCCAGACGGAGGCAAGGATTCCTCCGGCAGTCCGCGTCAGTCCTCTTCCCCGGTTCCCTTCACGGCCACTGCCTTTGTGAACGGTGGCAGCATTGGCAAGCGCGGTGCCTCGCCATCGGTTGCAGCGACATCCTCCATGAACGGTATGGCTGATAGACAGGCGGCGGTGTGTGTGTGTGGGGGGGGGGGGCTGGCTGGAGGAGGATCGTATTTTCCAGAATAAAAAACACACCGGAGTAAAAACCGCAACCAGATTTTTTGTCACAAAATACAGACATCTACCAAGTATATTACCGTTCATTATTTATTATTTATTATTAGTACGAGCCGATGCACTGACGTTTTCGGAGTAGACTATGAGTGTTTAAAAAAGTGCGGCTTACACTCGGGAAAATACGATGATTACCACTGGCCACACGTGCGTAGTTATCCACTTCTCTCTCAGCAGCAGGGAATGTTTGAAGCAGGAAAAGCGCATTACGCAATGTTCCACTGTGCATTATCAGGAAGTGCAAGTGCGGTTCCACTTTGCGTGTACCCTGTAGAGGAACGGATTTTTACAGGCGACGCTCATTTTTATCGGACGTTTCGTCAGCACCTGCTTTCAGTTACCCAGTGAGCCGGAGGACTATTGAGCTAACACCTGCTTACATTGTGGGCAGGTTCAAAACCCAGTGGACTAAACTGGTAGCCCACTGCAAAGCAATCCATGGCCAAAGCACACACTTGGACACGAAGTGCAGTACGAGTGACGAGTGTGGGGTGTTGAAAAAAGAGGTCCGTAAAAGCAACTCTTGTAGTGCCCTTTTGTATCTTTCTTTTTCTCTATCCGGAACCAATCAATTGTGCAACGGGTAGGAAGGAGAGTGTAACAACACACTGTATTTTGTAACAATTTTTTCAGGTTCAATGGAGGCACCGCCAAGCTCGTCTGCAGAATCCAATCACGTGGATGGCACCAGCTCCGCACCTGCGTCGAGCTTCTCCAACAAGATGCTGAGCCGCTTCAAGCAAGCCGTGGCCAGCATTCAAACCAGCGAATACGAAGCTGGTGCCGAAAACGGTAGGTTGCAATGCTACCATGGCCATGTTTGGCAGACGGGGAACTATGACTGCTGGAGGGATTTGAAAACTGGGGTATTTTGTACACAATGCGGTGCGCAGGACAAACAGTACGCCTGCATGCACTTCCACGTATTTAACTGTATGCAGTACACGTATTTAACTGTATGCAGTACGTAGCCAACCACTGGACATCATTCCGACGCAAGAAGTACGGAAAACCACACGACTCTCCGAGTATGTCTGCCTCCTAAAAATTCAAACAGGGCGTTCACTAGCAACTGGTCTATTCGACGCCGCACATGCTCATACTCCAACCTATGTCACACCTATGCTCCTACATGCATAGGTGTGACATGTGCCTCACAGAAAGAAGAGAAAAAAACCTCTTTATCAGCAACCCAGACAAGGCAAGATCACCCCACAAGCATTCTGAGCCTGTCTCGAAACACAGCCATGGGTCGAAATACTACCTCTCAAACTTTTAAAAGAGCCTTCGCTCACCAGCATGTAACGATATACACACAGAATACAGTGTACGAAGGCAAGAATACATTCACCACAGGCCAACTAGCCCACCCAGTACAAGTCGTACTAACTGCAGCATCTGTCTACAAACTGTTGTGTGGTTGTATTTCCCAATCTTGTACTCTCAGACTGGGCGGACTCGGCCAATGATCACGATGAGTCTAGTGCGGTGACGTTGGATTCTCTGAAGCAACGTTTCACAGCAGTCCGGTAAGAAATACTAAGAGCACCAATGCACATTGCACGATGTTGAACGGTCGAAACAGTCGAACTCCTGCTTGTAATACGGAACAAACCGCCCCTCTTTGGCCCGTTCTCACAGTTACACGCTGCTTAGTTTCGCAATGCCATGCCATTTTTTCTGAGGGGAGGGGGGGGGGCACCACTGACAAAACCTTTTTTAAATACTAGTAAGAGCCACCCGACACGCAGTAGCAAGCAGGGTAGATAGTACTAAATTCATATGATCACTTCAGATTTGTGGATATCTGAAGCACGATGCACTGTAGCTGCTTCAGACCAAAGCCATTTCCAAGTCACAGTCCACATGGAACAGCGAAAAGGAAATTGTCTCCTGAGTTGGCTTGCGGAGTCGTACCGGGAAGTCTCAAGAAAAAAATACTGCCATCGTCAAAGTTAGTCTTGGTTATAACTTTAACGACACATGTACCTGTATAGTCCCTAATCATTCGCGGTTTTCCTTGGGTTGTGAATGCAACAGGGAGAAGTCCAAGCAGGCCATTGTTGGCCTGAAGATGAAGCTGTCGGAGCCTGAAGAACATGCTCAGATGGATAACGAACAACCAGCAGCAGAGGCATGGTAGGGGATTGATACTTGTACTCATTATCAGGATGAAGATTATGTCATTGTCATTCTACTGCGATGACCACGGTGATGGTGACGAGAACATCATTGTACTGTGATGACCCGTTTGACCAGAATGATTATGATGTCATTGTACTGAAGTACCGTGGTGACCACTGAGTCCAGAGTGATGATGACATCATAGTACTGTTGAGAGAGGCACGCCAAGTCGCCAACTGCCCGCGATATGCATGCAGTGCGTATTCAGACTTGCACCCCAGTGCAAGGTGGTGTATTGCCGTCACTCATAGCACTTGTAGGCGCAGGGCAATGCTATAGGGTATTCTCATGGCCACATGCACTTTTAAAATACATCGTTGGGTTGCAATGAAGCCGAGACCCTATGGTCGGTCAAGCTGCCCCTGCCTCTCCCCCACTCCTGCCATTCCATATGTCTCATCGCTGCCTTGCTGCTTTGTGCCATCAAATGGTGTGTGTTTTTTTGTAGTGTTTAAACCGAACACGGATTCTTCGAACGAATAATCTATTGAATAATTTCGCCCTCCATCGAATGAATAATCTATATTCTATCGTACGCATGATGGCATTTTTCAACACTTTTTCAGCACTTTTTAAGTAGTTTTTTAAATATATTTTTTGCTGATTATTGGGTTTTGTTATGTGGAGGTGCAAAACCGGTTAACATGTACCGCCAAGAGTACATACCCCCCCAGAGTACCCGAGTGTGCAACGCCTGATCCAGCTCTGCATATCGCATAGGGTCTTGGTCGATCTTCACTGCATCCATGTTTCCCTCGTATGGAAAGAACAGAAGTATTACTAGATACCGATAGGTGATTAAAACTTAGAGGAAAAGAGATTGAGAAGAAATACTGCGAGCAGATCTACGCCGTGCAAATATCAGTAGGGTCAGCACTGAGCTGAGCATAGATCGTTTTTTTTTTTTTTTTTTTTTTTTTTTTTTTTTTTTTTTTTTTTTTCGATTTCTGATAATTTCTACGACTATTCGATTATTCTAAATTATTCGATTATTCGTTTCAACACTAGTTTTTTGTAAAGAAAAAAAAATCTGGCCAGAAGAAGTACTTTGAAAGGAGAACCATACATGTACTACTGGTACACAAGAGAGAGATTGGAAGCTGTGTCGCAACTCTGAGTTTCACATAATTATTACTACGATCATCAGGCAACTGACGGCTCCAAAACGGGCAGCCTGAACATACGGGGGAGCAAGGTGAGAAATACTGAGGGGAATCATAGTGTACGAGTCAGGTGCAGGCGAGAAGTTGCTAAGTCTTACTGTACTACTGGTATAGAGAATTTCTGTATCAGCAAGCATTTGTCCTCCTGTCTGTGTGCCCACAATGTTGGTATAGGATTGTCGAGGCACTATACACAAACATGACGGATGCAACGGACGAGCTGGAGTTCGACGCCGGTGCCCGGCTGGAGGTCATCGAGCAGGTGAATGATGACTGGCTGGTCTGCAGGCTGGGCGATCGCGAGGGTCTGGTGGCGACGAACTACGTCACCGACGTCCCAGGCTGATCGTGTGTTTCTGTTCGAACGCTAGCTGAAGTTGATAAGATGTAGGCTTGCGTGTCACTTTGCCATACTGCTATTCGGCCTGCTGACCTTATGTAGGCTTGCATGTCATTGTCCCATATACTGCTGTTCCTGCTGACCTTTTCTGCCAGATAACTATTTGATACAATTACAGAGACTGCCTGTACACAATCACTAGTTGCAAAGTATTTATAGGAAAGGAGACTAAGAGTGCACTAAGCAATTGCATATACATGTACACTCAGCTGAACACGAGGTGATGCGATAACACCTCCCAACCTTCCATTCAATACCAATTCCGATAACCTCTTCTATGACACATTTTCGACAGGAAGGATTTCATCAAAGCATACTATTTTAATCTTCATGCTGCCTTTCACAGCAGTTTTTTTGGTCAAATTTTACTTCCAAGCAGAGTTTCAAGTTTTAAAATTTCCATTTTCAAAAATTGGTCTTTTTACACAGCCATCTAATTATCACTTTAAAAAGCAAGCAAGTATTGACAGTATAACTGATAAGCATGAGTGTCACAAGTCTAAACGCTTTTTTCATAATATTATTTTAATACTAGCCCAGCAAAGCAATGAATGTGGAGTTTTTTTTATAAATAAAAGTAACTCTGAGTTTCATAGCGAAGAAGAATAAATACTGGTAGCAGTAGTTGCCAGCAAGCCTGTTGGAATGTGAGAGGTGTATTTCGTGAAGATTGCATTGCATTCATACACATGAGAATCTACAAACTTTTTTTCGGATTCCTCAACTAGTGAATAGTTTTGTTTGAAGTAAATTGAAAAAAAAATTGAACAAGGTTTCATTTCTAAGCCAATTTGCTGGCTGGGATGTTTCATGACTAAATGATTCGTCGCTCAGGGAGACGTGGACAAGGACAGAAACTCGTCTTTGCGTCTGAGATACTCGTCAAACCGTGTATGCGCGTAGCTGCAGGAACAGTTGAGGGGAGCACGCCAGAAAAGAGGGAGAGCACTGCGCTTAGCATTGCCGCTGCTGCCAGAAAATGACTGCTGCTCCGCGTCGCAAGCAAATCCCAAGTCGCCCCGCATCCTAGTTACATGTACGTTGTATGGTGGTACCAGGTACAACGTAAAATCCAGCTCCTGTGGACTCGTGCAGTGTAAGTGCTCGCACAGGCTGCATGGTGAGTAGCATGCACACCAAGGCATGCACGTCTGTGCTGGCACTAAGGCACGCAGAAACAGGGGCTGGATTCCAGAGCCTGGATTTCACTTGCCACAGCTACCCATCGTGCAGGAACGGTTAGTAGTAGCAGTACAGCAGGGTTGGCATGATTGCAGGCCGGTACAGCTGAGTGAGCGATGCCTGCCATCCAGTCTGACATCAATAATGTACATCTAGTAAAAAAAAGTACCACCCCCTCCTACAACCACACCTGCTGACACACGCACGCACACACACACATACGTGCGCGCACGCATGGACACACACACACACACAAACTTGCGTCGAGTGTCAAGCATGCTAACCAGCAGCCACAGTGCACTTACCCAATGTAATCAAAGTCGATTTCGGAGTAGACCGCCTGGATGACGGCCCAGATGCCCCAGAACATGTGCGATGCCTGCAAAAGACGCCGCAAATGCACACGGGATCGTAAGAAGCAGAAAACAAGTTGAAGCGAACGGCAGTGAATCACCAGGACTCGTCACACATAGTCACATACTAAATTTGCGGACATAACTGTTTCGTCCTTTGTGCACTCTACGTGGCAGATACCTAAGCCTAGCCCAGATCATGTTTATTTTAGCGAGGCACCACTTCATGTACATGCAATAGCAATACGGAATGAGATGCTCCCGATGCCACGCACAGATGCAAAAAAAGACTTCCAGGCACAAAACCAACAGATGACTTACCAGTGTGAATTGATTAACTTCGACGTACATCCGCTCCACGTCGGCTGTAGGTATCGTAACGGGTGCCTCGCCACCTTTGTACAAATAAAACAGCCGCAAAGAATGTCAATACTGCAAAAGCCATTATTCTAACGAGGCGCATATATAACGATTTCCCAAAATTGACTAGTTTACGTGTAGCAAAGGAAACGATTCTCACTCATTCTCAACGCTCAATAGGACAGTATATGTATCAATTTCTGTACAACAATTTCTATTTTAACGACAGATTTCTCTTCGTTAACTCGTAAGAGTTAGCACTTCGTTATATTATGGCTTTTACAGTATCGTAAATCACTGGCAATCGCCCACCACGGGTATTACAACGAGTATTATCTACTAGCCGGGCTTGCATGTACAGGTTTAAAGGGGAAGTATACCCTAAAATCAAATTTTCACCAGTTGTAGTCTTCGGGGTGCTGAGTCGAATGGTCTTGGTCCGAGGAAGCTGAGACGCTCCCTTCCTCCTTTATTCCCAATCGAACTCGCGCACTTCCACCGAAACTGGGTGACTGCGCCCTACTACTACTACTAACTAACTAGATGGGGATTTGTACGGAAAAAGTCACTAAAAACGCCGTTTCGTTCTTATAAAAGCGCGGATGACCGCTTGGTCCATATGTTGTAGTCTTTTGGCCGCTGAGTCGACTGGTTTTGGTCCGAAAAGGCTGCGATGCAGCATTCGGCCCTTATTCCCAATCGAAAACGGTTGAGTAAGCGGTCACGTGCTCATTTACAGCCTGTTTGGGCCCGTTGATGTCACTCGAGTTGAACCTTTGAACCAGGGAGTCGTAAAAGCCTCTTACGACTCCCTGCTTTGAACCTTTGAGTTGAATCTTGATGTGAAAATTGTACTCTGCAGGCACGGTGACCAGGCGACTGGTGTACGGATGAGCACGTGACCGCTCACTCAACCGTGTTCGATTGGGAATAAGGGCCGAACGCTGCATCACAGCCTTTTCGGACCAAAACCAGTCGACTCAGCGGCCACAAGACTACAACATATGGACCAATCGTGGTCATCCGTGCTTTTATAAGAACGAAACGGCGTTTTTAGTGACTTTTCCGTACAAATCCCTATCTAGTAGGGCGCAGTCACCCAGTTTCGGTGGAAGTGCGTGAGTTCGATTGGGAATAAAGGAGGAAGGGAGCGTCTCAGCGTCCTCGGACCAAGGCCATTTGACTCAGCACCCCGAAGACTACAACTGGTGAAAATTTGATTTTAGGGTATACTTCCCCTTTAAGGCGTCGGGGGATTTTGGATCGGTGTCCACTGATGAGGTTTGTCTTGTAGCCAACGTCGTACTAACGAGGGTAGACCTGTATGGTGTCCACCATCTCTGCCCAATACATCTACACACACGACATCAGGTTGAAACGAATGTGTCAAAGGTTTGAAGAACCCTCGTTTTCATTTGAAACAAACCTTCGTTTTCAATTCAAACAAAGGCCAACACACGATTTCTTCATGCATGCATGCACTGATCTGCCCTGTAGAACATCATACGCACAAGCAGACCGCATTGCACAATGGACTTGCACCTTTTAGCCGTGCAGTCTCCTCTAGATAGAGCCGAATAAAGTCCAGCTGGTGCTCTCTGCCAGGATAGTGCTTGTAATCCACATTCTCCGTTCCTGTTGAAATCAGCACGAACGCACACACACACACGCACACACACGTGCACGCACACACACACACACACACACACACGCACACGCACACGCACACACACACACACAAACTAGCAACATAGCCAAGGGAGAAACCAGCAATGCTTTTCCAAAAAAAACACGTTCTTCCATTTGCAGAACGGAACTGAGTGAACAGCTGGAGCTAGGATCTGAGAACCTGTTGAGGCATACTTCATCAGCTTCTTGGCCTTTTGCTTGCGCCAGGGGTTCTACAGACTTCGTAAGTATGTTGTTCCTTCTTAGACCTCCCTTACAAGCACCCGTTTCTGATTATTTTTCAAGTACGGATTCTGCAAGTCGAACCTTGGTACTGGGATGGGCCGAACAAGACCTGCTACAGACACCTCGACACCACCAGCCAAGCACAGTAGACCTGACGGCGACCAAGCTCCAACAAGTTTACCGACTAACTGCCAACTAGTCATCCCACGACTGCTCTTTTTGTTAGAGCACTCCGAGCACTCAGTACGCAGGTTTATAGCACAACAATTATACTGAGTGGCCAGGTTTATAGCACAACAATTATACTGAGTGGCCAGGTTTATAGCACAACAATTATACTGAGTGGCCAGGTTTATAGCACAATATACTGAGTTGAACTCGGATGGTGAGCCAATATAGTTATGGTAAAAAAAGGTCAGTTTGGCAGTTTTGTGCCATTTTGTCGCACTCGCTGACTGTATAAGATCTGGTTACGTTGGTGGACAGTTAGTCATAACTCGTAACATTTTGTCCTTCTCCTTCTTTTACAATAATCCTGAGTGGCCAGGTTTATAGCATTAGCAAAAGGCTAGACTCACCGGGATATTCACAGAAGTGATTAGCGATGTCGTAAGATCGGTAGTTGAGACCACCGTACTCGAAGTCGATGAAGGCAACGGAATCTGCAGTAATTCAAATCATAGAACGCAAGAGCCAAGTTCAAAGATGGATAGTACAGCTTGTCTCTACCTGGTAAGCACTGATTATCTGCATTCAAACAGGGCTAGCCATAGAGAATATTCAACTGCATCATTAACCCTTTATTGGCCGATTATAAAACAAACAAGCCCACGCAATCGCCAAACCAGTACCTAAATTGGACGAAGCTTTAGTTTGCATTGGACAAATTCCACGATCTTGGGCATCCTGGAAAGGCCTTGGCGAGAGGAGCGCAATGAGCGTACACTCGACTCCACGGGATGCACTGGCCCAGCGCTGCAAGCCAGGGAAGGCCCACCAGCGCTGGGCCCACGCTCGAGATCTATCTCTATCCACCATTTCACTCCTGTTGCTCGTATCAAACTCAACATTTTTCGTAGAGACTCCCGGGAACCTGCTTTTGAAGTTGAATCGGTGTAGTCTTGTCAACAGGTGACGTAAGCAGGGAAAATCCCAGCCGTTGACCCACGCATCGCGCTCTGAGCGCAAATTTCCCGGGACCAACATTACGAGTGCTATAACTCAAGAACCGCTCTTTGCATCGCTTTACAAATTGTTCGAGGCGACAGCTGAGAGTTTTCTCTTCGACCTACATATTTCGATCTCTCCGAAAGACCGAGATTTGACCAAGTTACGATAATTTCAAAATGCCTACCCCATCGAACATCGGTGTTCGATCAATGTATAGGCCAGCCAATAAAGGGTTAATTGAGGTGCTTTGTATTGAGTAACATCACAAATTCACACACGAGCTTGCCATTCAATATACAGCACGCATAATGGCATCACACAAAATTAATAAGAATGCATAATGAAATCTAACCAATCACCATGCGCAATGACATCATACAAATAAGCATGCACAGTGACATCATTCGCCTGACCCCTATAGTGAAATCGACTACCATAGGCACATACGCTCTTGGTGATTTCACCAAGATGGTCAAGAAGCGGGGAGTTTCCTCGCAGTGATAAAGTTCACTGTGCTCCTCTCCAATCGCCCGCCTTGCTACCTGTATAAACATTTATCGCTCTAATAACGAACTACTGTTGCGGACATTGAAATCCGTTGGGAAGTCGAGCGGCCACGGGGCGCTGGCCTTGCAGCCGTGAGCACTGCTGGTTCATTTTTACAGTGTGTATGTGAACTACGGTGCGTGTACTCGGTAAAGCAGTAAGGCCGACTGCCCCGGTCATCCCATCGGATTTCAATGTCCACGACGGTAGTAAGCAGTAGATCTAGTCATGGATGCTCAAAAGCTAAATCCTGCATGTTCTCACCATCTGTACGGTTGTGTATGACATTGCCTAGCAGCAAGTCGTTGTGGCAGAAGACCACCGGCACTCGCAGTTGTAGCAGCCGCTCCTTGAGCAAGCCCAGTTCTCGCTCAATATCGACTTTAGCACACAGCTCAAGATACCTGGGAGGAAGTGCGGGAAAGAAGAGAGAGAGAGAGAGAGAGAGAGAGAGAGAGAGAGAGAGAGAGAGAGAGAGAGAGAGAGAGAGAGAGCTGCATGGACATTTCAAGTCGTCGGCAACTGGCTTAATTCCCCACAGGCACTGAACGACAGTGCAGTGTGAAGTGACACGGTCTGGAGAGTGAGCATTGCGATGAAGGCTGAGCTTGACTGCTCGCATGTACGAAAGGTCCCATCATTGACCGGTCAGACTAGAGACTCCCGTGTAAGTGTATGTCTACAGAACAATGCCTATGCGCCTAGACTATGCTGCGCTCTATATACATGTACCAAGAGTACATGAAAACCAGAGTGTGCAGCTCGGATGGGTGGCTGTCACGGCGGAATTCCGTGATTACATCATTTTAGTGATGTAGTGCGTACAAGCAGGATTCAAGCTGGTCTCTTTCTGCACAACTGCAGCTCAGTTGTACGCACTACGCCATTCCCCGCCTCAGATCTGCACCAAATTTGATGTTCACGGAATTCCGCCGTGACAGACACCCATAGGCATAGCAGAAAAGGTCCCAAGCTGCACACTCTGGTTTTCATGTACTCTTGCATGATTGTACTTACAGTGAAACCTGTCAAGGCGACCACCTGTCCTACAAAACCACTGGAACCAGAATCAAGGGGTGCTATTTCCAGTCAAACGACCCAGAGACCACCTGGTAACAAAGACCACGTTTTGAAGGTCCCTTGAGTAGTCGTCTCAGACAGGTTTCACTGTATATGAATTTTAAATTGATGTAAGTAGCATGTACCGTTTCTGCTTGTTATCGTCCAAGCCACCGTCAGTGGGTAGGAGTTTCAGCCAGGATTCCATTGTATTGAATAGAACGGGCTCTTCGCCATCACCAAGTCCAGCCACTGAGTGAAATTTGACCATAGCTTTGACGACAAGAGGCACAACGCTTGGATCTCGCACAGATGATAAACTGACTGGCTGGCCAGGAACGAACCCATAGCAAATACCATTCTCGAATGTGCAATATAATGGTGGGGAGCAGCCTTTCTGTTCCAGCATGCGAATCGTTCTGATTTCTCGTTCCCGGTCAATAATCAGCTCAGTGTTGTTGCCATGCACTCGCACCAGTAGCATTTCCTTCTCATCGTCACCCTTCCTTTTTACACCCACCAGCACATTCGTTATGCCATCCGTGAAGGTTTTCGTGACCAGTTCTAATCCAGGCTTGCACCAGTCAGGCTTGATTCGTTTCACAAGATCCACAGCGCCTTCAGCAGCCCTGGTCCGATCCACCTTGACGGATAAGTTAGGGCAGGCCATTCTACCTTCTACTCTTCAAAGATAAGTATTTAGTCTACTTATGCCATTAATTAGCACTGTCATGTCAATATCAAGAGCTTATGTGCTCTTACAAGTAACATACGTACTATTGGTACTCGTCGCGACGTCGAGAGATTTTTTGAAAAATCTTTTCCATTTCAAAATTTTACAAGAAAAAAACTGCACTGCATTGCATCATGCATCGATATCGCGACATCGATGACAGTCATGATGATGTAGATATATCTACGACTCGTATTCTCGAGAAAAAATTGTAGACCTGCATACAATGTTGTAGTTTTGAATTGTTTTCCTAGCCATTCAGCAATTCATAGGGAGGAGGTGCTACAAAGTGATGATGTTGTCGATGCTACGCTCATGCAGACCAAGGCACTGCCCGACGCTGCACCTCTCTAGAGGGATGCAGTCATTGAGAGGCATCCGAGTCGAGCTCTCCGATGTTCACTGGACAATTGGACCTGGTGAGAACTTCAATTTATCCCAGACCTGATGCGAAATCTTAAAATGATATTCAATTTTATGGCGTAACAATGGCACATTCTGAGATAGTCGAACATGGGCCGTACACGGTCTAAAAATTCTTGCCCGTTGCAACAACGGTGATGTTAGCTATGTAAAACGTTATTTTTAAAAGCAAACGTCATTACAGCAAGTGTTATTTACATCAGCAAGAAAACTCGGATGTTGAGCCAATAGCAATAATGTAAAGAGAAAAGGACCTACATGATACGAGTTATGACTAACAGTCCACCAAGGTAACGAGATATTATACAGTCAGATAGTGTGACAACAAGGCACAAAGCTGGCAGGGATATTGAGACACTCGACGACCTCACACCGTTCGACATTCTTTGTTGCCGAGGGACATAGCTCGTGCACATCTTCGTGGCACATCCCTTCCCCTCATTGGAACTTTCCGCACCTGAGCCTTCCAAGTTGGAAGGTTGTTGGTTTGCGTTTCGTAGATGTGTTGGAGCTAGGTGTCAGGTCGTCGAATGTCTCAATATCTTTGTTAGTTTTGTGCCTTGTTGTCGCACTGTCTAGCTGTCTAAGATCTCTTTACCTTGGTGGAGTGTTAGTCGTAACTAGCAACTTATTGGTCCTTTCTCTTTAGTTATTACAGCGAATGTTATGTTATTTGCATCAGCAAGAGTTCGTATAACCAAGTTGGGTAAGCAGCTGTCCATGTACTGTATAAGCAGAAGTGTTCGTCTGGAATTTAATTTCGTCTTTTTCGTCCAAGGAGCTTTTGGACTAAATTAAATGCCGGACTAGTGTCGAATTGTCCAGCTTTTCAATACACTCCTATGATCCATGGACGAAATTTACAACCGGACGAACTCCCTTTCATTGGAGTTGGACGAAATTATTGGCCGACGATCTGCCTCTACAGTAGTCTCTTTTCTATGGCATAGCTGCACGGCGCACTGCGCAAAATCAAGTACTGTAGAGGCAGAAAATTTCGTCGGTCAATAATTTCGACCAACTCCAAAGAAAAGGAGTTTGTCCGGTTTAAAATTTTCGTCCATGGATCATAAGAGTGTATAGAAAAGCTGGACAAATCGACATTAGTCCGGCATTTAATTTAGTCCAAAGGTTCCTTGGACGAAAAAGACGAAATTAAATTCCAGACGAATATTTCTGCTTATACAGTACCACACTTTCTCTAGGTTTGAAACTAACGTCGTGCGGAATTGACGTTCATGCGCCCACAATTTAGGGCTTGCTTTCGGACTCGAACGAGTCGAACAACATCCTGTGTGCTGATACGTGAGATTGTGACATACTACAGAGGTCTAGCCAGGATTTTATGCCAGCCGGCCAACGTTCTAGTTAACCCTTTGGAGTCCGTAATATTTTGGCTTCCGCAGAATTTGTGACAGTCACGAAAATGCGCACTCCATTTCCAACATAACTTTGGTTCTACTTCACTGATTTTGAAGATCTTGGGCTTGTTGGAAAGCTCTTGATGAGAGACATACAATGAGCCCAAACTCGCAAAGAGCACTATTCATTGTCCGCCACAACGCGCCCCAAACGTGAGTCCAGCACCAGATCAGAGACGAAATCGGTCTCCTGTAGCCATTTCACTGAATCTAGCTCGGAACTGTTCAATTTTTTTCGAGTAGAAGCTTACCTTGCCGTGACTTCGCGCCGCGCCGGTCCTGGCATATGCCGCCTGTCATGAAGCTGGGAAAATCCCTTTTTTTCACGCACTGCTGACTCGCAGCACGCAGCGCAGAAATTTCGAAATGTTTGATCGCTCGCCGCTCACTCAAACTTCATCGGAGAGACTTCGGACCTGTTTGAGGCGATAGCTGAGAGTTTTCTCTACTATCTAGACCCTTCGATTGTTGAATTTGGTGAAGATTTGGCCAAGAACCGAAAGTTTGACTGCACCCACATGCATACAAAATGCCCATGGTTCGAAATCGAACCATGGACTCCAAAGGGTTAAAATGCATCGTTCTGGGGGCTGCGCCCCCAGACCCCCGCCATCAGTCACGTATCCTCAGACCTCAGACATGCCCATCGCGGGAGCGATGATAGCGAACAGCTATGTTAGGCCGCGGTCACACCGAGCTCGATTCAGCCGTTCAGCCGAAACAAGCGCTTGTTTACGTCACTATTACCATGGAAATGGCTGAAAAATGTCCTACAAGCGACTTTCAGCCGTGGCTGACTCTCAGCCGTTTTTTTCCGGCTTGTTTCAGCCACAGCTTGTACAAGCGGCTGAAAGCCGAAATTCAAAAAATAATTTGAGTGCGCTTGGAGCACACCATGTAGCTAGTTGACATGATGAACTGATATTGATGTTCTTTCTTGTGTCCGTGGAACCGTGCTATCCCTGCGCCTTTGGTTTTGACCGTGAGTCTGTCTATCCAACTACACTGTATTCAGTTTGATTTGGATTTTTCCGACGACCATGGATTTCTGCCGCTGTGCCTCTAGACTGCTGCGTAGATTGTTGGAGCTGTGGTTTGAGGCCAAGACAAGGCACCACACTCACGACCGAATTCATGAAGAAAGCCGGGTACGAAGAAGAGATTGGATTGCAACTGAGTTGAAGAACGGCAACCGGCGGGGCAGAAAGCTCGACATCAGGAAACACCACCCGAACCATCGCGTCCATGCACACCGAACAAATAAAAAGAGCACGACTTCGCAATTCAGAATCCGGGCTTCCTTTGCTTCTTCATCAAAACTGAACACAAGAACAAGTATTTTTAGATCGCGAACGTTCTGCTTTCCGGTTTCTTGCAAACATTGGTGTGCTTCGAGATATTCAAAATTTGGCGGGTAAGAAAAACAAGCCATTCAAGCTTTGCAGTCAAGGTCTGGTGTGACCGCGTCACAGGGACCACGCAAGCCAGCTGAGCGCCAGCGATAACAAGCCCAAAGTGGCTTGTTTCGGTGTGACCGGGGCCTTAGACATAGCAACTTGTGCTGGGATTACACCATTCAACAGCTTGCAAGGCTGATGAATTGACCGCCACTATTTTTAGCCTGGTATCCACCACACAGCTGTTTGAAGTGACTTTTTCTGGCCAGTGAATCCCTATTTTTCATTTTTCCATTTTTTCTTTTTTTTCTTTTTTTTCTTTTTCTACACACACACCACACCACATACTCCGGCATACACTGGCTGTTGGTAACCACCCAGGAGAATGAAAGAAAAGTCAGGAAGAGTCTGAGAAAGAGAAGAAAGACGTGTGTGACCATAATCGTCGGGAATCGAACCCGCAACCTATCGATTGGAAATCGCTGCACATACCACTGCACCATATGGGACACGTATCCACACAGACACACACACACACCACTACAAATCTTTCATTGCAGCTTGCATCTCCTTTCGCTTCGTCCAATTATGGGCATTCATCAGGCAGCTGTGACAATGTGATTATAGGTAAATTAACAAAATATGAAAAAGGAAGCAAGCAGCTACATGAGCATTGGATCATGTGTTCGCCAAGGTCATGTCTGCATGCAGTGTACATTGGTCATCTGACAAGACCCAGCCTAGCCACAGCCGTCTACACCACCAGAAGCAGCAACCATGACCCAACTAAAACCTGTTACATTTTACTGACGTACTCAAGTGCATACTCAAGTGCATTTGAGCTTGAGTGAAGAGCTAGCACTGAGCCTGAGTAGCCAGTGCTATGTACTGTACTGTACATACCTATGCCTACGGATATGGGTTGTACTCCACCATCTCACTCAAGTGCTAGTGCAGTGCACTACAGTCTACATGGGGGTGACTGCAGCCGGCCAAAATTACCCTTGGAGCTGTCTCAGTGGGTTGGCTAGATCACTGTACTATACTCTTGGTTATGGAAAAGTACATAAAGCACGAAATAAGCAGTTGTCGAAACGAAACTCCCAGTTACTTCTTACGATGAACCAAAGTCGCCATTTATTTCATTGTCGTTTTTTTCTCTTTTTTTATAAACGAGAAGTGACAATCAGTTGTTGAGCACATCAAGATGGAGTTGGCTTTTTGTGTTTGTGTTTGCTTGCGCTGCAGAGTTGCTGATGGAGTATTTCAGTCTTTACGGCGCCTATCGTGCAGCAGTCGGCATAGTAAGTCATCACCCAGATTGCGGATGCCACTGAGTGGGTGGGCACTCCGGCAGAAATCAGACAGAGACAGGCGGTGACGTGTGTAGGGGTGATTTCTTGTCGCATGTTTCCTTTACCGAATACCGTACTCGCGCGATTAGTGCCCCTTTGGGCACTATTTTTTCAATGTCCATAACAGATGGGGCAGTATTCAAGAGAGGGCACTATTTTTTCATTGCTGGTACATTTGCGTCATCCAGCATAAAACAAAGAAAAACAGAGCCTAAAGTGTACTGTAAACGCGCACGACTCCACAGAAACAGGAACAAGACCTGCGATTTTGTTCCTGAAAACACCAGTGCAAAGCAATGGCCAAGAACATTAGCAAAAGAACACCAAACTTGCACATGGGCTTGGTTGCAAGACGGGGGGGGGGGGGGGGGGGGCACTATTCAAGAGAGGGCTTTATTTTTCACTGGCTCTTGGAGACTAGGGCACTATTCGAGATAGGGCACTATTCAAGAGAGGGCTCTGATCGCGCGAGTACGGTATACCGCGAATGGAATAGGTTTGATCCAGATGATGGGCGTATTTTACTCTGGCTTTTGCTTTGAAGTTGTACCGGTAACAGTTATATTGAGACTGTGAACTGATTACTGTATAAGGGGCCGTCTGTAAATACAATTTACTTAGAGAGTATATATATGGAGACGTCTAAGAGGCGTTTCTTTCTTGACCCACTCACCCATCCCCAGAAACGCCCCCCAAAAATGCAGATAATACCACTCATAATAACCACTATACTATGCACACATATACAGTACTGTACAGACGACTCCACTTATAACAAACTCGCATATAGCGAATTTCGTGATATAGCAAACCCTTGTCCATGTCCCAGTTTAATACTGAGTTTGAACCCATACACAATTGACCCCTTATAGCGAACAGTCTCCCTGTCTCCCTGGCCACTCTGCCGTGACCCGTGCAGTGCAGTGTAGACTGCGGTATACTGTATAGTGTGTCTCAACGCCTACCTGTACTAGCAAGAGTATAATAATAGTGAGGTCCTGCCACACAGTAAAACGTGCCAAAGTACGTATGGAAACCTCGCCGCGGTACGGGATCAACTTTCATACGGATTTTTTCATACCGTTTTCCGTGTGAAGCGCGCTTCACACGGACTGGACTCCGTGTGAAAACTGAGTGTACAGAGTACATGTGGCGGGGTGTTCGAGCATGCTACGAGCATGCTACGTACAGCAGAACCGGTGCACCGTACGAAAAATCCGTGTCAAACTTCACTGCAGTTGACACGAAATTTGGTACGTAGTTCCGTGTAGCAGAACCTCTCTAATAGGTTATACTCTTGCAGTCTTGGACTTGGTACTAGCTGTAGCAGTGCTACATCATGTACATGTACATACACGCGCGGTATGGTGTGCATGCACTTCGAAATGTATTTTTTAGAAACGCCTTGCAGGCGAACTCACCCACCAGAAATGCCTGTTAGACGTCTCTAAGAATATACATGTAATTACGAACGGCTCCTAATTTCGTACCCCCTAACGGATATAAGGGGAAGAGTCCTAACGGATATAGCGAAAGTTAACTCCAAACGAAACTTTCTGCTTATACAGTAGTTGAAGAGGAGACAAAAGTTTTTTTAAATTCCAGTGAATAAGATAAAGTGCGCGGCCATTCTATGTTATCATGCATCGACTAGTACATACATCATCAAGGAACGATTTGTTGTCTCTAGGAACGTGTTCTTGTGATGGTCATCAGTTGGGGTACATCACTGAGTCGTGAACAAAGAACCTGGTGGTGTTAGTGGACATTACAGAACCTGGTGGTGTTAGTGGACATTATAGCGTAACTTGTAGTTCCTTGGTCCTTTTCTTTTCTATATTAATTCAGGAATATTTTAAAAGTATTTTAAAACAAGTTGATGTGTGAACTGATTGTTTGCTTATCGACGGTTCTGAATGCTTCACGTCTTCTTCTTCAGGATGCCAAAACAGGCAAACACAGTGGCCTCGGTGTCGTGCTGGTTCGCGATGTCCCCGGCGCCACCATCATCTCCAAGAAACGCCATGCGATCAATGGCTATTCGGTACGTCCAATGGTGAACTCGTCACGATGGTGCCGTCCGTCACGCAGTTCTTACCTGTGTGCAGTATGCTGTGCATGCGTATCTCTCTACTTGTTCATGCCCCTTTTTGAATGTCTGTCTGCCTGTGTTTATCCATACGAGGAGGGTGGCCGGAGCTTTCTACAGAGAGACGCAACTGATCACATGTTTCGACCGTACTGGTTGGTCTTCATAAGGAATGACGAGTATGGTGGAAACTTTAATCCATCCGATATCAGTTCTGTTTCTCTGGCCAATGGTTTAGTCACTCTTCCCTCATTATTATATAATAATATTAAAGGGGACGTTCACCGTGAAATGAAAAGTTCACAACCTGTAGTAAAACGTGTACTATTTCCAATGGTGAAGGTCCCAGGTTGATCGGATTCAGAGGAGCCGTCCCGGAGTTACTACAGCTTGAAACTTTCGCTAAATTTGGTGACACCATGATGACGTCATTAGCTTGCCCAAAAAAAGCCAGATCTGTGACGTCAGAGAGATAGACTTTGTATGGAAGTAGATGGGGAAACAGCAGTATTTCGGCTCTCCATTGTCCCAAAGAAGTCAGATGTTTTTCAAACTTCGGTATGGGACATACTGCACCTTACCATTGTCTCGACTGAAAAATGTTCTGACAAGAAGTTCGTTGTTTTAGAGAAGCAAGAAAAATATTGGTTATTCCCCTGTGACTGTGACATCACATGTCTGGCCTCTTCTGGCCCAAGTTCTGGGCACGTCAATGACGTCATCATGACGTCACCAAATTTAGTGAAAACTAGGGGTCAAAGGGGTGTTCCGGGTACCCGGGTACCATTCCGTTGATCTCAGGTACCCTTAGTAAAAGGGTACCCGTTTGGATTTCGATGATCCAGTGAGTGCGGAACAACACTGCTGGGATCGCGTATTCCCGGCGGGAGTCAATTATTTACAACTCTACGCTGGATGCTTGCATTGTGGTTGCATTTTCGCACCTAGTAGGTCCAACTCTGCAACTATCAGACAAATCAATTTACGAATCATAATGTGAGATCAAAATGCAACCTGAGAACAGATAAATTAAGATGATGATTTATGTAAAAAAATTAGCAAAAATTAGACATGGCTGCTAAAGGGTACCCGTTAACCCGCCCGGTAAGAAAATTACCCGTTCGTTAGGTAAAGGTACACCCGGTTGACCGCTAGTGAAAACGTCAAGCTGTTGTAACTTGTAACTCTGGAACGGCTGCTCTGATCAACCTGGGACCTTCACCATTGGAATCAGTAGTCACTGAATTTTATTTCCACCTTGGCACCGGGAATTGGCCAACATTAGGAAGCCTATGCTACTGAAAATCACGCACCGCTGACGGTAAGCGCTGCACGAGTCTTGCTACAGCTGCAGAACTGCTTGTTCTTGTCGTCAAGTGCTTTTAACGAAACACTGCCTGACAGCTTGCTGTTCTATTCTCTGCTGTCCTGTAGCTGGCCGTTTCGAACATTGTACGCGAAGGCGCAGTAGCAGACACCCGCCCACCCTCTGGTCTTGCACAAACCGTTACCAGCATGCGCGGATCACAACTAGCGGCAAGCAATCCAAACATGGCATCATCCATGCCTCAGCAGCAGCAGCAGCCGCAGCAGCAGCCGCAGCAGCAGCAGCCGCAGCAGCAGCAGCAGCATCTACAGGCAAGACCCGCACAACAGTGGCAACAGCAAGCCAATGCTACTTTTCAGGTGAATAAACATGTATCTGTTCACCCTAAAGAGCAGCAACAACAATACCGCCGCCAACAGCACCAGCCGCAGCAGCAGCAACAACAATATCACCGCCAACAACAACAACGACAGCAGCAGCAGCAGCCGCAGCAGCAGCAACAACAGCAACAGCAACAGCAACAACTAGAAAAGACTATTGAGCACCAGGAGAACCAGGAGCAAGGAGCAGTCCAAGATCAGCATGCCGAGCATGCCACGGATCAACAAAGCCAGCCTGAACAGGAGCATAAGAAGGAGTCAGTCGATCAGGAGCCCCGCAGTGAGGAGAATGTCGAACAAGAGCAACAGGTGCAAGAACCCAATGAACTTCAGCAGGGGCCAATCAATCAGGAGCCCCGCAGTGAGGAGAATGTCGAACAAGAGCAGCAGGTGCAAGAAACCAATGAACTTCAGCAGCAGCAAGAAGAACTCCAAGACCGGCAAGAAGCGCAAGAAGCGCAAGAGCAGCAACAGCAGGATTTGCAAGGGCAGCAGCCAGAGCCCCAGGAACAACAACAAGAGCAACAAATGCCACTGGAGCAACAGCAAGAAGAACCTCAGGAGGAGAAAAGATGATTACTCCGTCGTCCACGTGTTGTAGGTAGGACGACGGCTACACAACACTACTTATGACTACTGCTACATGGCACAGTTCCCTCTAGGTATGTTGGAGCAGTTTGTAATGGACAGTTCGGACTGATTTCTGACGACGGCGTGTCTGATAAGCTGGCAGACGTCCAATGCTGTTCCGACAAGTCCGAATCCACCACAACTGGTGGAAGCAGTGGCAACTGTCACGGAGTTGGTACACCTGGCATGTCCGTGCTGCTCACTCTTTTGGAAGGCGCGGACGTCGGCAATGATTGGGTGTTGCGGCTGAATTCACAGCGACATGTGCGGTTGTATTGTGAAATGGGCCGAGGTGTTGTTGGCCCCACCAGCTTACCTTACATGCTGTGCCGCGCCACCTGTGATGCTGAGTGCGGATAACTGGATAGGGTGTGTAACGTGGGCCAGGCATATGCAACACGAAGCAACTTGCGCGATGTTTGTCTTAGCTTTTTTTTAATTCGCCATGTAGGCTTTAGACCGGTACATTCACCGTAGGAATGGTGGCGACTAGTGCAGTGTTTGTGCGCACGATCATCACCACAACTGTGAGATTGGCACGCAAGCTGTATCGTTCTCCATTGGATTGTTCTCGCCACTAAGGACCGGCATTGTTCTTTCTTGTCCCCCCCCTCCTTCTCTGACCGTTCTTTCCTAATTATTGTCCTCTTATTTTCTGCAAGTAATCTGCTGACTTGAGTTGAACTACATGTGATGATAAAGCCAGCACATGGTGAGACTTGGTTTAGTCTAATTGCGAGGCCCCTGCTTTCCTGGTGGAAAACGAATAATTCTGCTTGATATTTGTGCTGCACAAGAAATTCGTCAGCAGCGATTCATTCTAAATCGTTTCCCCCAGATATGTTTTCACCTCTACTGCCTGGCTCCCAAGTCGATTTAGCCGAAGGCAAGCCTTTGGTACATCCACGTGACTGGCCTGGTACCTCACGGCCAGGGACCCATTATTGCTGACAGAGAAAATCAGTGCCACGCCAGCATGCAACATGAGGCCATTGAGGGGCCTGCTCATCATCTACTGTATAAGTACTTTGAAGTGCAAATTTTCGTTTGGAATTAACTTTCGCTATATTCGTTAGGGGCACGGAATAACTGAAGTTTGTATCAAACTAAGTTTTTTTCTGAAAGTTCGGGTGACAGACCTCGACCAAAAACGAAATTTAGTACGTAACGAACCTGCTGGTGTAGTGATCTAACGAAAGATTTCGTGAACGGAAATTTGTACTTGTACGGTAGTTGCATACTTTGCTATGGTCAGAGTGGAGCCAATTAGACCGAGGCAAAGTTGATACCTGTTGACTTCCAGCACTTGAAAGCTATAGAATGTAAAATGGCTCATCTGGAAATCAGGCTCGTATTCAAAGCAGGCTTCTTAGTTCTATAATTATGAGACAGACCCTTATAGAGCTGTTTCATGTCTATAGCAGGAGTATGGACGGCCATATTTGTTCCAACTCCCACTCAAACCCCTCATCGATTGGTCACATGATGTCGGCCATGTTGGTTCCAGTGTCCACATGTCGTACAGCTACACAAACGCTGGCAGTCGTCGTATGACAAAAATGTTAACAATGCCTGACAAGAAAGTGACACATACCCTATGCAGGACGGTACGGAATTGCACTCGCTCTTGGTATACGTTGAGCATGATCTTCTAGAAGAAAGTTGATACCCACATATAAACTGCGGGTGAGATACGAACTGTGTTCATTTGCCAACACGACTAGGTTGATTGGGAAGTACTAGTATGTATTAATAACGCTAAAAAAAATGTTCGATTCAGGTTCAAGACATACTATACGGGGTGCTTTTGGCATGATGAGTCAAGATAGGTACTGAGTCTCAACGAAACGAAATGGGCTTGAAACGTTCAAGGACAGAAAGTAGTTAGAACTATTACTGTAGTATAAGCACAATCCTGGACCATAAACTGTGCTATAGCGTAGTCACAGGCTACTAATGACAGAGCCGCACAGGTACAACTGTGTCCCATCAGGGTACCAAGGCCCTACACGGCAGCCAGTGGGTCACCACTGAATCGGGCACGGGTCGACTCGATCGCATTTACGTTCAGTCTTCAGGAGTGCCTTGGCGCGGAGTGTCCATCATGATGCACTTGAACAGAGCACGCAAACCTTTCGACACCTGCAACAACCCATGCACACACAATGGTAAGCAAGTTAGTACCATAGAGCCAATCAGGTAAGCGCTTGCCACGACCAATTTACACCTGAAAATGTTTGTAATTGAAGTCAATTTCATTACTACTGTTTAAGTACAATTTTTCGTTTGGAATTAACTTTCGCTATATTCGTTAGCGTTGATAAATATGGTGGTAAAGACACACCTGGCAATATGGCGGTAAACACACGCCTGCCTACACACGCTCTCTAGGCTGCAAAGTTCTGGCACAGAGCTCTCCTTCTCACCACCACCACCATCAGTTCGCGCCTGGCGCCTGGTCGATGCATGGCTGGCGGTATCCGGCATAGCAGGCTGCAGTGGTGTCTTCAATTTCATTCTCCCGAGTCAAGCTCCGTATGAAGACATTCAAGAAGAAGAAGATTGCCTGATGAGTCCAGCGGGGACGAAACGTACGTCGCAATCGAGCTATGTCGTTGCTGTGTCATCATCTATGTGCCATGCGCTACTTGATGTACCAGCCTGCTATGTCGGATACCGCCAGCCATGCATCGACCAGGCGCCAGGCGCGAACTGATGGTGGTGGTGGTGAGAAGGAGAGCTCTGTGCCAGCACTTTGCAGCCTAGAGAGCGTGTGTAGGCAGGCGTGTGTTTACCGCCATATTGCCAGGTGTGTCTTTACCACCATATTTATCAACCATAAGTACAGCTGCAGTGGTGTCTTCAATTTCATTTTATATTCGTTAGCGGGCACGAAATAACTTAAGTTTGTACCAAACTAAAGTTTTTTTCTGAACGTTCGGGGTGACAGACCTCAACTGAAAACGAAATTTAGTACGTAACAAGCCTGCTGGTGGAGTGAAATAACGAAAGATTTCGTGAACGAAAATTTGTACTTATACAGTACATAATAGTAGTTTATTTTTAAATAAGGACGTTTTAAAGGGGCACTCCGGGAATTTTTTCGGTGGTGTGTTCTCTTCATGGGGGCCTTATATGGCCCCCAAGGAATGGGGAATCGCGAAAACTAGACCCAAAAAGTCGATAATGTATGAAGCCAGGGAGCGCCAAGTTTGTCTCCTATTTTGATGGTTTTGATGACGTCACGTGTGATTAGTATTCAAATTCTCTGCATTTGAAGATCTTAGTTGTTTTAATTTTCTGGTGATGAAGAACGATGTTTGGTCAACATTCCCAAGCTTCACAACTGCGACCATACTCTAAGGAACCTGAAGGACCTCCTGAGGTGCCCCTGGTAGAAGCCCAGCCTAATGAGGGCCAGGAAATTGGAGCGGACGACTTCACTGGTCGACAAGGAAATAACGATTGGTGTTCCTGCCAGAAATGTGGGGTGATGCAGAGGGCAGTCGATTTACCTTCGCTGTCGAGAGAGCGCTGCAGCTGTAAGCATTGACAGCCCTTTGACATGCGTTACACATCACCCCGACTTCGCGTCAGCTTGTCTAAACAAAACTGTTCTGACCATATGCCTCGCGACATATAGAGAATTTCGGGATCCTCGTACTCGGACCAGTGAAGTCGTCCGCTCCAATCTCCTGGCCCTCATCAGGCTGCGCTTCCACCAGGGGCAACTCAGGGGGTCCTTCAGGTTCCTTAGAGTATTTCCGCAGTTGTGAAGCTTGGGAATGTCGACCAAACATCGTTCTTCATCACCAGAAAATTCAAACAACTAAGATCTTCAAATGCAGAGAATTTGAATACTAATCACACGTGACGTCATCAAAACCATCAAAAGAGGAGACAAACTTGGCCCTCCCTGGCTTCATATATCGACTTTTTGGGTCTAGTTTTCGCGATTCCCCATTCCTTGGGGGCCATATAAGGCCCCCATGAAGAGAACACAGCACCGAAAAAATTCCCGGAGTGCCCCTTTAATAGCCATGCGAAAATTCGAACTTTTTGTGGTGAACACTTTCACCTCTGCGCCCTGGGTTCACTCTTGCATCTAAAGGGCTACATGCTTCTACACGAACTCACACTCATCACAGCGACCTTGCCATAAATAGTAAATACTTTCAAGCTTCTATCTTTGCCTCTCTCTCCAAAACTGTAAAAGTCAAAAAGCCCCGAAAAAGGATGGCACATGGGCCTCACAAGCGGAGCTGGGGAAAGCAAATGACGTCGCCTAGAGCCGACGTGAAAAAGGGAAGTAGTAAAATTATAACTAAGTAATCGAGATTCAAATCACGAAGCTCGCGTACGCGACACTTTTGGTGGTGGTGATATTTCGAAAAAGAAAACTTGTGAAATTTAGCTACAGTTCTAACTGTTACTCAAGTCTGTGGACAGCAACTGTTTCGCTCTGTTAGAGCTCATCAGCACAGCTCAGAGGACCGAAGCGCAGCTCTTCGCCATGAAATACGTTTCCGTGAAGCAAAGCATTTTTATAAAGAGCTGCAAACCCCGCCAAGAGTGCTCGAAATGCTCCAAGAGCAGTGAGCGATGCACTGTTATGTTTTTTGAACGGCCTACCTTTGCGATTTCAAACCCATCGCGTTTCCAAATAGCAAAGGTTCCCCGGTACACAATGTGCACATGGTCGACCCACCCATCCCGTCCATTGGCGTGTGCATGATGATGTCATTGGCCTGTGCATGATGATGTCATTGGCCTGTGCATGATGATATCATTGGCACGCGCATGATGATGTCATTGGCCTGTGTATGATGATGTCATTGGCATGTGCATGATGATATCATTGGCATGTGCATGATGATGTCATTGGCCTGTGTATGATGATGTATAGGGAGCATAATGCTTCCGGACATGCAGTCCTGCATACAGCACGTCAGTCATACAACACAAGACACTCTCACCTTCACGCCTTCCAGCTTGAAGTCGATGCAGTTGAAATCGACCTTCTCGACTAACTCTCGCTCTACGACCACTGTGCCCTGGTCACGTCTGCAGTAGCAAAGGAAGAGCATAAGTCTGTGTAACAGTTTGCACCTCACTGCACTCAGGAGCACCGCATTTGACGCATCCGAGATTCCGCAACATGTGTGTGTGTATGTGTGTGTGTGTGTGTGTGTGTGTGTGTGTGTGTGTGTGTGTGTGTGTGTGTGTGTGTGTGAGAGATGATAATGGTGTTGGTGGCGGCATAGGTCATCCTATTCATGGCCCTAGCATAATATACTGTCCCTGCATTGGTTCGTGATTCCTAAAAATGTTCTGTTGTGTGCTGCTGGGTGTTTGAGTGGTAACCACCACATTCATTCCTACAGATCTCATAATGAATGGTGGTACTGCAACCGGGCCATCCAATGTCATGTAAGAGATCGAAAACGATGAGGCTCAGGTGTCAGCGAGAGCTATGCACCGTCTACTAGCAATATTGCACTGTTCTCGCATGCCGTGAGGTTCAATGTTTGTCCTACATTACCATGACGGTAAAGAAAAGGACAATTGTGTTGATGTGTCACAAGTTGGCCTTTTCTAATCAATGTGAGAGTAGTTCTCTTTCCGGCATGATAGAACACAATTTTGACAATCGTCATCCTCAATAGCAGTAATATGCCGCCGGTGCTCCTCATGTTCGGTTCTTTGTCTGGACGTAAACGCTTGTGTTAGTGGGTATGTGCTGCAAAATGAAAAAAAGAATGGACACCTGCGGATCATGATCAATTTGTAGAGGGAGGTACGCCATGTTGCCTGGGTTCTTGCTGCTGTGGATTCCAGTGTGTGGATATGGTACTGGCACCAGGAACCCCACCGCTGACTACCATGTTTTACCGTATTGTATAAGCAGCACTTTTAATACTGCAAAACCGGAAAGTTTTTAACGACCAAAAAGTAACGTTTTGTAATTTTGGCATGGTAACGTGCAGAAAGTTTAACGATGGCTACCTGGCCACCCATCCGTATGCGCATCTTTACACAGACATCTCAAACCGGGTTCGCGATAACGGTTTTTTCCAATAGCGAAAAACAATTGGTCGTTAAAACGTTAGACTTTGTGACTCGTTAGACTTTCCGGTTTTACAGTACCAGTAATTCGCCCAAAAAGTGGCAGTGCGGCTCATACTACTATGGTTCGATTAACGGTGATAAAGCGGGTAGATATCGGTTTTCATGACAAAATATCTGCTCCAGTGCGGCTTATACTCCAGAAACTAGAGTACTGTAATTATACAGATTTTCGGTGTACTTTTGTTTTCGGTACTTTCGGTGCGTCTGTTTCATACCTAAAATATCAATGCACCGAACAAACACTAACACACATAATCCAATAGGGAACTGCTTCTCTGTACCGACAATTTCTGTTCACCTAACCTATCTGTTGCCCTCATACCGAACATATTGAGCACCGAAAATTTCTGAAATTAGGGTAACACAACCCACTGGTTCAGAACTTCGTATGTCCAGCTGCTATTGACTAAACAGTACGAAAGGATAGTTGAGATGCCAGGCTTACAGCTTGATGCAAAGGACACGCTCCGATAAGGCCGCTATGCCATGGAACAGCTTGCGATCGACAACGAAGTCTTTCGGCAGATCCACCAGCTGCACAGGCGGGCAACAGGACATGCATTCATTCATTCAGAGTCAACACCCTGCATGCAGCAAACTATTCAAATACTTTGAGGTAGGTGTCGCGTTCCGATACAGCCATGGATTTCTGGAACCGAATATGCATAAGGCTTCGTTACTACAAGTAATACGCTCATGGTCAGTAGACAGCCTCTCAACGCAATCCGCTAACTGTTGACTTGCATTATGATTTGTCAAACTATCAAATAAGAGTGCAGTACTAGTAGTGTCTTTCCCTCGAACCAGTGAATATATCAAATAAGAAATGAGTGTATGTCTGACATGAATTTGCCAAGTAAACGTTGAATACTTTCGGTAACCTTGTCCTTGAAGCTACTAGACCTTATCTCTCCGTCTTACTCTGTAAAGCTCACTCCCTCTTTCTCTTTGGCATTCTCTCTTTCTTTCTCTTCTCTCTCTCTCTCTCTCTCTCTCTCTCTCTCTCTCTCTCTCTCTCTCTCTCTCTCTCTCTCTCTCTCTCTCTCTCTCTCTCTCTCTCTCTCTCTCTCTCTCACACCCACACACCCACGCACGCACACACGCACGCACACGCACACACACACACACACACACACACACACACACACACACACACACACACACACACACACACACACACACACACACACACACACACACTCTCTCTCTCTCTCTCTCTCTGTCCTGTACCCATACGCCTACCTCCATGACTCTGTCCAGGTCGCTATTGTGTAGGGCATCCACGTGTACTTGCGACAGTGCCATCCTAGCCTCCTGTACAATGGAAAGCATTTCAACAACCGGAAAGCATGTGAAGCTAAACCCAATGCGGATGCTGATAAGAGGAAGTGCTAAAAACATGAACATACAAGTGGAGTAGGTATGCTGATATCAGCATACAGATATGAACAATATTATGTGGATGTTCGATTAAACAAATCCGATTAAAGGGGAAGTTAAGGCAAAAATTAAAATTTCACCAGTTGTCTTCGGGGTGCTGAGTCGAATGGTCGTGATCCGAGGAAGCTGAGACGCTCCCTTCCTACTTGAATCCCAATCGAACTCGCGTACTTCCACCGAAACTGGGTGACTGCGCCCTACTAGATGGGGATTTGTATGCAAAATGTCACTAAAAGCGCCATTTCGTTCTTATAAAAGCACGGATGACCGCGATTGGCCCATATGTTGTAGTCTTTTGGACGCTGAGTCGACTGGTTTTGGTCCGAAAGGGCTGCGATGCGGCGTTCCTCCTTTATTCCCAATCGAACATGGTTGAACAAGCGGTCACGTGCTCCTGCGTACACCAGTCACCTGGTCACCGTGCCTGCAGGGTACAACTTACTAGCCTGTTTGACCTTTTTTGGGTGCAGTCCTGTCACTCGAGTTGAACTCGAGTTGAACCTTGGTGTGAAAGTTGTCACCTGCTGGCGTGGTGACCAGGTGATTTGGGCACCCAGGACCACGTGACCGCTTCTTCAACCATGTTCGATTGGGAATAAAGGAGGAACGCTGCATCGCAGCCTTTTCAGACCAAAACCAGTCGACTCAGCGTCCAAAAGACTACAACATATGGGTCAATCGCGGTCATCCGTGCTTTTATAAGAACGAAATGGCGCTTTTAGTGACATTTTGCATACAAATCCCCATCTAGTAGGGCGCAGTCACCCAGTTTCGGTGGAAGTGCGCGAGTTCGATTGGGATTCAAGTAGGAAGGGAGCGTCTCAGCTTCCTCGGACCACGACCATTCGACTCAGCACCCCGAAGACTACAACTGGTGAAATTTTAATTTTTGCCTTAACTTCCCCTTTAATGATCTAGAGTTTCTGGATTTTTTTGTCAAACGGTGCACCCTGTACGTATAACTGTACGAGTGGAGGACAAAGAAGTGATATTTGAGGAATCCCTACTTTTTATCCCTCTCATGGAAACTTTGAAAAATCAATCCAATTGCTAGCTTGCCCCAGGGCAGTAATATTTTCACTGAAACTCGCCCAAAGGCTGCCCGGTGGACCGAAGTGCCCGGTCTTTGGGGTCCAGATAACCGGGCGTATGAGTCTATTTCCATTAGCGTTTTAAAACCACGACCCAGGTTGATTTCTACTGTAAGGCGGTCTACCTTCAAGGAGAGGCTGCCCTTTCGTAGCTTGTCGATTGTGAAGAACGCCTGGTCATACCACTTGATGCGGCGCGGCCTGTACAGAAAATAAGAATACATATGCAACGGTTTTGTATATGGAACACATCCTGTTTCATCGGATATGGTGGCAGTGTTCGGATTACGGTGTGACTTGAAGAACATATTCACATGTACTTCAGTAGCATGGGGGGGGGGGGGAGCTGTGTGATATCCATGTACATGTCTTATTGTTGACGTCACTAGGACTCTGCATGCACGCAGGCCAACCCGTGCTGCCTTGCCCTTTTGTTGTTGTTCTGTATTCCGAGTCCTTGAAGTGACTTCCTTGTTTGTTGGCTTATGAAATAGAATTATACATACCGGTAACATCCTTGTCTCAGTCTGAGTTGTAATAAGCTGGTAGCCCAAAATGGTGAATTCGACATGCTATAGAATGGTTTCACATCATTGCCGTGTGACTAAATTTGTGCAGAAAGTCATGTGGGTGTGCGTGTGTGTGGGTGTGCGTGTGGGAGAGAAAGACTTACAGAATGATGCAGTACTTCAACAGATACTCCTTCGGTGAAATACCTACAAAGGTTGCACACAAAGAGAAGAAAAGGGAAAAGCAAGGGTCAATTCTGATTCACTATGGCTCCGTGTACGAACCAAACCCAACTTCGAATGGTTTCATGTATGAACCAAATGCAATCCAGATTCCCACACGAACCTGCCGGTCTTGTTACAAAAAAGACATAATTATTTTGCCTGTTAGGGGTCGTCCGTATTTTTCGAAAAATTAAAAAATCCGTCCTCAGGCAAAAAGGGGGTGGGTGGTCAAGAGGGCTGGCGGAATTAAATTTTTTGATTTTTCGTACTTTTATTTATTTTTTGCTCCAGGCCGGGACTTTCATACACTTGTTGCACTGACTGTGTAGTGTACTGTAGTCTGTACAGCAGGGAGTCGTAAAATACCGGTATTTATGACTCCCTGCTGTAGACGTAGTGTAGGATCGATTGTCGCAAACACCAGTATCTACTATGATATACCGGTACATGACTTTTCAGACTTTTCATGTAGTTGTACGAGGACGTGCATGGCCGTTGGTAGACCTACTACTCACTGTACTTAGCTACTACTGAAGTAGTACTTGACATACAATGTACGTGTAGGTGCAGTCAGCAAAAATGGGGTCAGGAGTTCTTATTTTTCGAGCTGGGCATCGGTAAAAATCCAAAAATTAACGGGGATAAAATGGGGGTGGATGGGTGGGTCAGAGACAATTTTGCAAGAGGACGGATTTTTTAATTTTTCGAAAATTACGGACGACCCCTTAGGGTACCTCGAATGATGCCTTTCAGGCAGATGTTGGAGACTCTTGTTTGGTTGAGATTTGAGAGTGACCTAGACAGGGCAGCAGTGTCTGCTCTCTATCTCATCATGTGCCGCAGAGATTCCACGTCTGGATTCAAGAAGGCAATGTGGCGAAAAAGCTGTGAAGGCTGAGAAGGTAATGTGTCGACAAAGCTGTGAAGGCTGAATGGGTAAACCTGCACTCATACTATGCAGGTGTGATGGCACAAATAACCATAGAAGTGATCACCGTACGAGCGTACACATTGCATGCTGTATGTGCTTTAATATATTGGCTTAGCAAGAAGACGGAAAAAAACTGGATGGTGCTAAAAAATCCTTACCGGCCAGCATTTCAAACGAGATCGGTAGCTCAAAGCGACATGCCAGGATTGATGGAGCAAATACGTCCTTTTTATCAAATACTCTTTCCTGAAAAGGTGAAAGGACAGAATATGATGCAGAGTCAGTCATCTTCCGTGCACCTCACCAGCAGACGTTCATACCCGTAATAATCTTCAAGGCCATGGCAAAAATTCCAGAAACTTTTGCTCTCAGTTTTCAAAGGCGCTTTAACCACCATTGCTCCCTCACAGTGACAGGTTGCAGGTTTTGGTGGAAAACAGTCGCACCAGAACACCGGTACCTCCTCATACATACCCCCCCCCCCCAGAGTACTGTGTGGTACCATCGGTTGAAAACGAATCCCACACTGATGGCACGAAGCGCGACAACACGCTTCGAATAGTTTTAGTCAGTACCAATAATTATTGTGCTCTACTGGTCACATTTTTCTGATGTGGCACACTGCCGAGGCAATGCGGTACCGAGTGCATAAGACATCAGCAAAGACTGGCCCCATATAGACATACGTAGCAACCTGCATCAGACATTGGGACATGAACGGATCGTCCTGTTCACGTACAAGACTAAAACTCATACGAAGAGAACCCGGCAGACCAAAGTGCTCTAAATTAGGTGTGTGTGTGTGTGTGTGTGTGTGTGTGTGTGTGTGTGTGTGTGTGTGTGTCATTATAACATGTAACTCGTGCTCCTCACCGAATCCGAGTCTTCTGCATCACCGTCTGAGGCCATTTTGCCGCGATGACGATTGCGCATATACTCGCTCAGCAGGTCCTGAAGAACAGCATACATACACAGTCAAACCATCTCGAATGTATTTCAGCAGTAGAATCCAATGCCTTTCGGCAGTAGAATCCAATGCCTCCTTACATTAGAACCATCCAAACCTTTTCCATACCGGAACACTCTTGCTCAATAGTACATGCATACATCCAAAATGTAAAAATACAAAAGGACACACTTGCACAAATTATGAGCAGCTGTCCACTGCTGAAACTTGATAATAAGCAGTCAGAACATGCAATAACTGGGCACAACACTGAAAGACTACCCAAACATTCAACGACCTGACACCTAGCTCTAACACATCTCCAATACGCAAACCAACAAATTAAAAAAAACCGTTTCCAACAGTTTTTACATGCATCAGTGGCCCAGTATCTGAGCTCAATTATCCATACCTCCAACAGTGCACGCATGCCTCCGCAGTGCAAGCCTAGCACCTCTGCTGCACAATACTAGTAAACGGTTTTAGGTTTGCATTAAAAGTTTATGTGACATGTACAGTACAATAACTAATCTTTGTAGTTGCACAGCTTTGCAGCAATTACTTTACGATCTTAGCAATGCCATCACCACAAAATACTTGCACAGCTCGAGGATACAAATGTTCAGCTTTGATACCGTATCTTCACAAACAACAAAATTTGAGTTGTCAACGAGAACAAAACTAGAACCGAGGAAGAGACTCTCCCAACAGAGAACGTAGTACATATACAATCGATTGTCGACTGCGCTGGTATGCTTACAGGAAGCGAGTGACAACGCGCTGTATGCATAACTGTGTTAATAGTACAGAGCACGGAAGAACGAAGCATGCACACACAGTAAGCGGAATGCATGTATGGATACTAAAGGTGAAGCAATTGCACCAAATATTCGACTACTCGCCCGTTTAAAAAATATTAATCACACTCGAAATAATTATATGAGATTACTCGTTTATGCATTGTACATACATTTACAATAAGAAATCAGCAGTTTCACAGCAGCAAGGAGTGGATATTGATGTGCAGGATGTGTGGTGGGCAATGGTATAGGAATAGAGCAAACCCAAGTAACCCACCAGTACATCTCATACTCTACGAAATGACCACCAACATGTTCAATCAGGGCTTGCAACGTTAGTAGGTCAGTTTTAGGCTTTTTCAGTATACGCGATTTGTAGGAGATGAAGAGTATTCGATTATTCGATTAGAAAAATTAGAGGACTTGAACTCGGGATCTCACTGCAAACTGTCACCCCGAATGGAAACACTAAAGAATAGGAAATATTCACAGGTTCAATGGAGGGAAAGATGCAAACGGGAAAAGTCTGAAGAAAAAATGGACTGAAAAGGAAATGTCACCTGGTTAGCAATTAGCATATGCACCCCACACCCACACATGGGATGTACACTCACACACACACACACACACACACATACCCTCTTCCTCTCGCATAACATTGAAATATGGAGTTTCCCCACACACGAGAGGACAAATTCAACTACACCGTACGCTATCGTCGACGAGTCCCAGCTTCTTCTTGGAACCAAAATTGGCCTTTCGGAGCGATTTTCTGCAAAGAAAAACAAACAAACAATGAAACGAAACATGCATCCAGTGTAAGCCATAAGAAAGAAGAGAAGCACGATTTCTGGTTGAGACTTAACTATCCCCTCCTGTACTAAATTGAACTAAATAATAGCCAACATAAAGGTTAGGTTATAATGATCCCAACACCATTAGCATACCGGTCAAGTTTCCGAACCGCGGCAATCTGTGCCTTGTGCAGTAGTGCCAGGAGCCTCTGTCTGCACAGAAAGGTAATAGGGACGTTGCAAGATGATAGTGCTGGGGATGATTACTGCACCAGCAGTGAGTGGACTACATGCTGTACATCGGCCTCAGTGGCGTGTTACTGAAGGGGAAGGGAGCGATCAGTCTGCTTTTTACTGCGAACAAACTCCACACTACGAGTTGAGATGTAGACCTCTCTGGCAGCTATCAAATTTGCCAGTTGCTGTGAATACCGTCACCCCAAAGTGATACTAGAATCACCAGTGTGCATGTACTGTGGTGAAGTGCGAGAAATGAGTCAATACAGACACTGCAGATCGATGTACGTGCAAACTGGTGTGAGGAATGCTACACAGCTGCACAATGTCATGTCACACTCTTAATGTGACACGGTACCGGGCGAATCACTAGCGTGACTTTGCAGAAAAATGAAGTTCAAAAGAATCGGCGCGAATTAGAACCTTTATTTAGCTAGCTGTGAAGGTGCAAGAAAGTGGCTATAACTTCTGTGCCGCTATTTCCTTGGCTTAAGGTGCAACTCATGCAGTGAAAACAAAACTTTTCTCATGCACCATTGAGGATCGTTATTTGCAAGGTTGACAGTATGAACAGAATGATGGTAAGGGAACTGCAGGGCTCTGCCTGGACAACTTGATGGCCTTCAATGGGATTATGGACCTTCCTGCAGCATGGGTAAGCCAAGTACAGAGCAAGAGTTGCAAGATCCCACTGCCACTAAACAGCGGCGACCCGGAGATTTGACCTTGCCAGCAGTCATAGTACAAACTTGCATCCTGTTCAATTACCTTCTCTCCAATGGTGGTGGCGTGGGTTCCCTCTGGGTTACCACCGGTACCTCCACCTCCACGGCTTCTTCCACAACGTCAGCACCGTCTTCCTCTGCCTCAACGTACCCTTCATCTTCGAAGACCTCCTCGTTGTCTTCTCCTTCCAGCTCCAAGGCTTGAAGTCGGTCGTCCACATCATCCACATCTTCTATGTCCTCCACGATCACCTGTGGTTCACTGGGACCAGTGTCAACATCATCCGCCACAGCCGTGCGATGGCTAAGAGCAGGAGAGGACGGAGGTGCTGACCCGATGCCGTCAGCGTCCATCAATGATGCACTGTTCACTGTGCTCAGGTCATCTGCGGGCACAGGGGCCGTTCGCACTCGCGGTGGAGCTGAGGCTATACGCCGCTGTGGCCTACGACCCGATGACTTCGGCCTTGGTTTGCTGGATGCCGGGCGTGCGTGAAGCTTTGCCGACTTCGCCAGAGGCATCCATGCCAGCTGTGGAGGCTAAACAGCACCACGCATAATGCACACACAAACAGACACGGAGTTAGTTGGACAAAAGGGTCTCCTGGTGAAACAAAATCCACGTGAGTGTTTGTGAATCTTCATCATGTCACCGGACAGGGAAAGTGCTGGAATAATATTTATTGCAAAGTGGTACATTGACGTACGTGCAGACGCAAGTTGTGAGTTACATGTAACACAGCTCCCGGCTTGGTGAGCCAAACACTCCCCCTCATCAGCTTCACTCAGCTTCCTTCACTAACCATAAACTTCAAGTTGCCTAATCATGCTGCACAGAGCACTTGAAATTGACAACTGATGGTAAACAAACAGAGGCCAAACAAACATTAGCGTATTCCACAGCCCTTACCTCTGGTGGACGAACCGCCTCACGTTGCTGTTACACAATAGTTTACACATACACAGACATACACACATCCGCACACCCCCCCCCCCCCCCACACACACGCGCGCGCGTACGCACACACACACACGCGTGCACACACACACACACACACACACACACACAAACAACACGCACAAACACATACATGAATAGGCACACAAATGCGCATCGATAAGTTACACTCAATCATACACAAAGTACATTGCTGCTCAATGAAATCCAATCAACGGAGTCAATGCTACTCGCCAAGCGGTGCAAACACTGTGCTGGTGACCTGGTATAGGGCATAAGCTCGACTCACGCGATTGGATTTCATTGATCAGCATTGTACAATGTGAATACTGTGTGACACCTTGAGTGTCGTGTCGCGAAAGGAGTATTGCCATGTGCATAATATGTGCTTGTGGATGCACACATGCACCGTACATACAGAGCTGCTCAATGAAATCCAGTCACTCAAGTCTGCGCCTGGCATCATTTTGCAGCCCAGTGTTCGCAGGTCTAGGGCTGCGCAACGCCCAGCGCGTACTTGAGTGACGCGACGACTGGATTTCATTGAGCAGCACTGTATGTACGGTGCATGTGTGCATCCACAAGCACATATTATGCACATGGGAATTCTCCTTTCGCGACACGACACTCAAGGTGTCACACAGTATTCACACTGTACAGTGCTGATCAATGAAATCCAATCGCGTGAGTCGAGCTCACGCCCTATACCAGGTCACCAGCCCAGTGCTTACACAGCTTGGCGAGTAGCTTTGACTCCCTTGATTGGACTTCACTGAGCAGCACTGTGCTTCCAAGCACACTACAGTCCATTCATCGGAGACTGTCACGCTGGCTTTTGAAAGTCCGATTTGGGCCGAATTGAGGATCAAAAACCCACTTTAAATCTCAAAAATATGGGTTTGGAATATGCTTTCCCATACATTTTCCCATGGCATACTTGTCCTAATTTGTAAAACCTGGCTGAATTTCTATTTCCCTGTTCTCGGACTTTTCTGGCCTCAAATATGGCAAGGAGTAATTGCACGGGTCACACAATGCAGGATGTACTGTTGCTTTCACGATATCTACCGTGAACTATGTGTGGGAGACACCAAAAAGTTAGGGTGCCAGTTTCCAATGAACAGACTGTAGTATTCCATGCACTGGCGGAGAGCTACCTCGTGTAAGGGATATGCACGTCGCACTAATCTACAGTATATGTGAACGCAGAAATGCAGGACATGATTACAAGGGAAACCCAGGCATGGCACCTGCCTGCATTGTTACATGCACTGGGACTGTATTTTTTTATTTCATATTTATGGATTCTCCTCAGGCCTGGTCCTAGAGTCTCCGTCTGTGCTGAGAGACACTACTGCTGCCACTTCCACGAATGCCCATTCAATCTACCAAACACAGCTGCTGCTACTCGAAACAATATTTTATTCAAGCTCAATAAAATGTGGGATCAAGATTCAAAGAATGAAACCCGCATAGGAAATCACTACTTTTAAAAAGCTGCCAGTGGTGCTGCTATTGCTTCTGGTGCCGCTGACACATACAATAATGTGGCACATCCAATAGTGTGACACATACTTCATCATGATTGCACTGTCTGCAGGACATCTACTCACCAGTCTAACCAGCATCTGCTGCTGAGGTGTACCATGGCCGTGTATCGAGAGGGGATTTGAGCCGCCAAAAGCGTTGCGGTTGACGGATGCCATCGCCGAGTACGGTCGTTGGTAGGGTCGTGCCCCGGTGGATTGCCTATAGCGGTCCTCCAGTGCAGAAAAGGGCCGAGACGACCCCGCCTGGGCAGCCCGCAGAGCCGTCGCCGCGTCAGCTGGCGTGCCATCCCCACTCCGCCGAGATGTAGCACGACTAGCCGACGATGTCATCCTAGCAGCCGATGATGTCACTGCTCTATTGCCAAGGTGTGGCGCTGTCGTGGAGGGAACGATGGACGCTGCACTGCCAGCACTACTGCTACCTGCACTGTCGTTATCGTAGTCATAGTCTAGAAGGTCAGCAAACGAGTCGCAATCCAACGACGAACCAGCACTGCTTGTGCCGCGTGCGTTGAGTGCAGCTACTACTGCTGGTGCGTGTGCTTGTGGGACAGAGTCAGCGGCAAACGCCACCCGCACGCCACCCCTCGCGCTGCTGTGACGGGATGGCCGGTCCTTTTGGCGCAGTGCCGACGGCAAATGGACTGACGATGCTGTTCTCATCGTGCCCTGCGGGCGGCTAGCATTCGGTCCATTATCCACCGCAGCTGGATCTCTCAACACAGCTGGACTACTGTTGCTAGCAAACTCCTCGCGATCTATACCATGCGTGGACTGGCCAGTTGTACGCAAAGCACCTCTGCTCCGTACCAGCTCACCTGGTATGTTCCCACTTACTGGGTGATATGGGGGACGGTGTGGGTCAAGGGCGTGTGATGCCCTTACACTGGTCACCACAGCACCACCACGAACACTACTATGAGATCGTACAAGACTACCTGGCGCATCACTCCACTGATGAGGCAGTCCAGAAGCAGTAATGCGTGTAGCGTGCGGCCGTTCACCGCCGATTGCGCTACGTTGCGGCAAGTTGGGAGCACTGCGGCTGTGAGGCTGAGAAGCCTCCTTGATCAATGATCGAGGCGTGGTTCGCCCATCCACCGTCCACTTCTTACCGGTCGTCGTGCATTCGCACACACCATCCGCTTCTGTGCCGTGCGGAGTGACCGCCGTCCTAGCTCGCAACGGAACGTATACTTGCAGGCGAGGATCGTTCGGTCCCCTACCTCTGCGTTGCGAACCAGGTGCAAGCCAGGGAAGAACATTGTCCGTACTCATTCTTAAAATATTTTCTATCGATAATGTCCAAGACGAGAACTGAACAGCCTGCACGAATCAAACGCTACATTTACCAATAAGATAGACGTCTAGCCGACCCACTTCGAACTCAGCTATCTAATACTATTCTACGTTGTCGAGAAACGATCTAGCAAACTATGTATGAGACCATCCTGTCACTACTGTCTGCGTAGCATCGAGCTGTCGATTATCTTTTCTTCGCTCGGTTTTCCCATTCTCCGTTGGAAAGCACTGCATAGCACATCAGCTGAATCTACTCGGCGAGAACAGGACGCAACATGAGCTGGCCCGATCTAGTCCGTCTCTTCTGGATCACCGTCATTCAATGCGCACTGTGGCCAAGTGCACCCCCCTTCACAAACGAAAACAGCTACAAAACAACGGAGGTGTCGCTTTTTTTCACTGGCAGAAAAGGGATAAACACACAGCTTGTACAGACTGTACTGTCAGTGCAATCATGATGATAAACAGAGACATCAGACTACTCAATCAGCTTCAAAACTGCCGGAGGTGTAAACCAAGCTGAAGCTGGTCGTTTCCAACTGGCATTGGCAAACGGCCAAGGCGAAGCCAAAGGCGAGCATCCAGCTAGCTAGCTGCCACTACCCAAGGCATGGTGACCATGACTACCATCGACTGTATACTAAAAATCGACTATTACGGCCATACGGACTAGGGGTGCGCGGATTATTCCCGGAATAATTTGGGAATACTATCGTCGAGAAAAATTTGGGAATTTTAGGGGAATTCTATCGATCTTTTGCCAGATCCATTGACCTTCAGAAGAGTTTTGGGGGAATTCTGTCAATTTTGACCTGCCAGAGAACAAGCGCGCATCCATGGACGCACGTACATGTACATGCAGCAATACCCGGACACGACATACTACATTGTGTGTACCATGTACAGTCAGATGTAGATCTAGTACATGTACTAGATGTAGGGTAGATCCTGCATGCAGTGATCACGTGCCTGACCGTCCATTTTGCATACTAGAGAGCATGCGCAAGGCACGGTTCGTGCTGGGGTTCTTTTTTTGGGGGAAATAATTCTGGAGAATTTTTTCGATGTTTTGGAAGAATACTTTCGAAGTTCCGCGGGAAATGCCCGAAAGCATAGTATCGGTTGCGTGCGAGCATAATCCATACGGACTCAGTCAGTCTGTCACGATGCATGAAGGGCTAAACTACAGTAGTCAGTAGTCTAGTACATGTACAGTGCGTATCGGTTATAGTGTGGTCGTATACAAGAATATACTGCTTACAAGAATGAACACTCATTTTTTCATAATCATAACACATATTTTATGTGTATATTTATTCTTACAAGCAGTATTATCGCATAGTAGAATATATCGGCCCTAAGAATGGATTTTGTGTAGCAAAATATGCCAGATTAGTGCAAAGTGTATCGCCTGTAGTAATAACATCTGTGCTCTGTGCATGCTCAATACAATAATATTCAACACAAAAAGAGAGTTATGTCCAAGGAAACATTGGAGAATCACTTTTTCTGTCCAGTCGGACTCTTTCTTCCGACTTCTCTCGTATCCGCTGCTCCACAGTCGCCTAGCACAACCGCGAGTCTGATTGATCCGTGTTTATCATGTGTACGTGTCCACATGCCAAACGTGCGCGCATATGATATGTCACACGTGATTTATCGTGTGTAAGAAATATCGGCAATAAGAATCAAATGTCGTTTTTCAAACACCCACGCTATAACCGATACCTACTGTACGTAGTAGTAGTAGTAGATCATTAAATTTTCATGATCTACCGTCCGGCGGCTCCGGCCCCTGCCAGCTCTGACCAAGCATGAAGTGAGCGATTTGGAGAAACAGTAATGGAGATGGTGGCTCTGCCTGCTAGACATGGATGCTTGTCTTTCGACAACCCTATTGCCAGTATTGGCAGTGTTGCGGACTCTCGACCCAAGCACGCTGCGTCTTTGGAGTGCACTACCCACCTCGCAGCCCAGATTGCTACCTGCGGATCGGAGTTGCTGGAGAGCATTCGGCGGGACCAGGCAACCAAGTCGGCAGTGCGGATTCGCCACCACGCAAGTACTGGACGCAACAGCTACCGCAATCCAAGACCGCCTGCCGCAGCCACAACAGCGAGCAATGTCCTTGGCACGGGAGAAGGGCGGGTCCAGTACCCTGACCACCGTCCCTATGGCTGAGCACGGTTTCAGCTTTGATGTGAAAGCTGACTTTCACGATTATATCCGGCTCCGGTACTGTTGGCCCCTGGACAACCTGCCAGCATCCTGTCCCTAGGCCCTGTGGCTCAAGGGTTTCAGTCGACCATGCCCAAATTTGCAAACTGTCGGGGTTCATCCACATGCGACACAATGACCCCACCGACTTCATCGCGTCGTGCATGAAGGAGCTCCATCATGATGTGGAGGTGGAGCCACCATTGCAACCCCTAACTGGTTGATTGGTTGGTTGGTTTTTATTTCACTTCGCACATTCAAACGGGATGACGACCCAATAAAATGACGGCGAAGGCTTAGCCTAGAAGTGGCTATGGAAGAACATAGTAAAAGCTATGGAAGCACATAGTAAGAGAATAGGATACTAATAACTGCGGGTAAATGGGGGGAGAGAGAGAATACGATGTATCTGTGATACTACGTGCGGGTTACTGAACTGCACGGACCTCACCAGGGAGAGCGTTCCACAGCAGAGCACCAGCAACAGAAAATCTCCGCTGACCGCGGCGGCTACGGTTTGCCTGGCTTAGTAGGCCATTTGACTGCTGATGGCGGGTAGGGGTGCCTTGTGCCGGGGTCAGAAGCTGGGCGAGCACAGGGCTGGTGCGGGCGTGGATGCACCGCCAGATGGTGATCAATATTTTCTGCCTGTAGAGCTCGCTGACACGGTACAGGGAGTGAGCAGTGAGCAGCGGCTGCATGGCTGTCCGGGGCGGGTTGCCATCGATACAGCGGATGGCTCTGTTTTGCGTGGTTTGCAGTCGTTTCAGTTGACCCTCTCGCATTGCGGCTGAAAAACAGCAGGAGCCATAAAGCAGGTCGGGCATTATGACCGCCTTCACATACACCTGACGAGAGCGTCTTGATAGGCTTCGGCGTGCCCGCCACAAGGCGCCAATTTTCTTGGCAACCTTGGTGACCACATAGTTTACATGGGTGTCCCAATCTAGGCGATTGTCAAGGTGAACGCCGAGGTAGCGCGCAGAAGACGCTGAGGGGAGGAGACAGTCGCCGCTTTTGACTGTTACTTCCTGTACATGCTGTTGGGGAGAGATAGTCAGAACCTGGCTCTTGGTGGCGTTCAAGATGAGGCCTCGGGACTTCAGCCAACCGGCCAGAGCAGTTGCCGCTGTGGTGAGGGCTCTGGACGCTTCCGCCACTGAGGCCTGGGAGTCGTACAGGGCTATGTCATCTGCAAATTGTACACTTGGCACAGGCGAGGAAACCAAAGGGACATCGCGTGTGTATATACTGAAGAGGACAGGGCCGAGAACAGAGCCTTGGGGCACTCCGCAGGTGCAAGCCAGAGCAGGGCTGGTTGAAGGCGAGATGAGGATCTGCTGCTTGCGGCCGGACAAGTAGTCGACGAACCAACTAAGGGCTTTTCCAGAAATTCCAACCGCAAGGAGGTCTTGAATTAACTTGTCGTGGTGCACTTTATCAAAAGCCTTCGACATGTCTAGTAGGCACAGCTCTGTGGTCTTGCCACTGTCTCTCGCCTTCTGCAGATTATCAGTCAGCACACAGAGGGCGTCTTCCGTGGAACATTTCTTGCGGAAGGCAAATTGTGTTTCGGGTAATGCCTGGGTCAAGTCCAAATGACGAACTAACTGGTGTTGCACTACCCTCTCCAGCAACTTGGACACTATTGGGAGAAGGGATACAGGTCTATAGTTGGTGGGGACTGATGGGTCACCGGCCTTGTACAGTGGCACGATAGACGCCAATTTAAATGCGGATGGAATGGTTCCAGTCCTCAGCGAGGTGCAGAACAGCACAGCAAGAGAATATGAAAGCAAGTCAGCACACTGCTGTAGCAGAGAGCCCGGTATGCCGTCACTACCTGTGGCTTTCCGCGCATCCAACTTCTCAAGGAGACGTCGGACGTCAGCAGGAGTCACAGGATCAAGTTCGGTCAAGGAGACGGGTCCAGCGGGACCGTGCGGGGTACAGAGTTGTTCAGGACGGTTGGGATCGGTGACAATGGAGTGGAACGTGTCGGCCACCTCGCTGATGCTACAACTAGGATCTTGGCGGCGACGTGAACGCCCAGTGACTGCATTTAGAATGGCCCAAGACTTCCTAGGGTTGGCCACATTTTCTTCGCACTGACGGGAGAAGTACTCGTTTCGCTTGCGCCGATACGCGTTCCGAGCAGTGCTACGTGCTTGTTTAAACTCTGCATACAGTGTGCCGTTTGTCCTATCCTTCCGCCAACGGCTGTGCAGCCGCCGTTTACGCTGTTCGAACTGGTGCAGCTCTCTGTCAGACCAGGGAGGTAGCGCCCTCCGGGAAGGCTTAGAGTTGTGCAGCGGGGCATGCTTGTCCAAAACGTACAGGAACTTAGTGTGCCACTCTTTCCACATGTGATTTACATCATTGTGATCCGAAAAATCATGTACAGAAGCCTCAAGGATATCTTGCCGAAAAGAGTTAATGTCAACGCCACGTATATTCCTGGTCAGCCGCGACGTCGTGGATGACGCGGGTGGAACGTCAACGGCAAGCTGAATAAAGGCTTCCACAGCGCTGTGGTCACTAATATCAGTGGGCACAACCGTTGCTAGGGACACTAGCGCCGGGTTGGTCAATATGAGATCGATCATCGTGCCTTCAGGGCACTGTGGAGTTTCACGGGTCGGCTGCATGACGATGTTCTGGAGGCCAAACGCAGCACAGAGGTCGGTGAGGTGTTTGTGCTGGGGTGCCGGATGGGCTGGGTCCATATTATTATTATTATTATTAAAAGCATGTCCGCGTAGGTGGCGGGGGTGCCACTTTCGCTTATGCCATTCAGGATTGATGTCTGAAGAGTAGTACGATACAATGAAATGACAGAAGTGACGTCAACAAAAGCCGTTAGCAACAACACAAATATGACTAATGGAAAACTTCATCCAAAGTATAAAATAAAATAGAATATGCATACAACATGTCTGGTCAGTCCTGTTAGGTGGGGCGGGCTCCACGCCATGCCTGTCGGTCCGCTGCCATTGTGCGGACTGCGTCAACATCTAGCGGCTGGTGGAGGGTAAGTCCATGCCATGATAACAGTTCCGTCTGCAAGACCGTTACCAAAGTCGTCCGAGGTCGACCCCTGAAGCGTTCAGTGCCCTCGTCGTTGGCCAGGCGAAGATACATATCCACTGCCAACTGTGGAGGAGCAGTTCGGGCCAAACGAAAGATATGGCCAGCGAGACTGTAGCGCTGCCCTGTGATCATCTCGCTGATGGGGACAGCTCCGCAGCGCTTATACAGAGTGTCATTGCTAATTCGTTTAGGGT